TACTATATAGGTATATTAATAGTTACGATATTACTTAAAGTAACGCGGTATTATACTAAATAAAATCTTTTAATATATAATAACTAATATTATTCCTAAGGGATAAACCTATTAAGGGGTTTATATTAGTAGATATAATAAGGCATAGTCTAAGGAATAATAAGTATATTACGTTAGTAATAAGTTAGAGGTCGTAGACTATAGACTATAACTAGGTAATTAAGTAATCGGAATTAAAAATAAGATCGTAATAAATATTATAATAATTATAATATATTAAAAGCTATTAAGCTATCTATCTAAAGGAGTAAAAGTAGGTAGCTATATATACCTATAAAGACTATCCTTAGATTATAGGCCTAGCTATAATCCTTAATATTAAATCGTATAGAGCGTAGTAATCTTATTAATCCTAGATTACTTAGATCTCTATAATCCCCTCGATCCTATATCTATTAAATAGTCGTGCTAACTATTTATCCGTTAGACTATATTACGTGCTTAATACGGTCGACCGTTAGCGGCTTAGTAGCCGTGGTCGTAGTAGGCCGGGACTAAGGCAGCCGTTAAAGATAGTATTAAGGCTCTTAAGAGAGGAGGAGCTAGTAAGGCAATAGCTATAGTAGTAGTAGTAGGGGCCGTAATAGTAAGGGCTATAATAGCTATAGGGGTAGTAGGTTAAGCCGTTTAGGTTAAGTACTAGCTATAAAGGAATAAGACTACTTATTATTATACTTTAGTAGCTTCTTTATTTAGTTCTTAGCTAGCTTCTTAAAAGATAGTTAAGTAACTATTACTAATAAGCTTTATTAATAAAGATATATCTTATAGCTACTAGCTAAAAAGAGCTTTTATTAGGAAGTATTAGTTAGCTTCCTTAAGGATTTCTTCTTACTTAGCTAGCTATAAAGAAGCTAGTAGGTTCCTAGTAGAAAAGGCTCTTAGGTATACTATATAGGTCTTCTTAATACGGTTAGTTATATAGCCCCTTAAGGGAGCTATTAAGGTCTCGAGCTTTAAAAGCTACTACCTAGGAGTCTCTTCTTCTTAAAGAGAGATTAGCTTTATAGTACTAATAGATTCCGTTATCGCTATATATATAGTAGTTAGTAGCTTTATTTTATAAAGTTATTCCTTATAGTAACTCTTATAGTTACCTAAGGTAGTAGAAAAAGCTCTTTACTATATAGAGGTTAGCTTAGAGAAGAGGGATACTCCTTCTATAAATTCTATTACCCTAAGATAAAGAGGGGGCTTAAGAGGGTCCTACTTATTAAAGAAGACTAAATTATAGATAGTTTTATTTATACGAGCCTATAGCTCCTTTACCTACTTATCTTAATCTTAGGGCTTTACTAGAATCGTCCTATAGACTATAGGGATAGTAAAGGAGTCGTTTTTTAATATTATTATAAAAGAAGGGGTAGAAAAGTTAGTTATAAATCGGCTTTTTTAGTAAGAGGGGTAAAAGGAAGCTATAAAGGATATAAGAAAGGTACCTTTTATAGTAGCCGGAAGGTATAGGAATACTATTCCTCCTAAGCTTATAACTCTTATATAGATAAATATAAGAAGTATATAAAAATATATAAAGGTAAAATTAAAAGTAAGGGGTTAGATAGGTAGGGTAGAGATATTTAATTCTTATAAAGGTAGTAATTATAGTAAGGGAGTAATTATTATATTACCTTAATTATCCTTCTTTCCTTTATTTAACGCCCCTCTTTATACCCGCTTAGTATCTTAATTAATAAAGAAGATCTTACTTAAAGAAGCTATTAATATCCTCTTAACTACTAAGCTTTTTAATGGTTTTTCCCCTCCTTTCTAGCCGTTACTAGTATATCCGTTTTATCTCTCGCTACCTTTATAAGAAGCTATCGCTACTTTTACTTCCCCTCTTACCCCTACCCTCTTTTATATACCTCCTTTTAGCTCCTTTTTTCTTCTTTTATACTAGGTATTTTTTAGCTTCTTTAGTCCCTCTTACTAAGGGATATCTCTAAGAACTATAAAATTAAGCTATGCTTTGCAATAACTATACTAGACCTAGGACTATATAGGGCTAAACTATAGCCTTCCCTTATATAGTACTAAATATAACTTTATATATATTAACTATAGCTTCCTAAGAATTAAGAGGAACTTAAGCTAAGGGACTATATATACTACTAGTAGCTATAAGAGGCTATTATCCTCTATAGCTACCTAAGCGACGCTTTTAATAACCGCGCCCTTTATTATAGCTAAGGCGCCCTTTATACGCTTAGGGCGAATCTTCTTTACTAGTAAGTATAGTTTAAGGGCTTTTACTTTATTAATTATAGTATAATATTAATAACCCTTATTTATAAAAGTAAAGAGAAAGTAAGTTTAGTTAATAATAATTAATATTAAAGTAGGTTCTTTTTTAATATACTTTACTAAGTCTTCCTTAGCTAGTATTAGCTTACTAAGCTCTAGGGCCCGCCTTTATACTAGAGCTAAGCTTTTCCCTCCGCTTTATATATAACGGAGGTTCCCTTATCTCCCTTATTATCGGATTTTAATAAAGCGTAGGTAACTTATATCTTTACTAGCCTCCTTACTAAGAGGTAAGGGTAAGACCTAACTATATATATACTTACGCTATAATATATATAGTAGCCCTCTTTATATTATTTATTAATTTCCTTATAAGGTACCTACTTAGCCGTCTTATTAAACTATACCGCTAGTAGAGCGGCCGGGGTCTTACTATTACCGCGCCCCCTAAAGCGTATAGCCGCTATCTAGACATCGCTATCTATATCGACCGCTAACCTAAGAGCGGGCCCGGGTATAGATAGGTTAAGTAAGGAGGAACTATCTAGCCTATTAGTCCCGCTTAAAGCTAAGCACTTATATAGCTTTTAAAAGTATAGCGTTTATTTATATCCTTAAGCTACCTTTATAAGGCGGGCTATATAGCCCTTATAGGTAGAGGGCATTATAATAGGGATAAGTAGCTCTTAAAGCGCTAGGGAGATTAAGTTCTATAGCTAGGTAAGCTTAGCGCTATCCTCTTAGGCGGTATTACCCGCCGCCTAGGTTAAGGTCTCTTTAAATTCTAGTAAGAACTCCTTAAAGGATTGCCCCTTTTACTAAGTAAGGGTCTATAGCCTATCTTACGCCTTCTCCTATTCCTATACGTTATTAAAGGCATAAACTAAGTAGTTAAAGAATACTTAAGGGTCTTTTATCCCCCTAAGACCGCCTTACTCTTAAAAGCCCGCTACTTACTATATCTAGGGCTTTAGTAGCGTATAGGGGAGCGAGAACTAAGCTATCTCCTTATAGCTATTAAGGCCTTATTTCTCGTTAATATAGTATTTTGCTATTAAGCGGTTAAGGAAGAAGTAAAAGGTCTTTAGCTTACTATCTTAGGTAGGCTAAGGTAGTAGCTTCCGTCTACTAAAGGCCGCCTCGCGCTTTAACCTCCTAGTAGTAGGGGGCCGATTTATCGGAGCTAGTATTAAGATAGTATTAAGGATCTAGTATAGGGTTACTTATTAGTTTAGGTCTTATAATATCTAGTAAAATAGCTTTATAAATTAAGCTTATTTATCTTATTACTACTAGGCCTCTTCTTATAGGTATTACTAGTATAGCTCTTCCGCTTATTACTATAGCTATTAGTACTAAGCTTCTTCTTATAGTAGCTACTACTACTACTACTACTACCCTAGCTAGTGCTACTAAGGTTCTAATATTAGGTCTAATATTAAGATAGCTTATACTATTACGGGGTAGGTAGAGGGTTATACTATAGGTGCCTTCCGTTATATTATAATAATAAGCTATATAGGATCTTAATATACGCTACGCCTACCGCTATAAAATACGCGTTTATACGTACGGCCTGCCCTGCCCCGTAACGCTGTCGGCGAAGGTCTAGGCTAATGCCTAGACCTATACTAAGGGTAAATACCCTTATAATATATATATAAAGTACGGGGGGAATAGGTTTCCCTACTTATCCGGCAGCTTATAGTTATCCGGATCCGTTAAGTAACTTCCTTAGCGTCCCTTAGGTTAACTACCGCATTCGGTGCCTCCGGATACGGCGATAGCATCGTCTCCGCTTATAGGGATAAGGGGCGCGCCTATTAATGCGTGTAGGCGTGAGCCTAACCTTAAATAGCTATACATTAGTCTATGGCCTACTAGGACCCTTATTAGGTCTTTAAGACCCTCGTTAGGTCGTGATATATATCCCCCACACCTACCGTGCGTCCTTTAGTAGAGTAAAATTCGCATTATTAATACAACCACTTTTCGTAGTATTATAAGTGCGCACGGTAGGCGCGGGGGATATACGTATATAAATCTACGGTATCGGCGCTGCGCCTTAACTAGCTATACTAAACTACCCCACTGATTTTTATGCTCCCTATTTATGCCTGTATGCTCCCTAGTTAGGACCGACATTAATAGGAAAGAACAGATATAAGGACGTTTTGGTTATTCTTTATTCTTTATATACGAGAACTACTAAATAAAACGAACGAGTTATTTATTTTGTAAAAAATGAGAAATCGGAATGGACTTGCAAATAGAGTCTAAGTCAGTTTCCTATATACCCCTTTCGTTATGTTCTGCGTCCCTGATATGTCCAGGTCCCCCCCCCTTCGACAAATAGCCAGATTAGCCAATATTCATATAATATGTTTTCTATTATTAACACTGGATCCTCCTGACTCCTAAGATCTAGTGTCTCGATGGTCTGTTTTCACTATATTTACTGTCTCGAGTCCAGTTCCCGACGCGCCGCCTGCAATGGCAATATGCAACCTTGCGCCCTCCAGTCAAGCTCGCCCGGTTGACTGGTGCGCCATTTGAGGCCAGCGAAATTCCTTTGTTATCGCCTCCTCTATACCCTCGCGTTTAAAAACCGACCTGCCTGATTTAATCCCGTACAGCCTGGCGCTATTTGTATGATCAGCTTTTGTTGATATTACGGCATGACTGTTTGATAATACTCACTCACGAAGCAGCCGGGAACTATGAATGTTTCCCGAGCAGCCAATTTCTCCCACAAGTTCAACTGCATCCAGAGTGCATTTTGCCAGACTTGCCGTGGAATGTGAAAAGGCGCCCGTGCAATCCTGCGGACAGCTAGGGCCGTTCGTGTCCACTTCCTTGGCAGTCGAGTGAGTGTAGGCTCTCGAAGTCTGTAGTTTTGTGTATATGCCGGCTACTAGACCTTCGACAAACTCGCTTCGCGCCGTTGGCATGTTAAAGGGGTTGCGTGTGTGCATCAAAGGTAAAGCCATATCCAGGACAGCCTGCATGATGCCCAGAGGTCCTGAACTCAGCACGAGGCGCCCTAGGGTTATTCCTTTGACTAGGATTTCCAGTCCTCGGTTTACCCTGCCGAGGACGTTCTCGCACGGCACGAAAACCGAAGAAAACAAGGCGCTTGTACTACTTCCCGTACTATGTTCCCTTCTCAGGCAGCTGAATCCTCTCGAGTCAGTCTCCACAAGAAATGCCGTAATGCCACCGGATATTCCACATGGGCCGGTTTTTGCGTATACTACAATCGTATCAGCATCTCGGCCATTTGTCACCCAGGCTTTGGAGCCGTCCAGTAAATATCCACCATCCACTGCACGGGCTCTTGTCCGCATATTGACGAGATCATCAGCGGCCTGCGGCTCGGATACAGCCAGCGCGCCGATGCTGGTGCCTGAAATTAGACGAGGTAAATACTTCTCCTTTTGCTTTTGAGATCCATTGAGTTGAATATGGTTCACGCAGAACTGGGAATGCGCCGCGAAGCACAGCCCAATAGATGCCGATGCTCGTGAGATCTCTTCCATGGCAATGCAGTGGCCTTGATAGCCCATGCCTAGTCCGCCAAGCTCCTTGTCTGCAGCAACTCCCAAGAGACCTGATCGACCTAGCTTGTTCCACAGCTGTCTTCGAAATGTATAAGTCTTTTCGATTGTGGCGGTATTGTTGTCGGTGATTTCTCGACAAACAAAATCGCGGACTTGATTTCGCAATTTATCAAGCTGATGGTCGTCCGGTTTCTCAGCTTGCTGAGACCGTAGGGTCGAATGATGTCTCCATAGGGCATAGAAAAACTTCGCAGGACGGCTTCTGTTCGTCTGTCGTCTAAAAGTAACGATACCAAGAACGACCATCGTATTCAGTATCAGGACAATTTTGGGCTTCCCAGCCTTTCTTAGAAATCCTGTTGAGTTAATGCTAAGATATAAAAGAGGGTAGGCAAGGCCCTACTGACGCTGGACAAGTCATACACAGTTGAGTCGGGCTGGGGGCCTGTATATACTCCATGTCCTTCTTATACTAGTAAGGGACGTAATAAGCTGGCCTCGTTGCCTAAATCCGACCCGCAGGTCTCATTATAGCCCAGACGTGCACGCACCCATGCTAGAAAACTCCCCTTCTACACAAGAGCTGTACAGGAGGCGGTGAGATGCTCCACGCATGCACCACTGCACCATATACATGGCTCAGCGGGAGATTGACTTGGTGGCTGGCGGGCCTATCGTTTTAGTGAACCCTAAGCCAGGAGTTGTACTCCGTAGAGTTGATGGTAACCAACGGACCGGTAGAATCGTACGTCAGGCCGCGTGCATTGTCCGTGCAGCACCTGGCTGCATCTGACAGCTATTAACTCCCCCCCTTATGTAGAGAGGAAAGACAGACATCCCAGCAAACAGTACTTATCGGTAAGGCCCTTGCCAATGACTGATCGATTGACGCCTGCCTTGCTGATATTGCTTGGTTGCGTTATCAGTAGACGCCAGTGCATGATGCAACCGCGCATGTCACGGGTTGCGTCAATCTACTTAATTTGGCTGTTTAGTTGAGTTGATTAAGTGGGTTGCCACCCTAGATCTAATGATGCCTCTTCCTGCGGTTAAATGTTGGGACTGTGTAAAAGCGGTTTATTGAGATTAAGTTGAGACCCAAAAATTGAAAAATTGAAAAAATTCACCGGGTCAAAAACTCTCAATCCCGCGGCCCTTGACCCTCAATCTCGCAAGAGCAACCATCTGAGGTAGACTTTTAAATCATCCCCGTTAATAGCCGATGTCCTGAGCGATTTATAGCCAGCTGTTTTCTTCAGCGCGGCAACAGTGTTATCGGTTTTAAACCTTGCCATGCCTTCATAAGCTTCCCATACTGTCAGCTCTCCAACTACCTTCTCCTGAAGTGCAGGTAACAGCGGCTTCATGCGAAGGTCCGAGCCTCCCATAGCGGCGCCCTGTAACTTTTCAACCCAGTCGCGATACTGTAACTCAGTCATTTCGATCTTGCAGATCTGTCCGGCGAGGCAGAATAGGTCGTTTGTATCAATACTCGATTTGGCGTCCGGCGTAACATGGTATGCCCGCCCAAGGTTCTCGTTTGACATCGAAATAAGTCTCATCACCGAGGCGACGTAATCAACCGGAACCAGCTCCTCGCGCTGGTCTGGCATGGACGGGTAAGTTCCCAGTGTTATACAATCTGTCAACAGTCGACTGACAAAGTCCTCGGGGTTGCCGACACCATCGTCACTATTGCACAACACCGTACCGAGGCGGTAGATTGCAGCAGGGAACCCACGTCGCATCAGGTGCGATATTATCTCGTCAGTAACCCACTGACTCTGTGAGTATCCGATATCATACGGAAGCGTGGTCTCAACGTATGGCGTCAGGGGGTCGTCTTCACCAAGCTCTTTTACTTCATCACGAACGAGGCCGGTCGGGCCAAAAGCCGCTATGGTCGATGCATAGTGGACCGACTTCGGCTTCCCAGTTGCAGCCAGGCGAAGGACATGTAGAGTGCCTTGGACGTTGGTAGAGAAATTGGCAGTGTACGGCTCATTGAAATTAACCTGCGCCCCAAGGTGATAGATAATGCTTGCCCAGCCAGATAGCTCATGGTAGTCTGACTCGCTCAGACCCATTCTGGCCTCGGAGAGGTCTCCAGGGATAACGTCAATTTTTGACTCGAGGTCTTTAGAGAGATTCCTGAGTCGGTATTTCGCCAGATTTCTGAAGACTTTCTCAAAGGCGGATTGGCGGGATTCTGCACGAACGAGGCATCGGACAGACCGGACCGTAGGAAGTCGAAGTAGCTCAATAAGCAAATATGCGCCCAAGAATCCCGTTGCACCGGTCACGAATACATTCCCTTCTTCGGCACACATCCAATCAACAGGTGGTCCCGTGGGAGTGGGAATATCCTGCCAAAGGGTAGCGGCGTCGGCACGTAATGCATCCTTTAGTTTTTCAAGATGACTGGCGGAAGTTCCATCCTTTTGCCCCTTGATGAATTCCGCGAGGCTTTTGAAGTCGGAATGCTCGTATATTATCTGAGCCGTGAGCAGTATACCAAGCACCTCGCGCACACCAGTGATCAGAGAAATCACGTCCAGAGATGTTGCGCCAGCAGCGAAGAAGTCGGCCTCGGGTCGGATGTGCTTCTCTGGGATAGCTATAAGGATTCGGCTCCATAGTGCCTTTAACTCATTCTCCGGCCAGTTCAATGCATCCGAGTCCTTGGCTTCATTCAAAGCATCCCGATCCTGGCGCTGTTGTAGCATATCCGATAGAATTTTGCTGACTTGCTCTCGATCAACCTTGCCTTGCGGAGTCATCGGCATCTTCTCAAACGCTACCAACTGCGGAACCATATAAGTCGGAAGACGAACCTTTGCCTTTGCAAAAAGAGCATCGTTGCTCGTAGTTGGTGTTATATAGGTGACGCAAGCCACAAGAAGCGTTGTGTTGAAACCCGGCGTGTCCACCCTCAGCGCGGCAGCACTGCTAACCAGCCCTGTAAGAAGAAGTTCGGTTTCCACGACATCCAACGGGACACGATAGCCCCTGATTTTAACCTCGCGGTCTTTGCGGCCGAGCCAGACCACGTTGCCCTCGTTGTCCGTGTACACGACGTCTCCGGTGCGATAAAGACGGTCTGCCTCCCCATTGGATCCAAGGCCCGGAATGGTGACCAAGGCTTGGGTTGTCTGTTCCGGATTATGGAGATAGCCGCGGAAGAGTCCTGCTCCCCCGAGATAAAGCTCGCCTGAGTTTTGTCCGGTAACTGGACGTAACGAGCCGTCCAAGACGTAAGCGACCGTCTGCTCGAGCGGCTTCCCAATGGGTAAGTAACCCCTTGCAATATCCTCTGATGTTAGAAGATGCCCGAGGGCAAGAATACTGCATTCCGAAGGTCCGTATCCGTTTATCAGTCGTCTTGGCGGACCATTTTCCAGCACAACGCTACACGCAGCCATGCTAGGAGACTCTCCACCCACGATCAACGTCTTGAGTTCCGAAAATGCGGTAGGACATGCTAGCGCAACGATATGAAACAAGGCTGCTGTCATAAACATATACGTAACGCGCTTCTCCTTCAGTGAATGCACGAACACCTCTGGACTGAACAGCTCCTGTCGATCCAAGACCACGATGGTAGCGCCATTGAGGAGGGCAACCCAAATGTCGATGAGGGAGACGTCGAAACAGGTGTTATTCAGGTGGGCGAACCGATCTTCACCAGAGTCAGGTTTGCACAGCTGGTCGCGGGCGATTCTAAGCACGCCACGAGCTGGAACTTGGACAGCCTTGGGTAAACCGGTCGAGCCAGATGTGAAGAGTATGTGGGAACGGAAATCGGGTTGAACGCTGCGTGGAACGTTTGGGACGCTATAGTCGGGCCCAACCGTTTTCTGACTGGTGACGACTGACACACTGTTGACAGACAGTTGACGGTTTTGGCAAGTCTCGTCAACAACTAGAAATTTGACTTCGGCCAAATTCAGCTGAACTTGAAGATCTCTGTCAGGGCGGCACAAGTCCAAAGGAAGACACGTTCCACCAGCGTACACAATCGCAACTTGAGCAATTATGTGGCACGCCCCAAAAGCGGTAAGGATGCCGACAGGGTCTTCATAAACAAGACCGTGCTTGATTAGCTTCGAAGCTAGAACCTTGGCCCTAAGATCCAGTTCGCCATAGGATATCGAGGTCTTTTCGTCAATGATGATGGCAGCTTTGTCTCCCAATCGACGTGCATTGAGAGCAAAGAGACGCCCGATGTCAGAGGCACAAGTTTCAGTAACAGAGCTCATGTTAATTTAGAAAACGTGGAAAGTTTAGAGTAATTTTGCTTGAGTAGTGCAAGATGCTGTGCGACAGAGTTCGGCTAGTACTTGAAACTGGGGTTATATACCTCATTATGGAGGTGCGATGCCCGTCGGAAACCGAGGGCCTATAAGCAGCGACCACGTGTCTGGCACATAATACATATTATTTAGCCTGAAATCCTGTCTTAGGCTAAAGGCCTACGAATGAACACATGATATAATTTACGGCGAGATGTTATCTGGTTAAAAGCCTATATTAAGCGGTTTACCGGGGCAGGTCGCCTCTGGTACCCTGCACAAGTCGTTGAATATTGTCAGACGACAGACCCTTCGTAAACAGCGCCAGTGCAATTTGCCAGAGAGTTCCAATTCGCCAGATACACGATGCAAATTATAAATGTATATATGTAGGCCCCGTCTGGACAGCCAAGCGCTTAGGCTCGCCGGCGAACTAAAAGTGGGGGGACTATAGCAAGAGCACCCAAAAGAGAAAGGCGTTATACTAGGCTGCTTAGGGAGTAAACATAAAGCAAGTTTATATCTCTCATTTATATAATGCTAGAAATTTTATTTAAGATCTCTTAAAACTGTTTAAGTACCTTCTACTTTACTTGCTACAGTCCCTCTACTTTCAGTTGGCTGTCTAGACAAAGCCCATATGTAGTAGACTCAACTCGGTCTGAACCTCATGGTCGTCTTTATACTGCATCCTTGATAATTATATTATTGTGCTTCCTCGCTTTCTCTCGTATTCTTCATGCCTCAAGTGACGGGTTGGTTTGTCTACCATAACCTTCATCCTAGTTGTAACTTTCCACACTTATAGGCATGTAACCGATGTTGATATAGACACTCCTGGGTGTCAACTTAATTTATACCGTCAGTCAGTTGAGTTGAAAACCGGGCCGGCACCTCCCAAATGCGCGCCTAGCTTTTCCACCAAAGACGCCGGTCGCGGGGACGGCTGCCCGACTGAAGAAACGGCGACGCGGCGCGGCAAATGCGGCGTGGCAAGACACGACGCACTTGCCACGCCGCATGTAAATCTCCGGTGAAAGAGTCAGGACTCACACAACGACTTAAGTCGGGTATCCATGCGGTAGTGGAACCTTTGCCCCAATGCAGAGCCTCTAGAGTCCAAGGGACGAATATCTATACGTTTATAAATACCCTCTCAATGTCACACCATGTTTGTACTCAACTGCGCTTGCCCTTATCCTTCTGCCAGTGATCTCAGCCTAATTCCCGAAAATATCCTATCGATATTGACTTAGGAATATAACCTCAATGAACTCCAACCAATTGTCCTTTGCCATCATCGTTATCACACGACTGCGTTCACATGTCTCACTCGCTCGCCATACACCGCTATATGTACATAACCCACACACCGGAAGGTGCCTCACACACGCCGCTAAGATTTTCGGCTTGATGCCTGAAAGGTTTTGGGCAGCTTCTACACCTTTACTACCGTGATCAACGCTTAGCCCCTCACCCTGTTGAGGCCATGCAGCGTATGAAGCCACGTGCTTCAACTTATACTACCCCGCTTTCAGCTCGATGCAGGAAAAACTCCAGTTGGTTGAGAATCACAAGATGAACCCCATTAGTACTATACTTTTAGTAGCGGCTATTATGCTCGAAGTAAGGCCACCATAGTAACTCGTTGCCAGGATACCCCTAGTAGGCACTGGCAACTATAAGTACATAAATATAGCTTAGTACAGTTATATAAAGATTAATATAAAAAGCCACTATATTATTCTATCTAGCACAAAGTCTTGTCGCAGCTGTCGGTTAAAGACGTGTAGTAAACTAGAGCCTGAGTTAGCTAGTCCTTACTGAGCGAGCCTGCTTAAGTGATTGACCGAGGCCCCGCTGCAAAACTTTGTAATTGTGCAAAGTACTGTAAAGTACAACCGAAGCTCTGGTATCGAGATATAAATATCAGCTGTTCTTACCAATTCTTGCTACTTCTGCCGTCTGATGCGTCTTGAAACTACAATTTGCCACCGAATGACTTATTTGCCATAAACGACCTAGCTTGTTTGCTCTCGATTTATCCTGGTACAGTACTGCTGAGCGCGGTGCTTCTGTTTGTCACTCTTATCGGCTTCTTTCACGGCCTCCTTTCCCAGAGCAGCGAATGACATCCGCCTCAGTCATGTCGCCTGGGGCTCCTCTGAAAGCTTTATCTAGAAGATTAAACAAGCGCCGTGCCACTTGGTGCCTCGTTCCACCTATAACCCGCACTCTACCAAGTTTCATTCCGCGACCCTATTCTACCTACTCGGCACAGCCTCCACCGGAACTATCCTCGGCCAAGGGAGCCCTCCTAGGAGCTCTATCCAGAAATTTAGACAAGCGCCGGGAGACTGGCCGCATACTCGAGATACCTGATCCAGTCGCGCAAGCAAATGCAGTCGATTTCGGCTCCAACGATGTTCTGTCCATCTCCACAGGCCTTCTCCGAGAGGAACTTTTTCGCGAGCTAGAAGACCACCCTGACTTCGCAGTTGGAAGCAGAGGGAGCCGAGTTTTGGACGGTAACAGTCGGTATGTGACGGGACTGGAAGCTCACTTGGCGCAGTCGCACAATGCAAAAGACGCCCTATTGTTCAACTCTGGCTATGAGGCCAATATTGCTATTTGGACAACCATCCCTCAGCCAGGGGACGTCATCGTCTATGACGAGCTCGTTCATGCTAGCATTCACGACGGCATAAAAGGCACACGGACTACGCAAGTATTTTCGTTCCAGCACAATAATCCAGCATCATTCGAGGAAGTATTAAGATCTATAAAGACTTGCCACCCAGAAATTGCCCAAGGCAGCAGAACGCTCTTCGTGGCGATGGAATCTGTATACAGCGTGGATGGCGATATTTGCCCCGTCCATCAATTCGTCAACTCGGCCAAGGAGATTTTACCTTTCGCAGATCGGGTATTTATGATTGATGAGTCTCATTCTTGTGGCATGATTGGACCTATGGGTTTAGGTCTCGTGTGCCATTATGGCTTGGAGAACGAATTCGCACTCCGTTTGCATACATTTGGCAAAGCGATAGGCTGCACCGGCGGTAAGAACAGGGGAAATCCCATGGGCATTTACGCGCCGCGAGATCATCGCCACTGACTAGTACGCGCAGCCGCCCTTTTCTGCGATCCGGTTATCAAACATACACTCTTCAACTATGCGCGGAACTTTATTTTCACAACAGGCCCTACCTTTATGGTGTTGGCGGCAGTCAAAGCCGCGCATAGGATCATTGGAGGCGCCGAAGGGGACCTAGTGAGTTGATCGCCATAAATAGACGCCGCGGCTACTTTACTTCCGGGACCGCATCTGATAACCCCTATTCAGCGCCGGGAACGGGTTCAAAAAAACATCTCTCACTTCTACGACTGCCTCCAGAGTCACCCTCAGTGGGAGACGTTCTACCAGACGGGTAGGCTGCGGATAGTCGAGGAAGACTGGCGATTGCATCGATTCAGAACGGCAGTTACGCCCCTGATCACTCAGCCCGGAGAAAGTCGTGCGCTGCAGGCTCAGTTGTTAAAAGACGGCTTTCTAGTCCACGCCCTCCAGTACCCAATCGTCCCCCTCGATTCAGAGAGACTCCGAATAATGTTGCACGCGGATAACACACCGCAGCAGGTCGAGAGCTTTGTTGAGGCTATCATGCGGTGGGCTCGCCAGAGGTATTACCCCCCTCGCAGTTGTAAGTTGTGTGATGCAGCATAGGTTTGGAACCAAGAGGAACAGTCAATGGGTCGTCCCTCTCACCCATATGTCATTGCACTCCTCTTTCTCAATGCCCATTTTCTCGACAATGGTGGTAGCCGACGGGTAGCTGAGGAAAGTTAGCGTCTAAAGCAGGAAGAGTAAGGATGCAAACCACTCAATCAACTCAACATTTTGCCTCAGCGGCATTGAGTTGACCAGTTCAACGAGAATCCTCCGTTGAGTTGATCAATTGGAGTTCAAATTGAGTGGCATGGACACTGGTTAGACAAGGACCCCCAGCACGGCTATTCCCAATCCAGAAGAGGCCTCTCCTGCACAGTTTCTTCTAAAGTTCCGGATATCCATCATCTCTCGCCTGGCTCTTCACCGTCGGTGGTTTCGTTGACAGGAAGAAGTATCACATCCAAGTCATCCATCACTCCAGCCCTGAGCCATGACCGCAAGTCTTTAGCACGAGGATTTTTGGCTGGCAAAACAGTAGCCGTCCGTGGCGTGGAAGGCTACGCTGCAAGAACAATGCTGCTACGGACTTGTGCTGTAGGAGTTTGGCAGGAGTTTAAAAGCGTTAACCACCTTTGGCTGTCAATTACGTGGGTATTTGTGAATGGTTAAGGTGAGATAATAAGGATGATTATAGACAGCTGGGGAATATTAAATACTAGAGCGGCAGGAAATTAAACGTTTTAATCATGGTCTTTATACTATCCCATTGGTACTTTCTCGCCCACATTCTCCGAATTTCCGAAACCCGATAAGCTGTTAATGGCAACCACAGCAATAAAGCGAAACGCTTCTAGTTGCCTAGGCTAAGGCAAGGCTTGCTTGGTCAGCACGGACCACCTTGCCAGAGCCAAACCCGCAATTTCAGTCTGACGCACCCGTTTCATGCCCTGACGAACAAGGCTCCAGGACAGCCTCATGCCATCGCCAGACCTCCTCGATTTGCACCCCCACAGGCTCAATTCTCTCCCTCCCTCTCACCTCGCTTTCTGGTCACTCTCCTTCGCGCCCGTCACTTCGTCGGCCCTGGATCACAGGCTCCAGGACTCGACTCGTCGCGGTGAGCCATGATGCTGCCCTCGGAGCAGGGGGCCCTGACAGGCGTCATCCTCACCACGTCGCTCGCCACCTTCATCACCGGCTTCCTCTTTGGCGTCTACACCTCGCGCGGCTACCTCATCTCCCCGGCCCTCTCCGACGAGCGCCTGCACAACCTGCGCGACCCTGTCGAGAGCGACGAGAGCGACATTGACGAGGACGAGTCGCTGCTCGACCACGCCCCTAACTGGGCCAACGGCGAGCAGGCGGACCGCAAGCAGGGCTTGCGCGTCGAGAGCAAAAAGGACAAGCCCCCGCCGCCGCCGACTCTCGGGGGCAACGAGGAGTGCAAGCTCGTCCTGGTGGTGAGGACAGACTTGGGCATGACCAAGGGTAAATGATTCATCACTTCCCCGCTCCTCTGTCTCCCTCCCCCCGTGACGTATGGAGTGCTGACACGATGGGAAACCATGTGAGCAACCACAGGCAAAATCGCCGCCCAGTGCTCCCACGCCACCCTTGCCTGCTTCAAGACGCTCGCCCGCGCCGCCCCCGACTCGCCCCTGGGCAAGATCCTCGCCCGTTGGGAACAGCGCGGCCAGGCCAAGATTGCCCTGCAGGTCAAGAGCCAGGACGAGATGCTCGACCTACGGCGCAAGGCCCGCGCCGCCGGCCTCGTCGCAGAGGTCATCCAGGATGCCGGCCGCACGCAGATTGATGCGGGCAGCATGACGGTCCTCGGCGTCGGCCCGGCGCCAAAGAGCGCCGTCGACAAGGTCACGGGGCACCTGAAGCTGCTGTAGGCGAGGTTCTTGGCTGTACGCTCCGCACGGGGGACGGATCACGGTATAGACGGGGGATCGGGCGCAAAGGGACAGCGAAAATCCAATGGCATTGCTTGATTTTTTGAGAGCTCCTACCGAGTCCTATCACGACATGTGTCCTTGGTCGAAACACATCACCAACTCGATATCTCGGGGTATTATATACACAGCCCGTGTGGTATCGACAAGCCTGCTTGTGCTCTAATCCTTCCTCGCAAACCGCGACAATGCCGGTCCCAGGTCCGCCTCGACCTCCTTGCGCTTCTTGTCCTTCCTTTGCTGCTGCTCCTTCCACAGCTCGTCCACCTGCAGCCTCTTCTCGTCGATGATGTTCTTCTTGCGCTGCTTTCTCAGGTATTTCTTGAGGGCGCCATTCTTACCCCTGGCCCGGTTCCGAATCTCTTCTGCGAGATTTTGGGCCGGCGCATCCAGGTCCTTGTCCGCCTTTCTCTGCGCGTCGGACCGCAGGTCTAGGTTTCCGATGAAATTGGGATCCAGGGCAATCATCTCGGGGCGCAACTTGTTCAGAAGACCCTTGACTTCCGTCTCTTGGCGCTGCTTGATGGTCTCAAACGGATTGGCCTCAAAAGCGTCAAAGTTGGCCTCGCCAGCTCCCGGCACGATGATGGATGAAAACCCCTGATCGTGGCCCACCCCGAGGATGTCTTCAAACGGGCACCACCGGACGCGCTCAATCCGCCTCCCCTCGCCTCCCCAAGCCATGTAGTGGCTCTTGACCCGCTCCTGTACGGGGGCGTTTTTGTTGAACAGCCCTTTCCAGATGGTGGTGTAGGTGCCCCATCCGACGGCAGTCAAGCCCGTGTCTGAGATGGCGACCGAAGATGCCGGCTGGCGCGTATGGTAACTGTTGACCTCTTTGAACATTCGTATGTCCCAGACGGCCATCTTCAGGTCTTGGCCGGTGGAAACCATGTAGCGTCCTTCGCGATCCATGGAGAGCGCTCTGACGGGACCGCGGTGCGCCAACAGCTTGACCAGTGGTTCTTGCGAGTTTGGCGACCAGAGGGTCACCGTGCCGTTCTGGTGCCCGACGTGAAGCACGGCGTTGTGGGGGTTCTGAGCCAAGGAGACGGGTTGACCGAGCCGCGTGGGCATTTCGGCGACGAGCTGGCCGGTCGAGGTGTCCATGTATTTCAGATTGCCGGCGGTGCCCTGGGCTTGTCAGGGGCCGAAGCACAGATGCAATGGATGGGGGACTCACAATGGTCGACAGCAGGAAATGGTAGGGAAGAAACTCCATGTGAGTGACCTCTGAGTGTTTCCTCAAGCAGTGCAGCTCCACGCCATTGTGGTCGTAGATGTAGACATGCTTCTTTTGCGCCACGGCAAAGTACTGATTGTTGTGCAGCCACCGGACGTCCCTCACCGTCTCCTTGAGCTGCAGCTCGCATCCCAGTTTGCCCTCCCGCCAGTCCATGGTGGCCACATGGCCCTTTCGCCCCGCGAGCAGCAGGTTCCGGCCGTTCCGGGTAAAGTCGCAGATGTACGGGCCAAGTTGGTCGAGCTTGAGGTCGAAGCGCTTCTGCGCAGTCTCGACGGCGACGTTGGCCGCGATTTCGTCCTGCCGAACCTTGTAGGTCCGCTCGAGTTCGCCTTCGGGCTCGAGAAAGCCTTCGGTGTTCTCGAGCAGGATCTCGGCGTCCTTTGCCTTGACGGCCGCATCCTGGTACTTGTGTTCCAGCCGCTTCAGGCTGCTTCTCAGCTTCTTGTCCTTGATCTGCCGGGTGTTGATCCCCTTGCCCCGACCATAGGCCTTGTTAGCCTCCTTCAGCCGCTGTTTCCGCGCCTTCTCGTGTCGGGGGACCAGGTCTAGGCGCGGCTTCTCCACGGCAATGGCGCCGTTATCGCGCACCTTGACCACCGGCTCGTCGATGGTGTCGACGTCCATAGCGGCGGTCGTCGATGCTCTTGGTTGGGTATGGAGGCGAACAAACAAGAGTACGGGGAGCGGTCGCAAAATTTCCAGCGCCCGCAGTGCCAGCGCGGTATCGCAGCGCAGCTATTGGCCATTGGCGCAGGCGGAGGTCTACCGGCGCCCCGCTGCTATCGATAAGAGGTCCCGCTGAAAAAATTGCTGAAAGCCACAACCCCGCGATCCATCCACCGCCTTTGCTGTGAGAGCGTCCGTCCATCTATCGATGCTGCATTGCCCAATCCGCACCGACCGAGCCGCTGAACGAAATCGCCGCCTCGTCTCTCACCCTGGCGTCTCTACCTTTCAGATTCAAGGCAGGCGGCGACGGCAAAATGCCGGCCGCGGTTGCGTCTCACTCGCACCGCCCCACCACTAAGGTGTCGCACAAGCCGTTCAAGTCCAAGGCAGCGTCCAAGCACGAGCTGCGAGATCGTGCCAAAGGTCTGTTTCGAACAGGCCAGCCCATTTTCTTGTCGGGCGCTGACTCAAAGCTGTTTCCTCGTAGGTCGAGTTCCCAATGAGGGCGGCCAGCGCAAGACGCCACACCAGCAGGTCATGTCCAAGTTCGACCGTCGCAACCAGGCCAAGCAGGCCCGCTTGTCCAAGCACAAGGAGCATCTCAAGGAGACTTCCATCTTTCATGGCCGAGACGGCGCCCCTCGCATCGTCAGCGTCATTCCTCTTTGCGCAGATGGCGACGCCAAGGCTGCTATTCGACAGCTGAACACCAGCCTCGACATCGATGCCGAAGTCCTGGACGGCAATGTCCGGGTTTCCGTCGACCGCTTCAAGCAAAAGCTGCAGTACATACCACTCAAGCGCGACCTCAGTGCATGCCTAGACGCCGCCCGGGTCGCCGACTTTGTCGTTATCATTTTGTCCGCCAGCGAGGAGGTGGATGCGCTGGGAGAGCTGATCCTTCGCAGCGTCGAAAGCCAGGGCATGTCAACCTTGTTCACTGTCGTACACGGTCTCGACAAAGTCGAGCCGGCCAAGCAGAGGCCAGGCGTCCTTGGCTCCTTGAAATCGTTCATTACGCACTTCCACCCGGAACAAGAAAAGGTGTACAGCCTTGACAACCGGCAAGAGTGCTCCAACCTGATGCGATCGCTATGCAGCACAACTCCCAAGGGCATACGATGGAGAGACGAGAGGAGTTGGATGTTGGCCGAGGACATCAAATTCGCCAACCAGGATTCTGATTCGACAATCATCACTGGAATCGTACGAGGACGTGGACTAAAATCTGATCGTCTCGTCCACATTGGCGACTGGGGAGCATATCAGATCGAGAAAATCGTAGCTGCCCCTCTTCCCAAGCACAAGAAAGGTGAGGACGCGACGGAAGACACAGATGAGAACAAGCTGCTCGAGGCATCGTCTGAAGACCTGGACGACTTGAACGAGCTTGCGCCGGAGGAAGCCATCATGCACATGGAGGATGATGGTGATGGTGCCATGTCGGCCGTTACTTCGACGAAAAAGGGCGTGCTCCTGGATGACCACCACTACTTTTCTGATGAGGAAAAGGAGGCGGCGGAGCGTAGCAGCGCAAAACGGCGGCTGCCCCGAGGCACCTCCAAATATCAGGCGGCCTGGTACCTCGAGGATGTCTCAGATTCGGGATCCGACGTCGAGGACATCGAAATGGGCGACGGCGATAAAGAGGAGGAGGACATTGGCGCCGAAGACGGTATCGAGGGCTATGCCCAGCCCGAGCCAACGGAAGCTGGCCCGTCGGAATACCCGCAGTCGGAGATGATGGAGGACCTGGACGAGGACGAGGACGCTCAACAGCTTGCCCAGTACCGCGCTCGGCGGCGAGACGAGGCCGAGGAGGACAAGGAGTTTCCTGACGAGATCGAGCTGCATCCTAACGTCTCAGCGCGGGAGAGATTGGCCCGATACAGGGGTCTGAAGAGCCTGCGGACCAGCACCTGGCAGGAGGACGAAGACCAGGCGCACGAGCCGGAGGAGTGGAGACGTCTGCTCCGGATTCCCGACTATCAGGCATCCCGGTCACGGTCGACGCGGGAGGCCCTGGTCGGAGGTGTGGAGCCGGGCACGCGGGTCCATGTGCATGTCAAGGGCGTTGCGGCCGGGATGGAAAAGTCTTGGGATCCGTCTCGTCCCGTCACTCTCTTCTCCCTTCTCCGACACGAGCACAAGAAGACGGCGGTCAACTACCTCATCAACCTGAGCAACGACCACACCAAGTCGATCAAGTCCAAGGAGGAGCTCATCGCTCAGTGCGGACCCCGGCGCATGGTCATCAGGCCCGTCTTTTCCCAGTCGGGCTCGACGCCAAATGACGTGCACAAGTACTGCCGCTACCTCCACCCGGGGCAGTCTGCGATTGCGACCTTTGTGGGCCCCGTCACCTGGGGATCGGTCCCCGTCATGTTCTTCAAGAGGGCCGTTGCGGGCGAAGGTGAGGAGCCGGCCGACGTTGGACTGTCGCTCATCGGGACGGGGACGGCGCTTCCGCCTTCAACGTCGAGGGTGGTTGCCAAGCGAGTGATCCTGACGGGACACCCGTATCACATCCACAAGAAAATCGTCACGGTGCGGTACATGTTCTTCAGTCGGGAGGACGTGGAATGGTTCAAGGCCCTGCCGCTATGGACGAGGAGGGGCAGGAGCGGCTACATCAAGGAGCCGCTGGGCACCCACGGCTACTTCAAGGCGACCTTTGACGGCCGTATCAATCCGCAGGATGCGGTGGGCGTGAGTCTGTACAAGAGGGTGTGGCCACGAGCGTCGTCGCCGCTTCAGGGGCGCTTGCTGGAAGTGGAGAGCGGGGGGCAACGGCCGGTTGAAGATGTCATGATGGAATGATTTACATGTTTGGAAGCAATTAAATGACAATGCAGAGGTGACGTGGGCTTCCTTTGCGTAAACGAAGTTGTTGACACGCCCCCCGATGCATGCTTTCTGCATTCAGGCGGCCGTGCCCAAGGCTTCCAAGCCATCCGTCGGCCGGGGACCGCCCTTGCTGAGTCTCTCTTCCTCGGCGCCGCTCGCCTTCCACGCGCTCAGGATCAAGTTGACAATGTGGTCGACGCCGACGTCCTTTTTGACCTGGGCAAAGACGGTGGGCCCGCCCTCGCGCATCTTGCGGGCATCCCTCTCCATGACGGCGAGGTCGGCGCCGATGATGGCGGCCAGGTCCGTCTTGTTGACGACGAGCAAGTCGCTCTGGGTGATGCCGGGCCCGCCCTTGCGGGGGATCTTGTCGCCGCCGCTGACGTCGATGACATAGACGATGAAGTCTGCGAGCTCGCGCGAGTAGTTGGCGGCCAGGTTGTCGCCGCCCGACTCGATGAGCAGCAGGTCCGGGGCGAAGGCGGCGTGCAGGTCCTCGAGGGCGGCCAGGTTGGCCGAGATGTCCTCGCGCACGGCGGCGTGCGGGCAGCCGCCCGTCTCGATGGCGCGGATGCGCGCGGGCGGCAGGGCGGCGTGGCGGGTGAGGAACTCTGCGTCCTCGCGCGTGAAGATGTCGTTTGTCACGGCGGCGAGCGAGTATTTCTGGCGCAGGGCGAGGCAGAGCGCCAGCATCAGGGCGGTCTTGCCGGAGCCGACGGGTCTGTATGCCCGCTCAGGGAGGGGGGCCATCAGCTGCGGTTCCGTTTCCCCTGTCCCTTTTCTCGCCATTCATTGCCCGAAGAAAAATGGCATCCTTCTTGTCCGCCGCTCCGCCAAGGTGACAAGTGAAGAGACAATGGGGGCCAGACATGTCACCTACCCTCCGATGCCAATGGTAAAGGCCCGCTCCGACCAGTTGCGCCCCTCAACAATGGGCATCTCCCGGCCGACGTAGCTCCCCGGCCCGTCGAGAATCTCGTGCGAGTGGCCGTGCTCCTGGGCGTTGAAGCCATCGTGGGAATGCGAGGGCGCTGCCATGGCTTTGCTTTGTCTGCCGAGCCAAGCGTGGCGACGACGAAGGTTGTGCTCAACGACAGATGATCAGCCAAGCGGGAACAAACACAAACTAGTAGGCACACATGCACTGGCGGGAAGCTGTCTGCGTCGGCCGCTGCCTGCTTGCCCGCCCGAGAGCTGCAGACGAGAGCTGCAGAGACGAGGCGCGGAGAAGCGGGGGAGGGGTTTTGGTCGCTGCCCCTCGTCTTTCCTCATCTGGACGATGGCATGTGGCAAGTGAGAAAGAGAGCGCCTGCTACTTCCACGCGGCACGGAAGAGGCTTGCTGCTGCTGCTGCTGCTGCTGCTGCTGCTGCTGCTGCGTTGGCCTCTCCACTTGAGCACTTCCTCTGCCGCCGTTTCGTGCCATTCAAGAACGGCGGAGACATGTTCACACGACAACCTCGGAAAAGGATACCCGTTCCCCCCCTTTGGTCTGCATGACACATACACTCCATATAAATAGGCCATCTGGACATGCCATGTGGGAGCATATCCTAGGACTCGTGGCAGCGGCTCCCGCAGGCCGCAAGCAAACCCAGAGCCCTATCATCACAAGGGGACAGGCAAGTCTGCAGGCGCGCCGCCGGACGAAGAGTGGGCGGGTCGAGGAGTGGATAGAGCCGAATCAACGGCGACAGCCTAAAGCGGATGTCGGTAGTTTTGGGCCCTGCGACGAGGCTGTGGTATATACTTGGACGGATATAAATCACGGTGTCATCTCAAGACTGTGTGGATGGACCCCTTTATCTCGGAGCGATGGCGCATAGCCATTGCAACTCGGCCATCGCTTCCAAAGACACGAAATCTTTGGCCTTCGGTCTCGGGGGACACGCAATCGTCGAGCGCTCCGCCACGGCGGCGGCGCCCTTGCGTTTCCCGGAGCGGCACTCGCCGATATCCACCGGCGGCGGCATTCCCCCACCGAGGCCGAGCAGCCCCATCCAGAGACGGGGGGGCGGGCACCACAGGGCAAGCCAAGGGTGATCGGATACGTGCCATTGCCTGAAGTCGGGCGCAGCGGGCAACAGCATCCCGTCTGTTTGCGCGCCTCGTAGTGTACAGTCCTGCCCACGGATCTAGGGTTACAGTTTTGCTCTTCCTGCTCCTCCTCTCGCCGCCCTCGCTATCCGTCGTCGCCGCGTGAAGAGCCGAGAACGAGGTGCTGGCTTGGCCTTCTCCTTGACCTCGGAGATGCCGGCGTGGTCTAGGGCCTCCACCTTTTGCCTCGCCATAAACTTGCCAAGGCGCATGAGCATGGGTTCGGTGAGCCGCGGCTCTTTCCCGTTGTCCCGGAGCTCGCGCTGCCGCTCGTGGTAGTCGGCCAGTGGCGTCTGCATCGACAAGGCCGGTTCTGCGCGCTCCTTTTTGGCGGCCTCTTGCGCCTCCTTCTTCTCGACGTACCAGGGTTCGTGTCGCGTTCGGAACTTGGAGTACTTGTTGCGGAGCTCGTCGATGACCTGCTCAGGCATGGGGGCCGACAGCAGGCCGTAGTAGAAGCTGCGCTCCTCGACCTGTTCGCGGACCGTGTCGGCGTCGGCGGCCTGGTATACGGGCGCCTTGACCTCGGGCCAGGGGATCACGACGTTGATGCCGGGCACCACTCGATCCCACTTGTTGCCGTTCTCCCAGCGGTCAAGCGTCATGTTCTCCGACTGCATGTTGGGGGCGACGGCTTTGAGCTGGTTGATGATGACGTCGCGGACTTGCTTTGTTTCCGGGTGTGGCAGAGGGTACACGAGTCGCACCGAGGCCACGGATATGGGCAGGGCATTGGATCGAATGGCGTCGCCGAGCACGCCCTCGGAGAGCGCCTAGAGCAACTGAATGTGAGCACCGGTCCGGCGAGACTGGGTGCAACGACTTACTCTGTGGCACTCCTTGAGCTTGACGGTTCCGTTGGTCGCGTCGACGCTGTCGATGCTGTCAACCTTGCCCTTGTCCGGGCCGTCCATGACGATGACGCGATCGCCAGGGGCAAGGTTGAGCTGCTTGGAGCCTCCGGCCCAGGCGCATCGCTTCTCGAGCACCGTGGGCTGCACCCGTTGCATGCCTCCTTGAGTCCAGTCGAGGCGCGTCGTCTCCTTGAGGACTCCGTAGTTGTTGAAGCCGAGGTCCCGCTTCGGAGCGAGGGGGCCCAACTCCCAGTCCTCGCGTCGCGCCCGCCGCGCATCTTTGATGTTCTTCCGAAGCTCGTCGGTTGCGGCCTTGACCGACTGGCGGATGCGCCGCCTGTCGTCGACGGCCTGCCGCTCCAGCATTTGCTGCGCGCGGCGGGTGGCCTGATGGTGGGCCTGGGCGGTCCGCTTGGCGAGCTTCTGCATTGTCGATGGCCGGCGTCCAGCCCGAGGCTGTCGTGTCGCGAGAATCAATCAGCCCCAGAGGCCCGTCCCGGAAGGACTCAATGGGAGTCGCTGGCGGCGTTGGGGGTGGTCGAGGGTGGTCGAGAGTGGCACGCAATGTGAGGAGGGATGTGCCAGGCTTTGGAAATTCTCTTGGGAGGTATCATGGTTCTTGGCTCTGACAGTACAACGCCAAGGTACATACACGTTTTGTGGGGCGGCGTAAGCGGTACAGGGTAGGCGACCCGTCCCCGCGTTTTTGTCGTGGAAAGGCTTTTTGCTTGTCTGCAAGATCAAAAGACATGCACTACCCGTGAATTCAACGATGCGAGTGGGCCAAGCAAGGCGACTTGGTATAACAAGAGCCGGGTTTCTTCTTGGCCACGAGCTGTTGGACGGGCCAAGGCACTCACATTGGGGCGCGGGCTTGGAGAGTCCTGCAGCTGGCTTGCGCAGCGCCTAGGACTTTGTCCTAGCTTATTATGTATGTATGCAGGACTAGTTATCGTGGAAACGATCAGGAGAGTGAAAGTGGCGGATGGCGGGCCCAATGCCACGACGGAGAGGCTCAGCGGCCGGTAGTACGAGATGCATGCGCCCCCCTAACGGGACTCCATTCTTTGGCCGACGTGTGTATTTTGACTCTTTCCCATCCCCCTCTAACCCGTGTGCTGCACAGTATGTGGGCTGGTGTGTGTGTGTCACGCTGCGAAAACGACTGTGCACTTGTCGTGCGGGCGGGCGTTTGCGAGTGGTCTCGGGGAGACGCGGGCGGGTTCCAGCTGGGACACGCCTCAAGGGTCCGGCGGCACGCAGGCGAAGGCGGGACGTAGAGCTCGACGGACAAGGTAGCAAGAGTGGCGATGATGATGACGACCTGATGGTAGTGATGCGATGGATGCCCACGACATCTCTGATCAGCCAAACACGGCTGGCCTTTTTATTGTTTTGACCACCGCGTCAGTCAGTTAGTTGGGCTGCCTCTTCCGGTGGGGGCGGAGTCTACTTGCTGGGTCTGGCGTTTCCCGGCAAGCCACCTCGGGCCCCTTCCTTCGGCTAGCCTGCTCTCCGTGTGACGCGATGCGGCAGTGGTCAGGTCATCTCTCTGTCTGCCTTCAGAGTGGCAACAGACCGGTAGATGCACTTGGATCAAGAAATCGAGAGCCGAGGGCGAATCATGACGACGAGGGCTGTTTCGGAGTGGACCCCAGCTAGTTATCTTGTGCAAGGCTTGTGTTGATGGATGATGGGGAACAGAGCCCGACATGATCAAAGACGGTCTCCCCGTTTCTTGAATTTGGTTGGTGCGTGGTACTCGCTGTGTACAGGTACTCGCTCGTCCAAGGGCCGTTGCCGCGACCAGTCCGCCCACAGCGACTGGCTGGCAACGGCTGTACACGGTACCTGAGCTGCACGTCCCCTAGCCGGTGGTGACAAGCCAGCCGCGAGCTTGTGAATAGACCACTGATCCTCGTCGCACATGCATGTTGACCGTACCGGCACAGTGTACACACACATCCAGTACACCCGTCCTCAGTGAACACTCACCATGGCCTTGGAAATGCGCTTTGGCTTTAGCTGGTTGCCTGCTCAATTCGCCTGCTCAATTCGCCAAGGCCCGCCGCCATGATGCTTGCTAGCATCGAGGTTACTAGTGACCTGGAAGGTAACTCGCCTCTCTCCACGCGCGCCAAGGTGCAGATGTACCAGCCTTATTCCAAGTCTGAAAAAAAAACAAGGGGGAACAAGCGACTTGGAGCCAGTTAGCCGACAAGTATCCTTGAGTTACAACCTGGCAGCGCAGAGACCTCATCACCTATCCATCGTAGCCTGCCGTCCCCTGTCTTCTGCCGAGCACTGGGGTCCGTCCCCGGGAGGAGTCAGGGTAGTAGATAGGTACAGTACCTTACACATAGCATCCACTGCTCCCCGGCGGCTAGCCCTCGTATCCAGCAGGGGCGTGAGCCACTCTCCAGTGGTCCCTTGGCCTACGTGCTCAGGAGCTTGCCCCCTACCACGGATATGATGGAGGCACTGTGTTGGGGGGAGAAAACCGGAATTGCAGGGACCAGTTGGCAGCCGGTAGGTACCTCTTGGACCTGTTATCGTTCATTTCCTACCTACCTACTACCTACCTAGTACCTACTTACCATCTAGGCCCTTGCCCCCGCCCCCCATCCAGGCGTGCAGGCCTCCCCCCAAGGCGCAATGCCCCCCCCAGCCCAGCCCGGTTCAGGTCCTCCCGTCCTGGTCCAGGTCCCCCAGCCAGCAGCGGCCAGAGAGGGAGAGCCAGCACACACGTCCTTTCTCCACCATCACTTTCTGACGTCCGTCCGTCTCCTTTCTTCTCTTCCTCCATCACCACCATCACCGCCGCCAGCCCGCTCTGCCCCCGTGCATCTGAAAACGGTTTCTTCCTCGTGCCGCGCCCTCTCCCCTCCCTCCTCCTGCGACTCGCATCAACCGCTCATCCAGACACTCACAAAGATACACGCACCACCATGGCTGAAATCCGCCGAAAGCTCGTCATCGTCGGCGACGGTGCCTGCGGTAAAACCTGCTTGCTGATGTGAGTAGCTCCCGTCTCCACGCCACTCGTGTCTCGCCCTCAAAACAGGCCACGCTCGCCTTGTGCGAGACGCCATCGCCATCTGCCTCTTCTTTCCTTTGAGGGATCCCGTCGCTGATGACTTCTGCAGTGTTTTCTCCAAGGGAACATTCCCCGAGGTAAGATTTGTCGAAACCGAGCCCTTGTCCGCATCTCCATCCGCCGCCGACCACCGATCCCCAACACCCGAATGAGCAAAGACGGCTCTTGAATATTTCGCGCAGACGTCGACCCATCTCGCTGGCAGTCTTCGACTCCTGTTGGACACCTCGTTTTGGTCTGAGTATGCTGACGCTTCGACGCTAGGTCTACGTCCCCACCGTCTTTGAGAACTACGTCGCCGACGTCGAGGTTGATGGCAAACACGTCGAGCTTGCCTTATGGGATACGGCTGGTCAAGAGGATTACGACCGCCTCCGCCCCCTTTCCTATCCCGACTCCCACGTTATTCTCATCTGCTTTGCCGTCGACTCGCCCGACTCTCTCGACAACGTCCAAGAGAAGGTAAGCGACCCCGGCCTGCTCTATCAAGCCCCCGCCTCGTGCTACCACTGCTGACGCGCCCGCCTCATAGTGGATCTCCGAGGTCCTTCATTTCTGCCAGGGCTTGCCCATCGTCCTGGTTGGCTGCAAGAAGGATCTGCGATACGACCAGAAGACTCTGGACGAGCTGCGGAAGACCAGCCAGAAGCCCGTGAGCCCCGAGGAGGTATGCACTACTCTTTTCTTTCCAGTCGAACATCCCTCCCCGTTCTTGGTCATTCTCCTTGTGTTTGACGGAGTCGAGATACAAGCTCTTGGGCCCAAGTCGGTCGCGTTTGTTTCCCTTTCAGCCCTACACGCCATGCTCAGGCCCGTGGGGTTTCGACAGCTAACATATTGTGCTTGCAATATAGGGCGAGGAGGTTCGCAAGAAGATCGGCGCGCACAAGTACCTCGAGTGCTCGGCCAAGACTAACGAGGGTGTTCGCGAGGTGTTCGAGAACGCCACACGCGCTGCTCTCCTGTCTCGCAACAGCCGCAAGAGCAGCCACCGCAAAAAGTGCCTTGTCCTGTAGAGGACTGTCCTCGGACGAGCTCGTCTGTACCGAACACGGCAACCTGACTTTTTCACCGGCTCGGACGCCCTTGTAACGCAATCACCTTTTCATATCGAACTCGATGCGGATGCTCGACTGGCAAGGGCTCGACGATGGCCACAATGTTGCGAGTTCACGGCGCCTGCACAGGTATTCGGAATTTAGAGTTTGATCGTCCCTGTCGCCCACGCCTCACCTCACCAGCCTGGCGCGTGCCCGTCTCGCCTGGCTGGGAGGACTGACGCGTGCTCGGGTGGAAAGTGGGAGGCCATTGCCTTTTTTACCTTGTCCATTCTCTAAGGGGATGGAGGATCGGGAAACAACGATGCCGAGTGCTCTCGAGCCTGCTACGGCAGGCTTGAGAAGGAGCCTGGCTCGGTTGTTCCATGTATCTGTCGTGTAGCCGGGAACGTGGGCTGAATCTCGGGCCTTTTTTTTTCAGTGTTGCGCAGACTGGGACCAATGGAGCGGAGCGGACTGACGAGGGGAAGGAAGAGTGTAGGCGTGGACTTGTTGTGCGCGCGGAGTGCCGGGTTTCGAGGCACGCCGACGATGGCTATATCATAAATCTTTTCATACTGTTTTCAGTTTCTGTGTCTGGCTTCCTCGAGCGCGTGTGGGCTTTCTACGTTTCCTTTTCTATTTCCTCTTGTCCGATCAGCCCTATTTCTTCTATATCGCTGTCTCTACACTCCACTGGTCTTGTTGCACTTGTATGGTAGTGAAGCAATTAGACGGTTGAGATGGAGCATCTCATGCGTAGAGCAGCATGTGCATGGCATGGCTCGGTAGATGCCGTCTTCACTCGCCACCTAGGATGTGTATTTGTCGAGTTGGGGGTTACATGTGGGACATTGGACATCTTGGCTTTGACACAAGGTGCTCAGCGGAGCTGGCGAAGGTCCTGTCAAGGCCATGGGTAGAGCATAGGGTAGAGCATAGGAGGGCCCGGGAGGCGAGAGACATGAGCCCCCTCGATCCATGAACTCTCTGGCTTGGCGTCGCCAGTCTTGCGACGGGACGGGAACTGTTGGGCGGCTGGCTACGTGAGCCATCATGGTTCACGTTGGACGGGCCAGGAAGAGGCGAGTGACAGAAGCAGAGGCTCAACGGCGGGTAGAAAGGTGGTTCCAATGCATTCAACGTCAACCGCCAGCCTTGCCTTGCCTTTCCCCTACCCCCTCCCTGCCTGTTGCCAAAATCCCATCCGGTGCCACGCATGCGTGTCCGTCCGAGCCGCCCAGCGTCTTCCCTGGGCCACCGGTGGTGGCCTTGGGACGTCGAGCCGGGGTTTCCACCCACTTGTTTTTCTTCTTCTTCATTTGCGTTGTTGTCTCTGCCGTGCTTGTCTCGCATCCGCGGCCCAGGTGTGAGAGTTTAAGCGGGAGGCGCAACGATGTCCGCGCGCGCGCGTGTGTGTGTGCATTGCGGCCTCTTATTTCGGGCACGTCTAATCGCAGCGTTGTCAGCGTCAGGGCGCGCGTGTATCTCGCCTTCCCCCATCCCATCCATCCGTGTGGAGGTTTGTTTTTCCCCGCCGTGTCGAGACGAATCTCTCTCTCTCTCTCTCTCTCTCTCTCTGGGGAAGACGGAGATGAAAGGGGAGACCAAAGATGGGGGGACATACGGCGCCGCACTTGTCGCACGTCTTGCTGCTGCCGGAGGTGGCGGCGTTGCACTTGGGGCAGGTGGTGTGGTTGGCGTTGACGAGGGGCTGCATCTTGCTTGTTTGGAGTGGTTGGACGAGTGGTGCTTTGGACGTGTGCGTGTGCGGTGGGCGGCGGTCGTTGAGATGGGGGGTGGGAGAGAGTGGACGGCGAGGAGGAGGGTGGGCGAGGAGGCTGGATATATATATATAGGTATGTAGGCGTATGTATGCATCGGCAGGCAGTCCCTGTGTACATCTGTCTATCCACCACTTGACCATGGCCTTTGCTCCTACACAAAACACACACACACACACACACACACACTTGAGACAGAGGCCATGTAATTAGTTGGCTGCCTACACAGAGAATGGGTGGCTTATCGTGCATACATGAGAGCGTGACTGGCTGCCTGTCTACCGGGAAAGCGGGGTCAAGCAGAGAGGGCCTAAAACAAGCGCCATAGGCGGCGCATCTTGGTACAGTTACAGTATATCCTCCGGTTCCTCTCTCCAGCGTTGAAAAAGCCGCAGCCCAACGCCCCTTGTTCTCCACGCCTGATCGTCTCAGCAAGGGCGTTACTGAGGGCCGCATCCTCCGTCTGGTTGGCGGCCCGAGAACCGAGCATGGTACCCAAGAGCGACAAGAAGCGAAGGGAAAGCGAAGTCCGGCAAGGCCATCTCGCGGATTGGTCACGGGCTTGGTGCGCGCCGCTGACCACCCACCACCACCCATATCGACCTTGCAGCCGCCTGACGTCGCCTGCAGCTGTGTCCTGCACCTTGCGCGGCCTCGTGATGCGGCCCTGTATGCGCCCCGGGCACGGCGCCACGGGCGGGCACGGCGATCCTGGCGTACAGCCGAGTCCAGTTCGGGGCGATGCTCTGCCTGCCGGTGATTGCTGCTCCCAGCGTCTCGACGCCGCAAGCTCCACCCACTCCCGTTGCCTCTGAACGATCTGTCTATTTTTCCAACTCCCGCTGAATTAGTATCCTTCCCGTGGCCGAGGCCTCTGGTTCACACCGCATGGCATCACACCAAATCGTACAGGCAATAGCAAAGAAGCCTCCTCACGTGCAAGCCGCCGGTCCATCGGATCCTAGAATCAACAACTCCTGTCAGTAACCGGCCGCCACGGCCAACCGAGGGAGCGACGGCGTACCGTGAATCATCTTGCCCACCGCCTGAATCACGCTGATGATCATGACGGCAATTCCAAACACGACTACCGCGTACGCAAGGTATGTCCGCCAGCTCGTTCTCGTCAACTTGATGTAGCACATGGGCGGCAGGATGTATGCCATGGCGACCGCGCTCGTTGCGCCCACAAGCTCGAACACGACGCCGAGATCGCACGTCAGGAGGCTTATGGCCGTGGCCCCGACCACGAGCCCCGTGCTCAGGACGAGGTGGCGCCGCATGTTGAAGCCTTCGTCCGGGTACCAGTACGTCAGCATCACCTCGCGGCACACAAACGCCTCGAGCGGCAGTGTCGTCAGCATGTTGAGGCCGAAAAACAGCCGCGCCACGTTGACCATGGTGTTGTCCGAGGGAAAGTTGTTGAGCACGTTGCCCAGCGTCTTGTCGCCAAACGTCAGGAACCCGCCCAGCGCCATGACCAAACACGCACACATGGACACGCTCGTCGAGTAGTGAGTCACCCGCGAAAAGTTGTCAATCGTGGGCGTCCGCAGGGAGCCGTAGATGAGCAGCGAATTGTGGTGGCAGACAAACGCTGGACGAGTTAGCTTGCCGTCGACACCGCGCAAGAGTGGAAAGGGGAGTGAGGGATGCCGTACCGAATGATATAACGCCAATGGCTTGAAAGATGCCTCCGTTGACCGTCAGCAGAGGAGTGCTAAAGGATCCTCGGGCCTCGGACGGCACCAGAAAGGCCTGCGTGAGCACCGTAGTGATGATGACAATCATGCCGATGAGCGCAAGCGTGCTCGCCTTGGCCAGCTAAACATACCCATCCTCGCATCAGCCGACAAGGCGTCCGGGTTCGCTCAACCAAAGCGACGGCAGACTGTGAGAGCTTCTCACCTTTGCGATGTCTCGGTAGAGCGTCAAGGGGTAGCTCACGCCCAGGACAAAGACGGCAATGGCCACCCTCCTGTCCGTCAACAGGCCCAGGACGGGCACCGAGCCGAGTTCGGGCCAGATGGCCGCCAGCACGTGCGGGATGGTGTCGCCCACAATGACTCCAAAGGCGACCATGCCGCCAAAGGCAAACACCCACTGCGCGACGCTGATGGCGATTAGGCCCGGCCGCCCGAAGCAGTGCTCGACGGTGCCCTGGAAGCTGCTCGTCCCGCTCAGCTTGCTGTTGATGACGATGAGGCAGATGGTCCAGTCCACCACGGCCGTTAGCCCAACGAGCAGCACGATGCCCGACAGCAGGCCGGCCTGGCGGATGGCGTAGGGCTGGCCGATGATGCCCGCGCCAATGATGGAGTTGGCCATGTTCATAAAGGCCGACTGGAGGCCCGACTTTGGCCGACGCATCTCGGCGTGCAGCTCGTCGGCCGCGTCGCCGTCGCCGTCTCCCCAAGCATTGGCGACGGCCACGCTGGGCGCCTCCATGTCCGTCAGCAGCGGCACGCGGTGCGACCGCTGGACCTGGCCGTCGACATCCTCGAGGTCGAGGCTATGGCTGTTGGTCCGACTGAAAGATGCATTGCCAGGACTAATGACCTCCGGGGTGAGGTCGAACTGCACTCGTTGCGTCTTTGGCCGGCCGTTTTCGTCGCCGTCAAGCTGGCCGGACGACTGCAACACCGCGTCGTCGTCGACGCCCGCCAGTAGACCGCGGCCTTCTTCGCGCCGATGCGACTCCGCCCCGAGCTCCTTGGCCTGCGTCATGATGAAGAGGATGTGCCGTCTCGCCAAAACATCTTCGCAGTGGCCGAGTGGTTGCGTTTGGTGCCGACGTGCAGAGACGAGCGACTCTTGGCTTGGCAAGGTGCAATCGTTGTCGAGTACGAGAAGGAACTCCCGCCGGTTCCGATTATCTATATGCGCATCGCCTCGTGTCGATTTCTGGTTGACTGGGTGCTCCTCTGATGGATTTTGCTTCTTTTGCTTGGCTGCTGAGAATGTCACGTTGCCGTCTGAAGTTCGTGAGCGAGGACTAGGTACGGCGGAATGCTTGGGCTGTTAGGCGTCATGTGATCAGCACTCAGCACGTTGCTAGCCTGCCGGTCATTGGTACAGTAGTGGCTGCGAGTACTAAGCGACCCCTATTTCGCGCGTCCACTGTTCCACAAGCTCAGGGGTCGTTAGAGCGATTAGGTAATCAAGCCTGCGCCCATCACCGTGGACCCCAGAATTTTTTGGAGTCCACGTTTCTAATCGAACCACCATCCAAGCACACACCCGCCTAACTGGGACACAACGTATGATAGTGTGGAGTAAACCAGAAGCACGCTTCTGTCCTTGGGGTGAATTGTAAGTCTATAGTCAAGTATGTACATACATGGGAACCCTCGTGCCTTGGGGCACGTCAGCCTCGTAAGTGCCGTCAGGGTCCCATCCAGAATCGACCGCGCTCTCGGCGTCGGCCGTGCAAAAGAAATGATGTGATTATCCACGGTGCCTTTTCCGGCTCCATCCCCAAAAGTACAACCTCCACATCCCGGCGGGAGATGTCCTGAGCGATCCCGCGCTGCACTGAGTCCCGCGTGTGCTGGCTGCAGCGTGGAACTTTGATACCCAGCTGGCGCCCTTAAGCGAACACGACGACGAGGGCTGCCATGAGCGTGGCCACGACCGCTTGCGACTTGACGCGCGAATGGTCGCCAATTGCCGCCGAATCCGACGTTTCCTTGGGTTTACCCTCGTCAACACCGGACGGCGTCTCCTGACCGCCCACGGCACCGGCTGGGTTGCCCGACGACTGGGGATTGTCGGCTTGGTGGGTGGCGGCGGAAGGCGTGGCTGTCGACGACGCGGTGCCCATGGTGGTCTTGATGGGCCCGGAGCCAGACGAGCTCGCCGACTTGGAGTCCGAGCTGGCGAGGTTGGCGAATCCTAGCAGTTTCGAAGTTAGCAGACGTCACAGCCAATGGGCGCCCTGGGTACTTACCAATGCGCTTCTCGTCCTTGTCAAAGACGCTGTACACGTTCATGAGGAACGTGTCGCCAATGAGCCAGGAGCCTTTGGCAACATCGTGGCCATACAAATTGCTTGTGCACTCGCCCGCCGCGTTCTTGGGCGAGATCCAGTCTTGGGGGTAGACTTTGTAATCGACTCCGGAAAAGGTGAAAGTCAGTGCCTTGTCCATGTCGCACGGCACAGTATAGATCTGCCCGTTGGGGCTCTTGGCGCCGGGAATGAGGCGATGAATCTTTTCAACCTTGTCCATGGGGCCAAAGATGAAAGAGGTGCCGGTGTCAATGTAGCTCATGATACCGCCAACCTCTGCCTTCTTGCCATCGAATGCAATGTCATCGATCTGGATGGCCCACTCGCCCTCCTCGGAGCTCAGAGGCGTGTAGGTGATGTCACCCGTGAACTTGGCAGGGTTGGTGGAGCCAAACTTGATCTCACCCTGGTTGAGGCCATCGGCCGCACGATTTAGAGTCACGCAGAAGATGTTTTTTTCGAGCTTGTGGGCTGCAGTCATCTTCTCGAGAAAGTTGTCGTTGGACCCGCGGCTCATGGACAGTCCGAGAATGCCGTCAAAGGGAAAACTCATGAAGTCGCTCGAGGTGGTGGAGGCGAGGCCAAACGAGTAGTCGAAGGTGACGCCAGCCACGGTCAAGGTGTCGGAAGCTAATTTTCCTTGGACAGCCCCAGAACCATAAGTGACAGAAAAGTCCTTGGATGTGGCGTGGAAAGTGTCAGAAGCAGCAAACTTGAAGGTGTCGTGCTGAGCGCAAGCCTTGTCCGTGCAGCCCGAGCCCATGACCCAGCTGGACCCTGCACCCGTGTCGAGGAGCATGTAGAGCGGCTGACGCTTGGAGCCGAGTTCAACCTTGATGAAGTAGGCGTAGTCGGTGCCGTCCTGGTCAATGCCGGCCGTCAGAGGCTGCTCGGAGGCGACGGCCTCTTGAACGCGGTACTGGTTCATCCTTTTAGTCACAGCGCCATTAGTGTTCATCTCGCTTGAACGAGGGCCACCGTATTTACGAGCAAGAAGGCCGGCATCCCGTTCAGCTCTTTCGGCGGGCGAGTTGAAACCCTGTACCGTCTCGCAAGTCAGCATGAGCAACGAGTGGTTGGGGAGATTCTGGGGAGAAAACTTACATGGCGGGCTCGCTGCTCGATTTCGAGGGTAACACCTCGAGCGGCGGCTGCACCGTTTCCGTAGTCGTTCCCGTCTCGCTGAAGAGCACGAGCATTCGCCTTTTCCTGGAGCCAAGCCGGCTGGAAGGGGTAGAAGGCGATGCAGAGCGCGAGGCAGCACGCCAGGTGCACGAAAACGATGGCGGGTCGCATGACGAGGTGAAGCAGATGTATGCCAGTCGTGCTTGAGATTTTGCAGGAGCTTGGATAGTCAAGAAGGTTGAAGTTGGAATGGAGGAAGAGTGCAGGTTGCGGGAGTGTTTGGTTGCAGAAACGCGAGGTGCACGGCGAAGTCGAGAAAGGCGAGTTGCCGGGCAGAGCTTAAGGCAACAAGAACTTGGATACCTGAGGCCGCATTGCCAGTCGGAACAGGGCAGGGCAAAACACGGAGAAGATTCAATGGCTTTGACTGAACAAGGGCGCGGCTGCTGAGCTGGCACAGGTTGCCCGGGAAGCAGGAAATTAAGGAAAGGATAAAAACGAGGCCGACGGAAAGAAAGCACGGCTTCCACGACGAAGGGCCAATACAATGTCTATTCAGAACTCGCTGAACGGGCAAAGGCGAGGGGGGGAAAGAAGGGACTGAAGCAACACACAAGAGAGAGAGAGAGGTGAAGAAAGGAAGAAGGCAGTGATGGGACAGGAGAGGAGTTTAGTCGATGACGGATTTACCAATAATAGACACACGCCGACGAAGTCGAACAAGCTACAGTACTAAGGTACCTACCTACCTACCTGCCTAGAGACCCTAGAGACAGCACCCCGGCAATGTACCCGGTACAGTCCCTGGTCTTTTTTTTTGATTATCTACAAGTGATCACCAAGCTTGAACGCCTCGTAAATGCAGTTTGTGGTAGTTTGGCCAGTACATACCTACCTACTGTACATCCCTCGGCTCAGACTCGGTACCTCGGGCGCTAGCCTTGCATGCACCCGCTCACTCACATGCAGCCGACATCCATCACGCAAGCAAAGCACTGTGCCTGCATAGTCCGTAGATGCATCGTTGTTGCTCGTCCCGTCGCCGTGCGCGGGTGGTGGCGAGACGGAGCCAAGGACGCAGCCAAGGACGCAGCCAAGGACGCGATTGAGTTTAACCTTGCGGAGGGCTCCCTGAGCCGCAGCGGGCCTCGGTGGAGGGGAGGGGCTCGGGGAATTTGGGTGGATGCCGTGGGGGGGCTTGGGGGGTTGGCGAGCGGGAGGTACATACTCGGTACGAGCCAGTGCTACAGTGCTTTAGCGGAGCCTTGCAACGCAACGTTGGTGTCAAACCCCTGGTGGCTTGCAGACGTTGTACGACGCGCATGCAAGCTGAGCAAAGAGTTCCATCATCTCTGACTGTACTGTACCAATGTACCTATCACCAGCAGGTGTCCCCGGCGCTCAGTACAGTACAGTACGCGGTACCAACGCAAGAGGTGCGTAATCGCTTCCTTGTATGTACTGTAGGTAAGGTACCTATGTAGATGGGTAGGTAGGTAGGTACCTAGGTAGTACCTAATAGAATCAGATATCCATCTGTACAGTAAGGTAGTAGATCTGCGTCTGGATCCACTTTGTCTTTTCGTCCCAAAAAGAAAGGCCCCTGCAGCCGGCTGAAACGCACCAACAATCAAGGTCTTCCTTTTTTGCTTTTCCGGAATCGACAAGAAGCAAAGTTGGCAGTTGATCGCGAATGCTGACAAGGAGAACCTCCTTGCAGCAGAGGCGGCCGTTGATTCGCTGCACTCGCTGCAGATGGGAACATCCTGATGCTGCCGAGGAACCCTTGCAAGGTACCCGCCTGCCTACGAGACGCGGGCTGTGCTCTGTACAGGACAGTGTTGCAATACCGGGACCTATCCGTAGTAAGTTATTGTACATACATGCTCCTTGCGCCATGCCGTCCCTCGCATCCCTTTTCACCTTTTCATGTGCCAGCCAGAGAGCATGGTTAAACCTCCTGCCGCGGCCTCTTCTGGACACTTTAAACGCCAAACGTTCAGTACGGTACATGCCTTGCTGCTACTGTACAAATAGCCGTGTCCCCGCAAAGCCCCGCCAGAGACCTTGGAGCACAGATTGACACAGTAGGTCGAGTCGGCATGCAGGTGTCATCCCACAGCCTCCGCGCTTAGCACAGGCCCTTGTTTGCTCGCCCGTTGATGAGGCTGCGGTGCAAACTGCGGGAGCGTCGGGGCAGGCTTCGTCTAGGCTGGTGTCCGATAGATGGTGTCCAAGCTCAACGTCGCCATGGTCGACCAATACTAGACTATTTCTTAAACCCCACCGCTATTAAACGTTGCTGTCTCTCGTGTGTAACACTTGTAAAGCTGCGCACAGAATACAGTACAGCACATAGGCCGCCGATCATCTCCAAGACCCTGTGGAGACTGGAGAGGAAGCTTTCGTGGCTGCCGTATTTGATACCTGCTCACAATCGACGACACCACAGTTCAACATACTGTCGGACCATCATCTACAAAAGATAACTCGTAGTGCATACCTACCGGCTACGGTTCAACGGCTTCACCGTTCCGCACGTGCAAAGAGCCTGGACGCTTGTCAAGGCGCCAATTTCTCCGCCTGAGATCAGCAAAAATCATCATCATTAGGTGCTCGCTCGTTCCCCTGCACCCTCCCAGCATCTCGTCATCTCAACACTATCGGAAAGGCTATAACCCCGGCATGCAGCCTTCATGTATTGGCCGGACCATTCACTCGGCCGTCCAACAGCCGTTACAGATCCTTTTGTCCTCGAGGTCCCCCCGTTCCGTCTCGCCCTCGGCAAAGTTTATTCCATTCCAGGCGTGGCTTGCTCGGCGCAAGGAGAGCCGCCCGCTGACTGCAAGCGACAAAGGGGCCGGGCGCCAAGGGAGGAACGGAGTACATGACCGACCTTGTCTCGGACCCTCCCGCGAGGCGCTTGGTCGGTCATTCGTGGCTTGTATTGTCGTCTTTGTTTCCAAATCGGCTTCTTGAGATCTGCAGGGCTTGCCATTCCTGATGCACAACCACAGCTGCCATAGTCTCAATTTCGTCTCAAGGTTCCTTCCATCGTTGTGCCTGCGATAGGCTGGGACCAGTGAGCTGATACATCACAACTCCGGGACCTCTCGCCCGCGCGACTGGCCTCGCAGACTGATATCATCATGGCTCCTTCGATGTCCAGGTTTCTTGTATGGCAACCCGACTGTTGCGGAAACAGGGCATGGCAGGCGTGGCATCGACGCTGGCGAGCCAACTCCGAGCTTGTCCAACATGGTTCTCATCTTCAGCCGTTCCTTTCGAGATTGGGGGCTACCTGACCGACATTGTCGCCATCTGGCTTGGCGACTTCTTCGCAGAGTACGTCTGCATCCAGCTCGACACGCCGTCTAAGACTCTTCTCTCCTGGCTGTCTTCCTGCGTGTCTTTTCGAACTGCCTGCCAGGCAGAGTAAAACTGCTCCTCTTGCGGCCCTGCCACACGTGCGGCCAGCATCATGCTGCGAAGAAAGCACCAGACCGACTCGTTCCGCCACCGAAACGACTCGGTCAGCTGCATCGTCTCGCTGAGCACCGAAGCAACCCCAGCGGGACACCACTCGAGCAGGAAAAGGAGGAACATCCACCCAGAGATGTCGTTGTGATGGCCAAAACACCACCTCTTGGTGTCTCCCAAGATCGTAGAGACTGCAGCGTCTGTTCGTGTCTTGTCGTCCGACTCGAGCAGTCCGATCAGGAGTCGGGCGTGACACCATGCGTAGTAGTTACGCGGGTGCCTCTCCGCTGAGACGAAGACGACGGTCCTCAGATCTCCTGCCGCGTCTATGGCGAGCCCAGCCTCCCGATATCGCTCCATCAGCCACCGTCTGTGACTCCACAGGTTGGGTGACTTGGTATGCCGGTGTAGACGGCTCGTGAGTAGGCTGTCAATGAACATCTTCTCCCGCATCAGCAGCGCTGCAGAGTCCTCCGAGCGTGACAGCGCTTCTTCCAGTATCCTCTTCCGTGTGTTGGCGGCGGTGAGGTGCTCCGGGTCAAAGAGGAGTATCACTGCCGTAGCCTTACGGATGGTTTGATCAGACAACACAGGACCCTTAGCCTTGCATGTCTTGAATGTGCGCCGAGCATGTACGAAGGCTTGCACGAGCCACAGCTTGGGAATGGCAACAGCGTTTCCATCTTGCAAGAAATATGTGCCAGGACTGAGGCTGTGGCTGTATCCTAGCAACTCAATCTCGAGTAACGACCCGGACGTCTCAGAAAGGAGGACTGTGGCGATTTGATCGAAAGCCTCTTCATGGTCCCCGTCATTGAGTGCATCTCTGGTGCTCTTGTCAAGCGCCCGGGACATGATTAGAGAGGGCGAGGGAATGCGGTGGAGAGAGCCTCTAGAGGTTGGGGACAAGTCCAGGGTAGGGTAGAGGAGCTCCGCATTGCTCGGAGGATTATGTCATACAGCCAACCACACTTGAGCTACTCTGCTCAGACACATGGCAAGCTTGAGCACCAACCAACCCAGGGCAGCGCGATACGACCACACGATGCTGCAGAGATAGCCTGCCATCTCGCCTCCGCCCTTGAACTTCTGCCCAGCGCGCCGACAGCCATGTCGAACCTTTTATTTGTCATCTTTGCCGTCGAGCTCGTGGCGCACATCATCAACGCCCTTGGCGCAGCTCGGATCAATAACTTGGTATTGATTGTCACTGTGCCCCGAGAAGCACCCAACCTTGACTGACGTCTGCCTCAGCTTTGGATACTGATCAACTATCTGCCGATTTCGACGTCGAAAGCTGCCGCTCAGCAGCGCACGCTCCAGGCCGAGTATCTACGGGCCCGGCGGGATCTCAACGCGACGAGCAGCCAGGACGAGTTTGCAAAATGGGCCAAGCTGCGACGGCAGCACGACAAGCTGCTTGAACAGCTCGATGCAGCGAGTACGTCTGTCCAGCGGCATGCGATGGGGGAGGGTTGAGCTGACGGTACGCGCTTGTGCAGAGAAAGGACTGGAAGCCTCCAAGTCCAAGTTCGACAACTCCCTCACCGTCGTCCGACTGCTGTTGACCAAGGGGCCGCAATACTTTCTCCCGTTCTGGTACGGCAAAGAGGCCATGTTCTGGCTGCCCTACGGCTGGTTCCCGTACTACGCCGAGTGGATTATATCCTTCCCCAGTGCTCCGATGGGGAGCGTGAGCGCTCCGTCGTGGCAACTGGCATGCTCGGGATTCATTACCCTCGTGTCCGAGCTCATCGTCTTTGTTGGAGGTGTGGTCTTTCGAGGGGCGGAGACGGACGAGACAAAAGGAAAGCCACAAAGTGCTGGCTCGAAGATGGCGGTGCCCGCAGCACAGACGACGACGGAGGGCGACAAGGAAAAGAAGGAATTATAGATGATGATGATGGTCGGCAAGGGGCATGGCGTGACATGCTCGGCTACTTTGGTCCTACGGGGAAAGAAGATGGGGGTTGGGACAAGTGTATCTCGTTGAAATTGACGCAAAGTTCCTCATTGCGAATGCTGAGACTTTGTAACACGACGGAGAAGCACTCTTGGCAGAGTGACTGGGGTTGATATAGGCATCTTATTGACTCTGGCGACCATGGGAGAAAAGGATCGCCAAAGCTTCGAAAGCGCCAATGGGTGGGTTGGTGAGTCACGGGAGAGAGGGACGAGGGACTTGAAGAGAGGATGTGAGCATTGGTGGCTGCCATGATGCTATCAAGATAGAATGGCGGTCCGCAGTACCCGGCAAAACGAAGAGACGAGCGGTTTTAGCCAGGAGGAGCAACAAGATTTTCTCCTGGCGAGGAATACCATGTTCAGTGGGTGGTGGAAGGAAAAGAGAAAAAGGGGAGGGTGAGGTGGTGAGGAAAAAATTGACTTGGTGGGGGGATGGGGGCCACTTGTAATGAGCTGCAGACGGCGCCTCCGTTCTCTGATTGGCCCTAAAGCCTGATGATGACTATAGATCACGTGATGTGGTCGCGACCTTTATCCACGAAAAGCTACGAACGCCGTTTGAGAGTTGCAAAGCCGATGATCCAACCACCATATCAGATCAAACTCTTGCAATCATGAATTCATTAAGCAATCATCGCAGGAGTGGCCCTAAACACCATCTTCTTGCTTAGCGCGACCAGAATCTCCTCCGTCTTGGCGATCTCTTGCACCGATAGCCTCAAACTATCTCATCTATGCCTGCGCGCCCTCGCTGTCTGATTGCAAGAATGGATGGGGGATTCCAAGGCTGGCGTCCACGGCAAGTCAACCAATCCTGTGAGGTGCGGCTCGGGTAGGGTAGGCATGTTCAAGCGAGGAGATGGGGATAGGCAGACGGTTGCGGCCGACAGGACAGACACACGAAAAGTGAGGCAATCGCCGGTTTTGTTGCGAAATTGACAAAGCACGTGCCTCTTACTACAGAAACAGGAAGCTGCCCGTCGGGGTATGGCAGGGGATGGCGTTGAAGCTCATTGGGTGCCAAGTCCCCGCTGCTTCCTCGGGTTCCATGGACGATGATGGATGTCGTCAAAGAGTGACGACTCTCTGGACTTTTCCCTCCTAATGCTCTAGGTCTTCGGCACTTTGCTTGCTTTTCCCAGATCATTACCTAACCGCTTCCACCCCGCAAAACCGGGTCTTGCCACTTGCCATTTCTGGTTAGAACGGCCTGGTGCCTTGCCTTGCCTGCCGGACCCGCCCTTGCGGCAGGCCATTTGTACTTTGTAGATGAACCTCGTCACTGTCCTTTTCCTTCGCCTCCCTCTCTCCCGTACTCTGGCGCTTTCTCTTCCAGCTTCATCGCCCGAGCCAGTCTATTCCCTCCTCCTCTCCGAGGGGAGGTCCATTCTCCAGACGACTCGACGCCAACATGGCCATCCCCTGGGACTCGTGAGCATCCACCCCGGGGTCCTCAACCGCCTGACTGACACCTCGGCGCAGCATCCGCTCTCTCCTCCTCTTCCTCGGCCCCTTCATCCTCCCCAAGGCCATCGCCTACTACCGCTCTGTCCGCTCTGCCTCGCGCCTCAGCGGCCTCGCCGTCCAGCCCGTGCCCCGCCGCGTCCGCCTCGCCCTCGCCCTGCTCTTCCTGCTCACCCTCGTCTGCCTAGCCAAGACACTGCCCGCCCTCGCCCCCGAAAACATCTTTGTCCGCACCCAAAGCCGCCTGCAGATCCCCGTAGACGTCCTCTTCAACCGCCTCGCCGCACTCCGCCCCGGACACGCCCTCCTCCCCCGCGACGAGGCCCTTCGCGCAAAGTTTGTCAACCTCGAGAGCCGGCTTCTGTACCTGCAGTTTGGCCCCGCCGTCCTGGCAGACTGCCCCTTTTGCAACGCCGAGGAGCCGAGGAGCTACTTCTACTATGCCCTCCCCGATGCCCTGTGGCCTCACCTGGCCAACCTCGTCGCCGTCGCCATCGTCACCAGTCCCTCCTGGACCGACCGCCACGGCTCGCAGTGGCGTACCATCTCCGTCATCGCCGGCGGCCTCCTCGCCGGCCTCGAGATCTACCTCATCAACTCGTACAACTACCAGGCCAACGCGCGCGCGCTGCGCCTCCACGATGTCGACTTCTTCTTCTGGTCCCTGCGCACCTACCGCTTCGTCGCCCTCGCCGCCCTTGACGCCCTGCTCGGCTGGGTCCTCTACCTCTCCTCCACCAACCGCGCCTTTGCGCAGCTACCCTCGCCCGCCGACCGCGTCGACGACGCCACGCGCGGCCTCTTGACCGTCAAGAGCAAGATGAGCGCCATGGGCATCGTCAAGAACACTGCCCTGCGCGACGAGGAGCTGCGGTCGCGCTGCCAGGCCTACTGGTCTCACGAGGTGCGCCTGATGCGCGAGGTCATGGAGGAGCGGGAGGTGGTCGAGGGGATCAACGACGCGCTGAGCAATCGCATCGACATGCAGACTATCCTAAGGGATGCCGAGACCTACTCGCAGAGCGTCCTGCAGCCGCTCCAGGAGCAGGCCGCAGCCGACGGCGCGTAGAGGGCCCTCGCATGTGTGCACGCTATAGCTGCAGAAATACCAACCATCACAGCCTGGCCTTTCAGTGACTGGTTCGCGACCCCTTGGAACAATGTCCACGCCATCTCTTTCACTCGGAAACCTCACGTCTTCTACCGCCATTTCGCGTAAAGGGCCTCCATCCCTCGACACCCTCCAGTGTACTCGTGACCTTCCCGCCAGCCCGCCCACGCCTTCTCCTTCTATGTGTGTATAAGACCACGACCGAGACTCCGTCCCTGCCTCGCACGTCTTGAGGCCTTGACCGGCCTCTTTGCCACTCACGGGCCGCCCATCTCGGACCGTCCCGTCGCCGTGCTGCCGACGCTGTCATGTCTCGACGACGGGGGCGCCGAGGCCTCGCCGGCGCCTTCCTTGGCGCTGCGCTCGAGGAAGCTGGCCCACAGCTCTGCGAGCGACTCCTTGTCCTTGGCCGACGTGGGCTCGGAGAAGACGTCGGCGTTGAGCGACGGCGAGCTCGGGGTGCGGTGAAAGGGCGAGAGCGGGAGGCGCAGGCTGCCGCTCGAGGCGCCGGGCCGCGCGAGCCCGGCCAGCTCCCGCTGCTCGTCGGTCCAGTTGAGGTAGCCGGCCATGACCTGAAGGACCTGGAACCGCTTGGCGTCGCCCCGGTCCAGCGTCAGGAAGTGCAGCAGATGGTTCGTGACGACTTGTCTATGTGTGTGTGTGGCCTGGTCAGCATGGGGTCTTGCCCTTGTGAGCCTGCGCGCGAGTAGCGGGTAGCTCGCCTACCTGTCAACGTTGTCTTCCGGCTTCGTCTTTTTGAGGTAGCGCAGTGCCTTGGTCAGGTGGTCGTTGAGCACAATGGCCTCGTGCCTGAGCTTGCCAATCAGCAGGTTCTTCTCCTTGACCTCCTTTTCAAACGGCGCCGTGCGCTCCAGTTCCCTGGCCAGCTCCTCCTTGGCCTCGTTTGCCTCGGCACTGCGCTCCTCGGCGTCTTGCACCCGCTGCTTCTGGTCCCGCAGCTGCCTCTCCGTCGTCTCGACCATCTCCCGCAGCTCCCGCTTGCGGGCCTCTTGAATCTCGCGCAGGGCGTTTTGCAGGTTTTCGGCGAGCGTCGTCCGGCTGTCGCGCTCCGCGGCTGCGCCCTCGTAGCCCTGCTTCAACGTCGACACTTGCTCCTCGAGCTCGGCGACCTTGTCCAGTAGGCTCTCCTTGACGGAGCGCTCCTCCATGGCGAGGACCTCCCACTCGCCCATGGCGTTGGATGTCGTCTCCATCTCCTCCTTGAGGTTGTAGACGGTCCTCGTCAGCTCTTCCTTTTCCTTGAGCCAGTTATGCGCCGACAGATTGTTGCGGCTGCGCAGCGTATTTAGCTCTCGCGTCGCATCTTGCAGGTCTTCCTTGAGCTTCTCCACGTCCTCGCCCGACGACTGTGCCGAGCCCTGCAGTTCCTCGTTCTGTGCTTCCAGCTCCTCTATGCGCTCCCGCGCCTCTTCCAGCTCTGCCTTGTCGCGTTTCAGCCTGTCGCTCAAGGACTCTTTGATCTTTTCGACCCGGCCCAGTATATTTTGGTACTGCTCTTCGGCGTGTTCCCGGGCATTGTTGCTCTCCTCGAGATCGGCCCTTAGCTGTGAGACCTCTTGTTGGTGCGTCTCTTGGATGCTTTCGAGCTGCTTTCGGAGCTGCTCGACCTCGGCCCGCAGGGCCTCGCGCTCCTTGCCCATGGCATCCAGCTTGGCCGTCGGGTCTGACTCGTCTGTTGATTCGGCCGCGGGGTGAGGCGCCGCGTGGCTGTCGTTGGACGGGTCCGGCTCTACCGCATGGCCGTTACCCGGGCTTTGGAAGGATTTGGCGTCGACGGATGCGTCCTGCGAGAGATGCAGTCAGCGACAGTGCAGGGCGGCGTCGTGCATCGGAGCACTCACAGCCTCGGTGGGCGGCTCGGAGTCGTCTGCCTCTTCGCCGTGACGGTGCGCTTCGCCGTTGCCCGCCGGCTCGGGTTCCTTGCTCTTGCTGGCAGACTTCTTTTTCTTGTTGACCTTCTTCTTGGCTGCTGCAAGTCCAGCGGCATCAGAACACGGCATTCCGCTCCAATTGGAGCAAGGAACCACCTACCAGGATGCGGTGCCTTGGTTGCGGGCGCCGAGGACATGATGGGTCCAGCGAGGCTGCAGCGGGAGCCCGTCACGCTTCCTGCCGTGGCGCCAAGCTGGCGATGTCGAAGCCTCTGGCCCTCGGTGCTCTGATCTGGGCTTGTCCAGATGGTGAGGCAGGGCGGGAGTTACAGGACAAAGGTCAAATCTGGTCTGTCGAAGTCCAGTGGAACGTGGAGCCTCCTTGGCGAGTACATCTACAGTGTCTCAGCGCCGCGGCAGCACCAGCCTTGGCGCGAGTAGACAGAAAGTACCGAATACTCCTTGTTCGGCAGCTGGGCGGCCACAAATGTCTTGATCGTACATGTTCGGCATACAATCAGCAATGACCGAATTACACGTCGTACTTCCCAATCCTTGTAGTTCTGGCCCTGTATCGAAAGTTCGTCTTGTTACATTTTAATGAGTGTTGCAGACCAATCACCAACCGCCTCAGTAGGTATCCGTAGTCCTGACGAGGGCCTCCACGATACATGGATGTAATCCGTACCTCGTACCGGCCCCGGCAGGAACTTCGTATCCGGCTTGTGCCTGGTGTGCATCTGCCGTGGCTGTGGATTAGTCAGGCCGATGGAATCTGCACGATATATTCGCCGCAAGCCTTGCCTCAAACTCAAATTTTCTCCTTTTTTCAACATCTTCGCACTCGTAACCGATGAACAAGATCACGTCCCCCGTGGCTTCTTCACAGCACTGCGCGAAGTAGATCATGTCGCCTTTTATAATCCCAATGCTTGCTCCACCATGTGTGCTCCATGAGTGCTTTGGGTTCGCTTATGTGCGCACATCACTAGCATCGCGCAAATCCTTTCTTGCCAGTTCTTAGTCGGTCGTTCACGACCATTAGATAAGCGTCAAAATAACACCAACAATTGTATTATGAACTCTATTACGCCTTTGCTTTCCGTGCTTTCCCAGGCTTGGTTCCCTTCTTGTGCGCCTGGGTCTTGGGCGCATGTGAAGTCTTCGCCTCTGCCTCCGGTGCCTCCTCTTCCACGTCCTGCGCCGGAGCGCCCTTCGCCTCGTCGCCGTCGCCGTCGCCGTCGCCCGCGGGTGCGGCCTTCGTCTCCGCGTCCTCGGCTGGCACGGCGGCGGGCACGTCCTTCAAGTCTGGGGCCTCAAACTCGTAGCCGATGGCCTTGAGCTTGTCAGCCCTCTGAGCTCGGTTGGCACGCTCCTTTTCGACTTTTGCCTCCCATGCAGAGTGGGTCCTCGGCTTTACCAGCTTCTGGCCGGCCATCTTGTTCCACGGCACCTTCTTGAACCTCCGGTTGGCGCCCTTGAACAGCTCCTCGTGAACCTGGCTCTTGGGAACCATCTTGACCTTGAGAATGTGCCCAAAAAGCAAGTAGTTGTCCATGGTCTTGGTGACGATCTCGGCGGTGCTTTCGTTCTGGAACTCGACAAAGGCAAAGTGTTTGCTGGCGCCCGTCTTTCTGTTTCGTGAGAGGCGCACCCGGCTGACGGGGCCAAACTGTGACAGGTATTGCCTCATTTCGTGTTCGTAGAAACCGTGGGGAATGCGGCCAATGTAGATGACGCCGCGCTCGCCCGTTGATGGCCTGGCTGCCTTCAAGACATCTTCGGAGATGGCCGGTATTTCTCCAACGTCTTGCCCAGGCTTGAACAGAGCAGTTTCGCTGGCGGCCTCTTCCTCGCCCGAGTCCAGCTCGTCAGCCAGGAGCAGTACTCCGTCATCCTCCTGCCCCTCCGAGTCTGGAGCGGTTTCGGCGGATACACCCTCGGCCCCTTTCTCTTCTGCCACAGCCGTCTTGGTGAGCTTCTTCGTCTTGTCTGCCTTGAATAGCTTCCCCTCCTTGTCTGCCTTGGATGGCTTCCCCTCCTTGTCTGCCTTGGAAGGCTTCTCCGCCTTGTCTGCATTGGCGGGCTTCTCTGCCTTGGGCGGCGTCTCTGCCTTGTCTACCTTGTCTGCCTTGGATAGCTTGTCCGCTGCCTTGCCCCGAGTCGAGGTCGGCTTCGTCGCCTTTTGCTTTTTCGAAGACATGGGCGAAGCATCGTCGGCAGCTGTACATGACACATGTTAGCAACTTGCAATCAGAATGACACCACGCCAGGAAAATCTTGCCTTTTCGCTTCACCTTGGACGCCTTTTCCGGGGCCTTGGTCGTTGGCCCCTGGCTCTTCTGTGAGCCAGAGGCGACTATGAGATAGATATTAGCCATAGTCTGCGAAAACAAGAGGTGATTGCTTACCTTTTCTTTTCCTGAGTTCTGGAGCCATTTTGTTGATGAGGGCGGACGTGGTGGTCCTGACCAAGGTCCAGACGCTGCGAGACGAAGAAAAATTTGGGATTCTGCCTTTCTCGCAGGCGGTGAAATCCATTATCAGCTTATCAGTGCCTCTGGGGTGGGGTCCGCAGCGCCGGCGGCAGCTTCCCTAATAGCCCGCCTACCTAATTCAATTCCGGGGAGTAGAATGATGGATCACGCTGTCTAGGACTTGTTGCAAGGCATCGTCTGCCATCATTTCATCTCGCACATCTGGCGGCAGCCGACGGCTGAAGAACAAGCCTGCCGCTTCGCGAGGACCACGCCTCACTTCCTCTCTTCTACGGTGGGCGGTAAGCTTCTTGGCCCAAGCAGGTCGGACGGAGCGCCAAGCAGCTCAAAGTCAAGGCGAACTCTTCCCCGTGGATTTTTAAACATTCGCGCCCTCTCAACAGTATTCCAAAATGGCGCAAAGACAAGGCCATCTGGACGAGAAGGCGGTATGGGACGACTCGGCCCTGGTAGACTCCTGGAACGAAGCTTTGAAAGAGTACAAGGTACCACAGATTCACCTTGGATGATCGATTCAAACCCGTCACGCATCTTAGCAGTTGCTAATTTTGAACCAGAAATACCATAGCATACAGGCAAAGGGGGGGAGCATCGAGGACCTCGAGGACGAGAATCCGACAACGTGAGCCCACCCCACGGTGCCCTGGTAAAGACCCGCTAAGCATTGGCAAATGTGTATAGGGCTGCATCCTTGGCAGGAGGACAAGATGGCTGGGCTAACGGTGAGGCAAATGTCTCGGGCATCAGACTTGAGGCGGCCACAGGAGAAAGGGACCTCATGTCTGCTGGGCATGAACATATGCACAATGTGAGCCGCAAAACGGGGGCCAGTCAATCATGGGCGATCGCGTTCTCGCATCCACCATGTTGGCGGGAAAATCTCTAATCGACGACAGGCTTCATCGACCGGAGCAGGCGATCTGCCACCTGATGCAGACAATGCGGCTGGACAAGCCTCGGCGAAATTCCAAGTCCCGGCAGCGTTTCCACCTCAAGCTATTTTGGGATCAGGTGAGTAATTTGCATGTGCGATAGTCGAAGTTGCTCATGATTGCGACTGACACGTTGGCCAGTACAAGACGAAAACCTCAAGAGGCTTCTCATTGCGTGGTATTATGCAGGATACTACACGGGACTCATCGAAGGGAATCAGCAAGCACAGTAGCCGCCGCGATAATCGGGCAGGGATTTGTGGCCAACACGACCAGCGCCCATGTCTGATTCCACTTTGTGCTGCAGTAATAATTTGCGACGCATCTTGTTCCGTCCGCTTGGTGGTGGAACGTTGTCGATGCCGCTCCCCAGGTCGCCCATGAATCGGGACGAGTGGGAAGCCAAGCCGAACCAGATAAAGAAGGTTCGACATGCCATCATGACATGCAACCTCGAAACAACTCGCCAGGAATGGATTATGCCTACCGTGGTTAATGCACGGCAAAGCCGGCCAATGTTGGACCCGATTCGGGCAGTCCACTCGAAAACCGGGAAGAGTGATGTCGTTGCGTGAGCTGCGTCAGCCCCGGTGAGTTTGCTGCCGTGTCCAGAAGATGAGCCCATGTTGCCTCGTAACAACGTCAGGTGCTTACAACGGCTTGCAGTGTAGCCGCTGCTCATTCCTTTGCACCGGCTCGGGCTCTGCCGAAGCGGAACATCAGGATGGACGTGGCACTGACACTTCCCGGCTCTTTCGCCGCTTCTCTTATTCTCTTGGCTGTGGCGTCCTCGCCAGCACCAGCTTTTCCTCCAAATTGGGACCAACTTCACATCGGCTTAACTGGCACGTAATGGCTGGCTTGACAAGCAGGAAGGAAGACGAGCCGAAAGGTTTTCTGGGAACGGTGGCTTGGCCTGAGGCCAAGCGGCGCGGACTGGGAGTTAGAGGTTCGTTTCATCGGCAGTTTGAGCCACCAAACTTGATTCACTCAGGACAATTCTCGGTCATGCACCCCACGACCCCATGATATGCCAGGGCCCCTTTTCAGGCCATCCAGGCATTGTTAATCGACGTCTGCCTAAGGCCGGCTAGACAAGTCGCCGTATCTTTGTCCAAGGCCCCAGATCAAGCCAGTGGGGGGATAGCGTAACGGTGGGGAGGCCGTTTCCACGAGGTCAAAGCGGATCCCTAGCTACGAACGCCTCCAACATGCGCCAGTCGGCCAGCACACGCGTAAGCCAGGCGTTCGGTCTCCGGCTAAGTGAACGTTGGCGATCGGGCAGCATGATATTCAAAACCGCAAAATGGGCGTGCCTGGTTCAGCCCCCGGCGGATGACATCGAGATACGAATTTCCTCGAAATTCCGGCTCTTTTCTCTTCAAGGAAGCGACGTGTTTATTTCGTCCAATTCGAGGGGCTCATGGTCCGGGACGAACGGCCGCAGGTCCAAACGGCACTTGAGACAAAGGTTGTCGCAGCAGCCTCTTCCGTGTGCCTCAAGAGGCAGCGGAGCTGGCGGAGAGTGGATGCCGGTGGACCGGATGCGCTCGGTGCCGGCAACTCCATGGCTGACTCTGGATAGCGAATCTCCTTGGGCTGCGTTGGATAGGGGTGCGCAAGGTTTTGCCGCACATGAGATGGCACGGAGGCACGGAGACATGTTGGATCGTCAGGCTGAATATAACCTCTGGCTGTCCTCCGACCGCCCCCCCTTTGGCCCATTCGTCCTGTTTCCTCCCCCATCTTTCCTTTGGGTGACTATTGAGCGGCGCCCTTTCGCATTTCTTTCGTCTTTCTTTATTTCACCTATTCGATTCATCATACGAGCAGGCACTCATCCGGCCGATTTCGCTTCCTTGGCCGCCCTTTGACAGGATAGCCGTCAGGAACAGAGACGCGCCATCTTTATTCGAACACCTATTTTTTATTCTTAAGACAAAGCAACCCCAAAAATCACAATCATGAGATTCTCGACGGCAGTGGCCACGGCCCTTGTCCTGGCGCCTCTATCAATGGCTAATCAGGTTCAGAACGTGTACCCTCGAGATCTGAAGAAGGCTCTGCACGCGCGTGCCCCTGAGGGCGTCGAAAAGAGGACGGAACAAAAGGCTGACATGAAGATGGAAATGAGCGAGAGTCAGACGAGCGAGGGTGCGATGGGTAGTATGAAGAAGAGCAAGGAGAAGCAGATGGGAGGTGAGCGCCAGCAGCAGCAAGGCGAAGGCGGAAGGGGAAGCGCCAACCAAGTCATCATCCTCTGGATCAGCAATGGAGGCCAAAATGCGAGGCAATTGGTCAACGACAAGGTCACCGTCACCAAGACGGTCACGGAGGCCAAGAACGCTGCCGAGACCCCTCTCACAATCAAGGTCGGAGGCCAAGGCCTTGTCTACTCTCCCCCGGTCAACAAGAACATACCGGTCGGCACCACTGTCATCTGGGAGTTCTACGCCAAGAACCACACCGTCACCCAGTCCACGTTTGACAAGCCGTGCGAGAAGATGCAGGGCGGCTTCGACACGGGTTTCATGCCCAACCCAGGCATGGACCCGCCGCCGAAGGTTGCCATGCAAATCTTAACCAGCGACCCTCTCTGTAAGTCGAGCCCCCCTGGGCAGGCCCCCTCTACAATGTGAGGCAATGTCCATTCTGACGAGTGCGTCTACAACAGGGTTCAAATGCTCTCAGGCCACGCACTGCCAGAAGGCCATGGTCGCTTCCATCAATGCCAAGGATGGCCCGAAGTCGCACCTTGCTTTCCAGGAACTGGCCGTCAAGAGCGGAGCCAACTCTACCGCGCCTGCTGGAATGGAAGGCAGCAAGACCGGTGGCATGACCGGCAAGGAAAGCAGCGCGGCCGGCGGTAGCATGGCCGGCCAGAAGCCCGGTGCCCCTGGCGGCATGGGGAGCGAAGGCATGGCCGGCCAGAACGGTGCCTCCTCTGGCGGCATGGGGAGCGAAGGCATGGCCGGCCAGAACGGTGCCTCCTCTGGCGGCATGGGGAGCGAAGGCATGACCGACAAGAAGCCCGGTACCTCTAACTCCGAGGGCGGTGGTGCGAACGGCCTAGTTGGTGCGGCCGAACCTGGGGGCACCGTCGCAGCCGGCCAGGGCACCATGGTCAACGGGGTCTGCAACTGCGTCGCTCCCTGCGGCCAGCCCGGGGCCAGCCAGTCGGCAACGAAGAGCAACAGCGTCATTACACGACGGCAGGCGGGCGGCGAAGCCTGTACCTGCATGGTCCTGTGCGGCGGCGTCATGACGTCCAGCGCCGGCGCCTCTGGCGGCATGGAGGGTAAGAGTCCACAGAGCAGGGAACCCGAGTTTTACTATGACAAGCTAACTCGAATCCTAGGCCGTCTTCCTACCGCCATGATGGCTGCCATGATTGGCATGGGCGGCTCAGGAACCACGCCCAGCGCGAGCAGCTCAGGAACCCCGACTGGCATGAGCAGCATGAGCAGCAGCATGAGCAGCATGAGCAGCATGGCTGGCATGCGCTAATCGTGTCGATTGGCGGGCTTCATAGAATGTACATTGGTCGGCGTGGGTCAAGTGGAGAAGGGGGTGAAAGAGGTGGATGATATATTTACACAAGATGGTGGGGGCTTGTGACGCTTTCACACGTAGAGGCTGTCTGGATGGCCCTACCTTTGTCTCGGTCTTTTTGTTTTGAGAACGGGAGCCTTTGCATGCTGTATGCGGCAGGCTCGTTATAGGTAATGGAAGTCGTTGCTGGCATTCAAATCGCGCCTCTCCGTCACCATTGGCGCTTCTGCTTTGTGACTTGGCTTGTTTCTTTTGGCATCCGCATCGTGGCCTTGGCCATAGATGTACGTGACGGTCAGATGCACTCGAAGGGGCTTGAAGCCAGGGAGAGGTGACGAGCCAAGAGAAACGTGTCTTGAATTGGGTGAAGAGGCATTTTGAATCGTGGCCCCAGGCAGTAATTTCCAAGCTCCTCCTTCGCCATTGCTATCCTAAAAAATAAAACCCTTGTCTGCAAATGTCTCCTTGGCGCCGTATTCCTCGTGATGCGTCAGCTTGTGCCCCTCGGCGGCTCTTGGAAACGGCAGCCGAATAGGGCGGCAGGGAGTCGGGTTCGAGATGATGTCTATGAGCGCCGGTCGATGTTGATTACTTGCTGCCAGCGGCGGCAGCCTTTTTCGCCTCGGCTGTTATTTTTGACGACGACATGATGGTCAGCGAAGGGGGAGCGAGATTGGAGGAGTCGGGGCTTTTGCGTACCGGCAGCCTGCTTCTGACGCATGATCTCGGCGGCGCCTTCCTTGGCGCGCTGCATCTCGGTGCCGCTCATGTTGTTTCCCTTTTTCTGCAGCCGCCGGAGAGGGTCAGCCAAGGGAAGCAGGGGGGAGGGGGGGATCACAGGTATGCCTGTATTACCTGAGCGGCCAGCTTTTTGAGGTTGGCCTCGCGGGCCTTGTCGCGCTGGTTGCCGCGGGCCATGGCTGAAGCGAAGAGGAGGAGCAACGACGATGACGACGACGACGACGACGACGACGACGACGACGACAACGACAGACTGCCGGGGGGAGGGGGGCGGGTGGCGAGCAAAAGAGGCGGGATATTCAAGCGGCGTAGGGAGGGAGAGGGAGAGAAGAGAGAAGGTTTGGGTGGGTGGTGAGAAGCGTGTGGCTTTAATGAAAAAGCAAAGGGCGGGGATTCGTCGGAGACAGAGTGGGGTGGGGTGCCCTGTGGCGTTTGTTTCGATGCCTGAGCGTGGCTGACGAGGAGGGGCAGTGAAAAGGGGCCAGTGAAAAAAGGGCCAGTGAAAAAAGGGCCAGTGAAAAGCGAGGCCGGCCGGTCCTCGGTGACGGGCAGTCCGAGTGGAGGAAGACGGCCGGCTGTCTCGAGGGACGGAACGGACCACGGGCTCGGCTGCATTTCTGTCTCATGCCGCGCGCCTTGTCAAGTCCAGCCCGCATCAGACACACGGCAGACGAGCATGCGTCGTTCGTCAAGGTCAGGGTGGCGGCACTTGGTGATCAGCAAGGAGTACTCCGTACCCAGGTGCGAGTTCTCCAAGAGATTCCGCTACGACTTTGTGCTTGATGCTCATACTTGCGTACAAGTTCGTCCTTTCCGCTGGGTAGGTACCTAGGTAGGCACGAATAGGCAAGGTTACAAGGGAATGCGGCACGTCTACCAAGATCAGAAAGCGCTTTCCCGGGTTGTTCTCTTTGAGTCATGTCGAGCCGTAGTACGAACGCCTGATTAGAGTATAAAGGCCGCTCGCCCGTCGGTGACGGGCTGCCCGCCGGACCCCATCTCCGCGCATCTGCACGTGGTGAGAAGGCTTGCAGAATGTAGTCGGCATATGCGTCACGGCTTCTGGCTGATGGCGCGCGCCTCGAGCGCGTCTCAGACGCACGGCAGAAGTAGCTGGAAGCGCCGGTGACCGGCCGGCCCCCTTTGACGCCGTGCAAACCTCGATGGGCAGGCAGCCTTGCTTGGTGCATAGACAAAAGCACAAAGGTAGAGGCGCAAACTTGCCGGGCTGGACAATCGTTGAAGAAGTTTGTTCCTCGGGGGCTGGGTTTCAGGCACAAACACAAACAACCATGCATTGAAGAGTTCGCGCCGCCGCTGCCACGTACCGGGACTGTAGCCACCGCCGACAGCCAGCCAGCCAGCCCCCGGCGTTTGGGCGCCTCCCCACTAAAAATACAGCGGGCGAGCACCGTTAGGCGCTGATCCCCTGTCGATACAGCGATCGCCTCGATGGCTCTCAGTCACGGCCGTGTTGAAACAGCTTCAGCTCATCCATCCATCCGCACCCAGTCGTTTCCCCCCCAGGACATCCCGGCCTCTGTCTGGCCACCCGGGCACCGGCGCCCGTGCTCGCCCCTCGATTGGCTCGTGATGGCTTTTTTGCCCTTGCCTTTATGCGCCGGCCTTGCTGCTGCTGGCCACCTCCTGCTCTTGCCGAGCCATTGATGCTATTCACGTTTTGGCCTTGGCTCCCGCGGCCTCATCTTCCTGGCCTCCCACCGCCCTGTCCCCCTTGCCGCCTCCCATTGTCCGCGCGCCTAACGACTGGCTTCTGCGAGCCCCCTTCCGAGACTCGCCCACGCCCACCAACAACGTCGTGGCCGCCGCCCATTTCTAATCGCGAAACACCGTAGCAGCTTGCGCCCCCCGTGTCTCTCCCCCTCGACCCTCCCCCACCCCCAGCCCTTTTGCCTTGGGGGGCAAGGATGGGCTTTCTGTTCACTCGGCGGTACGGCGGTGGGACAAGACGCCCGGCATTGTTTGTCGCATGGCGGCCATTGTGCTCAAAAGGGACACCCGCGCCAGCTCAAAGTGACCTGTTCAGTCAATGGATCGATCGCATCAATGATCAATGGATGAATGAGTTGCTTGCCCGGCCTATTCATCATACGTCCGACAATGATATAAACGAAAGCGAGCGCCTGCTGCCCTCTCCTTGATTCCGTCCAGCGTTCGTTCTTTTCTCTCCCTCTCTTTTTTATTAATACCACCTTGTGGGACTGGCTCCTCTCGCCCATTGCGTCCTTGGACCTCATCCTCTCTCTGTCTATATCTGCAGCCTGCCAGTCAGAGCTTCGTTTGCTAGCAATCGCATCACTCGCGTCCTCTTACAGCCGGTACGTCCTTGATCAACTTCCCTTGCTTCGGTGCAATCCTTGCCTGACCAGCTGCATCACAGACCCTCTTCCCTCCCTGTCACCGCAACGCCGCCCATCTCTCGCCATGCTGGGCATCGACATGAGCTCCTTTCGGGGCACCGGCATGGTCGTTCTCCAGATCCTGCGAGCCTTCACCGTCATCACCCTGGCCACCCTGGCCGCCTCGTGCTGGATCCTCGTCATAAACGTCGACAAGGACCGCAGCTACTTTGTCTTTGAATGCGCCTCGTACTTCTTCACCTCGATCCTCTGCGTCGTCCTCATCCTCTCCGAGTTCCCCGTCCTCAAGCCCGTCAAGCGCTATCTTCGCCGCACCTGGCCCGTCCTCTCGGACCAGCATGGGCTCGTCTGGCTCGGCGTCGCCCTCGTCGTCATCGGCTGCAACATGCTCGGCAACCTCAACCGGCCCGCGTACGACCCCAAGAACCTCGGCCCGCACTTTTCCAAGCTCGTTCTGGCCTCGTCCGTTCTCGCCATTACCTTTGGCATGCTCAACGTCATCTGCTCCCTGGTGTGGCGGGACGGCAGCGAGGGCATCAACAGCCGCGACATCCGGACCAACGGCTCGCTGGCCGAATCCCGCCGCCAGTCCCTGCCCGACTACACTTCGACGGCCGAGACCAACCCGTCCTTTGCCAACGAAAAGACGCTGAGCAAGTTCACCTCCCTCTTCAGCAGGAACAAGAAGCCCAAGGCGGAAAAGGCCAAGCCCAAGATCAGCGGCCCCTTCCCGGCCCAGCCAGACGTCGAGCAGCAGCGCGGCCAAGACGACGACCGGCGGAGCCCCATTGTGTCTGGAATCAAGCGCCCCGACACTGCCCTGCATCCAATGCACGCTGCCCGCGAGAGCATATACTCCGAGGCACACATGTCTCGCTTCTGAGGGCGGAGAGAGAGATGGCGAGGTTTGGCATTAGCGACGGCGTTACGACGACGACATGACTCTGTTTTAGTTTTGACCATGCGCTTTCCGTCTGAACGGATCGTATATACACTCTTCTTTGTTAGTTATTTTGGATGAATGATACAAAAAGCGTTCAGTAAAAGCCTCTCTCTCTTGTCTTGTCGTGCCAGCCATTCTGTACTCTGTAGCATGTGTACAGTGTTAGACAGCCAGTGTAATTAAGTTACAGTACAAAGTACAAGCGAGTGACACTACCTAAGCCGCCTGTTGAGGGGCCCGGAACAATGGCAGCCGATCCCACAAGTACTGTACCGACTGCACGGGCTTGTCAGGCGGTGATTGGCCACGGTTCACAAAGGAATTCGTCTGCCAAAGGTACTGTACAGCTGCCGGCAACATGGCAGCCCCACGTGACACCTGGCCAGCCGGCAACGATTTCGTCGTCGCTCTTCGACTCCCTCCCTCCTCACCTCCATTTTTCCTCTCCACCGACCACCCGAAGCGGCCCGCCCTCCCTTGACTCCCAAGGCAGAGCTGCTTCGCATCGACCTCGTCCGCTGCGCCCATCGCCGACCGTAGCCTCCATCACGACCCGCGCGCGACCGCCATATCCGCACGCTGCGACCATCTCGCGCCGCCGCTTCTTGAGCCAAAGCCACGTAGGAGGCGCTGCACGCTCTCTCATCATGTCCGCTGCGGCTCCGTCGAGGAACTGAAGGGTTGTCCTGGGTTATCGCGGTTGGCTCTAGACTTGGCGGAGGCACCAGCAAGAGCATCTCTTGGAATATACCTGAACCGCGTTGAAGCTTTCTGCCCATTCACTCACTGCTGTTCACCTCTGCCATTCCACCTGGGAACCCATCGACCAACGTTGTCCGAGATCCATCGCTGGGGGACATTAGCACACGACACACCCCATTCTTTCGCGCCCCGGTTCCTTGGCGGACGGCTCTTCACGATCCCTTGATACCCGACACCCGACGAGTCTCCCGCCATGGCTTCAGACGCGGAAGAGGTGGCCGAGGATTACCGGCACGCGCTCGAGGATCTCTCCTCCAACATGCGTTTTGAGATTAGCAACCTGACCGTCATCGCCCGAGAAAACACGGAGCATGCCCTGGCCATCGCCGAAGTGCTCCAGCAGCACATTCTCAAGGTACGAAATAGCTTCCCGCATCACCCCTTGGAGCCTTTTGCCCATGCATGGGCTTGTGTGCCTTGAGACTATGAAGCCCCTACAAAACGACCAACTCCTAGACTCGAGTAGTATCGCTGACGTGAAGCCAGGCACCACCCAACAAAAAGCTGCCCTCTCTCTACGTCCTGGATTCGATTGTCAAGAATGTTGGAACGCCCTACACGCTATACTTTGGACGCAATCTCTTCAAAACCTTCATGGAGTCATACGCCGTCGTCGACCACAACATCCGCCGCAAGATGGAAGAAATGCTCAGGACCTGGAAGGACCCCGTTCCCGGATCCATGGACACCCGGCCAGTCTTCTCCCACGAGCTGGTGCGCCCGATAGAAAACGCCCTCATGAAGGCGAGGGCAGCCTCGATGCCGCAGCAGGGCCCCGTTCCCGGAAGACCGCGCTCCGCCATGCTTCCTCATCGAGACACGCCCACTCCTCCCGGGATGCGCGGAGCCTCGGGTCCGGCAGGGGCATATCCAGGACAGCCATTTCCGCAGCCCAACGGAGGGCGACCCGGGGAACCGGCGCCGGGTGGCTTTGCCTACCCTGGCCAGCAGCAAGTGAGTCCACGCCCCGTCGACATTGGCTTACCGTCCGTTTACCAACAAGGCCAGCCCTCGCAGTATCCCCACCACCCGACGCCTCAACCCGGTGTCTCTACCCCAGCGGCTTTTCAACCCAGCCTCACTGGACCTTATGGACCGGCGGCCCCGGCTGGGATAAGCGTAGAAACGTTGAGCAATGACATTCAGAACCTGATTGTTGCGATGAGGGCCGAGTTCTCGCACAACCCACATGATGCTAGTGTTCAGAACAGATTAAGAGCACTGCTGGATCTGCAGGCCGTTGTGCAGCGCACAAGTCTTCCGCCCGACCAGCTCGAGCTCATTAAGAACAAAGTAACTGAACTTGCTGCCGTGACAATGAGGCCCTCGTTGGCCCAGAGCCCTGCTCAGATCGTACCACCACAGGCTTTCGCGGCGCCTCCGCACACTACTTCTGTAACCCCAACCCCGGCTCCGGCCTCGACACCGATCCCGGCTGCTGCGCCCTCGGGCCAGGCGGCCCTCACTCTCGACTCACTGCTCGGTCCAGGGGCCCTGGCAGCGCTAATGGCACGACGGTCGACGACTCAGCAGAACTCGACGCCGAACCCTCCGTACGCTCAGCACGCAACCCGATCTCCGCCTCCGACACAGGCAGGACGGCCTCAACCACCCTCTCAGAACGCAGTTGGCTTGCTCGACCGACTTCGTCAGGCCGGGATGCTCCCCCCGGCGACTCGGGCCAGCGCGGGTGCCGGCTCTGCCGCTGCCCACTCTCCCGCCCCTCCTCCCACGTCGATGCTGCCCCCCAACATTGCCAGCCTTCTCTCTTCGTCCAAGCTACAAGCTGGACAGCCTGGAATAGAAGCCCCTGCTGCGTATCCAGGGCTCGACGCAGCTTCGTTGAAGCAACAGTGAGTGTCACGTCCCCTGTTACTGGAAGGGAATACTCGAGACTGACAGGATGAAAAAAGGTTTCACCCTGAGGCGGTAGCCGCTCTGTACGAGGATTTGGGCCCTCCGTGCACGCAGTGTGGAAGGCGGTTCAAGACGGACGCGGAGGGCAAGAAGAAGAAGATGGCCCACATGGACTGGCACTTTCGCGTCCACCAGCGCAGCACTGAGGCGGAAAGAAGAGGCACGCATCGCAGCTGGTACGTGGACCAGCAGGTAAGCCTTGTCCATGGTGATTTCCGGTGTTTATTGCATGTTGCTAACCTGGAGGCAGGACTGGCTGAGGTCTCGCGAGGTTGTGGACTCGGATCACGTCGCCGCCCCAGAGGAAGCATCAAAGCAGGCGGCCGAGGCGGACAAGGTACCGCAATACATTCCGGTGCCGGATCCGAGCAGCGGCGTCAACAACGTGTGCCCCATCTGCCAGGAAAAGTTTGAGAACAAGTGGCTCGACACGGCGCAGGAGTGGCTATGGCTCGATGCCGTGCTCGTGGGCAATCGAGCATATCACGCCTCATGCCACGCCGAGGCGACCATGGACCGCGAGAGCACCCCAATCGTGTCTCGACGGACGCCTGAGCCGATCCTGGGCAAGAGGAAGGCGGAAACAAGCTTGTCTTCGCCCAAGATCCGGACCATGAAGACGTCTGCATGAAGGGGGAGACGAGGGCATGGTGTGAGGCGTGGGCTGCATGCAGTCCGTGGCGGTTAGCATTGGCAGGCGTTTGAGGGCATCACAATCCAATCAAAGGGGGTCGGGAGGCTTTGGAGGCGGGGGAGTTTCAAGGCAGCTACACTGGTACAGATGCCATGGAAGGGTGTATCCGGTGATGCCAAACTTGGTGTCTTGACGAACATCGAGGGGAGGGGGCTTTTACAACGAGTCAAGACTTGCGGGAACGTCCCTGAAAAGTCGATTGCTTTTACGTCTGATTTTAAATTTCGACAAGGATAATGCAAAGTGAATCGAGAATGGCGTCTGGTTGGGGCTGTGAGGTTGTCGATTCTGAGACGTCGTAGAGTTGAGGAATTGGCCATGGACTGCGAACGAGAGAGGGAAGTGAGGAAAAGGAGTAACGGAAGAGAGGGCGAGAGAGACAGAAAGAGAATTGAATATCTTGTTTCCTTGTCTCTGTTGTTTCTTTCTCTCTCTATTCCCTAGGTAATTAATTATACCCTGTCTTTTCGCACTTTGTAAGTTAATACAGCGGCCGGATTGCGCTGCCCCGCCTGCGAAGAACCCGGACGTCGCTGAAGAGCAAGGCCGCGGCGCGTCAGCACCGGCCAGCAACGCGTCTCCCCTAAAAATCCTTGAGCCGCCATCGACAGCCTCACTCACTTGGCCACCGCGGCCGCTGCATCGGCACCGAACCCCGCTCATCGCTGCTCCTACGAACCTGCTGCCCGCTCGTTTGCCGGGGCCAGGGCATAGCCAGCACATCCTACCATGGCGGTGGTGGACTGTCCCATCTGCAACCAGCCCGTCAAGCCGGCCGACATCAACAGCCACATCGACTCGGACTGCACCAGCTTCGTCAACAAGGACCCGTCGCCGCCGCCGCAGTCGCAGAATGTGTCGTCGTCGTCGCAGCCGCAGAAGCGCACCGCCTCGAGCTTCTTCTCCACGCCCGCCCCCAAGCGCGCCCAGACCAGGGACGCGCACCTGACGCCCGTCGCCAACCGCACGCTGGCCCCCGCCGCGGGCAAGAAGAGGAGCTTCGACGAGGGGCCCGGGGCCGTGACGTCGGGCCCCGGCGGTGGAGGGACGACGGTGGAGCGCGAGGAGCGCATCGACAAGGCGGCCACCAAACAGCGGCACGAGACGGCCGACGACGACGACGACGACGACGCCGACAACAACAAGGAGGATGACGGGCTCGGGGCCGACGGACGCAGGACGGCAAAGCGGCTCAAGACGCTCCGGGCGGCGCCCCTGGCCGAGAGGATGCGGCCGCAGACGCTCGACGAGGTGTGCGGGCAGGAGCTCGTGGGCCCCCGGGGCGTGCTGCGCGCGCTCATCGAGTCGCGGCGCGTGCCGTCCATGATCCTGTGGGGCGCGTCGGGCACGGGCAAGACGACGATTGCGCGGTGCATCGCGCAGGTGGTGGGCAGCCGGTTCGTCGAGCTCAACGCGACGAGCTCGGGCGTGGCCGAGTGCAAGCGCCTCTTCCACGAGGCGGCGGGCGACCTGGCGCTGACGGGCCGCAAGACGATTGTCTTTTGCGACGAGATGCACCGCTTCAACAAGGCCCAGCAGGACGTCTTCCTCAAGCCCGTCGAGGCCGGCACCGTCACCCTCGTCGGCGCCACCACGGAGAACCCGTCCTTCCGCATCGCCGCCGCCCTGCTGTCGCGCTGCCGCACCTTCACCCTGCAGCCGCTGTCGGCCGACGACGTGGCCGCCATCCTGCGCCGGGCGCGAGCCGCCGAGGGCGCGTCGCCCGACGGCCTCGTCGACGACGCCATGCTCGACTACCTCGCGCGCTTCAGCGACGGCGACGCCCGCACCGCCCTCAACCTGCTCGAGCTGGCCCTGTCGCTGGCGTCGCGCGACGGCGCCACCCAGGCCGACATCAAGGCCTCGCTGACCAAGACGCTCGTCTACGACCGCGCCGGCGACCAGCACTACGACTCCATCTCGGCCTTCCACAAGTCGGTCCGCGGCGGCGACCCGGACGCCGCCCTGTACTACCTCGCGCGCATGCTGCAGTCGGGCGAGGACCCGCTCTTCGTCGCCCGCCGCATGGTCGTCATCGCCTCCGAGGACGTCGGCCTCGCCGACGCCTCGCTGCTGCCCCTCGCCACCGCCGCCTACACCGCCGCCCAGCAGATCGGCATGCCCGAGGCCCGCATCCCCCTCGCCCACTGCGCCGTCGCCCTTTGCCTCGCCCCCAAGAGCACCCGCGCCTACCGCGGCCTCAACAACGCCTACGCCGCCCTGCGCGAGCCCGGCGTCGCCGCCCTCCCCGTGCCCCTGCACCTCCGCAACGCCCCGACCCGCCTCATGCGCGACCTCGGCTGCGGCGCCGAGTACAAGTACCCGCCAAACTACCGCGACGGCCGCGTCCGCCAGACCTACCTGCCCGACGCCCTCGTCGGCCGCCGCTTCCTCGAGGACCGCGACCTCGGCACCGAGGTCGATCCCGATCTCGTCATGGAGGGGACCTGATCGTCCTCGTTATCCGTGGCTCCTCATTCTTGTGTGAGAGGAAAGGACTTCTCACTCGGCCCTACCTCCGCGTGTGGAAGAGGAAATTTAAACAAAAGAGGGGGGAACACAAAGCAGGTTGGAAAAGAAAAACTGGGCTCTGGCTCCATTAGAGGCGTTGTGTTGTTTTTTGCATGGGAACAGGCCATCTTCCCGGGCGTTTGGCTTAATCGCGGCAAGCTGGCGCTTGGCTCTTCACCCTGCGCTCCACCATGTTGGATGCGAACAATGTCATCATGTGCAAACGCGGCACCAGAACAGGCGGCGGCTCGGGCATCACAGCGAGGACGCAAGAACCATAAAGTGTGGGCTTCCTGTAAACATGTAACATTGTAAAATAAGCCCGGCTTCCATGCTGCTATGCTCGCAAACGTCGTCACCCCGGCCTCGTAGCGTACATTCAGCCAAGTGGCTACCTCCTTATCCTACACCCAGTCGAAACACGGAGGAAGGGCTCATCCTTGGACCGGCACATCAGTCCCCTCCCGTCAAGTCAATGACCGAAACGTCGCTCCACCGGACTGCCCTGGCCCTCACGCCGCTACTCTTCAGCGAGTCGGTCTCCCGCGGCATCTTCCGCTCGCGTTCCTCGGCCTCTACTTCCACCACGCCAAAGAAGCCGGCTGCCGAGGTGCGAGGCACGAGGAGCTTCTTCTTCCTCGTGGGACTCGGGGTCGGGCTGAACCCTGACCTCTGGCTTTGCCCCTGATGCCGCCGTTTGCCGGGCGACTCTTGGGCCTGAGACAAGAGCGAAGACAAGGGCTCTAGATCCGAATGGTCGCTATCGTCATATCCGGCATCCATCGCCTTCTCCTTTTCCCACCCTGCCCCTGAACCCCGCGGCTGTGGTTTGCCCCGGGAGGCACTAGATGTGCTGTGCATGGCAGAATGGCCGACAAACGTGTCCATGGATGATTGTTTCAGCGTAGATGTCCGAGATGCAGCCGGGTGTCTCGTCGTTGTGCTCTGCTTTCTAGGTTTTCGACCCCGGCTCAGCTCTTGAGGACTGCTGCCCGTGGCAAGGCTCGGAAACATTGGAGCAAGTCGCTCCTCAGCGTCAGGGAGAGGCGAGCCAGTGCGAGGCCGGTGTCGAGAGTTTGCCGTCGGGGAAGACAAAGCGGGCGACCCGACAGGGCTAGATGAGATGAGAATCGTCTCTGGTCGGTCTGCGGGCTTATGAAGTCTAGGCGTCATTGGTGAGCTCCCGACTACCCAAGAGGCCGTTGACGTCGCCGGATTCTTCAATGCCCGCGGCGGAGGTTGCTTACTTGGTTGGCGCGGAGACGGCGATCGCGGAGGGCGGAGAGGGTTGTTGCGAGGGCTTTGCGGTCGAAGGGGCTTGTCAGTGCCCAATGGCGCTTTTGAGTTCGCGCTGGCTATTTGTGACATGTTTGGTGGCCCCTTGACAACCCGGAAGAATTGCCCAAGCATCTTTTGATCCTCACCGGGTGTCTTCTTGGTTCTGGTGCCGGCCTTGCTTTTTGCTGGCGGCTTGCGAGCGGCCTTGCCCGATTTTGCTTCTTCCCACTCCTGTACCGCCTTGGGGATAGATTTTCTTGCAACGCCTTCCAAGACCCAAGCGAGATCAGGCTTCGTCACGTCGAAAGTCTTGCCGGTTGCCGCATCGAGTCTTTCGCCAGCGTCGACGGCAGTGGATGGAGCCTCAAACTCGACGTCACTGTTCAAGGCTAGCCCGTCGCGGCCGGAGGAGATAGTTTCTTCCACTTCTTTTGATAAGTCGATTGGGACGACTTCTGATGGAACATACGCCATTCGAAGTTCGGACGTGGCGTCCGTGGAGAAATGTTGTCGTCGTCCAGAGATTCGCTTCACGTAGTGTTGGCTGTCTTCCTGCTGCTGACACATGTTGTGAACGAGAAGAGCCTGGCCCAAGACTCGAATAAACTTGACAGCTCCTATCCGGAAATCCCAGCCAAACGTCTCTCGGGCGAACTCCCTCAAGGCGTCAAGATGCAGATCGTGTTTGCGTTGCAAGTTTTGCCGCACCGACTCCAGGTTGGATAACTGCGAAACAACCGGATGAGTGTAGTATCGCAAGACCTCTAGACTCGGAAAGTCGTCTGGCACCGCCAGTGCCTTGTGCTTTGTACGGAAATGGCCTTGCTCGTTTGTCCTCAGTTCGTGAATGAGGGAGTTTTTCCAGGCTCGCATGCCCGCTTCATCGGATGCTTTCAATCGGCATATTGACCTGCCAAAGCCCGCCTTGGCAGCTTCGCAGGCCACTTTGACGCCACAGCCGGGAATTCCATCGGGGAGATAGTCACCGCCGCTCATGAGAGCCACCAGCACCATGCCTTCGCGACCGAGTCCCAGGCTAGCGATGCTTTGGTCGTGTACGTCGTAAAGCGATACGTGCGTCGGCGCTTTGGAGCTCTTGCCCTCGGCAGACCAGTTTCGAAGCGTCTTGGTGCAGCCAAACATGATTGTGTCCACATCCTCGCTCAGCACCGCATCCACTATGCCGTGTTTTTGCAGCAACGCGCATTCCGCTTCCGCTTCCCCAGGAGCATCGTGTATAGCAAAGCCAAAGAGCCGGATCAAGCGCTTGGCTTGCGCCGTGGCTACACCATCTCCTCTTCCAGAACGTTTGTTTCGCTTGAAAGCCGGCTTTTTCGGGCCGTCGAAGACGAATATGGGCTGAACGGGCGTCCCGAGGAGCCGCACGAGGCGGTAGAAGAGCGTCCTGGTGGCCGGGTTCGTTCCGCCTGCTGCCAGTCAGCTGATCGTGCCTCGGATGACTTGATTCGCACGAAGAGGCGAGTACGAACCTTGAGCCGCTTGCGCCTGAAACTGCCAAATAGCTACGTCGATAGCGATGCGAAAGGGACGGTCCAAGGTTTCAAAACTGTCGGCGGCGAGCTTGGAGAGCGAGACTCGCCTGCCCGGCCCAAGCTCACGATAGATTCTGCCAAGGTCAGTCTTGAGCAAATCAACGACAAGCAGACGTTCCTACCCTTTGATGCCCATCGGAAAGACACACGGCAGCCATGCTTGGCTCGTTGTTGGATTGTGGAAGCAACAGCGTGCTCGCTCCAAGCCCACGTCGCCGAGGTGACAGCTGACGTTGTTGATTGTCGGCGGGTCGGTCCCTCCAACGCCGACGCTAGCCAAGGGTCCCCCCCCCCCCCCGATAAACACATAACCGGTACGAGGAGTGAAGTACGTTGGTACCTTGCCGCTATCTTGACGAAATGACGTCTCGTCAGATGCCAGCGCAGCAGCGTCAAACAAGATCGCAACGTCCCACTGATTTTCCCTTTTCCCCACCCGACGACAACCTCACATTCAGGAGCGGTCCACGGTCATGTCCTCTGGTGCGGGCCACCCGCCCGCCCACAGGAGCGTGGCCAGCATCAGGTTGGCGCCGTCGCAGAGCCAGTCTGGGTCCTCGAATCCCCATACGTCTCGGAGCCCGCGCGCCATCTCGGCCTCGTACGGCTCGCCATCGGCGATTCGAGCCGAAGACGACTTTGTGCTTGTCGAGATTGGTTCGCGCTTTGTTCGGGCGGGCTTTGCCTGCGACTCTCTCCCCAAGGTCACGCTTCCCTATGGCCCTGAGCAGCAGCGCCGGACGGGAGACTTTAGGGCGATGCAGGACCTTGGCCCGCCGGCAACGGATACGTGGGCTGCAGATTACGAGATATGGCGATATGACGTACGAGAACTTGACTTGGGCCTCTTTCAAGACAAGCTGGACCGCTTGCTGAGAGATGCATTCACGAGGTATGGCGTTGGCTGGGCCGACATGTCGACGGCGTGCTCACCAGCCCGCATAGATACCTACTCATTGACTCACGTCCGCGGAGGATCGGTCTCATCCTGGATCCTGCGGTGCCGATTCCTTTGCTTTCGACCATCTTGGACACGTTGTTTCATAATTTCCAGACACCAATGGTTTCTCTCATGTCGTCTCCCACCATGTCGACCGTCGCGGGCGGCGTTCGATGTGCGCTCGTCGTCGACATGGGATGGGCCGAGACGGTGGTGACGAGCGTCTACGAGTACAGAGAGGTCAAGACGACACGAACGGTCCGGGGAGGCAGGTTGCTCCTCGACGGCTTACACGATCTGCTGCGCAGTATCTTGAACGACGGCGAAGCCGAGACCAAGCAGGGAAGAGTTTTGAGTTTTGACGAATGCGAAGACATTCTTTGTCGGCTCATGTGGTGCCGGGCCTCGGCGTTCAAGTCGTTGCAGCGTCAGTCGGCACAGCTGGATACCGTGGAAGAACAGGATGAATCCGAAGTGGAGACGGCAAAGCCCAGCGGCGTGGCCGAGATTCCTCTCAGGTCTACGAGTCCGCCGTCGACGCTGCAAGTGCCCTTTGGCAAATTGGCCGACGTTTGTGACGAAACCTACTTTGACCTCTCGGCATCGCCATGCACATTTGACGACCATGAGCTTCCAGTTCACCTGCTCATCTATCACCACCTGCTGCAGCTTCCCGTGGACGTCAGGGCGGTTTGCATGTCTCGCTTGATGATTACGGGGGGCTGTTCGGAAATACTGGGCATCAAGGAACGAATCTTTGACGAGGTGACGAGCATTGTGGAGAGAAGGGGCTGGGCGCCCGTTTCGGGCAAGGGAGTTGAGCAGCTGCGCAACAACGCCAAGCTGCGGAAGGAGAGCGTCGCAAGGACCAGCATTTCATCTGCAGCGACTTCCGAGTCGGGCGGGGATGATGTCGACGGAACGCGATCCGAGTCGGCCGCGACAGAGGCCTCGGACGATCCCGTCGAGGCCAAGATTGCGCGGAACCGCCCCGTGCCGCAGCAGATGCAGGGCCAGCTGCGAGCAATTCACTCGCTGGGGCCGTGGGCCGGGGCGAGCTTGGTCTGCCAGCTCAAGATGCCGGCCATGGCGACAATGGACAGGGAGCAATGGCTGCAACACGGGGCGAACGGGGCCTCTCGGCCGAGAGAGGTGGACACCAAGGCGCAGCAGCGGCATAGCGCAGGCACAGGCGGGCTCATCAGGAGCAGCGCAGGCCATCATGTAAGCTGGACTTTGGGCATCTGGGGCTCAGTGTGATGAGCAGATGTTGCTTGCCGCAGGAAAGCCATGGGGCGCGGTGGAAAGATGGCGACTTGGCGCCTGGAGCTTGCAGGAGGCTGTCGTGCTGTCGGAGAGCAAAAGTAGAATATCCGAGGATGGGCGCAAGGAGCGCTCTGTCGAAGCCGATTGTGCGTGCCCATGGCTTGTATAAGCTGGAGCTGTAGTTGCCTTGATGCCCACTCGGCTAACTGAATGGGCGCCCGCTCCCGCCCCCTCCTCGCCGTATTTCCGCCCTCCCTCCTCCACGCACATCCAGCAGCGTGCCAAAAAAGAAGACATGAAAAGCCCCCCCGAAGCCCGACAAGCACCATGAACAAGAGCGCGACATGGCTGCTGCGCTGTCGCAATGCCGCGACGCGGCTGTCGAAGCCGCAGCGGCGCTGCCTGGCGGATAGCCGGCGGCCGAGCACGGCGCCCAAGCCCATGGTGGACATCAAGCACATCCGGCAGAACCCGGCGCTGTACGAGCAGACGTGCTCGGAGCGCAACTACAAGGCGCAGCTCGGCCACGCGGCCAGGATCGTGGCGCTGCACGGGCGCTGGCGGGAGCTGCAGCGCGAGGGGCGGGCGCTGCGCGAGCGGTCCAACCTGCTGCGCAAGTTCATGGCCAACCCGGCGACGAGCAGCGGCGACGAGGAGCTGGGCGAGGTGCGCAGCATGACGCGCGACCAGGTCCAGGACGAGGCGCGCCGGCTCAAGGCCCAGCTGTCGGGCATCGAGCGCGGCGAGGCCGACGCCGTCGCCGAGATGGAGGCGCTGGCCCTCGAGATGCCCAACCTGACGGATCCCGAGACGCCCCGCGGCGACGAGCCCGTGCTGCTGCGCTACATCAACGAGCCGCCTGCTGCTGCTGCTGCTGCTGCTGCTGCTGCTGCTGTTCCTCCTCCCCCGCCTCCTCCTCCGGGGACGTCCACGACCACGACCACGACCACCGGTGATGGCTCCCCTTCCCCCTCTACCAACGCGGCGCCCGACGAGGACAGGGTGTGGCGGTCCCACGTGCACATCGGCGCCGAGCTGGGCATCCTCGACTTTGCGGGCGCGGCGACGGCGTCGGGATGGGGCTGGTACTACCTGCTGGGCGAGGCGGCGCAGCTGGAGCAGGCGCTGGTGCAGTACGCGCTGGGCGTGGCGACGCGGCGCGGCTGGACGCCCGTGTCGCCGCCGACGCTCGTCTACGGCCACATCGGCGCCGCCTGCGGCTTCCACCCGCGCGACCAGCACGGCGAGCAGCAGGTCTACGCCCTGGCCCAGTCGCAGGCCGACGCCGACCGCGGCGCCCCGGCCCGCTGCCTCGCCGGCACCTCGGAGATTGCCCTCGCCGGCATGGCCGCCGGCGCCACGCTCGACGCCCAGGACCTGCCGCTGCGCCGCGTCGCCGTGTCGCGCTGCTACCGCGCAGAGGCCGGCGCCCGCGGCCTCGACACAAAGGGCCTGTACCGCGTCCACGAGTTCACAAAGGTCGAGATGTTCGCCTGGACCGCGCCCGACCGCCCCGCCGCCCGCGCCGTCCTCGACGACATGCTCGCCGTCCAGGCCGACATCCTCGCCGCCCTCGGCCTCCCCTGCCGCGTCCTCGCCATGCCCGCCCACGACCTCGGCGCCTCGGCCACCCTCAAGGTCGACGTCGAGGCCTACTTCCCCAGCCGCCGCCAGCTCGCAAACGGCGGCTGGGGCGAGGTCACCTCGGCCAGCCTGTGCGCCGACTACCAGGCCCGCCGCCTCGCCACCCGCACCCGCATCCCCGGCGGGCCCATGGCCTTTCCCTACACCGCAAACGCCACCGCCCTCGCCGTGCCCCGCGTCCTCGCCGCCCTGCTGGAGAATGGCTGGGACGAGGAGACGGCCACCGTGGCCGTCCCCGAGTGTCTGCGGCCCTGGATGGACGGCAAGCACAAGATTGGCGGCCGCAAGCGGGGCACCCGCGCATCTGCCGCCGCCGACGAGCAGCCCTCTTCGGTCCCCTGAGGGCCCGTGGTCAGGGGGCGAGACCTGCGGCAGTGTACTTTACGAGCGCACGATCCCAATCTTGGCAGGGGTCATGGCCACGAGGGAGGCGTTTTGATTTACTGGGGCTGGCTTGCGGCACATGTACGATACTACTCAGCCCCTCGATACTCAGGAACGGCGAAGCAAGAGGGAATAATGGCTTGATACCCCCGTTGCAAGCAAGGTAGTTCCCCAGATTGTCCATCTGCTCCGGTGGCGGCATAGTATACCGAAAATACCGCGTGGCATGCCCGTGTAAACTCATGCTGTATCAAACGGTCGTGACGTCCCGCCAGTCCTCTTTCAGGGACGACGATGGGTCCACCGTCGGCACGGTCAGCGCCCTCGCAACATCAAGCGCGAGACTCGCGGCGACCATACGAAGCCACGCCCTCCCTGCTTAGTGCCTGCGCCATGCGCCAGCACCTTGGCGAGGCGGCCCGTCAGCAGCCGTACTCGACGTGCCTGAGGAACGGGTGCAATCTTCGACAGAACTCGGTCCGATGGGCAGAGACAGGGCACGAGTCACGTCAGCATTCCGCCTCGCGCGCTGGAGGCGGGCACAAGACTCTGGCCTCTCGAGAGCCCATCGCAATAGCGGTCAAAGTACTCTTGCTCTATTGGTAGGTAGGACGTTATCTTTCATGGACTGGTGACGGTTTACATCAAGCATTGCTCTTTCCCTTACCTCCCGAACCCCTCCGCAAACGCCAAACCGAATAAGACGCCAATGGTTAACGAAAAGACACCAGCATGACAGACGGCAACGACGACGGCCTGGGAGCTGCGTCCTCTCTCCCGTGTCCGCGCCACGAGCCCGTCCCGCCAAAGCGCCTACTGCCCATCAACCCGGGGCGCGCCACGCTTCGTTGCCGTGGAAAAAAGGACCGAGAGCTGCGTGATGCCGTATATGCAGGTGAAAAAAAGAGTCGAAGGGAAGTGCAAACGTTCGCTGCCCGAGACAATCCATCTGAGGCGTGACGATGCTTGACCAAGGGATGCTTAGCTCAGGCATAGAGACACAGGGAACCAGACCGTGCACAGCCTCCACGGCTGGACTCTCGCCCCGTGCCGGCGCACCGTCAGGCTACGACGAGGCGCTTACGTGCTGGCCGTTGACGTGTTGGTTGTGATGACGATGGTGGTCGTCGCCGTCGTGGTGCAGCGTGACGCTGTTGAAATCTACAAACGGATCGCCGACCTCGACCCCAGGTGTGTCCAGGCCGCTGTCCAGGGGCACGCCCTTGAGCTTGGAGCCGCTAATGTCGACGCTCTGGCTCTCCTTGACGTTGCGGAAGTTGACCGTGTCGACGCCGCGGCCGGGATGAGGCACGATGGGAGGCTTCATATGGCGAATGAGAGCCCACTGGGTGGTGCGGAAAAACGGATGGACTTTGATGTCCGACGCCCCGGCTCTCGCCCCTAACCTTCGGTTCTCATCCTTGATCAGGAGTTTCCTGATCAGTGACTTGCACAGACTGGCGTGGTCGGACCGGTCAGCGACGCGTGCACCGTAGACACTAGACAGGGGGGGTGGCTTACTTGGAAATCTGTGGAGCGCCGGCGTGGTCCGGGAAGGGAATGTCCTCGCGCAAGATGTTTGCAAAGGTGGCGTTCCTGTTCTTGCCCTTGAAGGGCGTCGTGCCGTAGAGCATCTCGTAGATGAGGATGCCCAGCGTCCACCAGTCCACAGCACTCGTGTGCCCACTGCCCTTGATGACTTCGGGGGCGATGTATTCCTCCGTGCCGACAAACGAGTTGGTCCGGAAGTTGGCAATGCAGGACCTCGTGTCGATGGTGGGTAGCGCGTCCGTCCTCGCGCCGTTCTTGCCAACAATCATGGTCGGCTTGCCGCCTGGATCCGACTGCTTGGACAAGTCAAAGTCCGAAAGCATGATGTGGCCCGATTGGTGGAGCAAGATATCTACGCAGCAGTTGGTCAGTGCATGAAACGGGAGAGAAGGGAGTAGAAAGGGGCGGCAAGAACGCACTCTCGGGCTTGAGGTCGCGGTAGATGAAGCCCATCAGATGAAGATACTCGAGCGCGGCCGTCACCTCTGCGGCGTAAAAGCGAGCGTCGTCTTCGGGGATGCATTTGCCGGGACGAGTTTGGAGGGCCCGAAAGAATTCGCCGCCGCTGCAGTATTCCATGCACAGGTAAAGATGATCTTCCGACTGAAAAGAGTGGTATAGGGTCACGATGAAGGGGTGATTGCTCGTGGCCAGAATCTCCTGCTCGGCGAGGGCGCGCTTGATCTTGTTGCGCTTGATCATTTCCTTTTTGCTCAAGACTGTTTCAAGTCGTCCACGTTAGCGAGGAACTGTCAGCCGGGATCAGGGGCAGAGGATCCGATACCTTTCATAGCATACAGCCGACTGCTCTTCTTCTCCTTGACCAGGTAGACTTTGCCGACATCACCCTTTCCAATGAGCTTAATCTTGTCGAAGCTCGAGGGGCCGACCTCGACGTTGCGGACCTTGATGGAGTTTGAGCTGTAGGTCCTGCGGAAAGCCAGGGCGGTGTGCGGGGCGGGGAGCGCGTCGAGGAGACCATCGTCGTGAGCGGGCGGGCCCAGGGATTGATTCTTTGCGGCCTCGGCCCTCTTCTCGACGAGGCCAATGGAGCCCGACTCTGCATCCTCGACCAGAGGGTCTTTGCCCAGCTCAGCCGTGGCGGGACGCTCGTTCTTGCCCTCTTCCTTTGCGAAGAGGCCCTGGGCGTTGGGGGCACTAGCAACCCGCCTTAGGCGCCGGGCCAACTCCTCCTTGGTCTCGCTCGTGGCCTGGTCGCCCGGGGCGCCGTCGGGGCCGGATATCTTGAGCTGGGGGGTGTCGGGGGGGCTCGGGGGCACGGAGCCGTCGTTGTGGTGTCGCAGGCCGGGCTGGCCCTGGTGGGCAAAGTAGGGGTTTGCGTGGGCCGTGGGGCTCAGGGCCTCTTCGATCTGGTTGCCCTCGCTGGCGACGGTGTGGGCACGCAGGCGGCCGACGGCATTGCTGAAGAACTTTGTGTGGCGCGAGGGTTTGGGTCCGGGGATGTCGGCGCCGCTGCCGGAGCTGGCTGTGGTGTTTGAGCCCGAAGCAGAAGGGCCATTGGCCGAGGCCAACGTCTTGTCCTTGTCGCTACCGGTGCTCGAGGCACTGCTGGCTATGCGGAAGAAGCTGCGAAGGCGATGGCTGACCTGGGCGGCGGAAGACGTGCCACTGGGGTTCTTGGAGGAGGGCATGTTGAGGGACAGACGCGGAGGCAAGGAAGCTAGATGGAGTTCATGCAGCCGGTGCCATGGTCCGTCACGGCAGGGATTGAGGGGGGGGGGGTCGGCGGCGGCAGCGGCCAGGCGAATCGGGGACGGCGCAGAGGCAGCTGAGGAGCGGACAGGAGAGGAGTCGAGACGAGGTCGTCAAGGGGGCGGCAGCGTCGGGGGAGAAGGGACGGGGCGGAGGGGGGAGGATGGAACAGGGCGCCGGGCAGTTGTCGATGGAGGAGTCAAAGACAAGACAAGGCGACGACGATTGCTGGTGGAGCCCTGGCGTAGGTGGTAGCAGAGAATGGAAATGCAGGTAAGGCGGTACCGCTACTAGGTACTGCGGGCGGGCGGTGGGTACGGCCGAGCCTGGGCCTCCCGACCAGCGAGGCGTATGTACTTTTCTAGGGATCCAGTGGCCAAGGCACAGCTGGCGACGCCCTGTGTTCATTCATCCAAGCAGGGGACCTGAACCTTGTACAGTACAGTACAGTACAGTACAGTATAGTACTAGAGGTACCTACCTCTACTCCATACCTTGGTAGACATGGAGAAAAAGGAGAAATCGCACCGGCCCATCCGTGCCTCACACAGTTTTACCTCGGGGAGCCCTGCCTTGGAAAAGGGACAGGCGGGTCAGAGCAGCTCCTCGTTAGCAGTGCTTTGATGTACCTGCGGCAGGTGAGGCGTCGTACACCTCCCCGAGTCGGTTAGGGCCACCTTGGCAATTGTCGAGCACAAAGCATTTAACTGCTAGGTTACGCCCAGGCTGCCGAAGGACAGCGTGATGACATACTTGGGGGAGTGGACACGGCGGAGCGAGGGGGAGAGAGAGCGCGAAAAGGGGGCCAGCAATTGTCGGGAGGGCATGGCACCGGTGACGACCATGGCACACCAACAATGACCTCGCTTGATTTAACGAGATGTTGTGCTTGGTACGGAGTATTCAGGGAATTCATTCTCGGCGGTGGCGGGGGAACCGACTCTACTCTCTCTTTCTCTCTCTCCTCTCCCCCCCTCTCTCCCTCTCACCGTCGGGTCCGTCGGACTACAGTAGTGCGTACAGTACCTGCCTACCTACCGTCGTAGTGCCGCCCAGGCCATGTCTCTCAGGCCTGTTAGTGACGACAAGCCCTGAGGCTGTTAGCATGAGCTCCCAATTTCCCCCCCCAGGGCCCAATCCCTTCTCGGGGCCAATTTGCCGGCCCAAGCGCAGGGGAGGCGAGATAGAGACGGAAAAGAGAGAGGCAAGTATTAGAATTGGGCCCAGCTGCGGCTGCTAGACGCGGCAGCCGTATTTCGTTACCTACCTAGGTACCTACCTAGGTACCTGTTTCTGCAGCGCCTCCCAACGTTCAATCTCAAGTACGTTCCTCGTGCAGGAATCCTCCGGCGCGACGAATGCCAAGTACTCAAGTACTTACGTACTACCTGCCCCCAAGTTCCCGAGGCAACATCGCCCACTCTGCCCAGTGCTGTTCTAGACGCATTTTTGCTAGGTAATAATTATGCAGGTTGCCCGGCAGGTCATGACGCCTGCCTGCATTGCCTTGCTTCATTCCATCAATACGTAAAATATGCATTATAATTACCTCTCTGGAGGGACCTGCTACTAATCCTCAGCTCGCGCCATGATTCTTGCTTCATGTCCCCCACACGTCATCTGAACCAGGGCTTGGAAAGCTTGCCCTCCCGGGCTCGTCGCTGTGTGCCTATGATGTAACTTGCTGCAAGTTAATAACCAACCACCCAAGAGAGACAGACGGCACGCGTGCTCTGCGGCAAACAGTGGATACCTTGCCTCTGCCTCTCGCCCTGCAGCCGACGACCCCTTTCGCAGAGCCGCAACCTCGAATTAGTATTCTAGTATCCGCTTCTATTCGTGTTATCCTCTAGGCATCCTCCTTTCCCCGAAGCTGCTGTGAAACGCTTCCAAGTCGGCCCAGCCTCGCCCTCTTCTCGCCTCGTGCGAATTGTCCTGCTCCCCTCAGGTATACGGTAGCTGAGAATCATGCCCCTGTCTGCCCCGTTGCAAGCTCGTAGGCAGGCACCCAACCCTCACGAGCGTCCAAGAACCTCTCCCAATCGTCACGTCTCGTCTGGGCCGCCGCTCTCCGAATCGTCGTCTGGCAGGTTCTCGTCCCTGCGTGCCAGCAGCTCCTTTAGTCTTCTCCGGTTCATCCGCCACGTTATCACGTCCTCCACTTCCTGGTCGCGAACCGAGGGCGTCACCTGGTTCCCCTGCGCATCCTTCAGAAAGTCGGGGATGTCGTCATCGCCGCCGCCGCCGCTGGGCTCGCCCGTGGCTCGACGCGCATCATGGCCCCCATTCTGCGGCCCGTCGCCAACATGCCAGGCCAGCGGGACAAGGTGCGCCTCTTCCATGTGTTCGCGGAACTCGTCGCTGTCGGTAAACTCCCTCGCCGGCTGCGCGCTGGCGCATTTCCTCCACCGACAGCACCGAGGCCCCGTGCCGCCGCTGTGCCCGTGCACGACGTAGATGTGCCTGCGTAGCGTATCCAGATTGTGCAGCTCGGCCTTGCACCCCGCCCACTCGCATAGAAACGCCACAAACTGCGGCTCCAGCCTGCGGTAGATTTCGCCAGGCGGCGGCGACGGCGTCTTGGGCGGCCGCCCGCGCCGCTTGGCGAACCCCGGGGCAGGTGCTTTCGCCCGGGCATGCCGCACCCTTGCGCCGGACAGGGAGTTGCCTCGCATGTCCGAGTATGACATTCCGGCCTTCCAGCCCTTTGGACGCCCTCGGCTGCTCATCGTCTCTGGCGCCGACGCCGGCTGTGCTGAGCTTCTCCTCGAAGGAGTGGCCGCCCAGCCCGGTATCTTGGGAAGCGGGACGGGCGTTTCCTTTATGCCCGCTGGTCTTTTGAGCGGCGGCGACGCGCCCGCATTGTGCCTCCTCCTGCCGGGTCCCGCAGAAGCAGGCCTCTTTCGCGGTGACGCGCTCAACACGACGGCAATTCGCGACCGCCCCAGTGCCGTTCCATTTATCGACGTGGCGGCTTGAGGTGGGGCTCGTCCGGGTCGTAGCTCCGGGAGACGCAGCTGCGCAGTATCGCTGAATAAGGGGTCTTGTTCATCAACGCTCCCTGCCGGCGACGAAGGGCGCAGCGTTGTGGTAGCCGGAGGCATGACGGGCGTCGCGGCGAAGTAGCGTCGAATGTCGCGCGAAACGCTCTTGGGCGCCGACATGGCGACGGGTCGCGAGGCCGCCCACGGCGACGGCAGCTCGCGCTGGGGTGACGGAGCACAAGCGCAAGCAAAGGTGTTGCGAGGTCGCGAGGCAAATGGGGTCTTCGGCGGGATCGATGAGGAGGGTCAGCGCGTAGCATAATCGCGTGCTATCGAAGCCCATTAGGCGAGTGGGCGTGAGATTGTTGGTGGTGGAGGGAGAGAGAAATTCGAGGTCGAGAGTCAAGTCGCAGCCTCGCACCAAAAATCACGAGAAGGAGAGGCTGCTTGTGCGTGCACCTGCTCCCAGCCTCGTACCAGAGCCCTGAGATCAGGAAGGTTGCTTCCGCCCTGTCCGGCCCGTGCACAATTGGCTCTTCGCACGGGCAATGATCTCGTTTCTCCACGACGAGAAAAAAAAAGTTTTCATACCATATTAAGGAATCGAACCTTAGTCTCCAAGTTGTTTACTAAGCCACAAACTGGTTTCCTAACCATTAGAAGAGCATAGCTGGTTGCCATGCCGAGGAATCGAACCTCGATTTCCAGTGGATTGTTGACTCGAACAACCTGGCGCCTTACCACTAGACCAATACGGCAAGTGCTGCTTGTTGTTAGAAAACTGGGTCTTGGAAGCATTAAAGAAGGGGTCTTAGTGAATGGGGCACGGCCTTGCCTAATGAGCGCATAAACGTGGAGAAACGGCAGTGTTGGCCAGGTAGGTAGGTACCTAACTTACAGGCAGAAAGACTACATTCGCGAGGGTAAGCCATCACTTTCCCGTAAAATAGAATGACATTTCTACTCTGTGCTTCGGCCCGCAGCGCCAGGATGTTTCGTGTCGGACTCAAAGGAGCTCAATTGGTAATTAGCCAGTCAAGTTTGGTCTTCAAGTATCCGTACTACCTTAGGTAGACACAGGTACTAGCTACCTAGGTGCCTGCACGTCGCTTCTCCCTTTTGGGGCGTACTCGCCACACTTCTCCACTTCTGTGTGTGGTGGTTAGGCAGAGCCGTGCGTTATTCAGCCAGGGCCCAAAAATAGGGAGAGACAGAGAGAAAGGAGAGAAAGGGGGGGAAACGCTCTTCCATCGTTGCACGTCAGGTATCGCAATCATCATTAAGCCCATGGCCACCGCCTGAGCGACATCCTACACCTCCGTTTCCACATCTGGCTGCCGTCCGCCCAGCGATCCCAGCTTCTTAACCTTGCGAAGGGCAAACTTGGCCTCGTCCTTGGCAAACTGCGCATTCCGCATTGGGCGCCACTGCATCAGGCCTCGGTGCTTGCGGTGCAGATCACGGTTGCGCGTCTTGTAGTCCTTGTACGCTTTGATGGGATTTTTGCTGCTGCCGCCGCTCTGCGACGATTCTGTGGCCTCTGTTCCCTGCGTGTCCATAGACAGGCGACCAGCTTCGCTGTTCTCGCTGAACTCTGTCTGCCCGTCTTGCACACCGAGGTCAGGATTGTCGTCGTCGTCTTCCTCCTCATCAAAATCGTCGTATTCTTCGCTGTCATCGTGTCCGTCAGACTTGCTCGCCATCAGGTCCTTCGGGTTCTTGCCAAAGGCCCCGCTCCAATCGGTGCCATCCTTGGCCAACCACTTCTCCTTTTCCTTTCCGTCAGCCTGGGCGAGCACGTCCCGACCCTGCGTCAGGGACTCATCGTGCAGCTTCTGCACCGCTGGCGGGACTTCGGTATGCACCTCCTGCTGCCGCACGCCCTCGGCGTAGCAAGTCTCCCAGGCCTCGATGGTCTCACGGGAATCGTTGTCGCTTACGAACTTGATGTGGTCCGAGTCGGTGCCGGCAGAGAAGCGGCCGCTGAAGTGGACGCGGCCGACCTCCTCAATGTCCGTGTCGGGAATTTCCATGTAATTCTCCTGGGTAATGTAATTCTGGGACAGGCGCAGACCATTGCTGCACTTGAAGATGGGCACGTCGAAATCTATGGCTTCGCCGTCGGTGAGCTCCAGGAGCCAGAGGGCGGCATAAGCATCGGGGCTCCGGTGGCCTGATGCATAAAACTCGATGAAGATCGGAGATCGATAGCGGTGCCGGACGGGTAGCCGCAACTTTTGCCCTTCGTGCACCCCGCTAATATCAATCTTCATGCCATCCTCCTCCTTGGTCGACAGGTGCTTCTTGACACTGGCTGACGATCCACCCGTGCGCAGTCTCAGCTTCACATGGGTGGACGGGGCGTAGCCCGTCGTGGTGATGGAATCGGACAGGAACTCAAAGGTGCCAATATCCCAGCCGAGCTGTGGAGGGGGCAGCCTGAGTTCGACGGAGCGGAAGAGAATGGAGATGCGGGCCCGTCCGAAGCCAATGCCGCCGTCAAGGGGATACCATCGGGTAGACTGGCTGCTCGTTTGCAGGACATCGGATATTTTGAGGGGCACCACGCCAATGATGGGGTCGTGCTGCCTGTTGCGCGAGTCTCGGACAGCGACGGTGACGATGCACGACCTCCAGTCGCGGACAAACTTTTCCGTCCCGGCGTTGAAGATGGGCTGCGACGACACCACCTTGGTTCTAGTCTTGTAGACCAAGTCGTCGTTGATGAGAATGGTGCAGTAGGAACTCGGGAGCGTGCGGCCCTGCTCCTCCTTGACTTCGCCGGCCTCGGGTCTGGCCGGCTCGTACTCCTTGCCCTTGCGTTTGCCATTGGAGCCCTTGATGTTAGCGAGCTCTAGGCCGACAATCTGGTGGACAACAATGCTGAGGATACCGGATGGCCAGAGAGGGTCGGGAGGGGTATGTATGACGGCATCCTCGCCCTCGGTATTGATGGCGCCCTTTTCCTCCTGGAACTCGGGCTTGTCAGCCAGCTCCTTGGGCAAGTTGACGTCGCGCCCGTCGGTCCGGAGGGCCGTTCTGAATTTGGTCTTGCCGAAGAAGCCAACCTCCCAGTGGAGCTCGCCGGGCATGCTGCTGTCGGCCTTGACGCCGCAGAGCTTGGAAACCTGAGGGAACATCTTGCCGGGGTGCTAAATGAGCTTCTGAATGCTCAGTTCCACCTTGCCCACCACATCATCGGCCGACGAGCGATCGCTGTCCCACAGCTCCATCGAGAGCTGTTCGTCGGCCTTGATGAGATCGCTCGTGACGAGAAGGCCGCAAGTCTCTTCAAAGACGGGGTTGAGATTATCCTGGATGACACGGGTGCAGAACTGAGGCTTGGAAAACTTGCTCCAGCTGACGGTGATGTAGGGGTCGGAACCGCCGCCTCTACTGCCTCTCTGATCCTGCTTACTGAGGCCGGTAGCCTTGTGGATGCGGATGAACATGACTCCTAAGGCCATTGTCTCCTTCTTGATGTCGTCGCCTTGCAGCATGCTGCTCATGTCGAGCGTCAAGCTCTTGGGCGCCACGTACATGGACGCGGCGGCTCCGATGGCCCAGTTGACAAAGTTGGAAATCAACGGCAGGTTCAGGATGTTGACGCCCTTTTCAATCATGGGCGTGCACCCGGCGTGCACCTTGGGGATGCCCATGAGGGTAAAGGTGGCCGTTTTGAGAAAGGGCGGATCAGGCGTCAGCTGCAGCCGAACGCGAGCCGTCGCGACGAGCCCGACCAGCTCGACCCAGATGGGCAGGGGAACTCCAAATAGGCCCTTAATACCGAGGTAGAAGACGAGCTGCATGCCCATATTCTTGGCCTTGGACGCAATGTCGCCGCCCGATGGCTTGGCATGGTATGCAACAGAAACCTCCATGTTGTAAAAGGAGCCGGCCTGTTCGACGGCGGCGAGTTCATTGGGGTCCATTTTCTTCTCGTTCTCCTTGTGGATCTCCTCCTTGATGTCTTTAACGTGGGAGTCTGGCAGGGCCCTCATGTTGAGGATGCGGATGGGGTTGTTTCCCTGCGATATGTCTGCTACGCGGACATTTTCGACAATGCCGGGGACTGAAGCTGCCATGACATCTTCCAGCCTGTCTTGCTGTGTCAGCCCGGGGTTTCTTCCTCCTGTATGGAGAAGCAGGCTCGTCGGGTTGGCAACTCACGTGTCGGCGACGGCGGCAAACATCTCGGGGTTGATGAGTCCCCAGCCGATGCCAATGGCCGTGTTCATCCACTCGACAGACTCTGGAATGAGGTTGACGGTGGCAGTCTCGCCGCGGTCCTGCTCGCTCGACCACTCGACATCCCTGCCCTGGCGGACCAGATCCTTGACCCAGAGAAAGACGCCCGACGAGACGCAGAAGCCCAGGGGAATCAGGCCGAGGAGCCTGCCGCCAAAGAACTTGCCGACAAAGACGATGGCGATGAAGATCCCGAGGCAGAGAATGTTGGCCTTGCGCTCGAGCGAGGCGAACATGGGCTCGTAGCTGACGGAAGGCGTTTTGTAGAAGAGGACGGACGTCTTTTCGCTGCGGATGGGCACGTCCGAGGTGGAGCCCTCCTGAACGGGGTCGGGGGGCGCCGTTATGTCCTGGGCATAGCGATACTCTTCGCCCGACTGCTTGGACGAGACCTCGACGGTGGTGGGCTTGCCGAGGTTCTCGTTGGGGATGGAGAGCTGCGGGCTCGTGTCAGCATGATGGATGCGGCAGCCATGGATGGGCGCACCTGTGGGTTGTCGACGGCCTCTTTGTAATCTGTCTTGGCATCTTGAATGTCGACGTCCTTGCCCGTGACGGGGTCGCGGACAGTGCGCAGGTCTCTTCGCCTGGGCTTTTCCTCGTTGCGATGGTCCTTGGCCTCGCTGCTCAAGTTGTTCTGCTTGAGGTCGGCGTCAATAGCGGCGTCGCGTTTCTTCTTGTCGGCATCAAGCTGCTGGACAAACTGCTGGATGTTGGGCACGCGGTTGCGGCCGCTGTAGTGCTGGCCCGCGGGCATCACGTGCTCGTCAACGTCCATCTTGGCTCGCCGTCCTTGTTGGGACACCACCAACGCGTCGGTTGACGGGGGCGAGCAGTCGGATGTAGGATATTAGGGTGGCGGTTGGCCGTGTGCGCAGAGATGAGGACTTGTCTTGACCTTGGTGGGTGAGCAACGAGTCGAGGAGGGGGAAGCAAGCTCCGTGGTTGACGGAAAGAGGAGTTGAGAATTGGGAGAAAGGATGAGTCTCTGGAGCTGGGCCAAGGAATCGATGCCCCTGTTTATTTCTTCCGCCCCGGCTCCTTGCTTCTTCCAATCGACGACAAACGACGACGTCATGGTTTCCATGCCCCGTGCGTCTGATACAGCGAGCCTCGAGGTTGGAGCTGTGCAAGCTAACCTCTGGCAATGACGTAGTCGGCTGTTCCGATGGTGGAGGTTGGTCCGTGCAGGGATTCGTCGACACAGTGTCGGCCTGTCTGGACTGAACGCCCGCCATTCCACACTAGCTTAACTTAATAGTGCAGAGCTGAATGAAGCCTCTCTTTATTAATATCCGTACTCACCCCAGATATGATGCTGCTCTGTGTCTGTGAAGCCTGTGAAGAGCGTGTTTCACTTTCTCCTCCAATCCACATAGCAGCCTGAGGAGCATCTGCTTCACATTACCCAGGGCCGGACACTTTCTCTCACTCTGCATCACCAAGCAGCAACGCACGCAGCTCTTTCTTACCTTGTTGGAAATATTGATCGTCGTCTGCATCGACGAGAAAAAGAAAGTCTCGGCGAGCCCCGGCCCCGTCTGGTCCCAGCCCGCGCGCCTGGATCCAAACCAACAGCCGTGAAATCGCTGCAGTTGCCTGCCTGCCTGGCTTGGCTCTGCAGCCATCGTCCTCGCGCGCACTGGCCAGCTTGCGCCAAGCAGGGTCCCAAGATGCCGTCATTTCTCCCCAACCAGCTATTTTGCATCTCAATCGTGGCAGGCTTGGGTCTAGACCAATTTTATATCTCGAGCTATTATGTCGGATATCGACTATATACCATCAAGAAAGCTACCATATCTTTTCCTGGACCCATCTACCTCCTTTGCTCTCAACTGCGTGGTATATGCATCTCCCTCTCCCCCTTTCGCTCTTTGCCATGCACAACCAACAATTCCGACCACAACCGTCACTGTTGTAAGTTGTAACCCCCGAAAGTAGAATAAATCGCCAAACGCCGTGCTCTAGCCTCTCTGTGCGCTGGCCACAGAAAATTAGATGGCTTCAGCCACTGGTAGTCTTTTTTTCTTCCCTTCTTCTTCGCCATGGACCCGCCTCGTCAAGTCCCGTCACTGGCGCGGCTTACACGTTCTGGATGGGGCCTGCTTGGTCGCTCTCCTTTTTCGGTGCGTTTGCCATGGCAGCCACGTCCTGGCTCTGTTTCTCCGTCGGCGCCCCTTCGCCCTTTTTCTGTTCCTCTTCGGCGCCCACCGGGGGGCTCATGGGCTTCGTCGGCGCATACGCGCTACGCTCGCGAATCTTGCCGCCGTACTTGTAGAAGATAAAGGGGATGGGGGCCAGCACCGCGGCCACGCAGCCCAGGAGCGTCGCCGCCCACTGAATACCCATGCCCTCAAACATCTGCCTCGCAAACAGCGGGAAGCCGGCGCCGGCCAGCGACCGCAGAAACGTGTTTCCCGCAATCGCCGACGCCGCGAACACCAGGTACGCGTCGACGAGGTAATTGAGCGCCTGGAGGAAGATGGACATGAGTCCGAATCCGGTGAAGATGCCGCTGGCCGCCGGCACGGCCCAGTGGATGTCGGCCCTGTATCCAGTCCTGCGCGATGATGAGCAAAGAGCGAGCCAGGGGGGACCAAGAGTCAGCTTACCATCCAAACCAAAATATGCCAATGGTGAAGGAGACGCCGCCAGCCATGACGTTGGGCAGCCGCCATTCGGGGATCGGGACGCCGTTATTGCCGGCCAGCTTGCGCATGTACCACGGCTGCTGCGCAATCACGGAGGCCCCCGCAAGGAGCTGGCCACAAATCATGCCGAAAAATGTCAAGCCCGACTTGCCCAGGCTGAAGCCGTGCACGCCGACAAAGACGATGGGGTATGCCGTAAGAAATAGGTAAAGCAGGCCGTAGATGAAGCTCATGTAGATGGAGAGAAGCAGGATTATGGGCTCGGTAAAGAGGAGGCGCATGGGGCGGGAAAAGTTCTTGGTGATCAGCTCGCCAAAGTCGACCTCGATTTCCTCCTGCTTGGCGTGGATCCCCCAGTTCTTGGTCCGCCGCCGCAGCTCTGACGCCTTGCTGACGAGGAGGACGGGCGGGTACGTCTCGTTGAGGAAAAAGAAGTCGAGGATGAAGGCGGCAAAGCCCATGATGGAGGGCAGGTACTCGGTCCAGCGCCAGCCGAGGTGCGACTCGACAATGAAGCCGCCGATAAAGGGCGCCAGCAGCGGTCCGGTGAAGACGGCCATGGAGAACAGGGTGACGGCAATGCCTCGGGTCGCATTGTCAAACATGTCGGAGAAGACGGCGGCGACGACGGCCAGCGGGCAGGCGCCGAAGAAGCCGCTGAAGAAGCGGCACAGCAGGATGGTCTGTATATCCTTTGCGGTGGCGCAGGCAATGGAGAAGAGCGAGAAGCCAAACATGGCGACGACGAGGGGCAGTCTGCGGCCGCGCAGCTCCGACAGAGGGGCCCACAGAGTCGGGCCAAAAGCGAAGCCGAGGACATAGAAGGTGGTGCCGAGCAGGCCCACCTCGGAGCCGACGCCGTACTGCTGTGCCACGACGGCGGTGGAGCTCGAGAAGATGGACGAGGTAAAGGCCGAGGTCATGGTGGTGTAGCCCAGCATGGCGGCCGTCAGGACCTTTTTGCGCAGAGGCCAGTTCTGGGCGTGCAGGGGATCGTTGGGGCCGTCGAACTCGACCACATACTCTTCGCGATTCGGCAGTGGCGGGGGGTAAGGCTTGCCGGCGCCAAAGGCGGGCAGGGGCTTCCTACTGCTGGAGCGGCTGCCAATGCGGGAGCCGACGGTTGCCGTGTGCTGGCTGCGCTGGGTTTGGATCCGGCTCAGCTCCGTGGGGTGATGCTCGAGGGTGCTGTGGCCCGTGTTGCGACGAAAGACCTGGCTGCCATTGGGGCCGCGGGCCGAGAGGGACGACGAGGCCGTCGATGCCAGCGAGACGACCGACTCGATCTCGTTGCTGGCACGGCTTCGGTACAGGCCGGGCGAGGCGTCGCGCTCTGCCTCGGCAAGCTCTTGATCCACAATGTCCATGGGCATGGTGGGCGTGAGAGCTGCCGGCTTTGGCAGCGGGTGGATTCGGACACCGAGTGGTATCGATGTCGGGTTGCTCAGGAGAACTCAGTCGAGGGCGAGACGAGAGGTGGGAATGCCGGAAGAGTAGAGCGAGGATTGGGGAGAGGAAGAGAAAAAGGTGGTGGGGGAACGCCGGGGCGGTCAGGGTTACTAGGCTTGTGCTTGTGTGTAAGACTGCTGTTCCCCCTAGCTCATGTAAGTGTCAGTCAACCGGGGACATCATGTTAATTATAAGGCAGCAGCAAGCACACCACACGCAGGCCCGCGGCTCTCGGCACATTGCACACGGTCATTACAAATAGAGCAAAAAAATCGCTATTAATTAGTGATGTAACTGCAAAAGCCCAGGAGCATCCTGGCTGCATATTACGCAACGGACAATGGCGGCGGATCCGGTGGGGCGCCGGCGCTATAAGCGGGTATAATGGCTCTGCCACGGACCGGAAGGCCCAGCGCGTGGAGTCTCGGTCGGACGAGCCGAGGGCCATCCTCTGAAACAAAACAAATCTCTGCCCGCCAGTCCAACAATATAGCGGTAGTGCAAAGTATAGACGTACGCATTCGGGGTAGCGTGTGAATAGCGTTTGGATGCACAATGGCGCATCTTTTCCTAAGGCCGACGCCAGGTCCGAAAGCCGGCGCTCCGATCCTTGGAAGCCAAATGTTTCTTGCAGTCTGCACAGATACAGACAGACTCGACGGCCGGAAACCATCCGAGTGGCTCTTCCGGCATGGTCATGTTTATTGTTATTCGGATTCTTATGCAAGGAGAAGTAAATGGCCGCCGGGCACCTTGCTGTGTCGGGTTGGCGCCCGAAGCCCCGAGCGTGCGCTTCGGAAGACTTCCGGCCCATTGGGCATGGCCTCGGTGTCCGCCTTTACCGAGGTCTGGGGTGTCCGGGGCATTACCGAGAACTAAAGGTCAGCGGGTACATCCGAGATACCTGAGGGAGGCGTCGCATCACGTGATGCTGTCGATGAACCTCTCTTCCTCACCACCTCACCATACTCGAGATCTCAATCAATCCTTGCATCCCTGCCAAATCAAGTACTCATCATGTCCTGGCACTCCATGGATGAACCAGGGCGTAGGGCGCGCTGAACATGCAACTTTTGGTCCTATGCACTGCTTTGCTTCCTTACAAGCGGTACATGGGTTTCCGGAGAATTGCAAGACTTTGAAGCGGTTCCAACACATCTGGCTACAACACGTCATCAATGGACCCCCCAGCCATGCTCGAGCAGGGCCGTCGCTTCTTCCAGGCTCAGCCCGGCCGTCTCGGGGTAGATACGCCACACCAGCACATATCCCACGGCGCACACAGCCGCGTACAGCACAAAGGTCCACGATGGGCTCAGAGCGTCCATGAGCGGCAAAAAGGTCAGCCCGACGGCAAAGTTGGCCGTCCAGTTGGTCGCCGTCGCCACCCCGCTGCCCAGCGACCGCACCGCGAGCGGGAATAGCTCGCTCTGCATCCACGGCACGTTGCCCAGGCCCAGCGCATACGACGCCACGTACACCATGATGCTGGCCAGCACCAGGCTAGCGGCGCCGGCCTGCCCCGATTCATCTGATGCCAGGACCGTCGACGTCAAGCTAAGCGAGAGAAAGGAGAAGCCGACGGCGGCCAGCAGGAGCCCCAGCATCAGGACCGGCATCGAGTAGAGCAGCATGCGCCTCCGGCCCGTCCGGTCGATGAGGCCCAGTGCCACGAGCGTGAATATGAAGTTAGTCACGGCTACGCTGAGGGACGTCAGGGTTGGACTCGTGAACCCGACCAGCGTAAATATCGTGGCCGAGAAGTACATGAGCGAGTTCTGCGAGGGGGGCCGTCAGCTGGGGCACTTCACTAAGTGCAGTGACGAAACGAGTGCGCATACAAACCCGCATAGCTGCTGGAGTCCCTGTAGCAGGCAAGCAATCGCCAGTGCCCTGCGGTTCTTGCCCTCGCCCAGAAGCTCCCGCCACGCCCCGAGCCATTTCCCGGAGCCCTGTCCCCGGCACTCTCCAAGCCGCCTCGCTTCGTCTTCTTGGCCCGCCTCGGTCTCGATTTCCTTGACAACGGCATCCGCATTCCCAGTAGAGGCCGAGATTCTCTGAACGACGCGCCTGGCATCTGCCAAGCGACCAACCTTGACGAGCCAGCGCGGCGTCTCGGGCATAAAGACCACAAGGGCTCCCTGGATGGCGGCAGGCGCGGCGCCGAGCCCGACCATCCACCGCCAGCCTGTCTCCTTGGCAGCGTAGGCGGAAAAGGCCCAGCCGACGAGATAGGCGACCATTTGGCCCAGGGTGATGAAGAGCACGTTTGTGGTGACGACGCGGCCGCGGTGCTCGGCGGGCGCCACCTCGGCCAGGTACAGCGGCACGACGAAGCTCGCCGCGCCGACGCCCGCGCCGACGATGCACCGGCCGGCGATCATGACGGGCACCGTCGAGGCCAGCGCCTGCATGAGGGCCCCCGCGATGAAGAGGACGTCGGCGTAGAGGATGACGCGCTTGCGGCCGAGCTTGTCGGCGAGGACCGATGACAGTGGCGACGCAACGAGGGCAAAGAGCGATGTCGACGACGTGATGATGGACTTGTCCATGGACGTCAGGGGCCGGTTCGAGAGCGCCGAGCCGATGGAGACGAGAGTCGCCGATATGACGCCGGTGTCGTCTGCACCAAGAGCAGGTCAGCTGTGTGTGCCTTTTCCCCTCGAGGACTTGTGGCAGCCAAAGACGGCACGCAAGGGAGACTTGCATCCAAAGAGGAGGCCGCTGATGCCGGCGGCGAGGGTGAGGGCCAGGACGAAGGCGCCGGGGTTTGTGTCGGCCGGTTTTCCGGGCTGGCGCGGCGGGAGCTCGTCGCCGGCGTCGGAGGAGCGACGCTCGTCGGCCCGGTCCTCGTTGCCGGCCATCAACGGCGCCTGGGGGCTGTCTTGGTCCTCCATAATCGGGGACTATCCGCCTCCACTGCTGCCGGGCGCCGGAGTGGCAGTCGATTAACCGGACGCACGGCTGCGGAGCACAAGGTGCACCGTGTGATTACACAGTCTTGTTACAGTGTCAGCGTCCGGTTATTATCGGGGATAATTAACAGTCGCCCCGCCTCGCCGATTCAACAGCCGGGTGATTCCTAAACTGCTTTCGAGTCCGAGTCCGACGACGGCTGCTACTCTGCCGGCCTTTTCGCCAGTGCGACGAGGCTAAACTCCAAATTCCCGCCTGCGTGTTTCAGAAACCTCCTCACGCCCAGGTCCAGGGCACGATCGCTCAGCAGATCCTCCTCGCCACCCAGCTCCCCGCGGTCAATGGGTCCATCAACGCTCCCCTCGAGCTCCCACAGATGACCATCCTTGCCCTTGACAAAGGCGAGAAAGTGGTAGACCGCGTGCTCCTCTGCCCTCGGGGCGGCTGTGTCTCCCAGCCGCGCGGCGCGCATGTGCGCCCTCTCGAGCTCCTCACTGTCGTACAGGGCCGCCGCCCGCGGTATCGGCTTGAGCGGCGTTGCCCGTTCCAGCAGAGCGTGCAGGTCAGAACCGGGCTTGACGAGGTCGGCTGCCTCGCCGTTGGCTACGCAGTGGAGCAGGGCAATGAGCCCGCATGCGTTGCCGATGGTCTGCCGGAACCACATGACGGGCTCCGAGCTCCCGCTTTGGTCGTACGTCAGAGCGTCGCCCGCGGGCTTGACGAGGCCGTCGTCGGCACGGACGGCCCGGTACATGTCGGGCGGCGTGATGAAGATGAGGGCGAGGGCAGGGCGCGGGGCCAGCGAGAGCACGTGTGCGTCTTCGACACTGTAGACATCATAGAAGCCCAGTTGCTGGGAGACGCCGAGGTCGTGGACCAGTGACGTGAAGACGTCGGGGTTATTCTCGAGCGGGATGAACGTCTTTTTGCCCGAGGGCGAGATGAATACTCCTTCAGTCGGCATGGCAAGTGCTTTGTGCAAAGGAGGAGAATGCAGAGTCCAGGTGGCAGAGCGTGAGTTGCGCGTCTGCCTGCTGCCTACGCATGCAATAGAACTACAGGAGGATACGGCGTCTCTCTTCAGGAATATGGGGGGGGGGGGTCCCAGGGTAAGGCGGCCAGTGCCCTGCCGATGGCCCTGGAGTTACAGGCAGCCAAGCCTGTGGTGAGCCCAGTTACAGCGGGTGCAAAGGGGGGCCAAGCCTGACACGTGCGCCGCTCAGGGGTCCAAAAACCCCCTTGGGCTTGTCCTTGGGTGGTAAAGTACCATCACTCTGTCCGAGGTACATGAAGAACGATGTTTCCGCTTGCAGATACGAGCTCCGCTTCCGCAGGTACCTCTCATCAGGTCTCCCCCAGCCACAGCCACAGCTGGCCTGGCCGGTGGGCACTGAAAACGGAAAGCGGCGATGCTCAACCGCAACTCCTGATCGACTCTCTCCATCATCCATCCAAGCCATCCTCGCATCACGGCATCGCCTGTCCCAGTGCAACCCCCCAGTCTCCTCGCTTCGCTTGCCTACAGTATTCGCTCGCTCAACCGATCGCTCGACCATGGGCCTTTCCTCTGCTGCTGCCTCCGCCGTCGCCCGCTAATCATCCGTCCCTTGGCGCCCTCTCTTCTCGTCCCCCGTCGGCCGATCTATCCTCCGCCATCGATTACCCCCGGACTCCTCTACCTCAGCAATATCCCCGAGTCCCGCCGCTTCCACATAATGCAGGCCCCTTCGGCCTCCTCACAGCGAGGCTTTGCCCGGCGACGCTCTCCCGCCGGCGACCTCGGACCTCCGCCCAATGTGCGGCCCAACTCGCCTGGCCCGGCAATGCAGTCACGTCCATCCGCGGCCACGTCTCGGCCAGCTCACCCGGCCAGCTCAAGACGCTCGAACCGCGAAGTGAGCCTCCGTGCCGCCCACGGGCGCGCAGCCGCTGCTAACCTCCTTCGTCGCCTCTAGTCCCCCGGCAACAGCGCCAACTTACCTCTGTCGCAAATCGAAAAGAGCGTCACCCACCTTCTTGTCGCCACAAAACAGCTGCTCGAAACCCTGACGCAGTGGTCCCGCGGTCAGGCGACCGATTCCCAAGTCTCCGACGTCTACGTTCGACTGGGCTACGAGTTCAATATGGCCTGCCGCGCCTTTGCCGCCATAAACGTCGACACGTCCGACCTGGGCAACGTCCCTGAATCGCTGCGACACATTCTCGAGGCCACTCTGAGCCAGGAGGCGAGCGCAGAGAGTCTGGAAAAGTACCTGCCCAGAATCCGAGACATCATAATTAGTCTGCTCCACGGCCTGAAGCGCAAGCAGCAGAGGCTACGGCAGAAGCAGCAGGGACGCGATCGCGAGGGCAATCCCCTCCCGGAGAGGACCACCAGTGTGAGCACTGTCAATAGTGTCAATAGCGGCCTGACCAACTTGCTCGAGGAAGGGCTGGAGAACGGTTATCGGCCGGAAGCTCAGCGCGGAGATGCTACGCAGCAAGCCGCCGCCCAGCCATCCCCAAGTCGTCGATTTCAAGCGCAGCGAGACGCTTCCCGCGGTTCAGCAACCTCGGAACAATCGTCGCTGTCCAGCAACACAATGCAGAATATCCCCGTCATGCCACCCTACCCAGCAGATGGCTCGACCATGCCCTCCGCGTCGTCGGCCAGCGAACTGAACATCGACGCATTCCCCCCTCCTCCACCACCGCCTCCAGACAACCAATCCAGCGCCCTGGCAGCCTTGCAAAAAGGTGGCGATCTCGAGCGACGGGCCTCTCGACGATACTCGCAGTACCAGATATCCAAGCATCTTGGCGGCGCGGCCAATGGCGTGCCCCTCCTCCCTTCCCAGAACTCTCCCATACCAAACAGGGGCAGAAGGGAAGTGAGGGAGTCGTTGCGCGCCGTGCAGTCCCGAGAATCCGCTCACCACAACCGTAACGTCTCTTCCCAGTCCCGGCTCGGAGCGGTTGACTCCTCTCCAGCTAGAATTCCGAGCCGGGTGTCCGAGGAACCTACGACTGAATTATCCGAGACTCCTCCGGCACCGGCCGAAAGCCCAGCTGCGAAAAGTCTCGAGGACGAGAGCGCACCGAAGGCGACCGTCAGCGGCCCTCAGCTGGAGCCTGTCTCGTTCGTCCCTGAGCCGAGTCGCGCAGATCCCGAACCGACCAAGAAGGAAAAGACAAAGGCGGATGAGACCCATCCCATCCCACACCCGCCAGAAACGAAGCATAGCGAATCCTTCTTCCAAGTCTCTCCGCCCCCGACGCCAACCAAGGATCTCACACTCTTTCTGCAATACAGGTCCAAGGTGAAGAAGATTATGCTGCCCGAGGGGAGGGACGAGCTTTCGATTGGGCGGTTGCAGCTCGCCTTTATCGAAAAATTCTCGTGGAGTACCCAACATAATGGGGCAGACTTGCCTGAGATATATATACAAGACCCTGTGTCGGGTGTGCGGCACGAGCTGGAAGACCTTTCCGACGTCAAAGACCGGACTGTCCTCGTCTTGAACGTGGAGCCCTTGGACGAAGTCAAGAGACATATTGACGACGGTATGTCGGCCCTCACCAAAATCGTCAGAGAAGTCAAGCAGCATGTGGACGACCAGGGCGCCACTCTCCAGAGAGTCTCGGATCGACAGCAAGAGGCGGCCGGCGAACTGGCTCGGCTAGCCACAGTCCAGCCGACAGTGATGGCAGCAGGGGACGGCTCCAAGGCCCTAACCGCACCAGGTCGGAAGCTCCGTGCAGATCATCTCGGCGAACTGAAGAACCTCAAACGAGATCTCGCGATTATGCGCCAGACATACTCGAACTTTCAGTCCGAGATTCAAAGCTCAATGTCCTCGATTCGCAGCAAGGCCGCCAACGTCAAGACAGCAGCTGCCAAGGCGGCAATACCGGACATGGAAGGCGATGCTGGCTTCTCGTACGTCACGGGTGGGCGAAAGCAGCTCAGCACGGACTCGGACCGACTCGTTGGTAAAGTGGACGACCTTCAAGACTTGGTGGAGGATCTTCGTAAGGACGTGGTGCACCGTGGCGTGCGACCCTTGCCGCGACAGCTCGAGGGCGTGGCAAAGGATATCACGGGGCTCACCAAGGAGCTCAAGCGGATGGAGGACTATATGAAGCAAGAGAAGCCCATCTGGACCAAGATTTGGGAAAAGGAGCTTGAGGACGTATGTCAGGGCCGCGACGAGCTCCGCCTCATGGAGGACCTGCTGGTAGACCTGCGAGACGACTTGGAAAAGGCCGGCGAGACGTTTACGCTCGTCGAGCAGGCCACCAAGGAGCAAAACAAGGACAACGGCACGGGGGCGAGCGCGGGGTCGGCGCGGCAGTTCTCCAAGGGCCTCAACAGCCTTGGCAACAGCTCGGACCAGAGCGCGGCCAAGGAGGACGTGCTGGGCGAGGTGCGGGCGCTGCAGCCCAACCATGAGGACCGGCTCGAGGCGATTGAGCGCGCCGAGAAGCTGCGGCAGAAGGAGCTTGAGGGCCGGCGGGGCAACGCGCTGCAGCGCGAGATCTCGACGTTTGTCGACCAGGGCAAGCTCAAGAAGTCGGGCGGCTTCGAGGAGGTGGAGCGCGCGCGCAAGGCAAAGGACGAGCGCATCCGCCGCGAGGTCTGGGAGCGCCAGAACGGCATCGTGCCCGAGGATCCCGTCGGCGAGGACGGCGAGGACGACGACGCGCTGCCCGACGACGAGGATGAGCTCGACGCCGCAGAGGCCGAAGCGGAGGCCGTCGAGGCCGAGGAGGCAGAGGAAGCGGAAGCGGAAGCCGCAGAGGCGGCCGCGGAAAAGGAGGAGGAGGAGGAGGGTGCCGACCCAGCAGTGGCGGACGAGAAAGCACCCGTGCCGGCGCCCGAGGAAGCTTGACGTATGGCGATCAATGCCCCAAGGGGAGCCCTACCCGCGCCCGGCCAAGGCTGCTCTGGTCACTGTCCTTTTCTTCCTTGCGCTTTGGTTATCCTCGATTCTACTTGATATCAATGTCCCATTCGGCGATTTCCATAGGTGTTGCGACTCTTTGTATCATAGGCTACACATGTTTCTGCCTTGCTTATACGTTTGGGAGGGGGGTTCTTTCAATCGCAGAGGCCGCTTTCCCAGCCATCTTGTCAACTTGGGGGGGCATGCTCCGGCTTTGGTATGAATTGACGATGGCTTTTCTCTTCGGTGCTGCCCGCGTCCCACACGCTCTAATTGTAGCCCCCCTTTTTTCCGCCGACATGATCCAAAAGAAACCAAGGGTGCAGAAACAAGTCCCCTGCTTGCAATCATGGCCCTTGCATACATTAATCGTGGTGCCCTTCAATTCAGAATCTTCTTCACGGCGACCTACTCGGTATTCGCCCTTTCCGAATCAACCGAGCAACACGAGCTTCTTCATGCTCGTCACAACCGGTGGCTCCAGTCTCTTGCTCTTTCCCTGCATCCAATCCTGCAGCACGGCGTCGCCGCCTGTTGCCCTCCAAGCGCCCGTTTCCTCCGTCTCGCCAGCCCTCTGCATCCCCTCGCCCCCCCGTTGGTCTCCCTCAGGGGCGGCAAAGACCTGCGAGACGGCGCACTCGCTGGCCTCGACGACGTCGGCCATGAGAGCTTCGGCGGCGCGAGCGCGCTCCGCCATGCCGCGTCGGACCAGCGCAAAGACGAGGCGCTCGACCTCTGCCGCGGTCGCGCCGACGCGCTCCACCAGGCGCCGGATGCTGTTGACGAGATATTCCTCCTCGTAGACGGTACCCTTGCGGCCGCGCGCGCGCTTCTTCTCCTCGCGCCGCCTGTTCTTGCTCGTCGCGCGGCTGACGCCCGTGCCGACGGTGCCGATGCTGCCGGCCTTGCCCGTGTACCGGGTAAAGAGGCTGGCGCTGGTGCTCATGCGCGAGCTGGCCGCGACGGAGACGTCGTCGGGAATGTCCGCCCCTCCGGCGCGCTCGCCCTCGTAAAAGGCCAGGGGGTCCTCGGCGGCCTTCTGGCGCAGCTCGGCGATGCGCGGAACCTGCGCCATCAGCTGGCTCTTGCAGTCGGCAAGGAACTCCGTGGTGCTTCCAAGAGCTTCCGTGAGGCCCCCGTCCACGGCCGTCTCGAGGAGATCGGGTCGGCCTCGCTGGACGACGATGCGGATGGCCTCGGCAAAATGGTATCCCTTGCAGAGGCACTTGACGGCGGTTTCGAGGGAAGAGAGATGGTCCAGGTGAATGGTGGCTGCGGCGCTGTAATCTTTGGCCTCCCAAAGGGCATCGGCGAGAGTCGTGGCGAGGTCGGCCATGGCGTCGGTAGAGAGACTCGGGGACTGCTGCTGAGCTGTATACAGGCATTCCTGCCAGCACGTGGCGCCGGCCGCCCGGTAGCAGCTCGTTGCCTTGGCGTAATTCTGGAGAGATTCAAAGGCGAGACCGGCCTCGCGGAACGCCGACTTGGATTCGAGGTGGACGGCGTAGAGGTCGGTCAGGATGCGAAATCGAGGCGCATCGTAGCGGTAGAGCTGGAGGGCATCTTGGTAAAGGCTATGCTTGGTGGTGTAGTCGCATAGCTCGTCAAACGCCTCGAGAGTTTGCAGGTAAGTCAGGGCTTTAGATCGGCGTGCGAGATGGTTGTCAATCTCGAACTTGCGACGCAGCTCGGATAAGACGTGGAGGTTTTGGATAAAGGGAAGGTACTCGCGAGGATCTCGCTGGGACTGCTGCGCAACCAGCAGTGCAAGGTCGAGGTCGTACAGCCCGAGGGCGTTCTCGTACACGCGGTTGACGTCGACCAGGAAGCATATGTGCTCTACCGCCCTCTCCGCCAGCTTTTCGTCCTCCTGCATCAACTCGGCGACGAGAGCCAGGCCGCCGTCCAATGCGGGCGGCACCTTGCATACGTGGGCGGTGATGATGTTCTGGAGATTGGTGGCCTTTCTATGTTGAAGACGTTTGAGCAAAGCGTCGCACACCGTGTTCACTTTCGAACCAGTCGGCTTCGCCGGCACAGAGCCATTGTCTCCTGTGATATCGCTGCTTGGTCGAGGACGCTTGGTGTCTTGGTACATCGTCTGCGTGACATCTTCCTCCCTGCAATCTCGTCAGTCTCGACGTCAGGGCAGTCATGTTTGTGTTTGGGAGATTACTTGAGAGACGACAAGAAAAGGTCAATGTGTGCAACTTCCTTGAGCTGATCTAGAAAAGACCCGACGCTCGCCAGGAATTGCGCAGGTTGATGGTCGTGTAAAATGTTCATATCCACCCGCTGCGTACGGCAATATGAAAAGGCACGGGCATAGTTCCTCTCCTCAATCAGGCTGCGGATTCCAGCCACGACCATGGCGCGTGGGAAGATGGTTTCGACGTTTCCTCTCGGCATCTGCAAGACAATACTCATATTGGTGGGGATGGCGACCACCAGGCGCGAGCCGCGTTCAATGCTCCGGCATCGCTCGTCCTTTTCCGGGTCGTCTGCTGGGACTTCCAGGCCTGGTAGATATGTTACTCGCTGGCTCGTGCAAGGGTCATGCAAGGGAGTGCGGAAACGGGGCGGCGTACCTTGGACTTCAGGGGTCAGGTGCACATACTTGACGAAATGGTTGCCGGTTGTGAAGATGAGGTGGCTCGGCGTGACCGTAAACGAAGTACAATTCTTGGCCAGCAGTCTGGAGTTTGCATAGATATGACCATTTCTTGAAAGGCCAAAAGCCAACGCGGTAGCCCCCGGTTTGCTGATCTCGAACCAGGGGAGGTTGGACGGAAATCGAACCGGCAGAAGCTCCGAGCCCGACTCTGACAGTCTGTACAGGTTCCCTGACAGGTCTTGGCCATAGCCCTCTGCAGAAGCGTCGTCCTCAAAAGTCGTGGTGGATACCAAATCTCGCTTGTCCTCAATGATGTTCATTTGGCCGGCCTCTACATCAACGCTGAAATACAAGCGGCCTTCATCTTGGTAGGCGATGCAACGGTAACTTCCACTTGCGGTGCAGCATATCTGCAACGGCAGACACTTTGGCGCCTTTTCCTCCGCCGGGAACGGCACCCTTGCCCTCAGCTGGGGCTTGACGGAACGTCCGTTCTTGAGGGGCATATCGTAGATATCAACGCCCTGTTGGTGCAAGACTGCCAGTGACGTGTTTTGACGGCCAAACGCTACGTCGACCACTGGGGCTTCGGCCACGACGTCGAATAAGGACATGGGTGGCGGCACATTTGCTGTACGAAAAGGGGTGAGTTTGACAGTCTTGCCGTCGATGACAGCCACGGCGCCGTTGTCGAAGGGAGAGCGACAAGTTCCTCGGGTGGTGTGGAATATTTGTTCCGCCAAGATAACACTTGCAGAGGTAGAGGCAGCGAGGCGGAGAGCCTTTTCGGGGTGCCAGGCGAGCCAAGGAAGACGGTCATCGGCAGGGAACTCTTGCTTCAGGTACCAGTGGTAGTTGCCCATGGACCAGAGTTGTATAGTGCCTTTGAGAATGACGGCGAGAACGGTGGAGTCGGAGTTCCACGCGAGTCGAATCTGGCTTTGAGAGATAACTGGGTTCTCGAGACGGCCCAAGGTGAATTGGCCGTGACGAAGGCCATTCCTCTCAAAAAAAACGACGTCGACGCGATCCTCGAGGCGCTGGACTCCTGCAATCAGATTGCCCGTCGGCCTCCAGCTGAGGGGGCTCTCGAGCCCGTCCACTGGCTCGCTGGCACTGTCGAGCTCCCCTTGACGAGAATAGACGCGAACGACGCGCCGGTCGGGTTGCTGGACCGAGTTGATGGCGACATAGGCGCCGTCGCCTCGCCAGCTGATGCTGGTTGAGCCATCCTCGTGGGAGCTGGGTAGGCCTTGATCGACCTTGTCTGGAATGGTGGGATCGCGCAGGGCCTTGGCGCCTCGGCCTTGGAACTGCGTCTCCTTTTTGCCCCAGCCGACGGAGACGTGCTTGGAAGCCTTGAGGTCATCTGGCGTCATGGCAACCTCGACCAAGGGATCCAAGGAACTGGACATGAAGATGACGGTATCGGCCTTTGTCGCGACGGTCAAGAGCTCCTCATCGGGGGACCACGCAGCGGCAGCCACGCCGGCATCGATGGAGCCGACGATTTCCACGCGGGCCCCCTCGGCGTCCGATGAGTGAGCCTCTTGGACGGTGATGATGTCGCCGCCCTCGAGGACAATGCATGTCGTGGCCGAGGCCCCCAGGTAGTGGATGCTGACGACGCTGTCGGCTGGCAGATGCGGGCTTGGACTGGGAGCATCCCAGCGGACGACAGTTTGATAAGAGCTTGACAAGGCGAGGTCAGCTGGAGGCTGCAGGTTCAAGGATTGCTGCGACTCACATGGGCTCCGTCTCGGAAAGACGGACAAGTTCAATGCTCGGGTCGTGGGACGTGGGCCCAATGGTACAGAGAACCTCATCCTTGTCGGGATCCCAGCAGGCTGTAGTGACGGGCGATGAGTGGTTGAGGGAGCAGCGGCCGAAGCGGACGTTGCGAAGGTTGCGCATCGCGGGCTCGATGCAGCCTCTTTGGGTCAATCAAGACATGAGGGGGGATGGACTCTATCGGGTCTGATGAGTTTGAATATGCCTTGGAGTGTCGAATGAGGTATGCTGTAAGAACAGGCACGAGGCACGTGAGGAGGAAGAGAGGTGTCGTGGTTACACGCTCCTCAAGCAGGCAGTGGACCAAAATTTTCCCAGGTGCCGTCTCGTGGTGTTGGCAGCTCACCAGCCACTTGGCAAGTGCTTCTTCTACTTAGGTACCTAGGTTCTTATCTAGTACAGGTACCTCACTACCTCACTCAGGGCGGCGCAAGAATTTCTCTCGGCGGGCAAGAATTACAGCGCGGCTCCGTCGGAGTGACTTTGAGGCGCCATGTACATGTACAAGTCTACCAAGGTATCTACCTAGTACCTTGGTTCTCAGTCCAGCTGGAGCTTGACCGAGAGACCAGGATATCTGTCGGCATTGGCCTGCATATACGGACACGGGATGCGTAGAGCGTGTATCGAGAGAGCAGTGAGCAGGGAGAGGTGACGCGAAGCCTCAGCTGTAGAGTTGCATCGCGGACGGGTTTAACCCCAACAATGACCGTCCCAGGGCCTCGCTTGGCCTTGCGACGCCCCGGAGAATTTCCCCGGCCGCCAATACGAAACAGAGACACGACTAGTACAAGCATGTACTGACACATGACGAAAGCAAAGGGAAAACGAGGCTGGCTTGTCGCCCTGCAATCAACTTGGACGAGTGAGAATGATGAAGCCGACGTTTCAGGGACCTGCCGCTCAGGCTACAGAGCAGGCCGGCTTCGCGGAAAGTACCTACCTAATGAATACCCGTACGTACGTATCCGTACCTACCTATCTACCTACCTAGGTAGGTAGGTCGGTGATAGATACAGTACATACATAGGTAGGTAGGTACGAGAAGATGGGCAGGTACTGTACCGTATCGGCAGCCACGCCCCAAGGGCCGTGCACCAAAACCGCCGGACGGTACTTGCCCAATCAGGAAAGAATTAAGGTATGTGCAAGGAAGCATGCAGTTCGTCATACGGGCTGTTGCCGACTCTTCCACCCTGAACTGAACTCAATCATTCTGGCCAATCCTTTCACCGTTTTGTGCAGATACCCGGTGATCTACGTCGAACCGCCCCCTGACCCTCCCCCCCCCTTGCCTGTGGTTTGGCCCCCGCCGCCACGATGAGGAAAAGACGGTTGAAGCGTCAACGTCTTTGCAGTGGCGGCCGTTGCCTCTCGGTGAGAACCCCGGCTGCGCGAGGACGTTTGGTGGGAATACGAATTCAAGCCATGGCCAGCGCCAGCTTGGTGAAGACCAGGTCAAAATAGGCCCCTGTGGCTGAAGGAATCGCCCGACGTCCTGGTCTCATCCCCCGTCTTTTCCGCCATTCGTCTCTTTTCCGTTTTAGGCCCGCTTGCTTGTCTTCTTTCAAACCACTAACAGCCGGGGGGGCCGTGGGTGGTCCCCTAGACCGCCGACTCGTCCAAGCCATGCTCCGGCTATTAAACCCGTCCGGCCGCCTCTCTTTCTTTATCTTCCCTTTTCTTCGTGGTTGTGGAAAATATGGTGAGCAGCAGGTGAAACTCTTCTCGAATCCTGCTCACTCCGCGGTTGAACCTCTCCTCCTCCTCTCCCCCACCCACCCGTCCCGTCTCCATGAGGTCCTGTCTGTTGACGGGCGCCGCTTCCTGCCTGCTCGGGCTCACGGCCGCCGCCGGCATTCAGCCAATCGTCCGCGTGCAGAACCCAGGAGGAGCAAGTGGCGGGCAGTGGGCCAGGTCCATCAACCACACGTCGACGGGCGTCGTCTTGAACCCGCTCCAGATCAGTCGGGGCAGGGGCGAAGCCATCAAGCCGGGGACGGAGCTCCGCATCCTGTGCGCCGGCGACTCCATCACCGTCGGCACCTTTAGCGACACGGACGGCGGCGATGGCAACGGCTACAGGCTTCGTTTGAGGAACGACTTGTCGGGTGAGCGGGCGCCTCGTTTTGTGCGACGCTGGCGTTTTCTTCGTGCCACTGACACCATCAATGTCTTAGCCGACAGGGTTTCTTATGTCGGAACCGTCACCACCAAGGGCGGCAACATGAGCGACGGCTACTTTGTGAGTCCACGCCTGCCCATTGACCTTGAGATGCCGCAGGGCTGACCCTCTCTCCCTGGTCCGCCGCGGAATAAAAGGCAGCATGGCCAAGCAAGACGATCCAGTACATAGCCGATAACATCGATCCGTCTCTGCAGCAGCGACCCAACGTCATCCTCCTTCACGCCGGCACAAACGACATGAATCCCAACCACACAATCTCGACCGAGGGCAACGATCCTGCACAGGCCGTCGACCGCCTGGGCAGTCTCGTCGACCGCATGATCGAGCTGTGCCCGGACGCCGTCATCCTCGTGGCCATGATCATCAACACGTGCGACCCTGCCCAGGCCCCGGCCACGCACGAGTTCCAGAGCCTCATCCCCGGCGCGGTGCAGCGCCGCTACGACGCCGGCCACCGCGTCCTGGCCGCCAACTTCACCTCGTTTCCCACGACGGAGCTCCGGGACTGCATCCACCCGACCAACCCAGGGTATAGTCTGTTTGGCGACTTTTGGTATGACTTTTTCACGCAAATTCCCCGCGACTGGATCCAGAAGCCCATGGCGGCACCCTCGAAACCCAAACAGCCCGATTCGCAGCCGTCTTCAGGCGAGAGCCCCAGCCATGCGGTCTTGAACCGGAGCCTCGTGGCGCGACACGCACTTGTCGCCTCCCTCGTTGCGTCTTTGACGATTCTGGTCTGCTAAAACTGGGGGGACGACGGTCTTGACGTGAGGCTTTCTTTGGATACGCATTCGCACACGACCTTGGACATTTACATCAATTTACGCAATAAACTTGTACATATTTGAATAATTAATGTGCCTCGTCACAACCCTCTGGGAACGGATTGGGTATAGAAGCGGAGAGGGGTTACACGCATTCAGCACGGGCGGTCGATGTGGAGAAGTCGTCTTTTTGCTTCTTTGTTTGAGTTTTGAGGCCCCAAGATACCCGGCGACGCGGCACGGTTAAAAATGACGGAAAGGTTATAGACGGACAGAGGGCGTTTTGGCGCAGGCGACGGTGGGTTTGACGGATTTAGTTGATTGGATGAATTACGAAGGTGTCGTCGTCTCACGCCTCCTTTTTCCTTGGGCAAGAGCAAGTACAGTAGGTGAGCAGGGCTGGTATGTATAGTATGCACAAAATGTAGAAGAAGCGCCGAGGCAAAATACGAAGCGGTGCACCGAGGAGGCAAAGACGGCACGACTGCCCATTGGATCAAACGGCGGCGTGGATGCAGCCGCACATGATGCCGTTGCAACGGGCCGAGTCGGCATCGAGCCGGAAGGGCGAGCCCAAGCCCAAGCCGTGGCGAGAAGAGGCGAGCGTCTTGCCACTTTGCCGCGGCCGTCATGCGGCTTGGAGATCTGACGTGCATCGGCGGCGGATGGGCAAGCGTTGATTGCCTGCGCAACCCTGCTTGAAAGCCCGGCCGACTGACTGGCCAGCATCATCAGGCGGTTTCTTCCCCTGACGCCACCTTCTCTCCTCTCCTTCGACAACCTTGGTCTCGCGTGTTTTTGTATTGTGCGTGGCATGACATGGCATGTGGGCGAGCCTCACGTCTCATGATTCTGCCCCCATTCCCAATGGCCCGGCATGCCCGATGCGGCAACACGCACCCTTATCGTGCTTGACAGGTTGAGGAAATCTGCCCGGCCTGGCTACCTCGGCCCGCCGACTTATCAAGGGCCCTTTGGTTCTCTTCTTTCTCCTTCTCGTCCGAATCCGTACCGTTGCCGCGGCCCCCTCTCCGATCGACCGCACACCAGGCTAGCGTGTCGTACTTTAAACCTCGCTACTGCGATCCAGACCGCCCTTGTTTTCCACCACCACCCCCTCCTTTCCGCCTCGAGCCCTTTCACGCTCCCGCATTGCAAGCCGCAAGAAGCCAACAGAACAACAGACATCGTTGAGCACCGCGGCTTGTTCGCATTGCTACGTGCTCCAGCTTGGCAATTGCGCCTCCAACATGGACTTGGCCTACAATCAACACGCCGACCGAGCGCGGCGCAAGAACCGCTCCGGCACAAACATCAACCACCTCTCGCTCGCGCCCCTCACCGCCAAGCTCCCCCTCAACGACGGCGACGACGTCCTCGACTCCCCCGCCCATCCCTACACCACCTCGTACCTCCAGGGCAAGTCGGCTCCCACGACGCCGCGCCTCCTCTCCCGCTCCGCCACGCCCTCGCGCTCCCGCTCCCACCAGCGCGTTCCCTCAGCCCCGGGCATCCCCATCACCAAGAGCGTCTCCACGACCCATCTCGCCGCCACCTCCCACCCGAAGAGACCCGCCTCGGGCACGGCAACACCCCGCCGGCGGAGGGACGATGCCCTGGACGGCGGCACCGACAGCGATTGGCTGCTGCGCACCGGCGCCCTCATGAGCTCCGAGGCCCGCGAGTACAAGGGCCAGGCCTGGCTCGTCTCGCGCCAGAGCTCCACCAGCCTCACCGGCATGCGTGATGCCGACGAGGAGGCCTTTGAGCTCGAGCTCGCCCGCGAGCGCGACATGGCCAGCCGCCTCGCCAGCCGCCGCGGTAGCTCCGTCCTGGCCGACGACGACGCCACGCCCAACGGCAGCAGGTTCCCCAGCCGCTTCCACAGCCGTTCCCACAGCATGGCCGAGTCGCACAGCCACGCCGGCACCCCGCTCGACCGCCCGGACGATGGCGAGGGCTCCTACTTTCCCGGCCAGGACGTGTCCATCGTCCGGCCCGACTTTGTCGACCTTGACGAGAAGCTCGAGGAGCTCGAGCTCGACACGTCGTACGACGACGAGGCCACGGTCCGCCGCCTGGTCCGCCGCGGCCTGGCCGGCAAGGGCTCCTGGATCAGCAATGTCATCGGCTGGTCGCTCTTCTCGGTCGACGAGGACGACGAGCACTCGGCAGACGACGACGACGATGAAGATGAAGATGACCGAGGAGGGGCGCTCGCCGATGAGGACATGCTGCGGGAGGGTCGCACCGGATGGTCGGCGCGGCACTTTGAGGGCGTGTCCAACGCCCCCCCGTTGGAGCGCATCCCGCCTCCCGCAACGGACGCGGGCGGGTGGAAGGATGCCGCCTGGCTTCTGAGCGTGGCTTCCAAGGTCGTTTTCTGATAGTGACACATACATATTCAACCAATCACGTACAAGACACTCACGTCGGCTGGCGGGCTTTTACTTGGGAGCTCTCTCCGGGGACCCTCCGGGGGGGGCCGCGGGGGGGGGGCGGTTGGACACTGCAGTGCTATTGTTCTACCACGGTCTGCAGCTGCTGGGGAGGGCAACGCTGGGATGTTTTGGGGGCGTTGGTCTGCCGCCTGTATTGGTACACAAGCAAGACACATACACAGTAGCTATACTACGCACACACTCTTTGGTGTTGCAGATGTGGCCCAGCCTACAGCAGGTACGGATCATGTGCCCACCACTCGAGGGCTATGGGCGGGCATCACGCCGTCCCTGTAAATATGAGGTCGCGGCGCAGTTGCCGGCAAGATGGAAAAAGGTGGTTACCGAGACCCAACGGGGGCCTTGCTGCGGACTGGAGCCCCGAGGAAAGAGGGCCGGGGCTCGGGCGCAACTTTGCCCTGCAAACACGGCATGACACGCTCACCCATGACTGTCCATGGATACTATTTTAATGGAGAATGGAAGAAAAAGAAGGGTACATGAATTAAATGAGGACGCAGTCTCCCGGACTAGCCTTGTTGTGAATATTGACGCATGCATACCGTGCCTGCCACGGAGGATCAATGCATATACTCAGTAATTAATACATGATGGATGCGCTGCACAGTTCTTTGTACAGTACGAAGCTAGGCTCTCGATGACGCCCAAGAGGGGGAGGTGGCAGAAGCAAGATGACGTCTCGGCTCATGCGCGGCGAAGATTGGGCTCGCCCTCCACTCTGTGTCGCTAGCAGAGTGAAGGTTTGATGGAAGATGTCGTCGTCCTTTTCCAGGAACAGCCCAGGCCTGTCTTGGGATAACTGCTTCGCTTTATTAGGACAGGACTATCCGGGACCGGAGCCCCCTCCCCTCCGTCTGTGTAGAAAAGAAGAAGTCCCTGCATGGAACAAACAAGTGGGACAGAAACGCATCTCGACTATATAAAGTAAATTACCGGTTGGCAAGATGGTCCGAATATCGTGTGCGATCGTCACCGGGACAAGGCAGCTGGCGAGAGGAGGACGGCGATGATGCCCCAATTGCGAAGCTCAAAGTCGACGGTGGGTTACATTGTGGACGCTCGTCACCTGCGGCCAGGTAAGCAAGGAGGAGGGTGCTAGCCAGTTGCAAGCGGGCTCGACAAATGGTCGTCGGGGTTTGCGGTCGACGGCGTTTGTGGAATCAGTGCGCGACCGGGGGGTGGGGAGGAGATGGGGGAGCGGCGGGCGGCGGGGGGGAGAGAGGGGAGAAAGCGAGGGGGAAGTCGAACTAAAAAAGCTCTAGGAGGGGTGGAGGGACCCGATGACGTAATGGGCTGCTGCCCGCATGCCTGTAGCCCAATGCCCCGCGGGAACGTCCACCAGCGCCGTCTAAGAGCACTGTATCCGTAAACATCGCCGGCATTTCGGCCGGGCTGAGATTGTACAGTACAGTCGGTGAGGAACCTAAGTTAGCTCGTCTTGGCTGCAGGGACTCAGCTCGCGATGGCTCCAAGATGGCCAAGACACATGGCGAGCACGTGACTAGCCCCGAGTCGTCCGTGGCGCTAGAAGCCTCGTGGGTCCCCTGCAGGCCAATTCAGGCCAATTCCATCCCACTGCAGACTTCAGCTACCTGCTCTGTACGGCACTGCTTGGCTCCAGCCGCACGCCCGGGACGCCGTCGCACCGGCCCTCCGGTCAAGTCGACCTGTCGCATGAGCGGAGCGTGCGATGCCCATTGTTCCTTTTGCTTCCCTCTTGCGCAATCCAATGGGGGCGTGTGTGTGCTGTACCGGTACATGCGGCTACAGTAAGCCATTCACCGCATCGTCAATATAAGCCGAGATATGAGGTATATCGACCCTTGCCGGGGGTCACCGCATGTACGTCCAGAGGCAGTTTCGTCGCTTGCAAGCTCCCGTTTCTTGGCACCGGCCATCATACTTTGTGCCTCCAGCATACTTCGATATAGGTCCGCTAGTAGCGGCGTCGAGTCCCCGTTCCTCACTCGAGCTCGGCGCCGTCTTCCTCGTACAGGATTGCTCTTCCGGCTGCTTCATTTCCAAATAGACCCTGGGCAAATCATAGCCATGTACAATGAATGAATGGCCTCTTCAGCGTCAAGGTGGTCACCCGCCGACCTGCCGAGTAACCGAACTGACGGAGCCGATGGAGGCGCCTTTGCTATAATACCCACCCATCCACCTCTTGACAACGCCCTAATATTCATTCTCCTGGTTGGACGAGCGGAGCGGAGGGCAGCATGGCAGGAAGAGAGGAGCGGGAAGCAGAGGGACGAAGAAGGTCCATCCATACATACATCCATACCATACATACACACCTTACCTACTGTATATCGGCACACGTACGGATACCGGTACATATAGCACCCCAGGTCCTCTGCAAAGGGCCCCTTTTTCCTTTTTTCTTCTTTTTTGCTTTGCGCCCACACACCTCTTCCTCCCACCCACCACCCATAACCTCACTGCACCCCGAGTGCTCAACCCTTTCTCTCCCCGCAACCATTTCTACTGAGCGTCCTTTCCGACCCCTCGAGAGCGAGTTACGACAGCAGCGAGACGGCAGCGAGACGGCGCCGGCGCCTCGTCACTCTGATTACATCACCCTGCCTCACCCTGCCTCACCCTGCCTGACCCTGCCTGTACCTACCTAGAAAAAACCCTCCATTCCGCCCCGACATTACGTAGGTGCCGAGTAATAAGGTACCCCGCCTCCCATACAGCCCATCAGCGCCTCCTCCCTCGCTTTTTTCCCACGGCCGCGGCTCTTGTGCGCCACGTCTCATTCCGCGCATTCGCTCGCTCCAACATCCATCCATCTATCCATCCATCCTTCCTTCCTTCCTTCTCCCTCCCTCGCTTGGCTGCGTGCACAAGCACTGTCCGCTTGGCGGTTGAGCGGCGGCAGCCCTCATTGACAACTAAAAATATTAACACCTACCTAGCCAGCCTTGTCCTCGCCGCCCGCCTCCGAGTACCTTGCCTCCTCGATCATCTGCATTCCGCCTCGCCTCCTTCTGCGAGCGATCCGCCTCGCCTGATAATTCATTCAGGCACCCGGCACGCCCCCTGCTAGCACCCCCCCCCTCTCCCTCTCCGCTGTCGCCTCTCTTCGTCCCCCATCCCCGCACAGCCACCCGCCGTCAATATGGCGACAGCCGACGACCAGGTAGGCCAACACCCCATCCCTTGCCTCCCCATGGCGGGCTGACTCGTCCACCCCCAGAGACCATCCAAAGAAGAGATCCTGGGCGACCTCGTCGATGTCAATACCTTTGACCAGATCCTCGAGATGGACGAACCTGGCGACCAGGAATTCAGCAAGTCCATTGTCTTTGGCTTCTTTGACCAAGCCGAGGAAACGTTTACCTCCATGGACGAGGCCCTGTGAGTTGCCGCTCTCGCAATCCCACGACAACCCCGGCTGACTCTCCCACTTTGCGCCCCGTCAGCGACAGCGAGGACCTCAAGAAGCTGTCGGAGCTTGGCCACTTCCTCAAGGGCTCGTCGGCGACCCTCGGGCTGGTCAAGGTCAGGGAGGGATGCGAAAAGATTGAGCGATACGGCAAAAAGGAGGACGGAGACGGGAACAAGGAGGATGGCGACGGGAAAGAGCTCGACGCTGACGTGTGCTTGAAGCATATCAAGGTGGCTCTCAAGGACGTCAAGAAACAGTACCAGGACGTCGAGCGCGCTCTCCGAAGGTTTTACGACGACAGAGAAGAGGCCTAAACGATTTCGGCCGCCGAGACTCCACGGCTGCAGATTGGTCCGTCCAGATGCATCTTGCACCTTGGAACGGCAGCTTGCGCGACCAATGAAGAGCTGAGGATCGTACGTGGAAGGCTGAGGCCAGCGTTGGCCTGACCAGCAATTGCTACTGCTGTGGGGGCCTCGGTTTCTCGATTGCGGTTTCGACGCCCTTATGGGCCGCGGATGCGAAGCTGAACGGGGTCTATCGGACCGCCCAGTTGCGGAGACGGAGAGCAGTTGCAGAGGAGTTATTGGAACCCCAATGCAAGTCGCCGGCGCTTGGCAGGTCAGAGGAGGGAGACCTGGGACAAGGGCGTGTGCGACGTGTTGCTTGCACCTGAAGAGGCATTCTCATTCCCTACAATGTGCAAATAGAGAAATTGAGACGGGAAGACGCTGAGACGGGAGGACGCTGAGACGGGAAGACGCTGAGGCGGCGGGCGCAAGGAAGAGGGGGAGATGGGGGAAAAGAGGCATCAAGTCGAAGAAAGATGAATGACACGGTAGGGACGCGACAAGCTGTGCAAGAGCGGGCGGCGTCGGCGAGCATTACACCTGATTTGGCTACACGCCCTTCCACCACGAGCCGGTGCGCCGTTTTATCGAGGCTCTGAAGCCTTGTCCGTAATTAGTACGCACGCCCGTTTCGGATGACTTCGGGCCGCATGCCGCGGACTATTTGCGGACCACGGGAATTGGACACGTCTCGACCTATGAGAGAAGTATATGGATGATGGCAATTTCTGTTGGATAATCGGCACGCTTGGCAACACAAACCCAAAATGCGTTTCTGAGTCTATGAATCACACAAATAAACAGGTTTAGGCATGTTTACAGGCCGACAAAGCTGACGATGCTGGTGTACTTTGGTTGAACAAGGGACTGGTAAGCGTGTGGAAGGAGTAATCAAACATACACTCCTGATTTTCAAACATACACTCCCGACCTAAGCCCCATTTGGAAGAAGACCCCGCCACCAAAATTTGGCGCGCGCTTTCCCAACGCCCTGGCTTGCCGTGACCATCGCCGCCGCCCACCCGCCCAGCCACCTGCCTTTTGGCCGCCATCTGCATTTTCGCAATCATCAACAATTGAAGCTATCACCACTTGACTCAACACAACAGCAACGCCGCCGCCGCCTACCGCAATAGTCACGTCTAGTCAATCGTCCTGATGAATTCGACCGAAAGCAATACCAACAGTAGCACCGAGGCTATCACGGAGATGTCTTTCGATACGTATGATGAGGCGCTTGAAACACTCAAAGCTACGCAAGAGCTCCTTGGCTACGTCGTAGTCGTTGCAAATAGCAAGAATACCGGCAAGCCTAGGCGCAAGGAAGCCAATATCCGCTGTGAATACAGTGGTCAGTATAGGCCCTGGGACGAGGCAGAGGGTATATACAAGACGTCATCCAAGAAGTCGGGATGTGACTTTCGCTGTTACATCCGCTTCTACCGACGTTGCAATGCATTCAAAGTCACCATCAAGCACGGCTCTCATAACCACGAACCTCTATTTGAGCCAATTGCTAACCCCATCGTCCGTCAACGAAGCCAACGCAAATTCGGCATCGAGCGTCTTCATAGCCTCGTCGAGGGGCTTAGCAAGAACGTCAATAACAAGAGCAGGGATATCGTGGATGCTATCCGACAGGAATATCCTGAGCTCCTTATTACCGATTCTGATATACACTTCATCCAGCTGCAACTTCGTGCCTTCCGTTACGGCGCCTCTACATCTACACAAGCCTTCCTCGATGTACTCAAAGATGCTAAAGCAAAGGGGGAAATCAGCTACTATGCAGTTGACCGTGGCCCTAATGGGAAGGTTTGGAGGTTTTTCTGGACATACGATGACTGTATTGCTGACTGGAAGCGTAACCCCGAGCTCCTTATCATGGATAATACGTATAAGGTCAACCGCTTTAACATGCCGCTTCTACAGATCATTGGCACAACAGGGCTACACAAGAGCTTCAGTGTAGGCTTTGGCCTCACTGCCAAGGAAGACGAAGGCGCGTTCCAATGGATCCTCTCACAGTTGCGTGAGGCTGGTCGGCAGGCTGATATTCCGGACCCGGGCGTTGTGATTACCGACTTTGATACCGCCCTGAAGAACGCCCTTGACTCTATCTTCCCATCAACGCAACAACAAGTGTGCGTTTGGCATATGATGAAGAACGTGATCCTTCACATCAAGAAGAAGTGGAAGGATCCTCGATGGCACCGAGATTGGCGGAGATAGGCCAGAACAGGAGACTCGCCTCGCTGCAGCAGCCGCTCTCGACGACCCTATACAGGCAGATAATGCCATTGACGAGGACCGACCTATCGACCGTGCCACTGATTACCAGATTCAACATGCCTCACAACTGGCAGATCAGTGCGTTGAGCAACAAGATGATCGTGAAGATGACGATGGAAACCCAATACTACCCCCGGCTCCAAGGCGGACTTTTGAGCACACAGCTGACGGTATCCGTGATGCCTGGGTTTCAGTCTTTAGGGCTCGCACGGCTGAGGAGTGCAGAGATCAGTGGGATCTACTCTGTATAGAGTTTTCGGATCAGCCAGGTAACCCTAGCCCTAACTACCCTCCTACTCTAACCTTTACTAAATAGCTCCTCTTATAGCTCTCGTTAATTACCTCCGTACAACCTACTGGCCATGGCGTGCCCAGTTTTCCACCTACGCTATCCAACAGTACCGAAATTATAACATTACGGTAACTTCCCGTGGAGAGCACACATCACGAGTTGAAGTCACGATTACGCAACCGCTTCATTGACCTCCATCAGCTACAAGAGCACATCAGAGGGCTCGTTACCCATCGGCAAAAGAAGCATCGCGAGAAGCTTCAATCCGAGTTTGCAAGAGCTAGAGTTGAATGGGCCAAGCAGACGATTATGAAGTCACTGCACCGAAAAATTGGCTGGCAGCCGATGAAACAGATCTTCAGGCAAGTTAGGCTAGCCTGGGCTGAGCTTGCCGATAATCGAGGCATGCCTACGATTTGTACGGGTGCTTTCACGATGCAATGGGGGCTGCCCTGCCGGCATACAATCCGCGATTTGATCCAGGCTGACGCGGCCGCCCTTATACCATTGCATCTTATTGATAACCACTGGCGGGTTTACGGCGTGACTGTAAGTATCTTGCTCCAGCCATAAGTACTATACTAATTTACTAGCAGCCTGAACAACAGCAATATATCGATGCAGACCACGAAGCCGATCCTGACGTTGTCCAGCCTCGCCGGCGTGGAAACAGTAGACGCGAGGTATCCTCCACTAGAGGCATCTACGGGCCGGATCCTTAGTGCTTGGGAGCAAGAGGAGCATAGAGCCAACCCAGAGCTCGTATCACGGCCACCAGAGACGCAAAAGAAGAAGAGGAAGGGCACAGGCACCACTATCATGAACAAGAGGTCGAATACACTTGCTTCCGTGAGCAGCCGGGTTGACGATCTTGCCCAGCAGATCGGTGATTTCATCAAGTCACAAGCAGCAGCAACGCCGGTGCTGTTATCACAGGTGCCCTCACTTCCACAGGTGCCGCTGGTGTCACAGGGATACCAAACGACGATGCCCTCACTTCCACAGCCGGCGCCGCCGTCACAGGGATACTATGTGATGCCACCGCCTACACCAATTGTGCCTGTATACGTACAGGCGCCGGCGCCGTCACAGTGGCAAGAACCGCCTCCTCGTCACAGGCACATCACGACGGCTTCATGTGGGCACAGCCGCCGGCACAGTCTCACGAGACGGCTACGGAGCATTTCCAGCAGCTAGGGGATCAGAGGGACACGGCACCATACAAAACTAGCAGGCAGGCCGGTCACAAATTCGTTCCTTACGTGCCTCGCCCTCCGCCGCGTCGGACGGATCCTTCCTCACAGTCACAGTCACAGTCACAGAGGTAGGCAAAGACCTTCCGCCATTATATGCATATTGTATATATCGGAAGATCGATCGGGCCGGGCTTATTGATAGCTTCAATTGAATGACTCTAAGGGATGCATCTTCCGGCGTTGGTAATAATTGCAGATAGAATCCATATATGTCAGACAATAGTGTCCCACACCTCGCACGTGACAGCGGTTGATCTTTGTGGCATCAGTCAATTGATGAGAATTATCTAAAGAACAAAGGAAAGGAAAAGAATTGGATGCACACATTCGTGCAACAATATATACCCCGATCATTGCGGCGAAGCCGCGGCGCAGCAGTGGCAGTGATCGAGCATAAGGTTTCAGGAACTGACACGGGCGTGATATGCGACAATATATCTAGGCAGGCAGCCGCGGCAGCGGCGTTGGGAAAGCGCGCGCCAAATTTTGGTGGCGGGGTCTTCTTCCAAATGGGGCTTAGGTCGGGAGTGTATGTTTGAAAATCTGGAGTGTATGTTTGATTACTCGTGTGGAAGGCCATTTGTTGTGCCGTCCCGGAGCCGGCACGTGACCGCTCCAGGAATCACTACGAAGTACTTCCGACTTCATCTGTAACAGCAACTGCAGCCCTCGTCTCGACCTCATCCTGGCAGACGACCTGCTCGCAACCAAGAGGGTGCCCGGCGACTGCGGGAGGGTTTTGCTGGTTTGTTATTGGTACCTGCATCGGCTGGCATATATGCAGTCGGCAGTCTTTCTCGGAGCAAGCCAGCGAAGCTACCACAGCTACCCGCGCCGCCGCGCATCGTCGAGCCAGCCTCCCTCGCCAACATGGAGGCGGTTACTCATCGCTCATCTTCATGCGCTCGGCTAGGCACTCTCCGATGTCGGTGTAGTTCTTTCCGCCCGCGCCCCACTTCCAGAGGGCCCGGTGGCAGAACGAGTTGGAACCGCAGTATTCCTCGCGCAGCTCGGCCACATACCCGTCCTCGTCCGGCTCGCACAGCATGGACACGCGCAGCGGGCTGTCGCTCGGCGGCGGGTAGTATGGTAACGGCTTGCTGGCAAAGTGCACGGGCTCAATGGGCTTCAGCGTCCCGGGCACTGCTGGAACCCGGAACTTGTCCCATTCGCGGTGCATCCGATGGATCTGGCCCGGCGTGAACTCGACTCCGCACTCGCTGCCAGGCCCAGAGAGCCGGAGGTTAGCCTTCAGCCACGGACTGCACAGTCTACTACTCGTTGACGGCGCACTTACTCGGACGAATAGTACATGTAATTGTGGACGGGATCTGGCTCGGATTGGTTGCCGCACGAGCGACGATTCTCGTCGCACGTGTAGAGGTCGTACTCCCCCGGCCCCATGCACGGCGCCGTGTCGTTGACGCGGTCGTTCTCGCCGCTGCACCCCCCGTTGTCGAAGGGGTGCATCAGCCCGAGCCAGTGGCCGACCTCATGGATGGTCGTCCTGCCCAGGCTCCACCTCTTGTCATTTAGCCCCGACAGAGACTCATGATGCGGCACGCTGTACGCGGCAACCACGACACCGTCGAGGGCAGGCCACATATCCTCGCCTTGCTCGATTATTTCCTCGGGATACCTCGCCCAGCCGCCTACATTCTCATCATTAATGCTCAGGGGCTGCGAGATGAAGTATATATATATTCAGAGACTGGCTGTTGCCCTTGTGCAGTGCGAGCTGCATCGTCCTTGGGTTCCTGCCCAGTGACCAGAGACTGTTGGTGACGCGATTCACCGGCTCTCGAGGCTTGAACTGGAAGCCTGTATTTTCGAAGCCTTGGTTGAGCACCTTGATCTGCAAGTTGACGCGGTCTTCCTAGAGCATTTGATCATGCGTCAACGGAGCATGCAATAACGCTGCCCGGTGCGCGCGATGGGCTACTCACGCTCAGGTTATTAATGGAATACCCCGGAACCTCAACCACGTGTATGTACGTGTCCACGGTCTTGTTGACACGCGGGTTGGCGGTGTTTCCACTCTCGAAGCGCTTGCTGAGGGAGGCAAGTTCTCGGTGCGTGCCCTGGAACCGCTCTGGAGGCGGGTTGGTGCCGCATATCGAGAAGGACAACCCACTGGCCGCTGCGACCAGGAGCGTGAGGCAAGAGACGAGGATTGGTACCGGGGAGCGCATGGTGATGGAGAAGTTCCTGATGGATGCTCTGTTGATTTTGACGTGGTGAGTCTGAGGCCTCGAATTCGCAGAGCAATGACGGCCGGGGCGGCTCATTTATAACTGGAGACTCGGAGACCGCGTGTCGTCTGATTGAAGCGTATCTGTTACGTTGCCTTGGAGCACGCATGTCTTGGGTCGCTGGGGAGTGGCATTAATGGGTTCCTTAGTCGGAATGGCATCACGATGGGTCACCGGTTCGACTTTCCGATCCTTGGCTTATACCAAGTACATACCTACTCAAGACAGCCACTTGTATGAAGGTTGTACTTGGGACTCAAGCGAAGGGGAATGCGCAGTCCTGTACTCTCGACAGGGTCAGGATTTCTGCACCGCACCAGTGGAGGCCTCTGGTGGAGCGATGAATGTGGGCGACAACCAGGCGCTGCCGGTCAATTGTGCCATCTAGTTGGCCGACAGTTGACTGACTCGATAGGAATCGGAAATGCGAGAATCGGCTCCGAACCAAGCTGTACCACGGTTAATACCGAGTTCCACTGTACTACGCGACATTTACATGTGTTATTCTTCATCTGTAATATAGTTTCTTCTCAACACCACCTGCCCAGCGCATCCCTGCACTGCAAGTGTGCCCCGCCTCGACCCCCCCTCCATACTCCAAATCACCTCACCTTGTCACGCAAGAGCAGCTTTGGAACCGGCACCTCGTGCAACATATTGTATACAACGGCCATCTTCCGAGCCGACGGCGACGTCGCTTGCAGAGCCCAAGAGCGGACGAGGGGGTGCCAGAGGAGGCAGAGTCGGGGAACTCAGCCAGCCATGCCACCGCCGAAGCCGGCGCCAACGCATTTTCTCTGCCTCCCGCTCGCCGGGCCGCAGCTGGGCCGGAACTGGGCGGCGTTCCGCGCCGACGTGACGAGCCCCGCGGGCGCCGCGCTGCCAGGCGACGCCGTCCGGCCGCTGGGGACGCTGCACCTGACCCTGGGCGTCATGAGCCTGAAGCCTGACGGCGTCGACGGGGCGGTGCGCGTGCTCGAGGGTCTGCGGCCCAGGGCGCTGCTGGCCGAGCTGAGGGCGGCATCGACGGCGGCGGCGCCCGTGCCCAACGACCAAGGAATGCACGCTCCCAGGCCGGACCACGGCGGCGGGCTGGCCGTTACGCTCCGAGGCCTGCACGCCATGCACTCGGCCTCCAAGACGTCGGTGCTATACGCCGCCCCGCACGACCCCGACGGCCTCGTCCGCCGCTTCTGCGAGCTGCTGCGGCAGCCGTTCCGCGACGCGGGCCTCGTCGAGGACGACAGGCGGCCGCTGCTGCTGCACGCGACGCTGGTCAACACCATCTACGTCAAGGGCGGCAGAGGCGGGGGGGGGCGCCGCGAGCGCATGACGGTCGACGCGAGGGAGGTGCTGCAGCGCTACGGCGAGTTCGTGTGGGCCGAGGGCTTGCCGCTGACGAAGCTGGCGATTTGCAGGATGGGCGCCAAGAAGGTCGAGGGGGGCGACGGTGGCGATGCCGCGTACGAGGTGGAGGCCGAGACGGATATCTGACGGGGGTTCTGGTCTATTCTTTACTCTGTTGAGGCGTGGCAATCTGAATATAGCTTCACCCCGAACGAGTATGTATCTGGTACCTCGTCTTGTTGAGCTCCCGATCTCGGCCGAGTCGAGGCCGCTTACCTAAGACAGCACCACCCACTGGTTGTACAGACCACAGAGCTGTAGCGGGGCTTTGGACCTCGACCTCACCTCGACCTCTGCCCTCCAAGAGCAGCATCGTGAGCCAATGGGCGGTAGATGAACCGACCGACTTCCTCCCGCGGCAGCCATCCCTCATCACGGAAGAAGAGCTTCCCCGGTGGCTCTTGGTCTCTGGCCCGCCGCTTGGTTGCCTGCTCGAGGCCCCGAGGGGGGGCAGCCATGCCGAGTCAGCACCGCCCGAGCCGCGACGACCTCGACACGGCGACGACTGCCACCGCCGGCTGCGCATCCTGACGCAGACGCGGCACACAGCCATGCAGGCCCCCGAGAAGCGCCGCGGCGGAAGCCACGTGCTGCGCACCGGCCCCGCGCACGCCGGCCGCCGCGCGTCCAGCTCCGGCCACGCAGCCGCCAACGCAAACGCCCATTCCAACGCCGGCACCAACGCCGGCACCAACCTGCCCGCCCTGCCGCCGCGGGCTGCCATTGTCAGCGGCAGCGGCAGCAGCAGTAGCACCGCAGCGCCCCCCGACGAGCCCCATGACGGCGCCACATGCAACGCCGGCGGCGCTCCGCCGTCGGCGCCGCTGGCGGACCGCAGAGACAAGGACCGGGACCCCGGCGCGGGGCTTCACGGCGGCGCCAAGGACAAGCAGGCGAGGGAGCGGGAGGCGCTGGCGCGGGAGCAGGACGAGCGCATCGCCTACCTGGAGACGGAGATGGGCATCATGGAGCGCGAGTTCCGGCGCGAGCTCGACAAGCTCAGCCAAAACGAGAGCGAGACGGCCATCTTTTGGCAGGCCAAGCACAGCGCCCTCAACCGCCAGTTCCTCGACTCGGACACGGAGCTGCGCGTGCTGCGCGCCGAGGCCGACAAGCGCAAGGCCGAGCGCGACGAGCTGCTGCAGGGCTGGGAGGCGCTGCGGCGCGAGCTGCGCGAGCGCGACGACGAGGTCCGCGCCCTGAGGGCCCAGGTCCGCGGCCTCAAGGAGTTTGTCAGCACCAGCACGCGCACCGACGGCCAGACGAGCGACGAGGTCTTTGGCGACGGCGTGGCCAAGCTCGGCAACGGCCTCCAGAACTGGGTCATTGTCAACTTTCGCAAAGCCAAGCTCGGTGAGTTTGCGGCTCCTTCATTCATTCTCCCTTTTGTTCTCCGGGATTGGACCCCCGGCGTGTTTGCGTTGCCGCGAGACCGGAATCCGGAGCTGACTGAGGGCTCCCGCAGATCTGTCCCGGGCCGACGAGGCGACCCTGGCGGAGCTGGGCGAGCTGGTTCCCATGTACGCGGACCTGGTCCACACGGCAAAGATCCACGTGCTGCAGTCCATCGTGTCCAAGATCTTGGTCGACATGGTCTTCAACGCCTACTTTGTCGGGCTCTCAGACGAGGAGACGCGCCACTTTAGACAAATGGAGGACCTCCTCTGCTCATTCGGTGCGCCCCCCTCCCTCCTCTTCTCCCCCTCCGTCGACGCACTTGGCCTTTGGCAGCCGGCTCTCCTTCTGAACTACGGCTCACACCTGTTTCCACCCGCAGCCGCCTCAGACGAGGCCGTCAACCAGTGGCGATCGTCGACGCTCGCCCTCCTCCGCCGCGAAGCGCCCCAGCTCCTCCACGCCGAGACGAGCGCCCTTGTCGAGAGCGTCGTGGCCCGCATCAACCGCATCCTCGACGCCATCACCGCCCCCGCCGCCGCGCCGCCCTCGTCGTCGTCGGAGCAGCCCGCGGCCCCGCGCCTGTCCGAGACGCGCGACGCCGCGCTGCGGGTCCTCGTCAACAGCGCCGTCGAGCTCGCGCGGCTGCTGGTGGTGCAGCGGGCCGTGTTGCGCGTGCACATGCCCGAGGTGCTGCCTCACGCGCGCGTCGTCTTCGAGCCCGAGACCATGGAGGACGTGGGCGGCCTCGAGGAGGAGGCGCTGACGACGCGCGAGATTGGCTGCGTCGTCTTCCCCGGCCTCATCAAGCACGGCGACGAGAGCGGCGGGCAGATGCAGTTCCGCAACGTCATTGCCAAGGCCAGGGTTCTGTGCAGCCCTAGTGACTGATTTTCTAAGCAGGCAAAGGCGAGACGAACAAGGCAAGAGAACGCTCGGCGTGTTTTGCTTTGTGTACCTGCAGCATGGAACCAAGGGGACAGGGGCACTCGGGCGGATGAGCAATGACCGCGGGACACACGCAAGCATTCCTCCCTCTCTCTCTCCCGCCGTCGCTCCCACGTAGGGGCGGTCTTGTCAAGGGGATGACGCCTACTCCCCCGTCCACACCCCCGGCCCCGTATGATTTGAGGACAGGCACAAGCCGTAGTAACGGCGCCGTGTTCCGACGGGGTGCTACGATGGGCCGTGTTGGGCAAATGGTAAAGGCAGACAAGGCGAACACGGCAGAGTGGAGCGGCCGTAACCGTTCCCGCCCTCCTCAATGCTCAGGAAGGGAGGGGGGGGGGCAGAGGAGGATCAAGGATAATTCCGGGCGAGGGTCTTGTACAGGGGTAGCGGCGTGGAACAAGTTCTGTTTCCTCGCTTGCCATCATCACCACAGACTGAATCTGCCAGAGGACATGTGCCATTGCGACAAACTGTGTCGATGGATGATACAGCACCGGATGACCGGCATTGCTCGCACAACCCCAGTCCCGTTTATGCCGCCCATCCGATTGCGCAAGCCGGTCGGCCAAGTCAGCCCACTGCTTGTCCTCCCGGCGGTGCTCCGTGGTGCACAAGGGGAGGGGGCTGCAGATCCGGCGCGCACAGGCCGGGAAGCCTTGGCTTGACAGCTAACTGCCTGACTTGCTTGTCTTCCGGCTCTCTATCCTTGGTATCAGAGAGCGTTCTCGTCGTGACGATCCTCGGCTCCACCACGACATGACTCTTTCCGAAGCTCCAATCCTCAACTCGCAAAAATGCGCCCAACACGGAGCTGCCAACGTTGGCTGCCACCTGCAACCCCACACACCACTGCCGATCGTATTGATTCTGCGGTGAGATCGCGGGGAACCCATGCACAGCCAGCCCACGCACTGTGGGGCGACAATCGGGAGCAGGCGTTGTCGCAGCACACCCAGAGCGCGAGCCCCGTGTTGGGAGGAGAGATACAGTAGACGACCAGACGGGCGGCAAGTCGTTTTCTTCCGGGTCTCGCTCGCTGCTGGTCGTTGAAATGGGCCGCTCATGCATGCACAGGCCTCGAAACGTAACGACCAGGCCCGAGTTGCCCCCGGCAGAACTGGGTGGGTGGCATCAAGCGCATGCCTCTATTCCAATGCGTGGAATCGACGTGGGCGGCCAGCCGCCGCTTGAGCCTCATCTTTCCGGGTCTCTGCGGTCCCCCGCTCAGCAGCCGTCGAGTGCACTGGTCCCGGGTCTGGTCCATCGGCCTGTAAGCATGCTTGGCACACTAGGTAGCCCGCCATCGGCGAGCTCCCGCAAATAGCGCCGTCTCCTATACCCCCCGGCTGTCGAAGCCATCAACAGCGAGTCACCTTATGGTTTCGGGTCTGGCAAAACCGGAAAACGCCAAAACCGCCGTCCACGGAGACTTGAAGATGCCGTCGGCGATGCTCCAGTGGAGACGTTGCTCGCTGTTGGACGCATGACCTCAGAGCATCGTCGTCTCAACCACTCATGGCGTAGACTGCCACCACTCAGCCACAGGTGCATCTTCTGGGCATCTTGACGGGCAAAGAAACGGTGCTACCAGGGCCAAACTCGGTGAAAGTCCACCCTACCCATTCGTCACGAAGCAGCCGGTGGTAGACGCTATCAGGCATTGCCTGGTCGTACAGGCGTAACATTAGCGCCGGCCCAGGTCTCGCGGCGTCGCCGTCTTCTTGCCCGCGCGCGTTCTCGCGTGCTCGTGTCCAAACAGGAAACCGTATCCTCGTCGATAAGAGCGTATATGACTGCATCATTGGGTGTTCTCTCTTCCAGTTGCCCCCCCCCCTTCCAAAGCATCAGGTTGGCCATGGCCGAGATGGTCGACGAGTGGCTCCAATGACGTCTGGCACGGCCAGAGCGAGATGGGCCCGTCACCGGTGATTTGCCTATTTCGTCGCGTCGGCAGTGTGGTCAGGGTTGGATGCAAGCCGCAGTCCCGCTGTGCGTATACAAGTGTCGTCCGGGGAGCCCTCCATTCAAAACGACTCATGCAGACGACTGTCGAGTTGTTGGGGCCGTCTTGCGTTGCTCAACTTTCATCCGCAGCTTCACCCGGCCGGCAAATGCTCGCCTCTCAGTGTCCGTGTCTTGAGCCAAGACTTTTGAGGGATTCCATTAGTTTTTGGCCCCCCCCATTCATACTTTGGCCGACATTTGCTGTTCGGAGATTGCTCGTCGTCAATCAAGACCCCTCGTGTCTGCCACCCCGCCATTTGGATGGTTGTTGAAAGATCCCCCCCTTGGGCTGCCAACACTGCACCACGCCACACCACCACTACACTGCAGTCCAAAGGCTGTCGTAAGCGAGGAATCTAGCCATCTTCTGGCATCATATTCTTGCACCTGTGAGCAAGTCGGACATTCACCAAGTCTCGTCGACACCGATCCCGTGTCGACGGCGCGCCGTCTTGAGACGTCGCTTACCTGCCTGCCAGAGTCACCCGTGTCGTTTGGTGTCGCTTCCTCTCTTCGCCACCATGTCGTCGAATGGCGTCCTCGTCGCCGCCGAAATCCATGATTTCCTGCAACAGGTCGAACGGGCAAGGGGGACCGGGTTCCCGTTGCATTCATTTGAGTCGAGTGGGCCATTGGCCGCTCGTCCTGGCGCATACTATGCTCCTTCACTCATGCTGTCGGAGTCGCGGGCTTCAGTGCAGCCGCAGAGGCAGCAAGACATGGTGTCCATGGCAAGCGCTGCAACGCCCATGAGCGCCATCTTCGATACCTTTGATAGTTACTCGACGTATTCGGCATCGACAGCGCCTCCTCAACGAGGGCCCGAGCCGCCGCAGCGCCAGCGTGCAACGGTGCCCGACTTTGCAGCTTCGTGGCTTCCGTGCGAATTCCACAAGCTGTCGGGCTGTGAGGAGAGGTTCATCCTAGACGAGGTCGAGGCATGGATTCAACACATGATGGTCGTGCATCTGCAGGGAATCCTCCCTACGTTCTGCATCTGCTGGTTCTGCGATCACGCCAAGTTCCAGGCAGTGACGGAACGGCCCGAAGACCGGGAGGTGGCCTACCAAGCGCGGATGCGCCACATTGCAAGCCACTTCTTTTGGGATGGAAAGACGGCGGCAGATGTTCGCTGGGATTTCCATTTTCTTGACCACGCCCATGACTATGGTCTCATTACCGAGAGCGTCTTCCGATGGGCAACACGCCAGGGCGAAGTGCGAATGCCGCGGGGTATGACGTTTGACGACCCGCGCACCGTCAGGCCGGCCGGCGAGGAACAGAGCGAGAGGCGGCCGCGCCACGCTCGGCCGCGGGATGCGACTCGCCCGTCCCACGTGCGCCGCGAAAGATAAGTCATGGATTCCTGCCGATGCAGAGCTGGAATGAAGGACAAGCTTCTGTGGTACGTATGTTTGATAGCTCGCTGTTCCGAATGTCCGCGCGCCCCGGGCCGCGACAAGTCGTGGGATCGCCGTCACCCGGCCTTCACCCGGCCTCTTTTTTGGTGGATCTCGTTCGGGGTTCTGGGGTCCGACAAGGGTGAGTCGGCTTCGAACATGGCACGCTGCAGCACAGGTCTCGGTCTCGGTAGGGATTGCCGACCACCCATCGACAGGCTGGTGGCTTGTTGCACCACCGCACTGTGTGCCGGCGCATTTCTGTGGGATCTGGGGTATATTTCCGGCTGGCGATTTTTGGCATGTTGCGACGCGTCCAGACTTGCTGCATCCCCCCCTGCTCGCAGCGTTCTCCAAGGGGCTTCTTCGTGTGCTGATGGCGCTGGTAGTGAGAGAGAGAGAAAGGCGAGGCACGCTCACGCCCATGACTCCGGGAGAGTCAAGACAGCGAGGACCCGGCGTTTTCTCTCTCGAAAGAGTCGAAGGAGGGGGGAGATTCGGAGAGTTGGCTGGCTCGGACCGAGGCGGAGGGAGGAGGGAGGAGGGAGGATGGAGGGAGGATGGAGGGAGGACTCGGGGGACATCAGGTGACTTGGGGCTGCTCGAGCTCCATTCACACCTTCTGGGTAGGAAGCTGGGCTGATATCTCCAGGGCAAGCACGAGCCGACCCGCGACTCTCATCTCCGCTCGCAGTCGCTCAGAGCGACCGGGAGTCGCGGAACAAGGGCTCATTCAGAGAGAGCAGGGAAACGAGGAGTGGGGGGAGGGGGTGCCAGATTGATTGCACAAGGAGGGAAAAAAAGTCTTTGCTCCTCTGCGGTACGGAGATCCGGTTTTCGTCGTCACCATGCTTCCTTCTTCGCTCTTCTTGTTCTTTCTCGCCTTCTTCGACGTTACGCGGCCCTCATACCAGGCACTGCTCAATAGCATCTCTGCCTTCTTACAGTCATATTTGCCACATAGCGCGAGCAAACGGGAGGCCGCCTTATCCGCGCAAACTTCTCCGTCGCCGAGCCCCCTTTTCCCTCGTAGCCAACCATGATTCTGCCCCGGTGCAACCGATTCGATAGGGCCGTTTCGCCGTGGCGGAGCTTGCGCTCGGTGACAAGCCTTCCCGGCAGAACCGGCCGTGATTCGCCCAAGCCGCAGCTGGTCAGGTGAGACTGGCAAGCAAGGGAGGCGTCGAGTCGCCTCACTTCAGCCTTGCCAGATTCGCCAAACAAAATCCATGCACGTCTCTGCAGCCGTGAGATGACGCAGGATATATTTGCCCTCCATTTGCCCCTCTACGTCCAGAGCAAGCTACAGTGGGTTACAGCGTATGCATACACTCATCCCCATGCGGAGCGCGCGCATCGTCACACGCGACTCCTAGCATGTACATGGCGTCGCGTCGTGGTCCCACGGCTCGCCGCCCGTCTACTGGACGCGCAGCCAGGGCAACCGACATGCAGCCTCGCGCAGTCTCTTCTCGCGAGCCCCAGCAGACTCCTGTCGATCCTCTTATACCTCGCCTCATACTGGGCCCATCTCTCCAGCCCCGGGACGTGGATCCCCAGGCTGGGCAGGGCAAGCAACGTCAACGTGTGCGCCGTTCCCTTGCCAGCCCCGGCCTCTTGCACGGCGTAGAGTGCGGGCAGCGAATAGCGCACCTTGCCCGGAGCATGGCGCTTCAGCACCTGCTCGAGCCTCGACCGCTCCTCGCGGGGCAGTGCCAGACGAAATGATTTGGCGTGCTCTGGCAGAAATGGCAGAATGCGAAAACTCGCCGGCACGCATGCGCGAATGCGGATCCAAAACCGTCCGTCCCACAACTGAGCCATTTCCCAGCTCCGCCAGTGGGCGTGACGAACAGTTGGCGGCTCGTCCGGCCCATCTTTCCCAGGCGCAGGGCCGCGTAAATGGCCCGGAAGCTTGCGTTCAGGCAGTGCTCGACTTGAAGGGTACGGAGCGCGGGAGAGGAGCCATTTGGTCGATGCCCGGCCAACGATGGGTTCAAACTTGACCCCAGCGATTGAAAAGGCCTTGGGCGGTTGCCGATTCGGCTCTGTACACAGTTCTGGCGAGAGCCTGTCGACAACATTTTCGAGACTGCCCAGCGGTGGCAGATGGAGCTCGGGCGTGACAAAGTCGATGAGCTTACGGATGGCCATGGCAAGGATGAGCCTCCGACGACGTCTGCGAGCCCTGTGCCTCGCCGCAGCATACAGTCGTCTCGGCGGAGAAGGATGCGCAAGAAACGCAGGAAGCTCGACGGTGAGTGTGCCAGCGTTGGGGTCGAAATGGCAAATGACAGCTTCACGCACGAGCAATCTGTGGCCCTCGGCTTCCTCCAAGGACGTTCTGTGCTTGGCCCTCTTGCACAATGACAAGATGGAGGGCTTCTGCAAGGCCATTGGCAGCCGATGAGCCCGCGTAAGATGGCGGACGGCGTTGCGTGTCGTCAAGGTCGGATCCAGGTTGGTGTGGTCCTCGAACCAGCGCACCTTGTTGGCTTCGCAGGTGGCTATCAGTCTATCCTTGTCAAAGCTCAGCAAGGGGCGATAGATGACGATGCCGCCATCCTCGCAGTTGAGTGGCGCCAAGTAAGGAGAGCTTGGGGAACCAGGTCTCCCTTTGCAGTCGTCTCCGAGAAACACGCGCAGCCGCTGCAGACTCTTGTTGGACGGCTGGAATCCAAGGGGACTCCGTTGCATCTGGTCATCCAACAGCCCGCTCTTGTATACGCCGTGCAGCTCATAGCACTCGGGAATGGCATTGGCCTCTTGAATGCCTTGCAAGCCTCGGTAGCCGTGACCCGCTAGCAAACGCATCAAGACGGTTTCGTACTGGTCGTCGCAGTGGTGAGCGAAGAAGAGACTGCTCGCCTGCAGGGACCGGCAGGCAGAGCCGAGGGCTTGATATCGCATGGTGCGCGCCATGCCCTCGAGATTGGAGAGGCGGGTGGGATCCAGGCCTCTTTTTGTCACATGACTCCAGTCCAGCCGCTTGACGCAGGCTTGGAGACCCATTGTCTTGAGCTCCTGGGCAACACAGGCTGCTTCTTGGCCGCTGGCCTGCCGCAGCTGATGGTCTATGACGATACCGCACGCGCCATGGGCAGGGTGGTCTGCAATGGAGAAGCCTGGGTGCGATTTCAAGAGGCTGGAGAAGAGGAAGGCCATGGCCATGGAGTCGACGCCTCCGCTGACGGCGAGGGCTGGTTCTGAAAGTCAGCGGTGGGATCACGGCTATGGCCCTGTGCCGGGGACGGGGAAAAGGAGAGCGCACCAATGCGCCGTGGGCGAGCATGGCGAGCATGGCGAGCAGCGGATAAACGAAATCGGCACAGGGCCCCGAGAGCGTCGCGGAACTCGGTCAAGGAAATGGGTTTGGGGCCATGTCGAGGAACAAGCGCGGTCAGGCTCATTCCATGTCGCGACGCTTGCCACGGGCCCCTGGATTGAGGCTGGACAGGAAGGAGTTGTTGGAAGGGAAAAAGGATTGAGAGGCGGCCGAGCCTTGACAGCCAATGAATGGATCCAAGTCGCGTGTACGGAGTAGGTACACTGTGTCGAGCCACGGGCCCTGCGTGGCAATACCACAGTGCCAGATAGCATGCCATGTACAGAACAGGGTTATTTATGTACTGCGTACATACCTTATGTAACTTACCAGTACCTTGGCTTATACCAATGAGGTAAACTTGTTAATCCCTGCAGCGTAGGGTCGAGCGGGGCTCCTTTGTTCGCAACGGCCCGGCGTTCCACAGTACCTGTACCGGTATATGTGCTGCCACCGGCTCCCTCGACTGACTGGCTGTCGTTCTCTCGAGCCCTGGTGGCGAGAGGGGGGAAGCAAGGGTGGCAGGGAAAGAAAAGAAGAAAAAAACGACTGGCCATCTTGTTTTCCTGCATTGCGCCAAGTAAACAAGCTGCAGCGACGGGCACTTGATGTACTCGTGCAGGTACTCGAACGCACTTCGTCATCTGGACCATCGACGCTGTACTCTGTACTCTGTAAGTTAGCGGGTGCAGGCCTCCTTCAGGTGCCTCCACAGGCCAGGTGGAAATGGAGAGGCAGCCTGCAGCTTCCCGCCGCGTCCAACCATCACCACCGCCATCACCTCCGCCTTCATCTCCATATCAACACCTCCGCCACCGTCTCGCCCCCCCTCTCGGCTCGACTTGGTCTCTTGCCCTCTTCATCCGTTTGTGTCAAGCTTCTTCTGCTCCTTCTTTTTCTTCACTCCCTTGTCAAGCCATCCATCGCCAACACCTCCTCCCCCCCTCTCTGCGCTCATACACACGATACCGCCTCGTCTCACCTGGACCGTATAAATCAATCCATGCAACTTGTGTCGCCGCGGCTGCGACTGTGTCTGCGACTGTGTCTGCGACTGACTGACTCGGATCCCGTCGTCGTCCTGGCCAGGCCGGCCCACTTACTCTCCGAGCATCCCCATGTCGTGAGCAACGCCAGCCGCCTCACCCATGGTCTCCCAGCCCGAGCCTGAGCCCTCCCCGCAACTCTCGTCGCGCCGCCGCGGCTTCTACTCGCCCTCGTCCGTCGTCGCTCGCCCCTCCCTGTCACGCACCAAGCGCTACAACCGCTCCCACACCGGAGGCTCGTCGCATGCGCCCCAAAACGAGTTCCCCGTCTTCTCCCACAGCGGCGATGTCGACATCCTCGTTGCCGCCGGCCCCTCCCAGAACCGCTACCTGCTGCACCGCGACACGCTGGCCCGCTGCAGCGGCTTCTTCGAGGCGAGCACCTCGTCGGAATGGTCCCGGGCCCAGCCCCTTCTCGCCGGCGGCAACGAGCTGGCCCGCATCACCGAGGAGACGTCTTCTTCCGTCCCGCATGACCGCGAGCCCGCCACCAGCGGCCCCAAGAAGCGATGGGCGTATGAGCTCGACCCCGGCGCCGGTCCGGGCGACATCCCCATGCTCGTCCAGAAAGGCGGCGCCCCCAATCCAGTCTCCAACAGACCTGCCCTGCCGCCGTCCATCTTTGGCTCGGCGCCCAAGTCGGAGCACTCGCGTGTCTCCTCCATGACTTCGCCCGCCTCCAGCCACGTCACCTTCTCGCGCTCCGTCACGCACCTGGGCGTCGCCCCCACCCTGTCCTCGCCCGAGCAGGACCTCCTGCGCGACTACGGCAACCTATTTCGCATCTTCTACAACTACCCCCCCGTCCTCGACGGCATCAACGTGGCCGACGCCTACGTCCAGTGCAAGTCACTGCTAGCCCTTGCCGACCAGTATGATGCCCTCGGCGTCGTCGGGCCTCGCGTCGACCACCACCTGCTCCAGTTCCAGTCGCGTCTGTGGAAGCAGATTGCAAAGTACCCCGTATCCTATCTACGCCTCGGCTACCTCGCCCGCAGCAAGGTCATCTTCCAGGAGGCCCTCATTCATGTCGTCGGCCAGTGGCCCGTCGGCGAGCGTAGTCTGCGCGCCGCCTTGCCCGACATGGTACTCGACATCATCGAGGACAAGGTGGACGAGCTGGAGGAGACGGTCGGCCGCGTCGAGGGTCGCCTGTTCCGCCTCGGCCTCACGACCGCCCGGGGTGACCGCGTAACCCCCTCAAACAGTTACCTCGACTGGCTCGTCGTCAGCCTCTTCCGGCAGTGGCTGGCCGACAACACGACGCCTCAGCCCCCGAACAGCCGCAGCGGCCGCAATCGCTCCTCGTCCCTCCCGCCCCCGTCCGTCACCTGTGTCGGCCGTACATACCGCACCCTCGGGTCCGGCAGCGCGAGCGCTTTCCTGGGGCACGACGAGTGCAAGCGCTTTCTCAAGCTGACGCCGGAGCTCTACAGCCGCGACAACCTGCGCCGCTTCGAGAAGCGCATGGACGAGCTCAAGGCCATGGCCCGGGACGTGGTGCGGCCCCTTCTTGGCAGCGGACTCGAACTCGACATGGGCGGCTCCAGTAGGACGTCCGAAAGCATTGGATACCTGACGTGTACGACAGTCGGCAACAGGGACTTGCCCTGGCCGGTCGAGGGCTGAGCGGCGCATCTATTGCCACCGATTTTTTTTTGGTTTTTGTTTGGTAATAGCGGCCATCTCTTTGACTGGGAGAGCTTTCTTCTTGAGATGTTCTTCTCAGGCTCAAACTACGTGGGAGTTTCGCTGGCGAAAGATGATATCGGTGACGCCCTGGAGGTGGCTCTTGCAAGACTCTTACGTTGGTTAGTTTTTGGGGCTATGCTTCGACGTATTTACTGGATAGGTTAGTTGTCTATATTAATGATGTTCTTTTATGAGCCATGAGTTGTTTTAAAGTTGAAATGGATATTGAAGATATGTAACGTTATCATTAGCTTTTTTTTCCAGAGATATATTTATATCATGAGACTTGTCCAGACTATAGATTTGTCCAGTCTATAAGAGCTAGGGAGACGAGACACGATCTTCGCGCTGGGCCCGGATCTTTGAACCTAAACCAAGCCGTAGAGTCAACGGGTAGAAATGTTTCATCGCCGCCAGCCGAGGCCAGGAACGTCTGGTAGTTCTCTCAGTAGTCGTCAGCAAAGCGGAAACTAAAGACCCTAAGACAGACATGGCCAATGGTCTCGACGGCATGATGCTTTAAGCGCCACGCGGGCAGCCAGCCGTGCCGTGCCTTTGCAGGAACGGCCGCCCAACGACCACCTCTCGTGGCAGCTGCGGGCTGGTTCCCGCAAACATGCATTGCATGGGGGCATCCACAGCCGTGTCATGGCCATCGGCCCCCAAACAATGTATAGTAACCCAAGACGAGCCCGGTGGCGGCCATGCTTGCGTCACCATGGCGAGGCATCCGGGCTCTGCGGAAGTCAGGACTGCGCTCCCCAATGCAGACTGTGCGGCTGCATGTGCGTCTACCTGCATCCATGAATCCGATTCGCCGCGAGGGCGTGTGCTATGAAACGGACCGTGCAGAAACTCGGGTAAAGCTCTTTGCGCTAGGTCGGGCGAGACCTTCGCGGTAAGGGCGGATGGTCGATGCCGAGTGGCTCGTCATCTTGGTGGCTTGAAGCCTCCTTTTACCGTGTCCTAGAAAGAAAGTGAGAAACGAGTCAGGCGAGGCTCGATACGAGAGGAATCAAAAGTAGTTGAACAAGGCTGTCTCTTGGTCACGAAACGCCACGCCATCTCGGCTCCTTTGATCTTCATCATCGCGTGGACAGCATTACGAAGCAAAGCAGATGAGCTGATGGTCTGGCGGCTCTGCATTGGTCCAGTCCCCCAACAACGTCGACAGTGGCAGGAGATTCGTCGTATGCCCAAAGTCGCCTACTCTCTAAACAACCCTTTACACTTGCGTGCCCATATGAGAAACCCCATGAGATTCGCAAGCAAAGACATACTGCGCGGACAGACACGACCGGTGACAAAAGAGGAACAAGGCCGACAAACATACTTGAGGAAAAAGAGAAATGGGACAAGAGCCGGCTTATTCGCCCAGGGTCAGGTCGAGGTCGCCAGAGACCGTCTCCACCTTGATGCACGAATCGCCGTCGCCCTTGCGGCCCTCGACGAAGCGGGCAATGCTGCGGCCGCGGCGGATGATCTCGACGTCCTTGCCGTGTACCTCGATTTCGCCCGCGAGGGCCTTGGCGGTGAAGCTGCCATGCCAGCTGGGCGGGTACGAGAGCTTCAGGTCGCCGCTAATGGACTGGTGCTTGGAGCGGAGGCGACCGAGGGAGCCCCGGTTGCTGTCCATGTCGCCGCCGACCCACACGGGCTCGAGGACCGTCAGGCGCACGTCGCCGCTGCGCGTGTCCGTCTTGAGGGACCCGCTCTTATCCACCTTCTTGTCCAGCACGGGGAGCAGCTCGAGGCTCAGCTCGCCCGAGACGGACTTGAACTGGGCGTCGCAGTTCGCGGCGAGGCGCGCGTCGACGTTGCCCGAGACGGTCGAGAACTTGACCACGTAGGGGCGGGCGGGCAGCTTGTTGTCGGGCTTGCGGGCGTCAATGGCGCCCTTGAGGGGCTCCTGGACGCTGACCTTGCCGGAGACGGAGGAGACTTCGAGGCGTGCCTTGTCATGGTGGTTGTGGAGGCCCGGCTTGGGGGCAACCTGGGCGGTGATGTCGCCCGAGGCCGAGGCGAGGCGGAGGCGGTCGTAGAGCGGGAACCAGCCCTCAATAGGGGCACTGACGGTCTCGATGGAGATTTTGCGCGACTGCAGCGTGTAGGGGACGACGTCGTCGCCGAGGTCCTTGGGCAGCGAGGTGCGCAGCCGGCCGACAACGGTGCTAATCTTTGTCTCGTCGGAGACACCGAGCGTCAGGCCGTCCATGACGTCGACGTCGAGGTGGACCGACTCGACGCTGAGCCGGCGCAGGTAGGCCTTGCGAGGGACCCAGAAGGTGGCGCGAATCTGGATGCAGGGACCGTCGCCGTCGCCGTCGGACCAGGAGGAAGCGGCATGGGGCACGGCCATGATGAGGCGCTGGTTGTCGCCGTGGAACTTGGGCTCGACGTTGACTTGCAGGTCCTCGTCGTTGGAGATGATTTCAAGGTCGACGGTCGCCTCGGAGGCGTTGTTGCTCGCGGGCCGCAGGATGATTTGGCCCGAGACGTCCGGCCGGCGGCCGACTCGAGGCCCGTGCTTGTGGTCGAGGGTCTCGCGGATGCCAAACTTTTGGCCGCCGCCGAGGCGGACTTGATGCGAGAACTTGGGGAAGGCGTGGGGAGTATTGCGGCAGCCGGACTTGGGCTTCCACTCGAGGTCCTGGGCGGCGGCCAAGTCTGGCTGTCTGACGGGGTCACTGTCGACGAAGTCCATCTGGGCTGTGTTAGTATACGGAGTACGTATAGATGTAGATATATATATATATATATATATATCACGTAACAAGACACACCTTGTGAGAAGAAGAGCAAAAGCCACTGAGCATCATGGCCACGACGGACAGGCCGGCAAAGACGCCGAGCAGCGTCTTGGACCTCTTGTTCCAGCCCATCGACTGCCTGACGCGGAGCCACTTGGGCGTCGGCGCGGTCACGGGCTCGGGGTGGTAGCCGCCGAGGAGCATGTCCTCTTGCTTTTCCGACACGCCCATGATGAAGACGATGCTCGACGATGCTCGATGACGTTGGAGCTTTCGCAGTTTGGTGGTGATGAAGCAGATGATGTCGTCCAAGTGAACGAGAGCGAGAAGGAAGAGGACGAATGGAAAAAGGTCCCTACAGCGACGACGATGGAGATGGGTGGTTGAGCAAGGGCGAGACGAGAGAGGGAAAAGAAAGAAAGTCGGCTGATGAGTGCGGCGTTGGGCGCTGTAAATGTATAGTAAATGCTGCAGCACCCGACGTGGGCGGCGGTGTTGCAGGGGGGTGGTCTGGGGGGGTGGTCTGGGGGGGTGGAGGGGGATGACGACGACTCGGCAGGCGACTTTCGCCCTCGGCCTTGAGCTCCCTCGCCTCGCCTCCATGTCGCGCAGCGCATCATCACGCACATGTCGACGGCGAACCACCCAACATGACTTGACACTGTAAGTTATTTCATGTACAACCACCACACCACTTACATGTAACTCACCTACATGTAACTTAGTATGTCTGTATGTGTGTACTGTACGTACCCCCCCATTCCTTGGGATTCGCGCCCCAGCGACAAGGCCGACGCGTCCGCCGCTGGCCCCCGTCAGGCAACGGCTCGTTTCCATGGTGCCATGCGATGACACTCTTGGGCTTGGTGCAGAAGCGGGCGGAAAAGGAAAAAGAGAGAATAGAGGCGGAAATCACTCTCGCCGTCTTCCTCGTTTGCGGAGAGGGAGGGGGGATAAATCTTGTGCTTGCACTTGGCCAGAGCGAACAAAGCGTGTAAGCACAGCCACGCAATCAATCCCCTGGACCGCTTGTGCATCAGAGTATTCGCGTTCCCTTCTGCTCACCGTCATGTTCCGTCAATGCATCAGGGCCATGGCTTTTAGCAGCTTGCAACAGCCGCTGATCTCTTCTCTCTTGACAATCATGCCCAGACATCCGCCTCTCCCCCTTCCTGGCCTCGGCCGTGCCCTCTGCCATGGCGTCCGTATGCTCTCTATACAACATTGGGATATCACATCTGCAACGCACATTCTCCCCTTTCCCTTGAGAACCACGTGAGCGGCACTCGCACGCCATCTCCGCGCCCTCGCCCCTCGCCCTTCGCCCGGGGACCGGGGCACCTCTCCCCAAAAGTCTAGACCGTGGCCATCCGACAAAGGGATCGGATCTGTGCCAGTCTGGGAGGCTCTCCTTCTCCGCTGCCAACTCCCCGCCTCGCCCACACATCAGTGCAGGCCGAGGATCCGCTTCGAGTTCTCGTACACGACCCAGGTTATGCTCAGTGCTGGAGCAACCTTCAGCAGATTCGGCGTCAGCCCCTTGTATAGCCCCCGATAGCCCTCGCGTTGAATCGTCTTCTGCGTCACGTCCCAGATGCCCGTGTACGTCGCCCGGTGCATCGCCGTCCCCTGCGTCTGCAGCCGGGTGCGCACCACGTTGAGCGGGTACACCACCGAGGCCCCAATAGCCCCCGAAGTCGCGCCAATGATTCCCGTCGCAATGTTTCCCGGGTTTGCGTCGTCCTCGTGGCACCCGGCGTACCTGGCATAGTAGCCCCGATACGTCTTCTTGAGCAGCTCAAACATGCCCATGTCGATTGCGCTGTAGGGGAACATGCCCACGAGACCCATGGTGATTCCTCGGTAGCAAGCCCGCACTCCGCCGTCGGCGTACATCTTGACGGCCGTCTGGCGCACCAGCGCGCTTCCTGTGAGGCCGTCCTTGACCGTCTCGCACTGCAGGCGGAACTTGAGGGTATCCAGAGGGTAGACACAGAATCTGCTCCTGATTAGCGGCTTGTTGGATTGCTCCAAGGGGAAGCGCCGCCGCTCACTGTGCAATCATGCCGGCGAGACCGCCTGCGGTGAACTTGGAATAGGAGCTGATCTGTCTCGAGTCGCCGTGGCCCTCAAAGTTGGCCAGTGCTCGCTTGGCGGCCTCGTATGACCCGAACTTGATGGCCGTCTCGGGCATAATCTTGACGACGTTGAGGCCATTTCCTGTGTCCCCGTCAGCGCCACCGTCCAGTCGCTTCTCACCCACGGCGCAAGAGGGTCGCCTCCTTACCGGCAAAGAACCCGCGGACGCCACCGGATTGGTACAGATACTTGACGGCATCGCCAAAGGGCCGCGCCGCATTCTTCACTGCAGCAATGGGCCGGCCCTGCTTGATGGCTGCAGCGGCCGTCTCCGAGCCAGCGCTGGTCTTGACGAGCAGATAGACCTTTAAGCGGTCGAGAGGGGCAGTGGCCGTTCGCGACACTCCGCCGGCGATGGCACCCGCGAGGAAATAACCTGGATCGGGAACAAGGTCTGTCAGCCTGGGCTTCTTCTTGGCTGCTATGGCTTGGCCCGAGGCCTGTGACGATCCAAGGTGCTCGACTGGGGTGCCATCGCCGTCGTGCCGTGTGTTGTCGTCCGCGGCCAAGCGTCGCCGACGAGTCGTCGCAATGCTGACGAGTGTATTCAGGGCGCATTCTACGGCGTCCATGTTCTGTATTTGCGCCGGCAGCTCTCCTCTCTTTCCGTCCGTTGCCTGGTCGTGTAGAGGTGCTGGCCGCGACGGTGGACCTGTCCAGTACATCGAGGGCATGGCGACTCTGAGGAGCGAGCCGAAGACAGAGTAAAGAAGAGAGTAGCACTGGGAAGAGATGGAAGAGGAGTCGCCCCTACCTAAGCCTTCCAATGTTTCCTCGCTGACAATAGAATCTCCCTCGGGCGTGACATTAACAACAGAACAATAGTAGGACAGCACGGCACGCAGTTGAGAGTCATGTTCACTCGCCGGCATGAAGAGGAGAAAGTTTCTGAAATAAAAATCAGCCAACGTTCTAGTTTTAAACCTTTGAGACGTGGGCGCCATCCGACAGAGGCCCATGATGCGCCATGGCTGTGCGAAAGCGCCAGCCCCTCCCCGCGCAACCCGTCACAAAGCCAACAGCACATGACACGGCCTGGGCACGCGAGCCAGCCACTGGCCAAAACGTACGAGCCGTCTTTGTCAAGCGACCAGACCGACGCGGCGCAAAGGCAAAGAAAGAAAAATCCACAGCACTTACTGCCACTCATCAAAGCTGACAAACCCGTCGTGGTTCTTGTCCATGTCGTTGAAGAACTCGGACAGTCTGCGGTTCGATACGGTGAGGCCGGCAGCTCTAAAGGCAGACTGCAGCTCCGTCATGTCGAGTTTTCCGTTGCCGTCCTTGTCGATGGCTTTGAACAGAAAGAACAGCTGCCTCTCGGCTTGCTCGACGAATATGCGGAACTCTGAGTCGCGGCGTCAATCGTGATGCTCCAAGAGGCAACAAGAAGCACTCCATGCCGAGCCGAGCATACCTTCGTACTGAATCTTGCCGTCGCCATTGGTGTCGACCTCCTCCATGATCTGCCGCAACAGATGATCCGCGTTTTTCATGGCTGCGTGGGCTACGTGAGCATTCTACTCTCGGGCGTGGCGAGAGTCGCAGCTCACGGTGATCGATTTTGCGGAACCCCTTGCGCAACCCCTTGAGATCCAGCTCGCCCGTGCGGCTGGGGTCAAGCTGGAGCCAGAGAGCCTCGACGCGGGCATCGCGCTGGTTCTGCGACTCCTCGAGCCCGCGCTCCGCGGCCAGGACGAGCTTGGACACGCTCATGGCAGCGGCGGCATCTCCCGCGGGCCTTCGTCTGCCGTTGCTGTGCCGGTCGTGGTCGCTCGCGCGTTGTTGGCTCGACTGCTCACAGAGGCAGCATGGTATGTGTGGAAGAGGGAGAGAAGGAAAGCAGGTCCAACAAGGCCAATGGGGCGCGGAAAGCTTGGAGGCTGACGTCGTGCAGCCGCGGGAGGCAAGAGTCGATGTTTAAGACGGGCGTCCCGGCTCGCCAATGATGCAAGTTCGGCTCGCTGCAGCTGTACGCAGCTGTGGTGGTGGTGGGTTTGCCGCCTTGTGTAACTTGAGGCGAGGAATGAAGGTGCTTTTGGGGGGGTCCAGGCGGGTTTCAGCAATCACGGCGGCTCGATAGGCTGGCGGGCAGCTCCCGGGGCCCGGGCACCCCATTGCCTTATCTTATCGCCCCGCAGCACCCGGAAACGTCGTCCATCTCTCAGGCCCTCTCCAGTGTCCGACCACCCCCATCACCGCCATCCGACGTACGAACCAAACCGGTGCCTCTGCGGGCCCTTCCCGCACGACATGTCGGCCAACTACTGGCAGTCGACGCAGAGGCGCCATTGGCTATTCACCAAGGAGCAACTGGCGTCGGTGCGCCAGAAACTCGAGGACGACAATGCCGACCTGATTCGCATGTTCCCCCTGCCCCAGCCGCGCCATCTCGCAATATACTTCAACCAGCGTGAGTCCCTGCACGTTGAAACATGCCAACAGCTGCTGGTCTCTGACTATCCGTCGCTTTCGCTCTAGAATTACTGCGGTTGGGCAAACGCCTGAGCATCCGGCAGCAGGCCGTGGCCTCGGCCCAGGTCTATCTGAAGCGCTTCTACACCAGGGTCGAGATCCGTCGCACCAACCCTTATCTCGTCATCACGACCGCAATATACCTGGCCTGCAAGATGGAAGAGGCACCCCAGCACATACGGCTCATTGTCACCGAGGCACGGCAGCTGTGGCAAGACTTCATCGGGCTCGACACCTCCAAGATTGGCGAGTGCGAGTTTTACCTAATTAGCGAAATGAGCTCGCAGCTCATCATCCACCAACCCTACCGAACGCTGAGTTCACTGCGCGGCGAGTTGGCACTGGCCGACGAGGACGTTCAGCTCGCTCGCTCCGTCATCAACGACCACTACATCACCGACCTGCCCCTGCTCTGTGCTCCGCACATCATCGCCCTCGTCGCCATCCTGCTGGCCTTGGTATTGCGGCCAAACTCGTCGGGCTCGGGCCAGAACGCCCCCGGTGCGACGGCGGCGGCTGGCCTGGCAGCTGCACAGGCGGCCCTAAGCCAAGCACATGCCAAGGCGAATGGCATCCTCGAACCGCCCAGCAGCTCTGACTCCAAAGAGAAGCAGCAAGAAGCGAGAATCACCAGGGTGCAGCACTTTGCCGCTTGGCTGGCCGAGAGTAACGTCGACATTGCAGCTATGGTCGACGCCACGCAGGAGATTATATCCTTCTACGAGTGCCATGAGCACTACAACGACAAGCTGACCCGAGAGCAAATCACTCGGTTCGTCAAGATGCGCGGCCTGGACAAGTAGAGCCCCGGAAGACGCCAGGGTCGATTACTGAGAATATGATGGAGGCGCACGCTTGACAGTTGCGTCGCTTTGAAATTGGCGCATTGGTACGGCGTTTAGAGTTGGCGATGAACACCGGTTAGTCTTGCGAGGGAGGATCAGGCGCAGCAGCTGATGCCGGAGCTCAATATCAAGGTTGATCTGTCGCCCTCCTCGGCACCCTCATCACATGCCCTGGAACCCGAGACGCCAGCTTTATCTCCACGATCTCACAGCAATATCGGCCACCTCCTTACCTCTGGAGATGGCAATCTCATGGCCGCCGTTGACCACGTGAATATCAACTCCATCCTCTCCGAGCACGGCCTTGGAGTCTTCGATCCACTCCTCCTTGACAATAATTGGGTCTCTTTCGGCGAGGATGAGGCAAATCTTGCCTCCCGTCAAGCCAGCAGGGACGGTGCTCCCTCGAGCCAACGTTTGTGGTCGTCTTCGAGCCAGCTGCTGGCCAAGGAGTTTCCAGACCTTGTCATGCTGCCCGTAAATCGGCGCGTGCCGCATCGTGCTCATGTAGGCCCCCACGAAGCCGGTGTTGCCTTGCAGCTGCCACCCGACCACGTCTCCAACCTTGACATCCTTTCGTTCCCTGGATACCGGCACGTCGTCGAAGTCGACTCCGGCATTCTCGCCCTCGGGCACGTCGGCGCTCACCCCACGGCGCGGTTGCAGCCTACGACGAGCCAGAGCATCAACGAGGAAGGTCGGCAGTATGCCATGCGAGTAGAGCAGCCAGCTCTTAAAGGAGACATGGGAGGGGCGAACCAGACCGCCGGGGCAGACGAGGGTAAGAGAGCGGACAAGGTGTGGATGATGGGCGGCGAAGGAGGCCGCGAGGGCACCGCCGAGGGAGTAGCCGAGAAGATGGAAGGCGGACGAGCCGGTCCATGGAAGGGCCGAGGAGGCTATTACGAGGAGGATCTGGGTTGTGTAGAGCCGGTCGTCGTAGAGAACGTCGACGGGGGCGTCCGAATAGCCTCGGCCAAAGAAGTCTGCATGGGCATCAGCTGCGCAGATTCTTTTTGTGTCTATTGGTTTTGCAAGATGATGGCGAAGCTTGAAGCGGGCAGGGGAGTCCTCCCAATGGAAAGGAGCTCGGGAAACTCACCAAATAAGATGACCCTGCATCCTCTCCTCACAAACTCCTTGGCCATGTCCCCCAGAGCCACGCACGGCGTGCCAATGCCATGCATCAACAGCACCTTCTCGCCGTCCTCGGGCCCCCACTCAAACACCTTTATGGTCCCGTACTCGGTCTCGACATGGCGCGCCCCCGGGAAGGCATTGGGCGGGTAGGGCCAACTCTCGGCGACGGCGGGCGAGCGTCGGGCGGTCTCACGCGCCTTGCATGCAATGGTTCTCGTCGGCTTCAGCTCGTTGTCCTGGCTGAGAGCCGGGCGGATGTGAAGATACAAGGTGAGACAGGCGGCGCCGGCGGCGACGAGGGCCCAGTTGACGGCTGGGCCGGGGCGCAGGTGCCACGAGAATCGGGTCATGGTCGCCCTGTGCGGTGCCGTCGTGGCGCTCGGTTTACGGCAAAATCCCGTCTGGTTTCTCTGCTCTACGGCTCTGGGGGGGTGGCCCAGTCTCTCTTGGCCTACAACGTATCCTGCATGGGCAAATGTCCCGAGTATCTGGTTTCCGACAAAGGCGGACAGTGGATGGTGTGAGGTGTCTCGGTAAAAACGGGCGGAAGAGCGGACAAGCGGCGCCACAAGCGGAAACCTAGCGGCCGTTTTTGCCCACGCCCCCCCCGGCCGGCTCCAGGTTCATCCATCAATCGCTCGACAGTATCTGGCAACGCACCCGCCGCTGCGCTTTTTTTTCTCTGGTTGGCGTGCGGTACGGAGAAGATTCCTTGTTTCCCGGAGCGTCAGCCCACGGACCGAGCCGAGCGTTGTGTCGGTCTCTTATCGTCCCCATGACCCAACGCCGGCAGCACCGTCGTACCGTCATCTCCCTGCTTGGCCGGCTGCCAGTGAAAGAGAAGGGAGCCATAACGTTGCTCTCTCCTCGGCTATGCGAAATGTCCTAAGCTCTGGCTCAAACGTGAGCTTCATGACCCGCTCAGCTGCCCTCCGTCCATCGGCGCAACAGTCTGCTCCGACCACTTCGACCGCGATCGGGGGTTCTCCGTCAGGGCCGGGGAGAAGGCTCGGATCGGCACGAGCAGCAGGAGCGTGACCCTGGCCCGGGGACGTGATCTTGGCCGTTTGTGGATTGGCACTAAAGCGGCGATGGCCTCGCAACGGCAAGCAGCAAAGGAGCTTACGGGTCGAATCCGGCCCTCGGCCGCAGCTGGTGAGACAAAACCTCCACCCTGCATCATCAGCATGTCGTCGCTGTCGAATGGCGGGTCCATGCAAAGAGGCGGTGTGTGGAGGAGGATGGTGGAGGGAGTCCGGGTACCTCTTTGTAGGGAGGTACGTACGGATAATTCACCAGCTCAAGCAACCGTGCCAGCTCGACGAGATGCGTTTCCGCGAAATGTGGGCAGAAGGTGCCTTAGTCAGTACAGTGCCCGTCGGACAATGCACACGAGTTGTTGCGCAACAATGCATTCTCAGTCCTCAAGGTCCCCGAACTCGGCATGGCGACAAGACACAATCCGTCGGTACTGTAGAGCAAATGGTCGGCATTCAATATGCGCGCAGGGACAAAGTGTACTGTACTCGGTAGCAAGCGACAATAAACATAAATAGAGATGGAAATAGAAATATCCGTGAGATTTGCAGCGATCAACAACCCTCGCTCGGGCCTTTAACGGCATGCTGCACCAGCAATCGGGCGGCTGTCCCGCGTGGTCAAATTGTCTGTGGCTGGTTCAGCCGCCTGCTTCTCCATGGCAGCTTCTCCACGGCAATCTGGGCGTCGCTCGGCAGTGCCGGATTCCAGGTTCTTGAATTAGCCTTGCGTTCCGTAATTAGGTGATTAGGTGGGGTGCGCGTGCCGGACACAAGTTACAAATACATGCCTAGAATACCTACCTACCTATGCAACAAAGTCAGGGACGGGAGCGGGCCAGTGCAACGGCGCTGGGCGTGGTGGGCTGTGCTCCTCCGTCGTCTTTGTCTGTCCATCTGCAGGCACTCGACGACATTGATCGGTCGAGGATGAGGAGACGAGCCCCGGCGGAACCTGTAACACGAAATGACGTCTGGGTCAAGCATCGACGACCAGCGTTTCTTTATGCATTTGCCAAGAGGCTCGAGTCCGGGTGTCGACACGGTGCGGGCTTGCAGCCGTCACGAGGGTCTGACCCTGGCAGGGCCCCCGAAAAGCGAGCTCAAGGTCCCGTGGCCCAGCCTCCCCCGCTTGCCGAAACCCATTGAGTTCTGGCCCAAGCCACCGATGGGCCGTGTCGACAGTGAAGGGGTGAACACTGACACTGTGTTATTAATCATATGTCGATTGAGCTGCCCCGCGATCTGCTACTGTGTGTACTGTACATGTTGCGACTCGAGCAGCACGCAAGGTTACAGTACTGTACAGTACATGCTTGCTCCTCCTCATGCCCATTGAAAGAAGGACCAAAGATGACTGCTCGGTGCTCATATACAGTACCTCGGCCGTGTATGTGTGCAAAAGACCGATACTGTACAACAACCCAGGATGACTCAGATCTCTGCGATATCAGATTCGACGCGCCCGTCATTTGGCGGGGGCTTGGGGGGACGGGAGGGGCTGGCACTGGGAGAGCTTCTACCAATGATGAGGTGAGAGGCGTTGCCGCTTTCAACGCCCCTTCGAGGGAGGCCCTGACTGTCGGGGCCGATGCACGACAGAGGAGAGATCATCCACGAGCAACGCCTTGCAAATGCAGATGATATCCTACGAATACATACGTGGATCGGACGGGAGCCGCAGCATGGGCCTGGCGGGCACAGGATGCAAGGTTCGTGACATGGACTCCTGTTAGCGCTGCCCTGCCGGCATTTGCGCTGCGCCGTGCTGCCCTGCCCATGCCTGCCTGTCTTGGGGGTGTCGTGCCTCAACATCGTCGAGAGCAGGCTTCTCCAGTTGTCGATCGAGCTACCAAGATCAGCGATCCGTCGCTCTCTGGACAGGCATCGAGGCGTCTATCCGCGAAAGCGGTCAGGCAAGGGCACAAGCTCCACCAACCAAGCATGACAGCCACCTGCCCACCTCTTGGACCCGTCTCCACCTCGGTCGACATGGAAGATGGTCCTTTGCGCCCGGCTGCAGCACCACAGTGCGCCAGCCCGGCAGCGGCGGCCTCGCCAGTCGGCTCGCTACCTGACTGATGAGGCTCTGGCTCACCCGTCGAAAGCCCAAAAAGAGTACGAGCAAAGAAGAGAACGAACGCCCTGCAAAACACCGATCCACTCAAGTACTCGCGGCACGCATGATACACCGTACTGCGCGGCATCGTAGATGGACATGCTTTTGATATTCAGTACATACTGTATCCGTATGCGAAACATGCAAGCCAGGCACGTGTGGCGGCCGGCCGGCTAATTATACGGCACAAGTGATTATCGACGGTACGAATACATTTATCTGGATAATTCAAATTATCATGTGGCGTGTACTCGTACTCGTGGCATATCTTACACCACGTCGTTCGTTTGTAGACTCGCCTCTCTTTTTGTACTGTCGCATAAGACGTTACTGTAACTTACTGTACCGGTAGTCTGTCTATATGTAGATCATGTGGCCGTGGCTGCACGGACATGTCGACATGGCCAATGCCCGAACGAGCATCTGTCATCCATGCTCAAGCGCCCGCCTTCCCTCATCGTCTGAGTGTTGGCCGTCGGTCACCAGCCTCATCTGCCTCTGCGGCGTTACCGGTCTGCACGGCGCGGCATATGGAGGCATCCATACTACCCCATCATGCAATACTGTATATTCAGCATCCATAATTTCTTCCTTGGTCCCAGGGCAGAGAGCAAGCATATACGGCGAAACGGAGTGGGAAAGAAGGGAGGACCCCAGCGGGTCCAACTAGGGGTGCCTCTCTGGGTGCCTCTCTTCTCCCTCAAGTGTCCCATATCCCCACATCCTCCTCCTCCCTCCCTCCCTCTTGACTCTGACCCGTCTCACCAGAACGAGAATGAGCAAGTCAGCGCGAGAGCTCGACGACATTACCTCCCATGCGTGACCATCACCTCGAATGCCTGAGTTTGGGCTGCGACTTGCGTTTTGTGACGGATTTGCCCTGACGGCCATTCGGGGTACAAGGCTCCTCTCTCGTGGCTCGTCTCACCACTTTCCAGAGCCTTGGGGCCACACCGGATTCAGCGACAATTGTCCCAAGAGGCTGCTTAAGCACTCAGTAGCATTCAAGAAACCTTGTCGAGGCCAGTTTCAGTTCCTACGGCGGAATCAGGGGGGGGGGACGGCTGGGGAGGGAGCGCTCTGGTCCAACCCTTCGATGAACGCTGATACATGCCCGCCAGCGCAGGTACATGCAGAGCCCTCGAGGGCTGTCAGGGTACTCCGTACAGCCCCCACATCGCCAACGGCGGGTGTTTGCTCCCTGGGACAGTGCCGGGTACAGCACAACACTAAGTTACTAGGAGTAATCACTGCGAGGCAGAGAGACCGCCCAAAAGACTTTGGCACTACGGAGTATACGTGGCGCAAAGGCAAGGGACTTGGGACCTGGAGAGATGGGCCCCTGTACCTATGTTGGGTTGGAAAGTGGATCCGCACTGTGTCGCAGGGTTTGGTTTATTGCTCGCACTGTCCTGCCGGCCAGGACTCGACGCAGGCACGCAGAAACAACCCAGAATGCGTGCAGTCAAGTGACCAGGCTGTTTTGTTGCTTGGATGGAATGCAGTGGACCGGCACCCAGGCAGCGAAGCGGGGGCCTCGGGCTGCTAGCGCTGGGTGGTGCGACAGCTTCCAACCTCACGTACAGGCAGGGCCTGGACACTTTGGGGTAAGCGGCCGAGGTGGCGAAAGTGTCAGGTATTTTGAGTTAGTGCTTTATTGAGCAGACATGCCCAGGCTGAGCAGTTTTGTATCTCGGAGTGCCCTATGGAAACCTTGCAGAGTGTACTTCGTACAGTATGTTCGCCACCTGGGCCAGCCATTCCGACGATCCAGCCACGCGACCTGCAGGCAAAGAGAGCTGGTACCGGGGAGCGAGCACACCCGGGCCTGCGCGAGAGTCAGCCCACTGAGCGCTAGCGGAATTTCTGCTCTGTCGTTCGGCCCACGGCCGCCATGTCAGTGGGTTATTAATGTGCCGATAATTAGTTATGTTATCCCTTGTGACAATTCGTCGCCGTCCGTCCCTGGGCGAGTATTTCTCCTGAACTGGACCGTCGCAACGTCGGTACCGGCTGCTATGTGCGGTGCGTGCGTGAGTGCGCGAGCGCCCGCGCCGTTTGATGAGCAGTAATCTACCCCTACCCGGGGCACGGAGAGCGGACGGTACCATGAGTCGGAACCCCCTCCCTCCCCTCTGTTTTGAACACACGCCAGCCGGCGGTCATTGTTTGGCTCCCTCTCGGCTGCTCCCCACCCCACACACACACTCACGACACCCAAAAAAAGGGCTCCAATGCTGGCCGGCCCCGCCTCGACCGGGTTGGCCTCTTTCTGCCTGCCCGCCAGGAGACTAGATATTATCTGCCTGCCTTGCCTGCCTGGACGCCCGCCCTGCCGCTAGGCTAGGTTAGGCCAGGTACCTCGCTACGTACCTTTAAGGCATTCGTGCTTGTCTCGGCACCGTGCCAGATGCACTGTCGCGCATGGCCGCCACCACCCCCGCCCGCGAAAAATCACAGTATTGGCGCCCACCCCCTGGCAACCCCTAGACCCGCCGTGGACTAGCGCTCTGCTTGCCCGCCCAATCACCGGTCAGTGGCGATGACGGCGAATCCGGCGTGCTCGGCCTCCCATTCGCCGGCTGCGGCGCTGCGTCTCTGGCTGGGCCCCTCCATGCAGGCCAACAAAAACCCGCCATGTCTGTGTCCTCTTGACCTCCCACCCACCTATCTGCCGACTCTGTACCTCCCCTCTCGCATACCTTTCGTACCACCACCACCCACCTCCATCCCCTCTCCATTCTGCTCTTCTCTTCCATCCCGTCTTCCTCGCTCCGCCGAACCGCATCTAAGGGGGAAATAAACCACAAATCAACACTCCTCTCCGCTTCCATCTTCCTTTTTTGGCATTCTCCATTCACGCTTCTCCCCGGTCCTCTTGTTTTCTTCTCATTTGCCGCCAATCTCAATTCTCGCCATCCCTTGCAGCTGCGCGTCGACAACCCAACGTCGAGCCTTAATCCCGCACACCGCCGCTTCAGACCAACAAAACACCGACACGCTCGCCCCCAAGTGCTTCGGTTTACCTCGGTCGCCTTCCATTAACCGAGCAGCCAGCCAGCCGCCGAGTCGTGCTGGGCAAGACACACCATGGCTTCCTACTATCACTACAACGCCCACACGGCACATGCAGCGCCCGTCTCCCACAACCACCACGGCGGCGGCCGAAACCGCAGGGCACCTCGGCTCTCCGTTTCCCACAATGCTCAGAGGCAGTTTCGCGGCGCGCGAAGTCTCAAGGATCTCCACGAGTCAGCGGCTCTCTCGGCCTTTCGCGTCAAGTTCGAGGCCGGTCGTTCATTCGAGCTCGAGGATGACCTCGAGTTCTGTCCCAACCTCTTGACAGAAACCGACGTAAGTCACCGAGACCCGCACGAGCCTGCTTTTCTCATGGGCCACTATTGGACTGACACCTATCATCAGCTGGTGTCCATTTCCAGCGCCTCGGAGCGTTCGTCGTTGGCCAGCAACTCCCCCGAATCCTCTCCAACTCAACAACCGCAGACCGTTGCCCCCAGCTTCTCCCTCAACTCTTCGTCCCCGGCATTTATCCCTCCGAGCTTCCAGGGTCAACAATCGAGCCTGAAGCTGCACCAGCCCTCGGCCACGCGCGGCCGCAATGCCATTCCCATCATAAACCCCGCCACCGGCATTACTATGGCCAGCCCCTCGCCCTCGGTCTCGCCCGCCGCGCTGCAGCAATCTCTTCGCCGGTGGTAGACTCGGACCGAGTCTCCCGCACACGTGGTGCCGTGCACTCTTTGGTGGACTTGAATCCATTCCCTTCTTTCGATAGCTGTTCATCTTGGCGGGCACACCAAAAAAAAACTACGCAACTCAAAAGGTGGTACAATCGACTTTCGCGGGCTCGGTGATTTGGGGACGAGTTTGGCTTGCGGGCAATACGCTTCTACATCACCACTCACCACTCAATCTCTTTTTCCGACTTATTATAACCGGCACAACACCATTTAACCGGCGCGGCTTGAAAGTTCGAAACCACATTCTTGGTCTTGTCATTGATATCATTTATTTTTCTTGGAAACCGGTGTCCCGCCTCCCGAGGTGAGGCTACCTGACTCGAATGGTTACTATCTTCACAAAGATTTGCATCTTGGGTCCTTCGCTCGGTGGTACCGACGATGGAGTTGGGACTTGATTTCGGCATCCTTCATGTCTTATCCTGGGAGCGCGCGATGGTTGATTTGCATCTCCGAAAATGCCTGGCCCCCCCCCTCTTACGGTCACGGAGGCCACGACGCCACCAAGAGAACACCTAAAAGAACATAGAAAGGGTCACTTACGATGTGCGGGGACTTGGGCTGTTCTCGGGTCAGTCACATATGGGAAATGTTTTGGGACGGATGACGGTCAGCAAAGATGAGCGGTGTCTTCGATGTTTGCGCGCATATGCGACTGGGAACGGGTTCTGGATCTAGGGGAGTTGGTTGTTTGCTGTCTTTTTTTGTCTTAATCACGGCTTGGGTTGTCGGAGGAGATCCCCCCTGTGCAATTGAACGGGAAAGCGGCGTGTCCATTTTTCTGCTTGCGTGTACGGTGGTTCAGTCTTACCTGGGACGGAGATGTTTTTTTCTGGGCATCTGACGACGAGGTGCCATTGAATGGGGATCTCATCTGTGTCGCAAGCATCTGGGAGAGGCATCAAGGTGGCACAGTCACGAAACGATATGGGTTGCGGGTCTGGTTGATTGGGATTTGTCGGGCCCGCGTGCCCTGGTGTTGTGATCTGGCGGGATCTGGTGTCCGCGAGACAAGGCAGGTTTGCTGTCCGGAACAGGGCGCTCCATGTTTGAAGGGTTGCGATACCTCGGCTTGAATGGCCTGCTGGGACGAGAGTCAAGAATACATACGATATGTTCTGCACGATTGCTTTGGCTTGACAGACTTGTGGAGATGTTGAATGACGCAGGCGGGGAGACGATGGCGGCTTTCAGCACGCTCGTCTGGCCTCTCTTGGGTCGACACGGCACTCACATGCCCCGTACAAGCCGATACACGCGCCACGTCGATGGCCCCCGCAGGCGATGCTGCTGGGCGCTCTACTGTACAGTGCGTTCTTGCCAGCCAATTGGCCTCTCCCTCAGTTCCTTTTGGGGCGGCGGTGCGGAGCTGTCGTCGACGACATGATGACGTCATGACCGCACCACCGCCGACTGTTTTGCCGGGGGAGGGGAAGTTGGCCCAAGGAACAGTTTCCCTATCTGCTTGCTGCCTTTGATCTCCTTTTTTCCACTTCCTGACAATATAAGCAAGAGATAGCTGACGATTATTTGATCTGTCTGGACTCTTGATTTGTTGAAAAAACACTCTCGCGAGGCTGAACTACGGAACGTTGCCCTGCTCGCCTCGGCAACTCTCCCCTCCTGTGTCTCTCGTGCAAGCCACTGTCTTGTCTCGAAACGCTCTCACCGGCACCGGAGCCAGACCTCGTTCCAATCAGAACCCCATTGAGCTTTCTCCTCTCCGAGACGGAGGCACTCTGGGCACGCAATTCCACTTGGATCGCCAGCCACCATCTGCGCTCTCTCCCTCTCCTCTCCCTTACCCCCCTCTCTCTCCCCAAAAGCGCACCGTCTGCTGCCGCCGACCTACCAGGATCTACCAGGGTGTGACGATTATGCCAGCTCGAAGCACCATGATCGCCGCGGGCGCGGCGCGGGCCGCGGCGGCAAGCAGGGCGGGTGTTGTCGGCCGGGGCTTCGCGTTTACTACGAGTGCGCGATTGGGCCTCAAGGAGTCGTCTAGCCGTGAGTTTTGTTCCCTCCTTCCCTTCAGTTCGCTTCTGTCCTCGCCCCCGTGTCGCACCACGAGAAGCGGGCATCACCTGTCGTGATCCGCACAACAGCCACGGGAACAGCAAGCGTCAATGACCGGGCTGACCGAGGAGTAGAGACGGACACCGACTACGAAAAGCACAAGCAGGACTCGCTGAGCAAGCAGCGCAAGGGCTCGGGCCACTGGAAGCCGGAGCTGGCGTCGGACAGCGAGGAGGCCGTCAAGGCGGATAAGGGGAAGCACGACGGGGACATGGCGTCGCTGCAGGAGAGGACCAAGAGGGCCGCTGAGGAGTCGTCCAAGGCGGGGACGAGTGTACGGGACGACATGTGAAGATGGCGGGCCAGAAAGGTTGTCGGGGCCCGTCATGTTGGGGCCTGTAACACTGCGCTCAGTGCAGCAGCGCCTGTATGTTAGGCACGCATCCGTGTACGAGCCACCCAGCACCTGGAATCGCGGGTGGCACCTAAGAAGAAGAACAAAAGACACTGCGCAAAGCGGTTTTCCATTTTCGTCTCCTCGTACCAATCTCATCATACACCGATTCGTCGGTGATGCCCCGTCAGACTCGGGGCGTCATCCATGATGGTGGCTACAGGGTAGGAAGGAGCCTGAACCCGGAGGCACGGCTCTTCCCGGCCTTTGCGCGCCCGTTATCGATAGCGGAGCTCCGAGCTGCGAGCGATTAAGCAACATCCCAACCTGCCTTGGACGCTCACATCCATTGCCCTCCCCTCCAACATCCGCGCAGTTGCTCCCGCGCGGGCTCCCACCGTGCAAACCCACCCAGAAGAGGAGAGGGAGAGAGAGAGAAAGAGAGAGGGAGAATGTCGTCGCAGCCGCCGCCGCCCTCGTTCCAGTCGGCCCTGCTCGCCGGGGCCCTGGCCGGCAGCACCGTCGACCTGACCCTCTTCCCGCTCGACACGCTCAAGACGCGCCTGCAGTCGTCGGCCGGCTTCTTCGCCGCCGGCGGCTTCGCCGGCATCTACCGCGGCGTCGGCTCCGCCCTCGTCGGCTCCGCCCCGGGCGCCGCCTTCTTCTTCTGCACCTACGAGGCCGCCAAGCAGGGGCTCGCCGCCACCACCACCACCCTCGGCACGACGCGGCCGCTGCCCGACCCCCTCGTCCACATGCTCGCCGCCAGCATGGGCGAAGTGGCCGCCTGCGCCGTCCGCGTCCCTACAGAGGTGGTCAAGCAGCGCGCCCAGGCAGGGTTGCATGGGGGCTCGTCGGCGGCGGCCCTGCGCGCCATCCTCGCGCGTTACTCGGAGCCCGCGGGCCGTGGGGGTCTGCGTGCTGTCTGGCGCGAGCTCTACCGTGGCTGGGCCATCACCGTCTTCCGCGAGCTCCCCTTCACCGCTATCCAGTTCCCCCTGTGGGAGGCCATGAAGGCCTGGGCCAGGAACGCTCGCCGCCGCCCGGCTTCCGCCCGCGCCGACGCAAAGTTCGACGCCGACGTCTCGGCTGTGGAGGGCGCCCTCTTTGGCAGCGTGGCCGGCGCCATCGCTGCCGCCTCCACCACCCCGCTCGACGTGCTCAAGACGAGGGTCATGCTCTCCAAGGAGAGAGTCTCGGTGCGCGACGTCTTCCGCCGCATGGCTCGTGACGAGGGCGTGCGCCCCTTCTTCGCCGGCCTCGCCCCGCGCGTGACGTGGATTTCTCTCGGCGGTGCCATTTTCCTCGGCAGCTATCAATGGGCCATCAACATCATGCGATGACGCCGTCGCGGCCCCGTTTATTAGACACTAACTGCGTACGATGGGGCTCGGCCAAGGGGACTGGGTATACCTGATAGATGTCTGTATTAGAGAGGTCCCCGGCAGACGGGCATCAACCTCCAACGCCTCAGCCTCTAGCTGGCTCCACCCCATGAATATGTAGAGAACGAGCAAGCAGGCGACAAGATATATACTCCTGCGCGGAGAAAGGCGGCATACCAGCATATGTGCAATGTGGGAGACACAAGGATGTGCGCAATAAGGGAAAATAATGCAAGGGTGACGAGCCCAAGACCCTCTGGCCCCCAGAAAAGGGATTGATACAATCACAGCTTGTCAGCTCCGTCTCTCAGGATGCCTGCGCAGCAGTACCGGCCTCGGAGACCGCTGCCGCCGTTGCGGTTGGTTGGGCGGCGGCTCCGCCTTCTTCCGCGAGCAGCATAGTCGGGGACGGCTGCCCACGGGGTTTGAGGTTCCTGCGACCCGTGGCTTTATAGTACATGACGACGTCGCTGCCACCTTTCCAAATGTGGGCTCGGATGGTGGCCAGGCTCATGGTATGGCCCAACAACTGAACGTGTTCCGGTCAGCCACCCTCCAGGGCTCACAAGGGCGAGCGAGGCAAGACGCTGGTACTACTTACCTGGTCGTTGCAGTAAAGCTCAAGATAATCCTCGGGCTTCAGCCCATCCGGCTGGTCTTCCAGCAACTCGTCGAGTCTCTCGGCCACGTATGCGAGGATCTTCTTGACCCGCAACATCCTGTTGGCGTTGAGCCGATTGGTTCCATCGGCGGGTGAGATTGGTGGCAGATTGCTCATGGGATGTAGGATGAACGAAACCTTGATGGGTTCTTTGTGCGAGATGTAGTTTCGAAGGAGCACGTCTCCAAGCCACATTGGCGCCTTTTGCTCGATAATGTCCACGTCCCGGCCAATGTCCTCCACCGTGCCCTGGTAGATGTTGGCACTGCCGCCAGACGTCTCTTCCTGGATAATGACTCTTGTGCCTGCCGGAAGCTTCAGAACAGGCGTTTCGGTGGGCAGACTCGGTCTGATTTGAGTCTCTAGTGGCTTTTCCGGTGATTCGGCCAGCTGCTTGTCGTATTCCTGGCGTATCTTCTGTAGGACGCCAAAGAAGCTGTCGTCGACTTCCTTCTCGTGTGTAGAAGACGACTCGGACTCTTCGGTGCCGTCCTTTGCGACCGCCGGCTTCTCCTGGGTTGCTTGGGACAAGGACCGAAGCTTCTTGGAGCTAAATGACATCCTGAACTTCCTACCAAAGGGGGTGCCGGGAGACTTGCCGTTGTCAGACCCCTTATCAGGCCCTTTATCCCTGTCCCTCTCCTTACCTTTCTCGGCGCCGTTTTCGTGTGAGACCCTGGTCTCCGAGGTGTCTGTTGCGGGCGTGGCAGGCGCTCTGGCCGTTCTATCGGCGGCGAAGTAATCTTCCCTTTCCCCAGGGAGACCCCGATCCCAGGAACCGGACACGCCATCCTGGCGAGCACTGGGGAGGCTTCCCGGGAGCCCGGGAGTTGCGAGCCCGATAGCGAGGCCGGGGGTGGGGACAGGAAGCTGGGGAGCGTTGGGCCGAGGCGTCGCGTCTTGTGCTGATACCTGCCAGCTCGGCGTACTGGGTTGGGGGAGGTCGATTGATATTGGGGCGCTGGGTCGGCTGGCGGCATGCCTTCTCTCCGCTTCGTCGTTCAGTTTCTGGCGGTATAGCTCATCACGCTTGATTTCCTCACTGATGAGGTTCGCAAACAGGTACCGTAGAATCCATCGCCCGAGAATGACTGGGCCATACTTGGTTAGCCAAGTAGCCAATGGCGTAAAGAATGGGCATCCTCACTTCTCTGGTCCTCCTTGAATTCTAGTGGCTCCTCCCACTTCAGCTCATCCGCGTATACTTCGGCATCGAAGCAATTAAAAGGCTCCAGCACCACTGTGAGGTTGCCCGAGCTCAAATCGACCGAGCACCAGGGAGCTACGGCCTCCCGGGTGTTGACGGCCTTGTCAACGTCTTCGAGATGCTGCTTGCCAAAGCTCTGTATGGGTTTGCACTGAATACTCAAGTCAGCATTTGGATCCCAGATCTTGTCGCTGGATGGCAAACCGCAATCAGATCCCAAAGCAACACGTCACCTGCCGTGTCAAGAGTCAAAACCCTTCTCCTATCGTTGAGCATCTTGTGTTTCAGCAGGCCAAATTGACCCTCAATGGTTTCCTCGGGCACCTGATGAATAGGTCTGACTGTCAAGTCTGGCTGGTCCTCCACGGCCTCCGAGGCCCTTCTGGCCAAGCTCTCACTAATCGTGACCGAGTCTGGGTCCCGATTGCTTCGTGACGAGAAGACAGCTGTGCTGGATAGACGGAGAACCGACTCAGGGGTGATCTCCCTCTTATCCATGACGTCAGTTTCTGGCCGATAGGGCGGTACGAGCCCGTTGGACGCCGTGGCAGAGGCTCGCTCGTGTCGAAGGTCCTGAGGGAGCTTGATGTTGCCGCTTGTGTCTATGTCTCCCCAGCGGTTAATGGATGAGCGATTCGTGGCCGTCCAAATGTGGCCGGCGGCGGCTACGACCTTGGAGACGCCAAAGTTCTCCTGTACAACAGCAAGACTAAGACCGTCGTCCATGTCCTCCAGACTGCTCCGGACATCCGTCTTAGCAACCAGGCCGGAGCGGTCGCTGCTGTAAAAGATGCCCAGCCGGGGGTCATCGGAATAGAGAGACCAGATACTCTCGTCGTGCATGGTGAATGTATACATGCAACGCCCGCCCCGGACACTCCACATCTTGATAGTCTTATCGGCGCCGGCGCTCAGGATGATGTCGCCGGCGTCATCGATGAGAATGGACCGGATATTGTCGAGGTGGCCGACCAGCTTGGAGACCTTGGAGCCGGTTCGGGGATCGTATAATCGCACCATCTTGTCCGGCCCACCACTGGCCAGGATGCTGCGGCCGACGGCGAGGGCATAGACGGAGCCCTTTTCCGTCACCTCCTCGCCCTTGATGTCGACCTCGAGCGTCTTGCCGGCACCGTCGAGGTCCCAGAGGCGGATTTTGCGATCGAGACCGCCCGAAGCAACCCAGTTGGCGTTAATGTCAGCCGGGGGCGTGGCGACGCATTTGACGTAGTCGGCGTGCTCGCCGATGGTGTGGGCGCGGGTCCTGTCCTCCTCGGAGTACGGCCGCCATAGCTTGACTGCGAGATCTGAGGAAGCCGAAACCAAGGCGGTATTGTTCTGTGCCAGGGCGATGTCGTTGATCCAATGCATGTGCGCCTGGGTCTGGGCGCGCAGCCTCGTCGTCGGCCTGCGCGGGGCATCACGGCCGCCAGCGCCATGAGAATCGAGGTCGAGGTCCCATGCGCATAGGATGCCGTCGCGTCCGCCAGAGTAGCTGGACAGGTTAGCCGAGGGTGCGTGCCTTGGGCAGAAGGTGAGCTCACAGGATGCCGTTGCTAGCGTCGACGGCCAGACCGTTGACGCCGAGACGGTGGCCGCCAGCAGAAGATTTGGCGTTCTCGAGAACTGGATTGCGCGGTCAGCGTCAAGGCGACGAGGAGCTGGGGTCACGACACTCTGAGCAGCACTGTGTGATGCGCAAGCGCTCTGTGTAGCATGCGGCGGTGCACCGGGGGGCTGGAAGAGACATATATATATATATATATAAATATATATTTAATATGTCGGTCCATTGGTGGTGACGAGAAGCACAGCTCGCTGCGACACGAGCGGGAACATACATGGCCCGGAGCAAGCGGCGAGCGGGTAGAGAGACTGACCGTAACTGATTCTCTGACGGGCCTTTTTGGCCATGGCGCAAGCTGGTGGTGTTTCGACGCCCAACGATGCGCAAGAAAGGGAGAGACAGGAGACGGAGAATGAGACAGGCGGCGGCTGCACGGCACGGGCGCTATCAGCAGTGCCAAGAGGGCATCCAGAAATATGTAATGCCTGAACGAAGACGTATGTACCTGCCCTTTCCTGTACTGCTTCGTGGGTAAGGTTACCTCTTACAGTAAGGTGCTCCCACGAACTCTCCTGTACGTACTCCGTACTGCAGGGCAGAAGGTACTGTACCTACCTTACCTACCTACCTTCGGTACCTTTAAGCCGAGTAGGTAAGGTAATTATTTAATTACCTCTGCCTCGGACGAGAAAGAGCCTGGACTCGGACTCTGAGCCGAACCAAGGCAAGCTCTGTACCCTTTCCTCCAACTCCGAATGCAGCCTCAAGGAGGGGAAAGCTCACTCTCGCGGATTACGCCGGCCATTTTCCGCGCCTGCGGAAACTGGGCAGGTACCCACATGGCAGGTACCGCCAACTGCTTCGGATAATGCCGGTATCTGATCTCGACTCTTCTGGCCGAGTTCTGTCGTCAACTTTCCGAATCTAGGTACAGTACCTTGCCAACTCTCTCGACCGTGTCGTTCCTGCCTTCCGCACACGTTGAGGGATTTATGACAATACGTACGGCACCCAGCTGGTTACCAGACAGTTCACGTGACAACTGACGACCACCAGCAACAGACCGATCCAATGGGAGGTGACACAGGACGCTTACTTTGGATCAAGTATCAAGTTCAAATCTTCCACTACCTTGAGGCATCGTGCCCTAGCTCTCGACGTTGCCCGTCGCGCCTTTCATGACAAACCTCGTTGGCTTGCGCAGCATCCAAACCCAATGTGTGTATGAATTTCCCTGCCAGTTCACGTCTCGGCATGCTTCGTCGTTGATGGTTGCTCTTGGCGACCCCAGCCCAAAGCCTTCGGGATTGCTCTCCCAAATGACCACTCCACAAGCCGCAAGCTCAAGAGCAGCTCCCCTCTCTCGTGCTCGAGTAGAGTGTTAATCCAGAGTGCGGAACTCTGGAAAGTGTCTCTAGAGCAGGGTGTGCGTGCCTCTTCGATCCCGGATTGGTGCTGGCAATCTTCGAATGATACGACGAAATCTCCTCGTGCTGGGCAGGGCAGCTGGCCTTTCGTCGTCGCGTGCTCCATACTGCCCAACAGGTGGGCATGTAAACGGGTTCAAGCGCAACAGGCGTAAAAAGCTGACCTGGCTTGAAAGGTAAGCCCGTGTAATCTGGGCGTCTTTGCTATGGGCTCGGTCAGTTTTGCTCTGCCCACTTGCTCCGTCTGCGTCCACGTGTCGGCAACCAGGCGTAGGCTCCGAACTGGTGCATTGCCATGTTACTTACTGTTGAGATGTGGTTCCTATCGACACGCCAGCGGTCGACGACATCTTTGTCTACATGACGACGCAGCCGCAGCCCACGGGGCACCACCTGGCCGAGTGTATGCCACTTTGGCCCTCGCACTGCGGACAGTCATCCGTGTTGTAGAGCACCTCAATCTTGATCCCAGGACATGCCTCCCTCTTGTAGCATTCCGTGGTTCCTCTGGAGACTTGATGACAGCACCCATATTCGACGAGTGTTCGGAGACACATGGACACGGTGGTTGGGTCAAATGGGACGAGATCGGACGGCGGATGCCAAAGTCGAGCCTTTGTTCGCAAGGGGCTGGCTGATGTGTGTGTTGCGAGATGGGCAGCGCGGACGTTCATGGTAGTGCTCAGCGAGTTGGACACACGGGGGCGGCACTGGGCGACGTTATGGACTACGCGGATACCATTCTACTCTTAAAGGCTTGACAGCCTAGGGGGAGCGAGGCGGTGCTGCCGGCATAATGGACAGCTGTCTTCTGTCACCCAGACAGCAGGACTACTGCACTCCGTGTATCATCGACAACGGACGCTCCTTGTAGAGGCCATGGACCAATCCGGGCATGAAACATGTGCGGACGACTCGGAAAAGGTAATATGGAGAGTTTGCTTGACTAGAAGCACACTTCTTCTGCGACGGTAAGCCCTCGGCCACCCACCCACTGCGGCCTAGCCTGGCTGGCAAGCCATAATTCATGCCGCGTAACGACGGATTACCGAACTCGCCGTCCGCGCCTCTCTGGTCGATGGCACTCGTCGTGACGCTGCCTGGTCCCCGCGTCGCACCGGCGGACAGCCACCAGGGCAGCAAACAGTTGCTTGAGCAAGGGATGTATGTATCCGACAGTCTTGGGCGATGATGTCCAGTCATGATTAGTGAGTGATTAGGTATCCGTCCCTTTTCTCTGGCCAACGCCGTGACGCCAAGCTCTGGGGCATCTTGCGTTGCAGCACCCCGGCATCATGAAAAAGTCGTGCATCGTGCTCCATCGACGACACGTGTCGGCGGGGGTTGCCCCACGCAAGCCTCCATCCATCCGACGGTGCGAGAGCGCCGTGCTGCACAGTCCCGTAGACTGTGTACACTCGTACCAAGGTACTCCCTACGTCGGCGTACACAAACTGGAGAGCGAGGGCCAGCCGCCTGACGCGGACCCGGCACCTGATTGTTCCGGGCCACCCGCCTTGCGCCAGTGAGAAAAAAATCGCTGCTCTTGATTTTCTTCCCCTCCAAAGGTCAAGTCAGCAGACGATCCCTCGATACTGGCTTCGGGCAGTCCCTCGCACTCGCCTGCCTCAGGTCTGCTGCGCTTTATTCGCGCCTTTTCCCTTGTGCGGCCGCTCTCCGTCACTCTCCCGCCCTGCAGATCGCTCCGAGACACAGGCGACACGCCCTCTTGCGTCGTTTGCCTGGCCATTTCGGCCCACGTTGCGCTCGAGCAGCACCCAACCCCCCATCACGAGTCAAACGCTTGATTGCCACCCTCGAGGAACCCAATTTTGCCGTTGTACAGCTCTGAGCTAGCACAGCCAGTTCATCCTCGCTGCCGCCGCTTCTTCATCTTCGCTGCGCCCTTGACCTTGGCGGCTGCCCGTCAAGCTCCATCGCCGGCCCCAAAACCCTTGGAGCTGCCATCGCTTCTTGTTCATCCTTCGACACCTTACTCTTCTGCGTCACCAGCAGGGAGCTTTGAGAGGGGAATATGGCGGAACCACAAGCTGACATTCAGAGCATCTTGGCCGCGCTCGGTAAGGCCCATGAGCTTGTTTTCGTCCGCAATCCGGCTTCGATTTGCTAACTCTGCGACACAGCATCACAGCGCCCTCCAGCTTCGACGCCGAATCCAACGCCTCCTGGCGCTCCTGGCCATGGCTATCCGGCTCCGGCCCCGTCTGCGCCACCAGGTGGCTACCAGCCTCCTCCCCCTCCCGGCGGCGCTCCTGGTTATGGCAATCCAGGCCATCCTCTGCCTGCACCGGCCTTGAGCGGAAATGTCGACTTGAGTGCCATCCGGCCCATCAACTCGGGAACAATGAATTTTGACGACGTTGTTTCCAAGGCAAGAGCCTTTGCGGCGGAAAAAGGAGCAACCTCTTACGACCGGCCGCTCGTGTACGGCTCCGACCCGAGGAACCCTGATCGACCGTATCGGCGCTCGAGGTCTCGCTCCCCCGCTCGGGGCGACTACCAAAGAGGCGACCGCCGAGGCGGTCACGGTCGTGAGTACGGACGCGACCGCTCGTACTCGCCTCCCCCGCGTGGCCGAACTTTTTCGCCCCGTGGAGCAGGTGGCCGGGAAAGATCTCCCCTGCGAGGGGCCGACGACAACTCCGAAACCATTCAGATCGAGTCGAGCCTCGTGGGACTGATTATCGGCCGACAAGGCGAGAATCTCCGCCGCATCGAGGCAGACTCGAACTGCCGCGTTCAGTTTCTGGCCGCCACCGATGGGGGCCCCTTCCGACAATGCAGAATCTCTGGTCCCGGGCAACGCCGTGCAGAGGTCAAGACGGCCATCAACCGCATCATCGAAGACAGTGGAATGGGCGCTCTCAACCGCATCCCGGATACCACGAGAGACGCGAGCCGGGGTGGCTCCGCATCGCTGCGAGAAGGCGAGGACCACATGCAAATCATGGTGCCCGACCGCACCGTGGGGCTGATCATCGGTCGTGGAGGCGAAACCATTCGTGACTTGCAGGAGAGATCTGGCTGTCACATCAACATTGTCGGGGAGTCCAAGAGCGTCAATGGTTTGCGTCCCGTGAACTTGATCGGAACCGTCGAGTCTTCCACTCGAGCCAAGGATCTTATCCTGGAAATCGTCGACAGCGACACGCGAGGCGACGGCCCTGCCGCCAAGAAGCCTCCCGTCGGCGGTCGCAGCGAGGCACCGATGAGGGACCTCGGGGGAGGAGGTGGCCAGGACAAGGTCAACGATGCCATCTACGTTCCCTCGGACGCAGTAGGTATGATCATCGGAAAGGGAGGAGAAACGATCCGCGAGATGCAGAACAGCACCGGGTGCAAGATCAATGTGGCTCAGTCGTCCGGCCCCGGCGAGGTCCAAAGGGAGATTGCCTTGATTGGAACGCGCGACAGTATCGCTCGCGCCAAGCAGGCCATTGACGAGAAGGTCGATGCCGTGGTAAGTGGCGACATATCAGCCCTCCATGCTTCTGCAGTTTGCTAATGGCACCGCAGCGACAGAAGAGCGGCGGCGGAGGCGGCGGCGGAGGCGGAGGCGGGGGCGGGGGCGGCCGGGGCCGAGGACACCAAGACCTTGACCGAGGGTCCTCCTATTCGCAGCCAGGGCCGAGCCCGTCTACTAACCCGGCGCCCCAAGCACAAGCAGGCGACGCTGCCGACCCCTATGCCCAATGTGAGTTTTCGTCTGCTGAACTTGGCGAGTTGGTGCTGACTGGCTTTCTAGACGGCGGGTATCAAAACTACATCACGCTCTGGTACCAGTCGTTGATGTACCAGCAGCAGCAGCAAGGCGGACAAGGAGCGCCAGCGCCCGGGGCCTAGTGATGTCCCCCGTCTCGACAGCGCGATGGAGTGCTTTCGTGACTGGGTGACCCTGATCGAGCTTGGTTGCGCAGCCCGCGCGGACCGAGCATCCATCTGAGATGCCTTGACTTGACTGATGTTGCCTCGTGGCCCCGAGGCGCCGCCCACCACAGCATGACGTTTTGATGGTGCCCACGACTGTACAGCATATTCCGTTTCCGTTTCTTGCTTCGTCTCTGGCCCCGCCTTCTTTTACCCCTGGATCCTCATTGCCTGCCGACATGGTTTGCCTTGATGAACGTATACCCTCGTCTATGAGCCGGGCCAGACAGTGCATGACATAGCATTGCGCGGCCAATTATGACCTCCGTCGTGCCTGAAGCTCGCCTCTACACTGCATGATGTCGGTCCGAGTCCGCCGGGACATGGCCTGACTCGATGGACCCGGCGTGTTCTGGGCGATGAGCTCTGGACGCCGGTGGCTTTGAGATGCTGAGGCCAGAGAATGTCATGGTGGCCAGCTGGCAGTTGCAGTTTAACACCCGCCCCCCACTCGTTGGCGACGACCGCCTTTTGCGCAGCCAGACTCGCGTTTCTAACCCTCTTTACACAGCCAGCCTAGCGAGTGTGTCAAGGGGATGTGATCTCTCGCCTAAGGTACCTTGACGGCAATGCTGTGGAGACTTGACCATCCGAAGGCCCTTTGACTGCGACGGGACTGAACTTGGACCGGGAGTCTTCGGCACATGACCTGCCTGCACCGGATCAACGAGCCTGGCCTTGTTCTAACCTCTGGACGTGCTGTCGCGCTGCTGCTGTGTCACGTCGCCTTAGCCTACATTCCCTCTTTGCGTCTCCCACATTTTCTTCTTTGCCTGCATCAGGGTTCGCGGTGCTTGTAACTGGTAGTTCTGGAGGGGAGGCGGTTGACCAAGGGGGTACGGGAGGGAGTTGGAGGAACGCAGTCAGGAGTGTACATTAGCTGCACTCGGCCTTTGAATGAGGCGGTTACATGCGGCAAGATTTGGGGCCCTACTGTGACGGTTCCGTGGATATTGTTTGAAGGCGGCAGACGCGCGAGAGCAGCGACAGGCCACTTGCATCAAGACTCGGGCGCGGCGAGGCAGGATGCGGGTGGCAGCTTCGGCTGGAGATGGGCCGATGTGGATTGGCATGTTTTCTCCTTCTTATTAGTGGGTATAGATAGCTACGGATGGATATCCAGGCTGCGGGGAGAGGGGGGCAGAGGGGGGCGCGGATGGGCCGGTATTACGGTACAATAGTGCCGGCTGTGTAGTTTCCGAGTCTTGTTCCGTCAAGTACGAATATGTGTCAAGAAACTAGCCAAGTTGCTAAGGTAGGCTGCATCCCCGTTTTGTGTCTTTGCTTTTCAGTCCCGTCGGTCCCACCCGCGGCTGTGTCTGTGTCTCAATGGCCTCACCATACAGGGGTGAGACGGGGTCTAGAACGGGCGCTTTTCTCCTGGCGGCCGTCTGCGATTGGCCAGGATGTGAGAGGCGCAAGCTTTGGGACAAGCAAGCCTTGGGACATGTGCAGTGCCCTCTCTCGTCTGTCTTTACAATGCTGCTGGGACTCGGCTCGGCGGGAGGTTGACTATACGCGTCAGAGGAGACGGCTCCGAGGCCTTTTTGCGAACATGTTTGGCCGCTCGCTGCAGCATCCTAGACTGTGCCGCGCGGGGGTACGAGCCGCCGTAGCCCTCTGCGAGCGCCCACTGAAGACTGCTGCTAGCTAATTATGTACCTTGCCCGCGGCGGCTTACGGAGTATACTAACTAGGTAATGTACAGGTAGTGTGGGTGAGAAGGTACAGTATGTAGGGATGTACAAGCAAGTAGTGGGACCGTAGCACACTGCTTGTCCGACTTTACGCAAAGCACCCCGATTCCCACTGACCTTGGCAACCTTGCCGACTTTCGGGCCCCTTTGTTCCGTTCCATGGACCACAGGTCCTCCCTCCTCTCGTTGAGCGTCTCTCTCCGGGCGAGATGCTCCGTACAGTGCTCATTGTGTACGAGGTCAACCTTGCCTAGGTACCTACCTAAGGTAGACACCTACCTACTGCACCTCTAAATGGCACGTGCGCGCATGTATCTATCCGTACAGTACGGAGGTACACACGTTGAGATGCAACTGCAACTGCTGCCTGCTTCCCGTCTGCAGCGGCAAGGTCTGTACGTACCGGCGGAGACCTCGAGTAACCTCTGTACTACGTACTGCCATCTTTCATTATCCGTACCAGGCTTCCTTCCTTGCCTCTGTGTCAAACCCTACACCGCCCGACAAAGAAAGACGAGGGGAGAATCAGGAGGAAAAGGAGAAGAGAGACGGCAAGGAAAAGAAAACAGGAGTGAGATTGACGGGAGCAGCAGTATCAACTACTGGACTCCGTACGCAAGGCTGGCGTCATCTGTCAACCCGACCAGCTTGAACCACATGCGTTTGCCCATCATCAATCAATACACTTGCCGATTTATTTTTCCTTTTTCCCTTCTTCTTTTCCTCTTTGTACGCCCGGGCTCTCCCCCCTCTCCTTCTCTCTCTCCCGCCCCATTCTCCGCGCCGTCCATCCGCATAATCTCGCCCACCCAGACTCCTTCTCCACCGACCTCTTCCGTCCTCCGTTGCTCATCGCTTTACCTCCCTGCCCGCCTCCCGAGACGGTCAGCTGAAGAGAACAACACACCACACACACAAGGGAGAAGCACACTGCATTCAGACATACATACATACGACGCTTCCTCGGCCCGACCCGTCCGTTGTCGCGCGTGTGTTAGTGGAGCTTCTGACGTTGGCGCCTTGCTTTACTTTACGCTTCTTCATCCATCCATCCATCCATCCACACGCATCTTCCCTCCTTACACATGCCAAACCGCCTTGTTTGCGCACCTGGACGCTGGCCCATTCATCTCCTTGCCGCAGAGAGACATGGTTGCTTGTTTCGTGTGCCTACTGTAAGCTCGCCCATGTCGATGCATCCACCATCCGCCTTTTGACTCGTTGCTGCCCGACCCTCCATCTTTCTCTCATCTGCACAAGCAAGCCGCTGCAGCTCAGCGCTCGCTCCGTCGTCACCGCACATAGCCGCCCATCTGCAAAACAACACACGACGCGGCCAATCAGCCTGTCCTGTTGACACGACTATAGAGTTGAAATTCGCTCTTCACCCCCCATTGCCCCCTCATTTTCATCCATCGAAACGCCGTCCTCGTCGACATACGCCCGTCGCCGCCATCATGTGTCGTCTCCTTGTATTCACCGGCTCCTGCACGCGATGCGGTGAAACGCAAACATGGCAAGAACTCTCCCAGCAGCTATCGTGCCTCGAGGCCAAGAACAACGGCACCTTTGGCGAATGCGAGAGGGGCGTCTTCGCCGAGCAGCACGCCTTTGACCAAGAGTGCGACTGCTGCGCTGAAGAGGACGAGGGCGTCGGCGACGTCACAGACGAAGACATAATCCCGGTGCCCACCGCCAAGCGAGCCGCCGAATCCGACGAGACACAGCGCGAGCGCAAAAAGCAAAAGACGTGAGAGATGCAAGGCGCGGAAATGGAATCGACAAGGGGCGACCAGGCCCACCACCGCCATTACTCCGTACCATTCCCGGCATTATCGACCTCCGCCACAAGTGAGCCGACGGAATGAAGCCCGGCTTCTTGCTTCCCTTGGATCTCTCCTCCCTCACTGCAAGGCCACGGCGTTGAAAGGAATTTTGGCCACCAGGGACGGCATCGACGTGAGCGCAGCCATTACTTTCCATCTTTGGCTTGGCCGCCACCTGTCAAGCGGGGGAAACAGACCGGATCCCAAGCCTATGCTTCGATTCGGCAAGGGCTTCGAAGCGTTGGGGAAGTATTCTCTTGTGTATACCTTGACCGCTCATGCCTTCCTCGTCGTGTCACCCGAGTTGCGGACGGCTGCGAGTTACGCGCGCTGTCTCGTCGCCATCGCACGGCCGGGCCCTTTCTGTCCGAGGCTGCCTAGCAGATCGTCTCGGCTTCGCCATCGCCTCCGACTTCAAGACCAGTCCGTGACTACACGCCCTCAACTTTCAGCTCGTCGCTCGTCGCTCGCGCTCCCTCCCATGACTCCCGCACCGCTCCCCAGTACCTCGCCGGCTCGGCCCTTGCAATGGCCACGTGCTTTGCGCCCTCGAAGCGTTCCCGGCGCACGACAAACCCGACCTCCTCGGCCTTCCGCGCATTGTCCTCGACGTCCTGATAGTCCACCATGTTGTCTGCCGTGCCATACAGATACGTTCGCCGGCACTCGCGCGAGACGAGCCGCGGAGCGCGGAGGGCCTGTGCATTCTGATTCTGCGCCGGGGGCAGGCGCCGGAGGCTGTGATAGACACACGCCACGGCGATGGCGATATGCATGAGCGGCGACACCCACCATGGGAGCGTCTGGACGAGGGCGCGGTGTGTGTTGCGCCAGCGGAAGTAGCCGGGGCATGAGTCTAGCAACAGCACGTAGCGCGGCAGCGCTGCGATACCGCGGCCGCCATCATCAAGTCCGGCTGCCAGAAGCATTGACCGGAGGTGGACGGCGGTGCTGATGCCGCCGTTGGAAAACATGTGAACCAGCACGCGCGGGCACGTCCCCTCGTCGTCTTGCCCGTCGCCGCCCTTTGCCAGGGCCCGCAGCAGCAGCAGCGCAGGCTTCACGTCCCGGCGCGCGATCCACGGAAGCCATACGCGCAGCAGCGGACATCGGATGAGCAGGATGCGCGACGAGGGAAACAGCGCTTGGTGCTGCGCGATGTACTTTGCGATGTGCTCATCACGTGCGGCCATCCACGAGAGCAGCAGAATGAGCTCCGGATCCTTTGAGGACGGCGGCGACGGAGACTGGCTGCGAGGATGAAGCCGCTGTCGCGGATCCCAATAGGCGACTGTCGGGCTCAGCGCCTGCATGAAGGCCAGGGGTCCGGCGCGGGCGGCGGATGGCGGCATGAAGATTTCGCCTCGCGCGGAGGGGAGGACTGGTGACGACTTTGATTGGGGCAGTAAAAAGCAAACGGCGTAGACCCTGAATTCGATGGTCGAGTAAGAAAGGAGACGCCTGGAAGGAGCCCACCCCGAGACTTGCAAGCAACGGCCAAACGGATCGCGATGCAAACGTTGTCAACCGTGGCGTTGAAGAAGGGTTCGACAAGAAGCGTGATACTCAAAGGGAGAAGGGGGTTGGGAAGGGAGAAGCAAGGGGCACCTGTTGCAGAATACTGCGATTGCTACGCCGCCAGGGATGACCGAGGTATCTGGCGACGGACTGAATGTCTCGGCGAAAGGAGGGAGATGAGCCGCAAAGACGGGGCGTAGAGCGTATGTCAGTTCAACGGTTCAACGAGGCAGAAAGAATTTATCTTCAAGCTGAAGCTTCAATGGCATCTACATCAACGGCACGTAACCGTCCATGCGACGGATGGCTTTCGTGCCGAGGTTGACGGAGCCCCGGGGAAAATGGTGGGCGCCGGCCCATGTTGGAATACGCGGGGAAGCAGGGATCTGGGTTGCAATTCCGGATCCCCGGGTGGCTTCGTCGACTCATCACGCGCCGGCCGACTTGCACGGGACGGACCGTGTTTACGACGAGATGCAAGGCTTTGATCAGCTTCGGAATGACGCGGGCAATGGGATGGAGGCTTGTGAGGGAGGCTACATGGGATAGACGCCACGCAGCTCCTCCGCCGCATCCCTTGTCCTTCCCCTTCCCACGCGTGCATGTGGTAATGGCCAGTGAAGTCTCCGAGAAGCAGCCATGACAGCCCCGAACCTCTTTACGGCTCGCCGTCGGGGCAAGAAAAAGAAAATGCTGGGAGTCATGGGATGCTGGTCATGTAGGAGGATGGGCTCCAGACGGGCCATATGTTTTCCCTGACGACGCTGGTCGCTGGCGCACGACATGGGCCGTTGGGCTGTTGGCCATGGGGTAAAGAAAAGCTGCGCTCGCCGAGGACGGGGCGATGTCGTTGGTTTTAAGGGGAAGGGAGAGAGGCGTCGACATTTTGCTTACAAGAGGGTGAGAGAGGAAGCGCGGGCGAGAGATGAACTCGCTGTCGGAGATGAGCATGAACAGTAACCAGCCAACCTCTGGCCAGGACGTATGAGATGCAACTGGGAACCGAGATTGGCAGCGGCAGATTCGTCACAGATATTCTTGCGAATGAGTCGAGTCGGCGGGCCGAATGGCATAGAGAGGGTGAAGAGCGATGCCTAACAAACACGCCATGCAGCGCCCGGTGCAAGGCGACATGGCCGTGCGACGACGGGACAAGCCTCGCACGCCGGTGCCGCTTCGACGCCGTTTTGAGAAGCGAGCGTGTTTGCCCCCCCGCCACCGCAAGCAAGACAAGGGGCGCAGCGAGACCGCCCCGGGACAAACATCTTTTTCCGATGGCGGCTTATTCCCCAACCTCAAGGCGGCCGGTCGCACAGTGGCGCTGCCGTGCCAAGGGAGGCCAAGGGGATTCCGCCAAGAGTTCGCAGATGATCGGTGGCCAAGAGATGAGGTGGTTCCAGCTGCTGTGCGGCCGGCTTTGATGATGCACGCCGCCGTCAGGGGGAGATGGGACAAACTAATTATGCAGAGATCGAGACAGCGAGAGAGAGAGAGTCGTGAATGAGGCCGCCGAGCATGTCGCACCGTCCGCCGAGCGGACAGTCTGCCGCATCGAGGAGAGTAGATCAAGGAGACGAAGAAGCAAGACGCCGTCGAGGTCTGGCTCCGTGTGTCGACCGGGTCCGTGCGTCGACTCGGAAAGTGAGGCGATGGGGTGATCTGACGCCGTGGAGGCATGATGCGAGAAGGACATTGACGACGTGCGTACTCCTGTCCAGCATCTTGCCTTGAAAGGGTAGCCGAGTCCATGAGTGGCCCATGACGGCTTCACCATCAGATATTCCTCCCTGGTTTGACGCCGTCGTCACGGCGATGCCCTCCGAAGTAGACGGCTCGTAGAAGATCTGCGGGGGAGATGACGAGCAGACACTCTTAGTTCAACACAATCGGTGCTTCGCCTCGGAAAGCCCAAATATCCGCCACCTGGCAGACGTGCGGATACGACTCGGCACCAAGCCAGGGCCGCCAAGTCTGGAACAGGCGACGGGGCGCGTTACAGCCGAGGCCGTGACCGAGTTTGCTCGCTCATGTCGCCGTCTTTTCGCTTGCGTTCCATCCAGTGATCTGTCATTGTCCTTCATTTCTTTCACCTCTCCCGGACCGTCTCCCCCTAATGTGTCTGCCAGGAGACGGACGAACCGGTTTATGCCTCCTTGGCACAAGCTCCCTCTTCTTGCCTTCATCGTTTTCCCGGCGTGGCGGCGTGGCGAGCCTAATGGGGCGACCGCCTGCCTGCATCTTGCTCCGTCCGTCACGGGCGGGCAAACAGGCTCTCGGGGGAGAGCAAAGATCCGGACAGAGGCCTCGTGAATCTCCGAAACGGCTTCTCGAGCAGTCGGCACAGCCACCCTCGGGTTCCTCGCACCAAGTCCGTGGTCGGCATAACTTGAACGCTCCTCCTTCAAGCGCGTCTCCTTCTCCTTCTCTCGTCTTCTTCTCTTCATGTCCTGAGCCAGAGACATCGTTTGATCCGGGCACGTCCACTCCCTCCGACCCCTTGGCACTCTTAGGTTTCTCGTCCTCTGACCATTTTTTTGATCGATTCTTCCTCGTCGGAAGTACCATCATGAAGGTCTCCAGCTCCTTTTCGATTCTTGTAGCAGGCGGGCTCGCGGCCGTCGAGGTAGCAGCATCGGGGGCCAGCGCCGTGTCAGAGTGGGATCTCTCGCAGCCCATCCACGGCCTCACTTTGCAGCGCGTCAAGGCAGTGCGAGAAGCGACTCCGGACCGCCCCGCCACGAGCTTCTCGCGCCTTCACAACATCAAGGGCGCGCCAGGCTTGCATTCGGCCACGTCGGCCCTTGGCCGGGTTCTTCGTACGCCCCCCTCGCGCCACGAGCGCACGTATCAGAACATTAGCAAGGCCGGGGCCTTCTCGACCCAGTATGCCATCCAGTGCGGCTGGGACGGCGTCCCCGTCTGGCTGCTCCTCGACACGGGTAGCTCCGACACCTGGGCGGTCCAGGACGGATTCGAGTGCGATAGCAGAGTGGCCGCAGAGCAGGGCCAGGGTGCGTGCGGCTTCGGGCACCCGCTCGTCAAGGGCTTTGGCCACGGCGCCATTTCGGACCTGCACTTGTACCTGCGGTACGGCTCGGGCGAGAAGATTGTCGGCCCCATGGGCTACAGCGACCTCTCGTGCGGCGGCGTCCGGGTGTTGGACCAGCAGGTTGGCCTCGCCAATTATACCTACTGGCACGGAAACAACCTGACGGTCGGCATCCTGGGCCTGGCCTATCCCTCCATCACGAGTGCCTTTTACGGGGAACCCGGCACCGAGGCTGCCTGGAACGCGATATCGTACACGCCCTTCTTGACCAACGCCATTATGCAGGGCGTCATTGAACCTGTCTTCAGCGTGGCGCTGCTCAAAAATTCGTCCGGAGGCATGCTGGCCTGGGGCGGGCTCCCGCCTCTCGACTGGCGGCGCGGCGTCTCGGCCACCACCGACCTCATCATTGTAAGTCGAAGGCCAAGCATTGGCGAGGTGACGGAGTCTTGGAGCTAACGATGACGGGATAAAAGGCGAATCTCATAGGCCAGGCTGAGACGTCGTGGCGGTATTCGTTTTACACCATTGTCCCGGATGGTATCAAATGGGGCCAGACGACGGACGAGACCAAGTTTCCGTACATTGTCGACACGGGCACGACCATGAATTATCTCCCGCCCCGTGAGTATCCCCCCTTGTTTGCCAGCATAGAAAAGGGGCTGACGTTGCCATCAACTCCAAAAACAGCCCTGGCAGAGGCAATCGCCATGGCTTTCCAGCCGCGAGCCGTCTACCTGTACCAGTGGGGCTCGTACTTTGCCCCGTGCGACGCGGTGCCGCCTCGGTTCGCCGTCATCATCTCAGGGGTTGAGTTTTGGATCAATCCGGCGGACCTCGTGTACCAGGACCTCAAGGACCCCTTGACGGGATATTGCGCCGTTGCCATTGCCAGCGGAGGGTCCGGGCCGTATATCCTGGGGGACGTGTTTTTGCAGAACGTCGTGGCCGTCTTTGACGTAGGCGGAGCGCAGATGCGCTTCTACTCGAGGACGTGATGGAAGCCTGCCGGACGATTGGCGAGACGACGGGCTCTTTTCCATTCTTGCTTTCTCTCGAGTCTCATGCTTGCGTGGTTTCCCCCTTTTTTTCATTTTGGGGCCGTCCATCGACGGGGGTTATCGGTCGGGGGCGTGGAGACGAGCTGAGTAGCGAATTGAGGCTGCGCGGATGGCCACGATGAGGCAGACAGCCAGAAAGGCAAGGCGATATGGATGCAGTAGCAGGTTGAAATGACGGGGTAGGCCGCTGATCCGTCGATGTGGTCGAGGGGCGGAATCGTGAAGAGGGTGCAAACTCGGTGATGATGGTGGTGACATCTCCGAGCTGCCACCTTTTTTTTTTTTAGCTCGGCCTGCCCCATCCACCACCACCCTTGCCATCACCCGCATCCGTAAGCCGTTCCTTGCGCTAGCATTGACGGCATGTTTGCTGCCAGTTGGCACATCGTTGATAAGAAGGGTTCCGCCGCTGCCGCCGCCCCAACTTTACCTGTTAGCTGTAGGTCGTAGGTCGGCAGATTAGGTTGCAGGTCGTCGGTTAGGCGTACTTATTAATGTAAGGTAAGCAGGGAGGGGCGGCCGACGCCTGGGCCTTTGAGCAAAGCATCATCCGTCGCCTGGCAGCGTCTGTTTCCCTCGCAACCTCCATTGCCTGGCTCCATCACTGAGCAGCGAGGAAGAAAAAGGGCGAGCAGCAACAACAACTACATCCGTGTCGAATCTCGCGACGAATCCGAGGCGTCTCCTCTCTCCCCCTCCCTCCCTCTCTCTCTCTCTGCAGCCGGCCGACTGTACAAGGCTTGGCATTCGCCGCCCTGTCACGTCTTGTCCTCGACTCTCTCCATCTCTCCGCGCTGCGCCCGCAGCCAAACAAGCCGACGATGAGGGGCGTGGCCGCAGGACCGCCGACGCCAAGAGACTCGCCCAGAGACTCGCCGTCGGGCAGGACCAGGGCCAACACGTGGAGCTTCAGCAGGGTGAGTTGACGGCCCTTTCTTGAGTCTGTTTTTCGGTGGTGGTGGTGGTGGTCTTGGCCTCGCAGTCCCTCGAATCTCAACCGCCGCCGGCTCTAGTTGGGCGTTGGAAAGTGCGTGCACTGGTCAAGTGACACACACCCTTTGGGAGGCGGTGAGGACAAGGATCCACGGGTCGCGAGTGACCTTGATGGCATGGTGACGGAGCTTCCCAAGTGGGCACTCGAGATGTCTCGCCGCAGCATAACAACCGAGAGAGGAAAGGAAGGATCCGTTTGCCGGCTCAGCCAATGCGGCCGGCTTCCAATCCGAAGCCGCCAGCCAAGGCCTCACCTCTGTCTGGTCCCTGCAGATTTGCGCGGTTTTAGGGTTCGGGCGATGCACCATGGGCAATTGTCGCACACGAGCCGGGACGAGTCGGGCTTGCCTGTCCACCACCAACCACCATCCACCATCCACCTTTGCCACCCTCATCGCAGAGTTGAGTCGGCACTTGTCACTATAGTGTCTACTGTCTAGCAAGCACGAGTCCCACTCTTGCCGCCGGCTGGAGCGGCATGGCCTAAGCCGACGGGTCAGTGATGCGATGCTGCCCTACCCGAGGTTCCGGTTCCTCCCATCAGGTACCACCCACTGTACTGTACCGTACATTCGCCGCTGCAGCTGGCCCTTACAGCGGCTCCCCCGTTGTTTACCTTCAGCATAACGTCGGGTACCTACAGTGGCTGCAGCGCCTCGACAAGCCGCCCGTTCTCTCCCTCCAGCAGCAAGTCGCTGCCCCGAGTTGAGCAGCCTCACGCAGGGAATCAACAAACCACACTCGGTCCGCTAGTTAATCCTGGCGGCCTCAACTCACGCCTGCTTTCTCTCTCTCTCTCTCTCCGGCTCTCTCTCTCTCTCTCTCCGTCTCTCCGTCTCTCTGTCTCTCTGTCTCTCACCGGCTTCAATGCACCTCTGCTTCACCTCACTCTCCCTCCCCTCTGCCCGCACTCGTCGACGCTCTCCCTTCCCCCTCCTCCCTCACCTGCTCTTGCCCCTGGATGTGTCGACCGTGCCGAATGCCTTGGCCTCTTCTTCGCACGCGCCAGCGCAAACCCGAGCCCTCGTTGATCCTCCGTCAACATGTCGTCAAAGATTAACAATGGTGTCGGTGTCCAGGTCGAAGACACAAAGATATGCGTCGTCATGGTTGGCCTGCCCGCCCGGGGAAAGAGCTATATTGCCCAGATAGGTATGCCGCCTTGGACGTCTTGACTTTGCCTGCTGGCTGACGCTCCCTCTTTCTTTGTGTCGGCAGCCCAGCGCTACCTTCAATGGCTCTCTATCCCGTCAAAGACGTTCAACGTCGGCAGCTATCGCCGCAATGATGCCCCGCAGCCCAGGGCCGACTTCTTCGACACCAGCAATGCCGAGGGCGAGCAGAAGCGCCGCGCGGCAGCCCAGGCCGCCGTCGCAGATATGCTGGCCTGGTTCCGCACCGGGGGCGTCGTCGGCATCCTCGATGCCACAAACTCGACAAAGGAGCGCCGCAAATGGGTCAACGATGCCTGCACAGCCCAAGGAATCGAGGTGCTGTTCGTCGAGAGCAAGTGTGACAACGAGGACGTCATCATGGCCAACATCCGCGATGTCAAGACTACGAGCCCAGACTACCGCGGCCAGGACCCAGAGGATGCCGCCCAGGACTTCCGGAACCGCATCCGCAACTACGAGAAGATCTACAAGACGATTGACGCCGACGGTGACGAGGACGACTACACCTATCTCAAGATCATGGACATTGGCAAGCAAGTCATCATCAACCGCATCCAGGATTACCTCCAGAGCCGCATCGTCTACTACCTCATGAATCTCCACATCCGCCCACGCTCCGTCTGGCTGTCGAGGGTACGTACCGGCCCTCCGCTCCCTCTCTTTACTCGTCGTCATTGCTAAGGTGTCTGGTGGTGTTTAGCACGGAGAGTCCGAGTACAACTTGGACGGCAGGATTGGCGGCGACACGCTTCTGTCGCCTCGCGGCGAGCTCTACGCTCGCAAGCTCCCCGAACTGGTGCGGGAATCTGTCGGCGTAAGTCGACTCACCAAAACCTTCCCCTCGTCCGACCTTGCCCACTCACATCGCACGAGCAGGACGATCGGCCCCTTACCGTGTGGACGTCGACGCTCAAGAGGACCATTGCCACTGCCCGTTTCCTTCCCCCGCACTACAACCAGCTGCAGTGGAAGGCCCTCGACGAGCTCGACTCGGGCGTTTGCGACGGACTGACGTATCAGGAAATCAAAGACCGTTTTCCCGAAGACTTCGCGGCGCGCGATGAGGACAAGTACAACTACCGCTACCGCGGGGGCGAGTCGTACCGCGACGTGGTGATTCGCCTGGAGCCCATCATCATGGAGCTGGAACGTAGCGAAGACATCCTCATTGTCACGCACCAAGCCGTGTTGCGATGCATCTACGCCTATTTCATGAAGAAGGATCAGGCCAAGAGCCCGTGGATGAATGTGCCGCTGCACACGCTCATCAAGCTGACGCCTAGGGCCTACGGGACCGAAGAGGTGCGGTACGAGGCGAACATCCCTGCCGTCAGCACGTGGCGCGGGAAGGGCAGTACGGCGCAACACGAGAATCCCACTCCCGATAATCTGTGAGGGGGTCGGGGCGCAGGGACATGGTGGAGAGAAGCCACACCCACCTACCACGGAGTCAGCGCCACAAGTCAACCAAGCCTTGCGCATATTCAGGTGGCCGAGAGGGAGCCTGGGAGGCGATGGTGTGCCATGATGGGCGGTGAGAGTGGTTTCGCAGGAAGATGAGACGAGTCAGCCAGCAAAAAGCCGGGGTTCACCGACGGCCGAGTCAGGTACTGGACGTGGAATAGACATTGGGGGCCTCAACGGGGAAAAGAGCTCGGAAGGGAAAAGAAGCATCTGTAAGTATATAGCTGTTGCTTTGCTGTCTGTGGAACTAAACTCAACATGGGCTGGAGTCAAGGTTTTGGCATTCAGTTGAATACAGCGTTTCGACTGCTGACGGGCGCCGAAGTCGAGGCGTGGTGAAGCAGTAGACTGTAGACAGCGCAACCGCCGGACAGATGAACGCCTGGGGCCACCACGCCACCTCTCTTGACGGCACGCGATGCCTTTTTTTTTTTTTTTTTTGGCGTTGGTGCTCAAGATGAAAGAGGCCTCGCCTCGCCTCCGACGCACAGCCAAGTGTCCGTATGGGAACGAAAGATGTTCGACTCAAGGTCGTTGTTGAGCGAAGTGATCCGATGTTTTTCTTGCAATGATTCTGTGGAAGTAGAAGAAGAGACGTTCACCTCCTCCGGCTTTGTCTGCCTATTTAAGAAGCAGTTGTCCCCCGAAGAGCGGTAGCCTGGGACTAACGACAGGCGAGAAAATATCCATGCTCTCTACTGCCTCACTGATCAAGTTCTCTCCTTATTTGACTGAACGGCTGAGCGGCAGACGAGCAGGCAAAGCGACATGGCTTCGCACTGGTATATCCAGCCGCCCATCTTTGCCCCCGTGCCACAACACATCTCTGCCCCGGCCGCCGTCACCTACACTCTTGTCCCCTACGTTGGCAGCCCGGTGGCGGCGGCGGCGGCGGCGGCGGCGTCTTGGCCGGGTGTTCAGATCAACATCGTGCCGTGCCAGCCCGCGGCGCCGGCACCACCAGCAGTGGAAGCAGAACCAGCGGCGGCGGACGCGGCACCGCCGCCGATGTCGGGGGCCCTTGCGAGCCCTGCGATCTCTCCGGCCCCGGCTGCTCCCGCACTTATCCCAGCCCCGGCCGCGACAGCGGGCATAACCGTCCGCATCGTCCTCCACGGCCGCGCCCAGCAGGGCCTCTGGACGCGCGTCGCCGACGTGCCCTACCGACACGACGGAGGCGCCGGCCTCCCCGACCCGGCGGGCCTCCGCGCCGCCGTCGCCCGCGCCTCGCACGTCCACTTCCCGCCCGACGGCCGCGGCCGCGGCCTTCTCCGCCACGCCGACGCCGACATGGCCCCGCCGACGCTGCAGCTGTGGGCCATGCGGGCCGGCGCCGTGCTGCACATGCTGCCGGGAGACGCCGGCGGCGGCGCGCTGGCGGTCCCCGAGGTGGAGAGGGCGCTGGCGGTGTGTGCCGAGGCTCCGGACGGCCATGACGAGGGCAACGCCGAGGCGGAGGCGGTGCGCGAGGTGTTCGAGGATGCGAGGGACAGGGGTCTCGGCGTCTTCCTCCTCGTCAACATGGACGGCGACGATAGCCTGGGCGTGCCGGGCCACGGGGGACGCAGAATCGGCCCGCCGTGACTGATCGACCTGTTCTCTCTTTCTGCCCTCCTCCACCCCCTTCTACTCGCAACCAGTCGAGCGCGCAAACAAAAGGAGGGGAGGGGAAGGATGAGATTTACACTGTGAAAGGCAGGAAAAGCGACGAGGGCAAAGGTGTCAGAGAAAGGCGGGGGGCGAATGGGGATGTGGGAGCGAGTACGGTGGCCTCGCACAACGACGCCGTGTAAGCGAGCACACGGACTTCAATGCATATGTCGCCTCCTACAGAACACAGACAGCAAACGTGCGTCGCACAAGACGTCAAGACTTCGCGGCAATCTCTGCATTGATTCCACAAGATTATAAACAAACAGGGCATGGGGCAAACGAACAAGCTCGGCCCAAGACGCAGCGGTTGCCAGGCCCGCGTCAGCCATGAGCGCCCATGGAGATAGGTGTCCTTTTTTTTATCGTACACACGAGTAACTCGATTTCGTTACTCAGATTACTTTAACCCCTTCTTGTTCGACGTCACCAAGCCAGTCGGACAACAGTCATGGTGCTAATCGTTGCCGCCCCTGTCCCACGCAAAAGGGAAAAATAAAAAATTCGAACCGCCCCAACTCACGCAAAAACACCTGACACCGCGATCGCAAAACATACTCTCTTCCGGCTAGAACCAAGCACGAGAGGGGCGGGCAGATAAAAGGATAGCAAAACCGCCCCGAGGACGCCACACCGTCTACCTCGACAAAGCCGCAGGCGCCGGAGCACCCCTGTTGCTGGGTATCAGTCGAGGCAGCAGGCGTCAACGAGGGCCTTCGTCGTCCAAACAGCGAAACCACCTAGCCAAAAGAAGAAGGGGAATCAAGGACCATGGGTGGAGTCGCGGAGCTTTCCAAGGGCCGGCTGGCAAGGAGTTGAATAAGCAACAAGAAAAAGGCGCCGCCATGCTGCACAAGTAGAACGTAAACGGAAATGGTCATGTCATGGGGATTCTCCGCCAGTGTGAGACTTTTGCGTCCGGGATAACTCATGAGGGATTTCCCTTGACCCTCTTTGGCATACGCGGAGTCGGCGGCTTGTTGGCACGGTTCGGAGCTCCGTTCATCTGAGGGCCGGACCCCGCGGGAGTAGGGGCGCCCGACCCGTCCTCCTCCTTGATGCCAGATGGCCGTCTGCGCTTGTTGGACGCGGGCGACGTGTTGGCGCTTGGTCCGCTTGAGCTGGTCCCTTGCTGGCTGGGCTGCAGCTGCATGCCGGGGGCCTGCATCTGGCCCGGCGCCGGGCTGCCAATGTGCGGTGACCCGGGGAGGTTCATATGCGTCGTCGCGGGGCTCGCGCCCATGGCAAATTGCCCGAAGCTGGGAGTTCTCTGGCCCTGCGGCACCGCGTGGCCGTTCATGGCCGGCGGGCCGCCGTTGATATAAGTCGAGACGTACTGCTCCAGTGCCGCATATGGGCCCACGCCTGGATTGCCGTGGCAAAACCCAAACAAGGGGTTCATCTGGCCCATGACCTCGACGATCTGCAGATGTGGAAAAATGTCAGCCATGCTATTGCCGGCCATGGTCAGGAGGAAATCAGGGCTGCATACCTCGAGAAATTGGTGCACAGCCTCCGTCACCCCCTTGCTGTTGACGGCCGAGTCCGGGAGGTCGACCAAGACTTCCGGCGGCTGCGTTTGAGGCGACCTGAGCTGCTTGGCTTTGCTCTTCTTTGACATCTCGGGAGACTGCTTGCCGTCCTGCGCGTTGGTCTTGTGCCATTCCTTGAACCACATGTGCGCGGGCTTGGCGGCGTCAATGACTTGCTTGCGAGATATGTATTCTTCGTGTCCCGTGGTGAAGAACTCAAAGAGTTCGAACTTGAGCTCCGTGTCGAAATGCGCCCGCAGAGTTCCCGTGGCGACAAGCTATGCACAGTTAGCTGATGTATTTGCGCCAAGTGCGCTCCCTTCCCAGCGGTTGAGGGACTCACATGCGATCCCGTCTCAAACCAGTAGACGAAGCTAGCCCGGGCGTTTTCGATGGCATGGGAATCCGCCGCCAACGGCCTGTCGGTCACCCCCTTATCCAAGACCAACTGCATGCTCTTCACGCCACTTGCATGGTGAGTGTGAAAATATCGGGCGATGGCGGGATAGGCAATCTCGTATTGCTTGTCTGTTATGTCCTCGGTATCGCCAAAGTGTAACGAATGCCGGAAGACGCCGTTGGCTGAGAAGAATCGACCGACAAACATGTTCCAGTACGAGAGGTCGTCCTTGCCCTTGGCTCCCTGTCAAGTCGCCGGTTAATATCGCGAACGCCAAAGCTCGTCGAAGACAAGCCGGTCCAATAATCGGCACTTACAGGGAATCCGCTGAGGCACTCGCCGAACTGCATTAGCTTCAGCAGGCATTGGCCCCTCATCCCTTCTCTCCTTTGTTGTTGGAAGATGGAATTGGTCATGGCCAGTTGCTGTGCCGCCGCGGCGCTCATGTGCTGTTGTGCCTGCGGATGGGCTTGCTGCAGCTGTCCTTGACCCTGGCCCTGCTGCATCTGGTTCGACTGCGCTGGCGTAGGGGCCGGCGTCTGCGACGGCGTCTGTCGACCACTGGGAGCCGGCGTCCCGGCCTGAGAGGACTGCTGCGGTGTTTGCTGGGCTTGTTGGCCGGGCTGCGACGGCTGTCCCTGGGGCTGTGACGGCGGCTGTCCCTGTGTCTGTTGCCCACCCGGCTGTTGTTGCCCGCCCATCGGATTTTGGCCGCCAGCACCGCCCATCTGGCTCTGTTGCTGTACACTAGCCATGCTTTGGGCGTTCATCGGCATGTGTTGCCCCTGATTCGGACCACCGGGCATCTGCTGGTTGTGTGAAGCTTGCTGCGCGGCCTGCTGCTGCTGCTGCTGCTGTTGTTGCTGTTGTGCCTGCTGCTGCTGCTGCAAGGCCAGCTGCTGGGCCATGATGGCCTGGGCGGGATGTTGACCCTAACACGAGTCAACTCAACTGCGCACACGGGAACAGTGGACCAAAAGAGTAGCATGGGACTTACCGGTCCAAGCCTGCCCGCCTGCCGAAGGTGCTGGATCTGTTGTGGGCTGAGCTGGTTCATCGGCATACCCGCCATGGGCATGCCATTGCCGACGCCCATGTTGGCGTGGACGGCTTGCTGGGCCATCAAAGCCTGCCTGGCTTGTTGTTGCTGGTGTTGTAGGAGTTGATGTTGTCGCATCGCGGCCATCGCGCTCGGGTTATGAACTATGATAGGTGGGGGGGCGACACGTTAGTGCAACGTGCTCGACGAGGATGAGATAGAGAGGGCTACATACATTGACTCTGCAGCTGTTGTTGCTGATGCTGCTGATGCTGGAACAGTTGCTGCTGGGCGGGGGTCAACTGCTGCAGAGCATGGGGGTTGGCGCCTGGCGGCATCGCGCCCATCAAGGCAGGGTTGACTTGTCCTCCTGGTCCGGACACGGCCATGTGTCCGCCGCCAAACTGATGAGGCATGCCGGCGCCGGGTGCACCATGCTGTGCCGCGTTGGGAGGCATGCCGGGGCCCATGGGGTGGCCAGCGACGGCCTGGTGGGCCATGCCGGCCGGGTGCCCAGTGAAGTTGGGACCCATGCTCGTGGCCATTACTCCTGGAACCCGCGGTCGGCTATCCACAGCGTGGATATCGACAAGCGTTGGCGGACACTACCGCATGCGCCGGTGCAACGGGGCTGCTTGTTGATGGCGTCGACGAGGGTCTGCAAGGTTTCAAGGCCGGCGCCCGTTTCGCGTCGCGATGGCGGTATAGGTGTTTCGGGCGTTATCGACGGTCCAGGAGAAAGGTTAAAGCGGGTGAGAGGCGGTGGAAAAAAAAAAGTCGGAAAGATTGAGACTCTGGGAGACGAGGCTAGAGAGGCAGCGGAGTGAGGTGTGAGAGCTAGGTGGTGGTGGTGGTGGCTGTGATGACGATGGCGGTGATTGAGAGCGAAGAAGAGGAAGAGAAACAAGAGAGGCGGCGGAGGCGGCGGTGGTGGTGGAAGTGGGTGCGGCTCTCGAGACCAAAGGCCAAACAGTGAGCGCAGCCGGTCGGAAGAGGGCAGGCCTGGCCCGGCGAGCACGTCACGAAGCCCCGAGAGGCCAGCAACAAAAAGCGAAGAGGGCGTAGCGGTGCGAGCGAGGGTCGACGTCGGGACGCAATTTCGATGGCGGCTTATTCGAGAGGGAATCTGGATGCTGGGGGTAGTAGCGGTGGCATCCACCAGGCCAGAGAGTCGTCGCGCCCGTCGTCCTGCGCAGCGCAAACCCAGCCCCGGCGGCAGCGGAGGTGCAAAGCGCAGGCGAACAAGAGGCCCCTTTTCGTCGTCGTCGTCGTCGTCGTCGTCGGCCGCTGGGGTTTTGGACGGGTGATGATGCAGACGGAATGAATTTGGGGTCGCGGGCACCCGGGGGTCGCAGTGCAGCAGAGAGGCGTCTGATACGGCGCCCAGGCTGGCGGAGACGGCGCTGGGATCTTCCTGCTGCGTACGTGCAACTAGCAGGTGTGGTGCGGTGCAAAAAAAGACGGGCGCGGGAGAGACCACAGGCAGGGGGAGCGGAGGGGAGGGGGGGTCCCCCAGTTTGCGGGAGACCAAGGCCAGAGGGGTGGGGATTATGCAATTAGCCACTCTGGCAGCGAGCAACAAGCGTCTGCAGCCGGCACCTGGTGTCGACAAGATATTTATGAGCCTGCCGCGGAAGCTCAAGGTTCATCGTCTGATCTGCACTAAGCGGGGCAATGCTTCTACTGAATTTCCGCCACGGAACCCAAACGTCGGTACCTGTTCAGCGAGCCCCGGAAAATTGGCCTGCCATTGTTTGGAGCAAGTGCTAGAGATACTCCAGCAGCTGCGAGGCATGCCATTTCATTGACGAAGTTTGAATACAACCGCCCACTTTCTTCTGTATTTCGCTCGACTCCTCGTGCCCACATGAGACGCGAGAGATGCCCAGGCGCCTAATCTTGGGTACCGACCGTTCTTCTTACCTGGTAGGTACCTTATGTAAGGGACATCTCTACTTCGTAGCTGCCAACCAACCACTAAGTGGCTTGCCGACGATACAGCCACGTGACTGCACACCGTGCCATCGGCACCGAAAAAGGTTATTCGTACTGTCGGGCCATATCTTGAACCGCGACGCGATTCTCGGCAGACTTTTTTCTTCTTCACCTCCAAACCTTGCCACAGCAAGTTTTTTTCGCGGTCACAACCCGCGCCATTGACAGGTCGGCGCGTGCGATGCAGAAGCATCTTTCCTGCCATGGAAACCTCTGATGCTCCTACTTGAGTAGTCGCTGCGCTCTTCGTGCTATTTCTGCATGCGCAAGGCCGGCGACAGTTCGCACATGGCCAGCTTCGGGAGAATTTTTTTCTCTTTTCCCCCCTTCATCTCGCAGCTAACCCAGCCAGCTCCAGTCATTCCCTTGTCGAGGTAAGATCTTCGCCCCGTTCCTATCTCCTGCATCTGCCCCTGGTTTCGCCCTTGCATGATGACACTACAAGAATTGTCTTCTTTTCCCAACTGAATCGACCATGAAGAAATTCAGTCTATTCGGGCCCTAGGCCTGTTACTTGCCAGTATCATTCGTCTGACTACACACCTGCAAGCAAACTTTTGCCAGCATTCTTACCATTTCGCTATTTTCTCTGGACTTTGTGTGTTAACAAGTCGTTGCAGTTTACACCTCATTCGCAAATGACACCCTCATGTGCAGGCAGGCTCTGTAGCTGTCCCCAAATGTAAGTCATTTCTCGGTCACTTCGGTCTGCCTCTGTTTCGTGATGAAATTTTCCATTCTATTCGCAGTTTCCACTCGAGTCCCGCTGAGCCTATGCTGGGATATATGAGGGTTAATAGTCTTCCTTGGATGTCTGATTTGACAGAAATCTTTTCTTGTTTTCAAACTCTGATCAGTCGCTTTGGAGTCACGAAGCTAACTCGGACAAAGGCCATAGGAGCCATCTAGGTAGGCCCATGCCACGTAGACAGTGGACACCGAAGTCCATGCTTAGTGGCAACATCTTCCAATTCAATACAATTTCATTTCTCAATGACCGTCTTCCCTGTGCCCGTGCCTGATGCTCATGACCTCGAGACCGAGTACTGTTATACGGCTAGCCAAATCCCCACGTTCTATCCCTACCTGTACCGTAATACCCCGACCCAGTTCCGGGATGCCACCCGCGTTTTACAATCGCAGAAAACCAAAACACCGTACGTTGAAAATCATGTCATGTCGGGTATCTCGCCCCGGTCATCATGCCACGCGCACCTCCTCCCGGGTCCCCTCGCGGCGCACCTTGCCGCCCACGATGCCCCTCCGGTTGCGCCCCGTGCGCCCCCTGCCCAGCCAGTTGAGCTTCAGGAGCTTGGCAAGCTCCACGATGCGCCGGTTGCCTTCGTCTGCGTCGCCCACGCCGCCCAGGCTCGACAGCACGCTCATGCACTGCAGCATGCGCCCCACCATGTCCGTCACCTGCTTCGAGTCCTCGACGTTTTGCTCGCGCACGCTGCTGAGCACCTGGACCCCCGACGGCGTAAAGGGCCGCACCGCCCCGTCGCTGGCGTGGCTGCCGAAGCTGACGTTGCTGACGGCCCGGCTGCGCCCGCGTTCCGACCCCTCGCCCAACAGCGTCGTGCTGCTCGAGTTGTACGAGCCCACCGACGGGTCGAGCGACATGGCGGTGCCTGGCCGTACCATGGACATGAAGGACTCTGACGGCGACGACGACAGGTTGTTCTCGACCATCGGCGACGCCAGCGCCATGTTGGCAAAGGACGAGGGCAGGAACTCGAGCGAGAGGCGGGAGAACATGCTCTTGAGCGTGTCATAGCGCGGCAGGATGACCACGTCGCGGTACGCGGCTAGGACGAGCCGCCGAATGTCGACCATGCTCGCAGCCAGCGCCGCCCGAGCTGGTTTCTCGGCCGGCAGCGGCGACGTCACGACGCCGCTCCAAAAGTCGCGAGCCTGTTCCGGGGTCAGGATGGCGCCGCAGCCCGAGACCTCGAGCTCGAGCGGCAAGAAGACTGACTGCATGTAGGGGAGGATCGAGGTAAAAGTGAAGAGCCAAAGCTCGACCAAAGTGGGCACGAAGTGGTCCTCCGGAGTCAGCCGCAGGGTGCGGTCCAGGGACGAGAAGCCCGTCTCGAGCAATTCGCGGACATCCTCGAGCATGCTTCCCGGCGACCTCTTGTGGATGCACCACTGAATGTGCATCTGCACCACCCTGTTGAAGTCCTCGACGGGGAGACGGAGGTCCTCGCCTTCGAAAATCACCAGCAGCTTGGCCTTTAGGTACGGCCACGCATCGTCCAGAGACACATGGTTCTGCAGACCGAGCTTCGCGGCGTCGACGGGGTCGTACAGAGTAGACTGCTGAGGCAATGGCGGCAAATTGCCCGTCCCGGACCAGTCTCCTTGGAGGTTGAACGTTGGCTCATGTTCCAGGCGGTTCTCGGATCGCTCGGCGAGCTTCTTCTCCTTCTTGGTCTTGGCGAAGCTCGAGGAGCCCGGACCAGGGCTGGCCGGGACATTGAAGCTGTACAGACTGCTCGGGGCGCTCGGGTCCGTCGGCTTCGAGTTGCTCGATGCTGATGACAGGGGCAGGTGGTACTCGTCTTTGAGCTTCTGCTTCTGCCGCGATAAGAAGTGGTGCTTCTTCTCCTTCTCCTTTTCCTTGCCCTTCTCTTCACCCAGCGTGTCGACGGGTCGGATCGTGGCCGAAGAGGAGTTGTTAAGATTGTAGATGGGTTGCGCGGAAAGGTCGACGAGACTGTTTGTGCTAAAGTTACCACGCTGCAGGGCGGAGAGCGCCGTCCCGATCTTGCCGGGGCTCGGCAGCGCCTTGTCCTTGATGTCCGCTTTGGCAGTGTTGACTTTTCCAGGACGGGAGAACAGCTTGACCTTTGGCTTATCCGCTTTGCTCGGAAGCTTGTCCGGCAGGGCCGGCGGAATGGGCGGGAAAGGTTGCGGGGATGTCGACTTTTCTCTCGGTGAGCTGTGTCCCGAGCGGGGGAAGGCGACGTTGGCCGCCGTGGTGGCCGTCGCGGAGTAGGAGCCACCTAGCCTGTCGCCGTGGTTCGCTCCGGCCAAGCTTGTGGTGTCGCGTGGCGAGCTCGCCTCTGTGAGGCTGAGCAGAGGCGGACTCAGCGGCACCTTACTCCCGCTGCCTCGGCGCAAGCCCTCGAGGGCCTCGCCGGGGAAAGGCACCGTCTGCGACCGCTGCCGTACGTGAGAGGGGTTCTGGTGAGACATGACGGCCGCCTTGGCCGCCATCTGACTGGCCGACAAGGCGCCCGAGGAAGCTGCCGCCGCCGCCGCCGCTGCCGCCGCCGCCTGGCTGGCCTGGCTCTTGCTCACCTGGGACAGGTTGGATATAGACGTCGACGGGAGGGTCGAGTCGAAGAGGCCCTGGGTGGCGGAGTGCTTCCTGGTGTGATGGCCCTTGAGCAGGGGTGACGTCAGGCCCGAGTTTGCCACACCACCCGTCCGGGAGAAGTTCTGGTGCGCAGCGGCGCCGGGGCTGGTGGTACTGGAAAGCGACGACGCCGCGAACTGGGTGTAGATGGGCGTCGTCGTCGTCGCCGTAGCCGGGGAGCCGATGCGGAGGGGAGGGGGGCGCGGGGGGCCAAGAGGCTGTTGCTGCTGGTGAGGCTTCACCGATGGACCGGGGAGGGCGGAGAAGCTGCCGGGCGCACGCAATTGAGGCCGCGATGGGGCTGGTGGCGGGAGTGGTAATTGTCCAGGCTGCATTGTCACGGATGCCGCGGTGGGGCTTGTCACATCTTGACTCGGGCTGGCGGATGAATGTTGGGGCGGAGCTTGGAGGAGATCTGTCCGTCGCGGGAGGGTGATGCTGTGACGGATATCAGACGATGATGGCCCCCACGCGTTTCATCAATCAAGGTCGGACGAGCGCGCGATGGATGCAGGTGGCGGCGAGGGGGGGATGGATGCTGTTCGATTTCGAGAAGACGGCGAGAGGCTGTCCAAAAGGAAAAAAGGGAGAGGCGGACGACGAAGAAGAAGGGGTGGAGGGAGCTGGGCATGGCCGGCGACGCCAAGGTCCGAGAGCCTCAGTAAAAGGCCTAAACGTGACAAACATGCCTGACGTAGCCTAGCGACCCCGCGCTAAACCCCTGCCCTGGTCACTGCCAGCCCTCAGCCCCCGCCCGTCCCTCGTATCCCAAACAACCTCGTGCACATTTCTCTCGCGTTCCCTACTTTCATCCATACCTTGGTTGTCCAGCTTTTGGTAGACAATCTATTTCTCGTCAGCGCAGCCAGAGATAGCCGTCTGACTTCCACCAGGCCCCACCATGACCACCCACGACAAGAATCCCAAGAGCCTGACAGCCACCTACACGTCGCCTTCCAACGAGCCCTTCACCGTCGCAACGGCCATCCCCGCGCCGCCGTCCGGCAGCGTCGCCGACAAGACCCAGTACCTCGAGGCCTTGCGCCAAGCCGTCGACGACGCCCAGGCGCAAATCAACAAGGAGCTGACGGCGCGCATGCAAGAGGACAACGCAGCCGCGGGCAACAAGATCGCCGCCAAGCTCGGCATCGACGAGGACAAAGAGGAGGAAAACTACGGCGAAGAGGTTCCGGATCAAGATTGAACGATGCCATTCCCGTCCTGTGCATTCCCCGCCGGCAAAACAAGACCGAATACATGCGCTCGAGGGTATTCCTGTACGATGCGAGCGGCCACCTCAAACGTCCCATAGACGACGCTCCAACGTGGAAGAGGGGAAAAGAGACAAAAGAGGACGACACAGCTAGTACATATGTCTAGAGGCCCTTTCCCCAGCTAGGGGCCCGCACCCTCGCCGACTTCTGTCCAGTCGCCCTACTCAAACAGCCGTAATGCACCGCCGTATTGTCCGGCAGGACAGCCACCACGCTCCCGCCGATCCTCATGGCCCCGCCGAGCTTTTTGTGGCAGACGACGCAGTGCCGCTCGTCGGTTATGGTGACGTGTCTGTTGCGGCCGCCCTGCCCGCCGGCCTCATCGTCGCCCAGGTGCAACCGAGCCGCCACTGATATGCTTTCGGCCTTGCGCAGACCCGCCACCACCCGAGACTCATTGACGAGGCTGGTGACTGACCGTATGCCACCTCGGAAGTAGGCCTCGAGGGCGCTGACGGGGAGATCGTCTGGGATTAGGCCCATCGTGGACGTTGCCGGGAGCCGAGAGCCATGCTTGGAGAGGAGGTCCAGCGCTGGCTCAAGCTGCTCCTTGTGGGGCCGTGGTGGCTTGAGATACAGCGACAAGAGAGTATGGTAGATGGATTTCGTGGCATCCTCGGGTATCACAAGTGAGGTCCCGTCATTCGAAGGCGACGCTGTGGTTTCCTGCGCTTTGTATAGGCGGTTGCAGTACCTATCTTGGTCAGTCGCACCGCCGTCTCCCGGTGAGAGAGCATGACCTACTCCTCAGCTTTGATGAAGTCCTTCATCTTGAAGACGTAAATCTCCAATGCCTCTCTGTGCTCGCCCATGTTGCTGAGAACAACGGCTCGCGCCTCGTAAAAGGCCGCGTCTAATGACTGTCAGCGTCGGCTCGGGCGTATGGTGGCGGTGCAGCTCGTACCGTCCTGGGGCATCAGCCCGAGCGCCTTGGTCAGGCTATACACTTGCCGTGAGTCTCGCAGAAAGCGGATACACTTGTCCATGAGGCTGTCCCACTCCCCCCCCCTGGTCGTATCGCCGAGGTTCTTAACGTACAGATCCACTAGGCGGTTGTGAAAGTCCGGCGTCATATCATCGAGCTCGTTAATGATGTGCTCCAAGTACTGCCGCTCCAAGCTCGTATCTACACTCTGGAGAAAGGAGATGACCTGGTCGCGAGGCAGGGTCTCGGCATTTTCCGTGTCGCCGACGAATATCTCCATGGCATAGCTGGGGTTGCTCTTGAGCGTCCAGGCCGCGTGCTCAAGGATCAAATCAATCGCGGAAGGCGGCAGGTTTTGCAGATACTGGATAGTGCGGTCTGGCCCATGTAGAGTCGGAGCAGCCTCGTCGGGTTCATCCGCCGAACCAAACTTGTGGAGGAGATCCAAAGCCTCCCTGTGCAGCTTCTTGCCGTAGAAAAAGTCGACCAGCTCCGTGAACCTGTTGTGCTCCCAAAGCTTCTCCTTGACCACCTCGGGATCGCAAAAGTTGGGTATGCGGAAGAGAGAGCCCGCCAGCAACGGCTGCGACAGCATGTAAGAGCGGAACAAAGTCGTATCGACCAGTCGAAACGTGTTGCAAAGCTCCTCCTCAAGCTTCTGCTCCGACTCGCTTTGCGTTGTCCGGAGAAACCTCTCAGCCACCTCTTCGGCCGAGCCCTGCCTGTCCAGCTGGGGCTTTAGCTTTCCCGTGACCGGGTCGATGACTCGCTGAAGACGCGCACGGGTTCCCGCGAGATAGCTGTTTAGTTCCAAGACTGCTTTGGTCAGATCTTTCCCATCGAGAGGCTTGTCCTCGGCCGCCGATGATTCCTTGGCACTCTCGGTGTCGTCCTCCTCTGCCGCCTCCTTCTTGGGCGATGCTATAGACGCCACGTCAGGTTGGTTTTTCTTGTGGGAACCCCGGAACAGCTTGGCAAAACCGCCCATGGGCTGTGGTAAGAGATGTTCGACAAACCCCTCTGAGCTTTCGGGGGCATCTGCATTCGGTTTTTTCCCCGAAACACCTTCGCCATCTCCATCTGCATCTCCACCCTGCCGTGCCCAGTGCGACAGCTCTCCGGCAATCTGGGGCGGATAAAGCCCGAGAACCCTCTCCGGGGGGGCATGGACGTCGTCCTCGTTCATCAGATCCATGGCTTGCCGGTACTTTTTCTGCTTGAAGAGCATCTCGGCCTTGAGCATCTTGACTTCTCGGAGCGTGTCCTTTTTATCCTTGAGAAGCGCATCCTCAAGCATGTTCAGCACGCTGATCGCCTCGTCGAACTTGCCGCCCTCGATGAGCTCTTGGACTTGCGAATCGTAACCCGTCGCCGCCATCTTCCACACGCATCGTTCGCTCGATATGTGAAACCCCTTGCCCGCATGCGCGAGGCTTACCGTCGGGGGTGGGAAGTGAAGCTGAGCGGCGCCTGGGAGCGAGATGCTCTGCAGCAACGACAGCGTGTCCGGGTTGCGAACCTCTAGAAAGCCTTTGGACGGTGGCTGGAGAGCCACGATGTACGGATAGGAATACCCGATGGATTCAGGCGCGGACGGCCATGGTATCTGCCTCCTCTCCAGGGGTTTCCCGTCGTCCTTGATGAAGAGTGTGTTGATATCCTTGGCCAAGAGTATCTCGCCGTCGGCGAGCTTGGCGGCGAGTGGCTTCGGCATATACCCACCAAGGCCCATGTAACCCATCCCTGCGCTACTAACCGCACCGAATCGGCTTCCCTGGCTTCCAGCCCCGACCGTCCCGGGGCTCACAATGTCCTCGAATTGTTGAGTGACAGAGTCGACAGTGACATAGCCTCCGTTCATGCCGCATACTAGCTTCGTCGCGTTTGTCCAAGTAACTGTCCGCACGGCTTCTGAGAGCACTATCTCTTTGACCTCATCGCCGAGCTCGCTCTCGTGCCAGCTCCATAGCAATAGCCGCCTTTTGACGGCGACGGCCAGGCGGCTGATGATTTCGGGTATGCCCGTGTCGGGGTCCTTGACGATGTTGGAAGTCACGGCGAAGCAGGACGCGTTCTTGGACCGGCTCAAGGTCTCGATGAGCTCGTATGTTTGCAAGTCGTAGAGAGACACATGGTAGTTTGAGAGCGAGACGATGGTGTTGGCCTCTTTGATGATGGCAAGCTGCTCTATCGCGCGCGTGGAGAACCTGTCGACTTCGCGCAATAGGTCCGTCGGCTTCCCAGGTGCCTGCGACGGGAGGTCTTGTCCGCGCTGAGGGGTGCTGGCGGTCTCGAGGCTGGGCTCGCCGGCGGGTGAAGGAGAGTCGTGTTGCGGCGAGGGAAGGTCGTTGAGGCGATAGACGCGGAGGGCACCACTGTTGAGGCCCACGAGAATACGGTCACCTGCGACTGCCTGTCAGCTCCCAGTCACGCGATCCCGATCCGACTGCTTCAACAATAAGAGGGCTAATGGAGTTCTTACCGTGCGCTAGGATGGTCTCAATCTTGGACCTATCCCGCTGCCGGAGCTCGATGATCGGCCGGGCAGTGAAGGCGGACAGCATGGCGCTGGCTGGCCAGCTCGGGGCCGCTGCGATTACCGTGGCGAGACACTCATGGAGCCGCCAGCGAGTTCGACGCCCATGGAAAGAACACGATTCAACAAATGGTTCGAGTTTGATGTCGCGCCAGGGAGCCGGAATGTAGCGGCCAGCATCGAAGTCGAGGGCGATGGTGGTGGCGTTCGGGGCGCCACTGCCGGGACCGCTTGGCGCGAGCAACCTTGCTGGATACAGTTCCACAGTGCGAATAGTTACGGTATGGTACCCCCAGCGAGCGAACGATAGTTTGTTCAACATGCTTCGTACAGTCGTATGTAGGCTTGGAACCCTCGCGTCCCAATTGTCATCAATCAATCAAATACATGGTTTTCACAGAAATGATCACGCAAGTCCCGCGTGCAACCCGCGTTGCATTTGGGGCTCATCCCCTCGTCGCGCTGCTTCAATCTAACCCGGCCAGCTGCAATATCCCGTACCCAAGCGTCATGACAACAGCCAGCGTCATGACGCTGCTTGGCACTCCCCTGCTGATGAAATGCTTGACCTGGAGATATCTCTGCCCGGCCGCGTCTTCCTTCATGATTGCGGCTGTCGCGCGTCAGCTGTTTATGCCACTTCTCCTCTCTCCTGTTTTCCGGGGACTTACTCATATTAGGGAAGCCACTGGTTGGCAAGCCCATGGCGGCACTGCACATGAGGACGCCGCCCATGACGAGCAGATTTGGGCGTGGCTGGTCCATTTCGGCGCCGACATCAAACACCAGCGGCAGGAAGATGAGGGCGGCGACCGTGTGGCTGATGAAGGTTGCAATGACTAGGATCAGGGTCGAGAAGACGGCCAAGACGCCGTACAAGCTCATGCCCTCCACCTTCTGCGAAACCACCTCGGCGACCAGGTGCAAGAGACCAGACGACCGGACCGCTTTGCCGAGGGACAGCCCTCCTGCAGCCAGGATAATGATGGTCCAGGGAAAATTGTTGAAGTCTTCCTTTGTGAGAACGCCAATTCCAAAGAAGAGCACGATCGGCATGATGGCAATCACACCCATGTCGCCAAAGACGCCTTCCATCTGGTGACTAGCGCACCACAAGGCTATCGTGATGACGGTAACTATCGACACGAACCACTGGACGCCGGTAAACGTCTCCTTCAGAGGTCGGATCGGGGCAATGGTGGTGCCCTTGCCGGGCTGAAAGGTCACCAGGAGAAGGAGCCATATGAGGACAAGGGAGACGGCCCCGACGGGGATGACGATGAAGAACCACTGCAGCCACGTCGGCTCGGGCTGCATGATGCCCATGGCCACAACGTTCTGAGGAGACGCAATAGGGGACAGCATGCCGCCAATGTTGGAAGCGAGGGCAATGCCAATGATGACGGCTTTGGACATGTTGGAATCGGACGGCAGCGTTCGTAGCATGGGCTGCCGCGCATCAGTCTGGGCATAGTCGAAGAAGTGAAGGCATGCATACCTCGATGATGGAGTAGCAGAGAACCGGAGCGGCGACGTTGCTGATGAGCATGGACGCGAAGGCGGCGACAAACATGTTGGCGATCAGGACCGTCTTGGGCAGCGTGCCGGCCTTGCTCAGGATGAGCGTCGCGAGCCGCTTGTCGATCTTGCATTTGGACAGCGCGGCCGCCAAGGTGAAGCCGCCGAGCAGCAGCATGATGACAGGAGTCCACATGGAGGCAAAGATTGCCTGCGTTGCTTCCTTGGAGTCGAGTCGCACCTGAGGCTTGCCGGGCTCCTCCTCACGGACGACCCTGAGGATGACGGACAAGAAGGGGATGAGCAGCGACGTTACGAAAAGCGGTATTGTCTACGTCGCGCGTTAGAGGAATGACTCTTGGTCGATGGGTCGTCAGCGCCGCCTTACCTCGGTGGCCCAGAGAATGCTCACGAAGACGAGCAGAGCCAGGCAGTTTTGCTGTTCCGGCTTTTCCAGAATCGGGACGAACAAGATGGCGAGGAAGATGGCGATGGAGGCGATGAGTGTGAGCATGGACCCGTTTGCCAGCCAGGTAGGTAGCGAGAGACGGCCAAGCGGGGTGCGAAACTGTTTATGCGAAGGCAAGCTGCCGTCGTCGCCTTGCAGCCGTTTCGGTGCTGCGCTCTGGTCCTGGCCCAGCAGCGACTGGCCGAACCTGGCCGCCTCAGCACGTCGCTCGATGCCGATGAGGTCTCGCCACACGGTGTTGCGCTCCCAGACGACATGCTCTCGCAAGTGAGACCGCAGGTCCTTTTTGGCAAGCTCTGCGTCGCCCCCCGTGACGACGTCGGCGTATGCGGACTCCATCTTGGTAATGTTGTCGTCGATGACCTTCTTGGTCTCATCCCTGAACGGATAGGCCGTGTCTACGTGCGTGCGGATGTAGACGGCTTTGAGTTCCTTGTCCAGGATCTTGTCAAACTTCTTGAGGACCTTGCCGAAGCCCGTCTTGTTGAGCTGGACGTAGGACTTGAGCTCGCAGAGCTGAACGTATAGACTGGCGATGCGCTTCTTGAGCATGATTGCCGACGAGTACAGCCCTGACGCGAACATGAGAGATGCATCTCCATAGTCAAAAGTGTTGCTGTGCCTGCGCGCCAGGCGCCCCTGCTCCGACGCCGCCATGTCATGGTGATGGCCGACATCGCCAGCGGTCTTCCTCCGGCCCGAATTGGCGCTCTTCGCCTTTGTCAGGCCGGTGGTCTCGTCATCGTCGCTCGCGCTGTCGATGTCATCCTCGTCATCGGATCCAGGGCCGGCAGGAAAGCTGTTTCCGCGATGGCCGTCGAGGGAGACTCTGCGCAGGATGGGCGGCCCATCCAACGAGGGACGGTCCCCGATGTCGCGGAGGAGCTGGGCAACCTCGTCCAGTAATTCGCCTTCCTTGGCGACATAGAAGGAGCAGATCTTCTCAAGCTCGATGTCGAGGGCCTTGCTGAAGACGTCCTCGGGGTCCTCACCGGCGATGAGAGGTCGAGACTCGGAGTCGCCAGCCCGACTTTGATGGACGGACTTTTCGAGCTGGTAGATACTAGAGGGAGAAGTCATGTCAGCGGCAGGATTGGGCGGGCGGCGGCGACGAGAGAGGGTTGACTGACAGTTTCTTGAGGTTGCTATATGCAATGTAGTGGCTGCTCCAGTCAGGAACAGCGTTGAACTGGATGCTATGAGAGAACTTCATGTCGTCACGCTCGTCGAGCCACTGGCGCTTGCGTAGTCGTTTCTGGCGTCTTCGGAGGGCGCGGTCGCGGGCGTCCTTTCGGGTCTGGATAGGGCGGTAGTCGTCAAGCTCATAGGCGGTGGCGTCGTGCAAGGGCGGGGAAAAGTCGGCGTCGTCGCGGTCAAGGCTCCCTCCTCGTTCACGGTGGCGGGCGGCCAAGGTTAAATTGGAATCGAAAGACGGGGGCCCCGTGCGAGGAACAGAGGAGGGAGTCTCGATGGCGAGCGGAGGCTGAATGGTTGCTGTGCTACTACAGCATGGGAGGAGGAAGAGCCTGGATAGGATGGGCAAAAGTGAGCCCTGTGGAATGGTGCGACGGCAGATCAACAAGGCCGCAGCTGGCTGCCCCGTCCGCCTTTGCTTTCTTGGACCAAGCTTGACGGTTTTCGGGCTGCATTCGTCTGTTACAGCCGCGACGGGGGCCCCCACGACAACGTGGTGGACAGCTGAGTTCAGCATCGAAAGAAAAGCGGGTTCCGGGAAGGCTGCTGCAAGCAACCCTATTCCCGCGCAGCCAATCAATCAGTTGCTTTTTAGAGGCTGTGTGGCTCTGTGTACCTGTGTGGCTCTGTGTGCCTCTGTCAGCGGGCGCCTCAACGCAGCTGACCCCCCTGGAAGGCCCGGGGCTTAGGGGGCATCAATCAAGCCTGCCGGGGCGGCCGCCATGTGATGGCAGCACGTTCCGGACTCGTTGGTCTTGAAACCTCGCCGCAACGGTTGCTGTTGCAGTCGCCGCCGAGCCCGTGCCGCCCTCGGTGCCCGTGACCTCCTCCGCTGCAACCACCGGTGGTGGCGGCGGGCGGGCGGGCGAGGGTACGGACGAGAGCGGCGTTGGTGACGAGACAAGAAAGCCATTGCCTGCCTTTGCGGATGTTGTTGGTTCAGCATGCCTGCTTTTTCCAGCCAACCGCCCCTTGTTGATTATCGAGGGCAGGACTTGGATGGAGCATGAGGGAGACGACGAGACCAGCGATGGAGCTGGAGACAGGAGTAGGGACTGCATGGATGGGCCGGCGGGCCATCCATGCGACGGCTTGGCTCGATCCGTCTCACCAGCCAAAGGCGCTCGCCAGTCGGCCAGCCCACCGAGGTGATTGCTTGACCGGCCACCGTTCTTCAGAAGGACCGGCGCAGACCGGAGAGATAATACACATTGCGCAATCAGACGAGGAACGTGAGAGGGGGAAGCGGCATCAAACGCAGGTGACGAGGGCAGGCGTATTCGCGACCATGGCTTCAAGGTCTTTTGAAAAGACGGAGGGGGGAGCAGAGGCAGGGGAGCAGAGGCATGGGAGCAGAGGCATGCGATGTATTGGCGATAATGACGGGTGAACGGCGTCATCTTGATGGAAAGCCGCGGCTGTACGGATACTGGGACTCGACTCGTGCATCGTCTTCCATGTACCGGAGCTATCCGACGGCCATCCTTCATGATTGCCTAGCCGAGGAGAAGGGCCAGGCGGGGGCGGGGAGGAGGGAGGGGAGAAGGGAGAGGGGGTAGAGCAATCAGATTAGATAAGATGGGGTCCGCTGGTGCTTTGCCGAATACAGTGTCAATTATTTGCCGGGAACACGGTGAGCTCAAGACAGTGTGGGTCACCGCTCGGCCTACTGTGCTCCGCCATCCTCAACGGCTACGAGACGAGAGATATAATAATGGCGCAAGTCAGGCGCACGACTCCACAGCTTACATGCGAAAAACTCTTTACCGGCTCGGTGCACGCCCGACTTTTTCCCCAACAAGCTCTCTGTGGAATGAGGCACCCGGCAAAGACGTCGACGGCCAACCGGGCTTTGCGCCGGCGAGGTTCACGGATCAGATAATCTCTCTCGGCGCCGGCCGCCAACCAGCGCCCGGCTCTCCCCTCCTTTAAGAAGCATACCTAGGTAGGTAGGTACAGTACCTACGGTAGTCCATAACAACATCAGCTTGTCGATGCTACTTGTTGGTCCCTCTGCAATGCTTCTATAATTATGCCGCCTGCACTCTGCACATCCCTGAGAATAATCCGATGCTCTCTGTTCGGAACGGCACACCGAGTACTCAGCATGCCATCGGCAGCCGGAATACACATACAATCCCTTGAGCCTGCACGGGGGAAAATGGCTCAGCCCGTACATGTATCTACAAGTACAGCTACACCAAAAGGCATGCATGGGTCGGGTCACGATGGACTGGGCCGGCGGATCTGATAAGCAGCCACCCCCCCTTTGCCCCGTAACCATCTATCCACTCACCAATCTTGGCTCGTCATCGAGAAAAAAGAGTCGATCAACGAGTCAGCCCTGCTTCTCGTCTCTCGCCTAGGCCGACTGCGGATACCAAGTGCAATAGTCAAGCAAGGCGGGTACCTTGACCAAAGCCCGAGGCCCGACGGCATCGGACCGCCTCGCAGTCCAGAGAGGGAGGTACTGTTAAACCCCTCTCCCCTCATCTCGAGCATTTCTCTCTCTCTGCTCTTTATTCCATCACTCGCCCTCTCCGCCTGGCCTTCTGCCTCTCCGTCTTGCGCGGCCCGAGAGCTCATGTTGTCGAGACCAGCCAAGAGGACAACTACCTGCATCAGGTCCGCTACAACATGAATGGCTTGGCAGACGCGCTTGTGCTGACCGCTTCTCGTGGGCCGTATAGTCTCAGCTTTGGCTGCCGCATCTCCGTCGCTGTTAGACAACAGCCGTCGACCCATCTCCTGACCGCTCGAGCGCAGCCAACGTTTGGCATATCGCGAAGCAGCAACAACAGGACTTGTCTAATCCTTCGTGGCCCGTCGCCTACAGCACCGACACGTCCCTCTGCTCGTTCATCCTTCCTACTGCCTCACCGCCTCGTGCAGCACCGACACTCTGCCATCTCCCTCGCCGGCACAGCGCACTTCTCTCATATCGCCAGCATGGGGTCGGTTCCGGGCGCAGACGCACCCACCGTCAAGGTCTTCATCGCCGGCGGCTCCTACTGCGGACTTTCGGCCGCCGTCAACCTCCTGGACCTCGGCCAAGGCCTGTCGCCGCGCATGGCCCAGAATCCCTACAACCACCATCCCGAATTGCCCCGGGTGAACTGGGACATCACCATTGCCGACGAGAGAGACGGCTTCTGTGGGTTTCTTCGCAAACAAACGCTCTGACTCGCACCTCTAACCATGGCCCCCGTGTCCAGACCACTTGATCGGTTCCCCGCTGGCTCTCGCCGACTCTGACTATGCCAAGAAGGCCTGGGTCAAGTTCCAAGATTTGCCCGGCCTGCAGAGCCTCCAAGTCAAGTTCGTACACGGGACCGTCTCTGGCGTCGACTGCCAGGCCAAAAAGGCCTTAACCGTGGACAAGGCGACCAAGGAGACCACCACCCATGCCTACGACTACTTCCTGGCTGCCACGGGTCTGAGAAGAGCATGGCCCGTGGTGCCACAGTCTCTAACCCGCAAACAGTATCTTGTCGAGGTGGACGAGCACGTCCACGCCGTCACAAATGCCCGGCATGGCGTTGTCGTGGTTGGCGGTGGGGCTGTGGGCATCGAGATGGCCGCCGAGTTGAAGCTCACTCAGCCCAGCGCTCAAGTCACGTTGGTCCACTCGCGCGAGAAGCTGTTGTCCTCGGAGGGCCTGTCGGATGAATGCAAGGACAAGGCCCTCGAGCTTCTGAAGGAGGCCGGCGTCGATGTAATCATGAACCAGCGCGTGGTCAGTTCTGACAAGGTCGAAACGCTAGACGGCTCTTCCAAATATGAGGTCAAGGTCACGGACGGGCGGAGGATATTTGCCAGCCAGGTCATCATGGCCCTGTCCAACAGCGTCGCCACCTCGTCCTATCTGCCTTCCTCGGCCCTCGACCAAGATGGATACGTCAAGATTGAAGCCAAGTACGTTGGCGACTTGTTTCTCGGCCGCTTCACGCCTCTCTCTTCTCAACAAGGCTGACACAGGCGTCTCTTTAGTCTTCGCTTCGTTCCGGGGACTCCCAATCACGAATATCACTTTTGCTCGGGCGATTTGGCCAGGTGGAGCGGCATCAAGCGCTGCGGGGTGGCCATGCACGGCGGTCATTACGTGGCGCAAAACATCCACAAGAGCATCCTGAAGGAGCGCTTCGGCCAGGAGCCGTCCTTTGTCGAGTTCCAGCCGGTGGTGCAACCCATGATTGGGCTGGCGGTCGGCAGGAAGGCCATTGCTTCGGGCCCCGATGGCACCACGTTTGGCGAGGACGTGCTGGAATCCTGCTTCCGGGATGATCTCGGTTTTACTAGTAAGTTTCTCCTGGAGTGTTGCCTTTGCTTGGTGAAGAAACACAGACACTGACTCTAAGGAAATGTTTAGTCTGCTGGGACTGGATGGGGCTGGGCGGCCGAAAGCAGGAGAACCTGACGGCGTGAAACGCCAAAGTCAAGGGATGAGCACGGTTGTCTGGCCATCTCTTTGCCTCGGCTGCCGTCGCTTCCCGCGCTCCTAAGACCAATTAGAAGGCAGGCGAGAAGATAATCAATGGGTGCTGGGATAAACGACGGATATGTGTCTCCTGAAGCCACTGAAGACATCTCGATCGACAAAATGATGGGCAGCGAATAAGATTCTTGTCTGATGTTTCTATATACTGAATGGGGGAGAAGGTTACGACGAGATGAAGGAAACTCAAAACGACAAAGGAAAAATGCAACCATAGATAGACAAGCGACACTGCATGACCGCGGACAACCAACCACTGGGTGCTTTGCCTCGAAAGTCCGCCATTACTCGCAGTCTCGCGTGAGAAAAACCCGAGCTTCATAGTCTGAAGCAAGGGCAAAGACCGAGCGCGGCCGTGACGGATCAGACTTTGCAGCAGTATAATAGGTAGCCAGACTTGCACTCGGCCTTCTGATATTGATGGGACATGTGGCTGGGACACGAGCTGCCGGTGCACCGCCCCACGATACGCTGGCCGAACCACGCACACTTCTGGGGCGGGTTCCATCGCGCCTCGAGATTGGGAGCTTGCTGCTCGGCATCCGGGGCGTGCTGTTCAGCGAGGCTTGCTGCTGCCCGGGGGAACCGCATCGTCGGTCAGCCTTGCGTGCTGCCAGGGTCAAGGCGTCGGGGATTGACAAGGGAGCGCAGACTTACGGGCCACCGCGGCCGTCGTGGCGGTTGCCAGGGCGAGGACGAGTGGGAGGAAATGCATCGTGGAGAGATGAGATGGTGGGCTTCGTGGTGTGCCAATGCGAGAAGACAGCCACAGATTGGATGGCACGATGGGTAGGTATAAGCCAAACAGAGACGGATAAAACCCTGTTCTGGTTGTTGTGATGGACGAGGCTGGTGATGGCTGATTACTTGTTGAGTCTGGCTTCGTTCGACGACCCGTGACGAGGAGCTACGACTCTATTTATACACATTTCTGGATAGATAGACGCAGAGAGTGTGACATCACAGCCCTCCTGGCAAGATGTTCACTTGGTCCTCTCCACGGACATTGCCCGCCCGGAAAAGATGCCGTTTCCAAGCACCGGCATTGCGCATCGAGTCGCTTGCATTACGATACAGACGACCATATCGACCCCCTTATCCCCCCCCCAGCCCCGCGCCCCGCGCCTCTTACCCGTGACGTCGGCGCTTCAGAACGCTCACTTACAGTTTTGCCAGGTTACGAGATGGAATTATTCTCTGGAATATTGCTCGAGAACCTCGTTTTGGCATATCGGAAGAGGTCGAGTGGGCAGCCGAGTGCCGTATCCGAGCCACCCCGGGGCGCGGGGGCCGCCGGATGCCGGAGTCGGGGTGCCGAGGGGGACGGCTTTTGGTTCCATGTGCTTTCACAACATACTGGCCTTCTGGGTCGGCCCTGTTCATGGCATACTGGACATATAACACAAACAGTCACGCGTAGCTTGATTGTCCGGTTTCTGTTGCCTCCTCTCCGTCTCCGCAGTGTCACGCGGCTCGCATTCCAGCCCAGCCTCCACGCCTCGTGGGGCCACGGAAACTGCCATCTCCCTTTCCTCCCTCGTCCCCTCTTATTCCCCCCCCTCCCCCGCGGGGGATAATGGAGGCGATGGGCTGAATTGCCGCTCGTTCCGCTCGTCGCGCTGCTCTCCTCCTCTTGTTAGTGGACAGACCGGGTAAGTCGACCGGTGGGGCAGGGGAGGATAGCCGGGCACTGGCCCTGATATGATGGGACTGGTGCCGATGACGGCAACAGACTGGTAACGGAGATCAACTCAGGCCAATATTGACTCGCCCCCGCCTCTGGAGCTTGCAGGAGCCGATGGGTCAGCCAGTCATTTCCCCCGTGTCCCGACTTGGCAAGACACTTTGATGAAGGGGTCATGTCCGCCAGTCACTTTGTGGGCTGAAGACACCATAACTTGACAGCAAGTTGATATTCATGGCACGCGTCTGTCAGCGCTGGATACCCAAAGACGCATCTCCCAACAGCTTCAGTGTCCAGCGGCCACCGTTGCCCTGAAGTCATGCGATGCCCCATCAAAGAACGAAGCCATCGCACAAACCATCAGGCAACACTTACGCTCACTGGCTTGATCTTCCTCACATCAATGTCTCGCCACGCGGCCGTGGCAACAAAGGCCACGACCAGCACCGACGTGCTGGTGATGAGCATGGCCTTCTGACCATCGCCATACGCGCGCTGGATGGCGGTGCGGGCCGGGGAACCGACGGGGTACGACAGCTGCACGTCCAGCCGGCCGTAGATGCTGTCGAGCTTGTCTAGTTCCGAGGAGGGCAGGTACTGGCGCAGCTTGCGCGGGAAGACGGCCTGCCAGATGGAGGCCGAGACGCTGAGGCCGACGGCGCCGCCAATAGCCGCGAACATGGCCTCAATGGCCAGCACGACGGCCACGTACTGCCGCGGCGCCGCGGCCATGACGGCCGTCTGCTCGCAGATGACCATGGTGCCGCCCGCGACGGCGATGAGGATCTGGCATAGAACGAGGAAGCCGATGTTGGCGTCGGGTTGGCGGGACTTGATCATCAGGCCCACGCCCAGGGCGCTCAGGGGCACGCCCAGGTACAGGGCCAGCCGTTTGAAGCGGCCAGTCCTGCGGATTACGAGGCCGACAACCAGGGACCATAGGCAGGACCCGATGTTGTATATCTGAGCCACATAGCTGGCTTGCGTGACGGAGAGGCCGTTGACGACCTGTAGGAAGGAGGGAAAGTAGGCGTCCCAGATAAAAAAGCTGACAAAGGTTGCGGAAGCAAGGACGCAGGCGCCTAAGAGAGTACGATCAACGAGGAGGGCGTAGGGAATGAAGTTGACCGAAGCGCCGTACCGCTCCCAGGCGGCGAACAGGACCACGAGGCACGCGCCGGCGCTGAGGAGGCCCAGGATCAGGGGAGAGCGCCAGCCCAGCTCTTGGTATGAGAAAATGTTCAAGGGCAGCAGCAAGAGCGCCAGGCCGGCCGAGAGCAGCAACAAGCCAATGACGTCGAACTCGCGGCCATAATGGACCAGGGCCCGAAGAGAAAATGGGCGGTGGCTGCCAGCCGTCGTCGTCGCCTTGTGGCCCCCCAGACCCAGCCTCTCGGCCTTGCGGTGGTGGTGCATAAAGAGCCCGTAGAGCGGCAAGGTGACGGCCGGGGTGACGACGGCAAAGACGGCAAAGGCCCATCGGAAGCCAGGCCCCCTCAGAAAGGCCTCGGAGAGGGGCCCAGCAAGCCATGCGGTGATGATGAAGGGGGAGCTCGAGTAGGCCATGACAAGCCCCCTGTTGCGTAGCGAGGAGGCGTCTGCGACAAAGACGGTCAGGCAGTAGCCCAGGCCGTTGAAGCCGACGGAGCAAAAGACGTGGGCAGCGGCGTAGGACGCGAGGCCGCGGCAGACGGCCATGAGGGCGTAGCCGAGGGTGGTGAGGAGGATGGACAAGAGGAAGCCTTGAGGCCGGCCGAAGACGTCGAGCACCCTTGCCAGCGTCAACTTGAAGACACCACCGACAATCTGGCTCATGATGTTGACGGTGGGCGTCAGCGAGTGCTGGCCAAAGGCCGACGTGACCCAGGGGCCGAGGGCCGTCGCGGCGCCCTGCTGCGTGCTGTCGACCAGGCAGACGATCCAGACCATGGCGTACGCGGCGACGAGGGCTGGCCGCGTCCAGACAAGGGTCGTCGCCTCCATATTCCGCACGCCGGCTTGCATCTCGTCGTCTTCTTCACGGTCGCCGTCGTCATTCTCTGCCAACAGGCGGCCAGCCATGTCCTCGGCCGACGGAGCAACGGAGCCGTATTCGTCACCGACGGCTCTCGGCGGAACAAAGGGCGTCGTCACATGGCTCATGCTGATGCTCGCCCTGAAAGCGGGCGGTGGGAAAAGAGCAGAGAGCGAGAGGGCGGTTTTAGGAAGGCGAGTGGGAAGCTCGAGGAGGAGAGCAAGGAGGTTGGGGGCAGGCCGACGCCGGCTTCGTAGCAAGTAAGCATCAGCCAGTCACGAAACTGTACGACAGGCTTGGACGGCAGTGGCAGGCCCCGAGCCTATAGGTCGATCCAGCCGCGAGCTTTGCAGAACCAAGAGCGTATGACAGCGGCCAAGCGCTTCCAAGCCGTCACACACTGCAGACGCCTCTCCGCCGCCAAGGGGCCACGGCTGCCATTGCAGGCTTGAGTCGGAGCGCGAGGTCGAGGAAAAGGGGGAGGGGCGGCATCGTCGTCCTTGCTGTGTGTTGGCGGGGGGGGGGGGACGTCCGCCTTGAATGCTCGGCCTAGCCGGTAGTGCCGAACGAAACTTCGGCCAGCCGAAACGAGGAGCCCGCTGAGCGACGAGGGGGAGAGGGGGGAGGAGAGGAGATGCCAGATAGATGCTGGTGGATTTATTATCAGATCACCCCGAGTACATGCATGCATGTACATGAAACGGTGATTGACGCAGGTACCGGTACTTGCTCGCAGGATCTTCCGTGCGGCATCTCGGGGGCACCGCGTCGGGCATCCTCGTAGCGGAACCTGAGGAGAGCAGCGAAGACGTGGGTGGGGTGGGGTCCTTTGTCCGAATAAAGTTATCAGATCCGTTGGCTTCCGCCAATGAAGTCGCCCCTTTTCCTCTACTCCGTACTCTGTAGGGAGTAATAACTGAAGTTACAACATGTGCGGATATGGTCATCGCAAGAAGGGTGCCTTCTTTGAACGCTTGATAGGGTTCAAAGATTTCATTTTACATTTATTCACCCGTCTGGCTTTTGTCTGTACATCTTCATATACGTGCTCCATCATCCATACCAACCCACTTCTACAACTTGGAACCACTCTCCCCCCTCCTCATCCGCGCCAGCACCTCGTTGCCCAGACTCGCCATCTCAAACTTGCGCACCTTGCCGCTCCCCGTCAGCGGCACGTCGCCCGGCACGCCGCCCTCGCCCAGCCACAGGACGTGTGTCGGCGACTTGTGCTTGCCCAGCACCGCCCGCACCCACTCGCGCACCTCGTCGTCGCCCGGCTTCGCCGCCCCGGGCCGCCGCTCCACGAACGCCCCGACCACCTCGCCGTAGTGCTGGTCCTTGAGCCCGACGACAATGGCCCGGTCGATGCTCGGGTGTGCCATGAGACGCTCCTCGATCTCGAGGGGGTAAATGTTTTCTCCGCCTGTTGCTAGCCCGTCAGCCCCAGCCTATCCGTCACAGGGAAGAGAGCAACGCACCCCGGATGATAATGTCTTTGAAGCGCCCCGTAATGGTGCAGTATCCCCTCTCGTCAAAGACGGCCTCGTCGCCCGTGTGAAGCCAGAGCACCCCGGCCGCGTCGCGCTCCATGACCTCGGCCGTCTTCTCCGGGTTGTTCCAGTACCCGGCCTGCAGCTGGTACCCGGCCATGCAAAGCTCGCCCCGGGCGCCGACGGGCACCGTTCGGCCCTCGGCGTCGACAATCTTTGCGTGCGCGTGCGGCATCAGCGTGCCCACCGTCGCCAGCCGCGTGTCCATGGCGTCGTCGGTGAAGGCGTTGAAGCACGTTGGCGACGCCTCCGTCAGCCCGTAGCTGCTCGTAAATTCGCTCATGCCGAACCGGTTCACCAACAGCTCCATCAGGTACCGCGGCACCGGCGCCCCCGCAATGATGCCCGTCCGCAGCCGCTCGCAGTTGAAGCCCGCGGGCGGCTCCGCCTGGAAGAGCGAGTCGAACATGGCCGGCACCCCGTGCACCGCCGTGCAGCTCTCGTCCGAGATGGCCCGCAGCGTCGCCGCAATGTCGAAGACCTCGGCGGGAAAGACAATCTTGGCCCCGTGCGTCACCACGGCCAAGAGGCCCAGCACGAGCCCGAAGCAGTGGAAAAGCGGCGGCGGGCAGCAGAGGACGTCGTCGGGCGTCAGACGCATCCGGTCGCCGATGAAGCGGGAATTATTGACGAGATTGCTGCGTCGCAAGGGTCAGCTCAGACCCGATGCCGTCACCATTGCCTAACAGCAAAAGACGCAAGATGAGAGGGGAAGAAGGGACAGAGCGTAGCACTCACTGATGGGTCAGCATGGCGGCCTTGGGCTGCCCTGTCGTGCCGCTGGTGAACTGGAGGTTGACGACCTGATGCGGCAGGACCTGGCTCATGGCACGGTGCAGTCGATCGCGGCCTCTCCGACGGCTGTTGCTGCTCGACCGAACGAGTTCATCGTAGGTCGTGTAGCCCGCAGCCTCGCCCCTGAGGATGACGACACGGACCGTGGGTGTCTTGACCGACGCCGGCTCACTGCCCTGCTTCTCGAGGGCGGCCAGAAGAGGCGCATTGTCGAGCTTTCCAATCGTCCGCGTCGTAAACAGCACCTTGCAGTCGGAGAAGCGCAGGCCGTAGAGGGCTTCTGTGGGCGTGTACGTGTTGTTGAGGATGACGAGCATGGCGCCCACCTTGGCCACGGCGAAGAAGACGGCCGCGTACTGCTCGCAGTTGCCGGCCATGATGCCCACGCGGTCCCCCGGCTCGACGCCCAGGTCCAGCAGCAGCGCCTGGGCCAGCAGCGTGCTCTGCTGGTGCAGGTCGTGGTAGGTCCAGCGCGCCCCCGTCCACGGCATCACCAGGCACTCATCGCCACCATGCCGGTAGGCCTGGAGCTCCAGCAGCTCGCCCAGCGTCAGGTCGACGAGGGGCGGATCCACAGGCCCGTGGAGGATAGACAGCTTCTGCGGCCGCGGTGTTGTTGCTGGCGTCGTCGCGGAAAGGTCCCTCTCGGTTCGTGTCTGCGTCGGGTTCTCCGTGGTTGACATGTTGATGACAAAAAGCTTCCCAAGCTATACTTGTATCCCAGGTCTCGACCTTTTTAGATAATTCTTTTCACAACAATCCGAGGGTCTCCTTTCGCTTCCCACGACGCAATCTCGACTCAGACTCTCTTGGTTGGGACTTGCACAGCACCAAGTGGAGGGGGAATGGAGGGGAGAGTGAGGCCTTCTTTCTGAGCTTCTCAAGTGCTCACGACTCCCGGCTCTGAGAAAATGGGCTTCCACTCTCCCTTCTCGATGGAGCCACCGGGTCCAGCGGATTCGACCCACTGCCGGTTGCACTATTACACCGATCCATCTCATAAAAGCCGCAAAGTGAGCACGGGATGGCCCGTCTTCGTACTGTACTTGGTATGTACGAGACCCTTGTGCCTTGAAATACGACTCATCCCACCTCTCGCCGCAATAAGCGACCAGGCCGGGCTACCACAATGCGCAGAGACGACTTTTTTCCCCGGTTTTCTCTGAATTGCGCGCAGCAGCAGGGTCCAACCGGTCTGGCGGCTCCCGTGTATCACAGGCCATCTCCGACGCTTGCCGACTCCGCCCGAGAGACTGCGGTCGTGCCAAGTGGTGCTTGGCCGACGCTGCCGGAAAGGGGAGGAAGAGGGGGTAAAGCGAGGTGGCCAAGATCTTATCTGATCATCAGATAAGATACCCTGCTCGTTGTACAGCACCGTACAGTACCTGCAGCACTGTACCTGCATACATCCAGACATGGTTAACTGTGCGAAGACTTCACGTACTGTACCCTACTACCCACCCATCCATCCGCGACTGCGCACATTTTTAGCTTTGAAGCCTCAAAACCGCAAATTCCACACCGAGACTCCTCGTCAGCTTGACCCCGACCACATCCGTTGGCGAAGGACTCTCTATCAGACGGACGAGTGAGTGAGTGGTTTCTCACCATATGCACACCAATTGTTACCGTGCATACAGACAAACTACTGTAATGCGCATTGTTGTCCGTTTGTACATAATCGGCAGAGTCTCACGGGTACTGATTCGGGGTCGAGATGGCTCTTGGCCGTACAGTGCATACGTGTTTATGTTCCCATGTACCGGTATGCGGCAATTCTTGGGAATTGGCACAGGATGTACCCCCATACAGTGTGAGGCACACTCAAGGTGCCCTAGAGAAGCATCCCGTATCATAACTCTCACGTAACTTACCGGCCAGACACATCCGTTGCCCGTCACCACCACCCAATCCAGGCATCAGGGCACGTTGCGGCTATGTCGTCTTGGCGCGCTCACATGCCACACCTACATCAACAAGACATTGCCCAGAGCGGGAGCCAAGATGCCTGGGGCCGTGCATCCGTCGCAACTCAAACCCAAACTCACTCTCTTCGGTATCAGCACTTGCCGGCATGTGCACCTACAGTACATATTATCATCCCTATTGTACGCTGCTGATATCCCAAGGCCGCAGCAAGCTTCGCGCCATGAACGAACCCTCAACTCACTCCGCCAGGCTTGTCCACGAACCAAGCATCAGGGCTTCCTGGTGAGTGCCTACGACCGCGAGCACCTCTGTCAGTGCTTGTCACGATTTGTACCGCGTCTCTGTTCGGCAGGCTGGGTCCTACAGATGGGCACTCGTCTGGACCCGTCCCTCGGAAATGCCACTCATCGCGATGGCGAACATGCCTCAACGCTGACTTCTGCCACTCATATAGATACAATGCTGCCCTGCTGACCCATCACCAGCCATCCCGCTCGCCGAACCGTTCCGCTCAAGTGTGGGTATATGCATGTCTGACGTCTGACCAGTCCCAAACTGCTACGGCCCGCTGCATGTTTCAACCATCAAGACATTCGTCCTTCGCTCCCAGACGCCCTGGTCCAAACCTCCAAAGTTAGATTTGCTTCGTGGGAAGTCCTTTTCAAAATCATGGGGGACGAGGTCAATGAAACCAATGCTGAATCCCCTCACACCTCCTTTGCCCTTTCACCGTCACCCCCGTCGGGGCTGCCCGGGGCGAGGCCTATCCCCAGAGCCCGCTGAAGGCTTCGTCGGATCCCTTTTCCCGTTCGGTATTCGTCGTCCTTTTCGCGCCCGAGGAGCCCCAAGCTCATTCGCCGGGCGACGTTACCGCCGTACTCACTACCCGTGGCCGCCGCCTTCTTATGCCTACGAATAGTCAGGGTAGAGTCCACCACGGCTGCCCGGGGAGGCCATTCGCCATCTCGTTTCCAGCCCGCTATGCAAGAACGTAGCATGTCGGACAGGTTGACGGGGCACGCAGGCTGAAGATTATTAATCACCACTTTATCGTAGAGGCTAACGTAGACGGCAGGGGTAATGGACGCGCGCAGCGAGTTGTTTGGTGGCAAGAGCGGCTGTCCCACTGGCACCAGCGTCTCCACGGGGTACGACTCTGGGAGCGGCGGGTCCGAGACAGCAGAGTCTTGTGTATTTTGCGTCTTCAATTCCTTGTCGTTGTCCTTGGCGAGCGACGAGGCGTCAGAGGCGGCGCCCGCGGCGTCGGCGGTCTGAGCCATGGTACTCGGTATCGAGGCAGGCGGTGATCCTGACATGGAATGGCGAAAGAAGAAACGTCGAGGCGATCGCGGAGATGCCAGAGCAGGTGAGGGAGGCTTGCTGCGGACGCGGACAGTCTTGGCGCCAGTCCAGGCATTGCGCCGCGCCTCAAAGCACGCCAGCCCGTCGTTCCAGGCCATTTCGTCTCGCAACGTCCTCCTGTGCCGAGCACGTCTGTCCAGAGTACGTTTCCGGATGATCGAACGCATGGCTTCAACGCCATGGAGCGGGCCTGGTGAGGATGCCGCAGATGCGTCGTCGTCGGTTACGTCGGACGTCGACTCGACCCGAGGACGATAATGTACGTCATCCTCTGAAACAACGCTGTAGACAGATTGAGCATCGTCTTCTTGGTCGCCCCCCTCGTCCTCTTCGGAAGGTGGCTGTTCCAGTTCCGAGCCCTCGTCCACTTGGTACCCGTCGTCGTCGCGAGTCTCGTCTTGAACTTGCAGGGGCGCAGGTTGTGTCTCGTCTTCACCCTGACCGGGGCCTCGCACTGTCTGTCCTGCTTCGCCTTGGGCTACCGTCTCATGAGGCTGCGGTGGCCATTGGAATTCCCAGTCGCTCCTGATCTTGTCTGACAGGTAACGCTTGACAGCTTCCTTCTGCTTCGCCTTGTCCTTGCTCAAGAGGTCTGCATATTCGGTGGCGACCCAGTCTGGGGCCGCGGTGGGTAGATGAGCCGAGCCCTGGTTGTGGTGATGGCGCAGCTTGGATAGTGGAGAGCGCGGGCTCTTGTAGAAGTCGGAGAAGATCATGACGGGCGACGTGACGGGCTGCGAATGAGCAACGGCAGCGTCCCCGACTGCAAGGATTTGCGGCTGCTGGGAGATGTCTGCGGTGTCGTGGAGGGCGGGTGCTACGACGACTGAGCAAAAGACATTAGTATGCTTTCAGGCACAGGCGAAGCGTGGGACAGTCGCATACAAGAGGGGGGTTGAGAGATTTGCGAGCGGCGGAAGAAGACGATGATATTGTGAAACAGCGACGAGCCAGAATAGAGGGACGAAGCACGAAAGGGCGAGACGTCTGCTAAGAAATCGCTATGCGGCTGTGAAAAGTCGTCGACGCAAAGCGCCCATGGCCAAGTCTGGAGCTCGTGGCCCTCGTCTCGTCAGCTCGATGCAGTGCTCGGGCGCCTATAGGCAGGCGCCTTTGCACTTGCAGGCAGAGCAGGCCAGGCTAGCTGAGGGAGGCGAGGCCGAAGCGGGGAACTGAGGAGTGTCGACGAGATGGGGGTGAAGGAAGGGGGGTAAGCGGCAACGGAGGTGAGTACGGTAATTGAGATGAGGGAACCGCTGTGTGACGCAGTGAAATAATGTAGTAGCTTGGAGGAGGAGGGTGCAACGCGACGCATAAGTACTGGACGAGAAGAGGGTTCGAGAGAGAGGGTTGGAGAAAGAGGGTTGGAGAGAGATCGGGGTTTGCAGGGATTCTCAGTCATCGGTCTGCCTGGCAGCCTGGCTCTTGAACCTGCAGAGGGGGAATGCTGCAAAGAGACGAAAGAGCGCGACGAGACAAAAATAGCCCGGGCTGGTACGCCCGATAGGCACAGGCATGCTTACCTGCACTGCTGTTCTGGACCGCATGTCGGCGTGCGACGACGATGGCTGGGCTACACTCGCCGCCGTTGTTGGGGGTGGCGCCCGCGACGGAAATTGGCGCTCTCGTCCCGCCCAAGGTGGCCAGTGCTGCGACGGTGCTGCTGCTCGCGCCGCCGCCTCTCCCGGCGGCGGCGACTGGCGGCGACATGGCCAACGCGAATAGGTACCCAAGACAGTGCGTCTTGAGGGTTGAGGGAGCGAAGCGTGGATGCTGCACGGCAACCGGGTGCTCTGTGGGCCGATTTTTTCGCGTGCCGCAGAGGTCAAATGATTCCGACTGATTGGCTCGGGCTAACTATGCCCTGGGCTGAGCTGGGAGCGAGACTAATTACTCCGTATCCGTACCTACGGCGGCTTGACCCGCTCGCTGACCACGGACTGAGGAGTGGAGACAGAATGGGGCGGGCGGTTCAGCTTATTCAATCTCAGCCGCAAGTGAAGCCTCTCGGAGAGAGCGCTGCAGCTGGCGGATGAGTGTGTCGAGGGCGAGGTGAGCGAGGTCAACGACGGTGCGCAGACGCCCTGTACAGGAGAACAGTGCACAGTGCAGCTTACGGTGTCGAGTACTACCTACCTAGGTGCCTTGAGGAACGAAAAGGCTCTTCTGGACGCGAAAAAAACCCCAAAAACCCCCAAACCTACTTTACCCTCGAAACCCTTGGCTTCTGATTGGAGAACCCATCTTGGCTGCTGATTGGAGAGCTTTTAAATCCCGGCTTCCCTTTGGTCGCTTAATGATTACTTACCCTTTTCGTCCTAGCCCTTTTGTTTCGCCTTCCGGCGCAGTTCGCCCTCTCCGGTCCTGCCAGCGACCTAACCTCGCGACTAGGACTCAGCTCCTCGTGAAACCGGTTTTTGGCCTTTTCCGACCAAACCCTCTCCCGCACCCCTGACACGAGCATGGTGCCGTCCAGCGCCCTGCGCCCGGCATCGCGATAGCTACACGTCCAGGCCCGTGCCTTTAGAGTCCAGGGAATCAACGTCTAGCCATCCCGAGGCCTCGCGGACAGTCTTGTCGCTCAGCTGGCCCAGCCTCGCTTCTGCGTCTGTCATCTCGTCTGGCACCTTGTTGCCCACCAGGTCCCTCTCCCGCAATTTCGAGACCAGCATAATGCCGTCCAGCGTCGGGCAGCGAGACAGCTGCACGTACAGGCTGTACGGGTCGCACTGCGAGGACACGGCGCGTCCGTCGATGTTTGACGTCCGCGTTCCCCGCAGCTCCAGAGCTACACGCTCGAGCGTCCTGCCCTGCACTTTATAGTCTGTGCACGCGAAGGCTGCCGTACAGGGCAGGCCCTTTCGGCTGACGTCGTTCTGCTGCCACGGCCTCTTTCGCTGGCACTGTATTTTGACCGTCATGGGCGTCAACAGGACCGTGCCTGGCGGCATCCCGACGAAGTGAACGTCGTTCGTCGTCTCCGACTCCAGCATTATCCCCGCCGGCGGCCCGAAATGGACCGTCGTGTCTGCCGTGATACGATGCCCCGGGTACGACTTGTCGAGGACGACCTCCAGCGCCGTGTAGCCGGCGCCGTTCACCAGCTTTAGCCCCTGATGGGTGTTATGGTTCACGACGACCGGCATCCCCGGCACGAACATGAAGACGGCCGGCACCGGGATCGCGCTGTCGTCGCCCTGGTTCAGCATCATGATGGCCTCTTCCTCCGTCGGCAGGGCCTCCTTCCACGTATGATCCGAGATGAAGATGCGCATCACTGACCGCTGCTGGGCCCGGAACGCCAAGCTGGCCTCCATGTTGAGGTTCCACCGGTTCCTGTTCAGCGGCGTCACCACGGTGATGCACGTCTCCCACGGATCCGCCTGCCTTCCCGGTAGCATCTTGAGTTGAGGAGGTCCAGATCCGAGCGGTCCTGCACGCCCAGTCGAATCCGCCTTAGCAGCCTCTGCAATTCCGGATCTCCCGCGGCGCGCACCTGCTCGTCCAGCATGACCGTGGTCGTGAATCTCTTCCACAACGCGTGCGCCTTGTCGTGCTGGTGCCGTGTCTCGGCCTTGAAGGAGCTGTCTACGTCCCACGAGACGGCGGTGCTGGGGAGGAGGATCGAGCGTTCTTGGACGGGGCGGAATTGGTGGAAGTCTCCGCAGAAGAGGACGATCGGAATACCTCCAAAATCCTGGTGCGACCCGCGCAGCCGGCAGAGCTGCTCGTTCACCGCGTGTAGCGTCCGCGCCCCGAGCATGCTCACCTCGTCGATGACGAGCACGTCCTTTCCCTGCCAGTCCATCCGGGATTGCCCGTCGACGAACCGCTCCGCCTGTTTCGGCAGTCGCACCCCGTCGAGATCCTTGGCCGCGTTTGCGGCTGCCGCGAGATCTTTCGAGAACCCGCAGGCGGAGTGGATCGTAATGCCGTTGATCCGCGCTGCTGCCGTCCCCGACGTCGCCGTTATCATCAGACGATTCGATTGATCCTTGACGCGAAGAGCTCGACGAGCGCCTCGATGACTCGTGACTTGCCCGTTCCGCCCTCTCCACCGACGAACTGGCACAGCTGGCGTACGTTGCTTTTCTCCCCGCGCCGTATCAGGTCAAGCTGGCGGCATATAATTAGGAAGGCGATCGCCTGCTTCTTGTTTAGCGTGAGCCGCGCTGCCAGGGCCTTGCCCGCCTCGAGGAAGGAGGTTGAGGCACCGAACCGGATCTCCATTCCCGCGCTGGCCCCCGCTACTCCTTCCTCGAGCTCCGCTGCCGTCATCTGGACGTCGTCATCCCCGAAACCCGTGAGCACGCCCCGCACCGCCGCGCGGCGACCAGTCACCGGTGCCGTGGACAGGCTTTGTATGCCCCGTATCATCTTCTCCCTCTCCCTGGATGCGCGGATTTGCTGCGACTTTATGGCCCTAACCTCACTTTGCGGCGGTATGGTGGCTCCGGAGAATGCCCGCCCCGGGATGTTGATTCGTCTTGGGCCCCGTTCGGGTAGTATTGTGGCCTGGACCTCGGAAGAAGAGGACAGCGCCGATTGCTGAAATCGGCTGAGCTCCTGCATCATCGCCGTGAGCTCCGGCGAGCCGGCCGTGATTTGGTTCGGCCCGATCGAGCTTCTGACAACGTCGATTAGGCGATTCGTGCTTCCCGCACTGTCGGCCTGGTATCCCGATCCGGGCTCGACACCCACCTCCCCGGTGCCGTCCTCGTCCGGACGTACTGCCGTGGGGTCGCCGTCACCGGACGAGGCCGCCCACTGCCGTGCGTCCCGCTTTGCATCTTCGGCCGACCGTCGCAGCAACTGCACGTTATCGACGAAACATGATATCCTCGGGCCAGGGCTGCTCGTTGCCGCCCCCATATGCAGTTGATGTCGCCCTTTCTTCGTCTAAGAAAGACTCCCACGGCACGAACAGCGCAAGATGCTGCACAGCCGCTCTTCGCCATGGAAATTAGCCTTCGACCCGGCGCCTCCGGCCCGTCGACGACAAACGCACCTTCGGTAGCACGACCCTTCGTCGTCTTCGTCGAAATCCTTGCTCAAATACCCGTCGAGGCAGACCGTGGCCTGCTTGCCCGGTCGCCTGAGCACCTGCGCCCAACGGCCTCCCGGAGCCCAGCCGCTCTCGAACGGGACCTCCCCCCAGCCGGCGGGCCCCTCGTCCCTTTCGTTGCGCTTCAGCCTGACCAGCGAAACGTAGTCGTAGAGACACAGCCCTCGAAGGACGTCTCCCGATGACGGTATGCCTCGACACGGCAAATCCTCTGGCCTGCTTCTTCGACGAGTATTGACTCGTCCACAGAGCCATCTGCAACGGCTGCGCCGCTTTCTCGTCGAAGGTGCGGCCATTGTCGGAAGACTTGCCAGTAGAGCAACGATACGTTCAGGAACGCCCAAGCACTGCCATTCGTCAGTTCAGTCGCGCATCCCAGGAGGTCCGCGACGACCTCGACCTGCGATAACGGCCTCTCCGTAAACACGCGATTCGCCACCTTCATCAGGAACTGCCGTGTCTTATTCTGCCTGCCATCGTCACCGGCACCACTGTCTCCACGAACCTCCGCGCCGTCGGCCATTCCGTCACCTGCCCTGGGAGGCAAGAGATCCGCGGCGGCGGCGACGCGCTTCCATACAGGGTCCTCCACCTTGGTCGCATAGTTTGTGACGTAAAGATGAGGGCCATCGTCTTACGCTGTGTGACGATGAAAGATATGTCATGGTTGTGGCGAAGCCCACGGCAATGGCCTTGTTCCACCGATTCACCATGCTGTGCGACCTCCGAATCCGCAGCACGCCGTCTCCCGTGAAGGCCGTCTCGTCGACCAGTCCCCACGGCGCCTTGAAACGACATAAATCGCCCTTGCGCCCCCTTGCCCAGCGAGTACTTGACGCAGGTCGGGCTGTGGGTATGGATCTGCGTCGCGCCGGCACAGAAGTTCGCTTCCTCGTCGAACGAGGCTGAAAATTGCCGTTCGTCGCCCAGAAATTGCGATATATCTGACGTCACCGATCGCTCGGCCTGCATTGCGCAGAAGCCTTCCTGGTCCAGATCCTGTCTTGTTCGTCAGCTTTCTCGGCTTTGACAGACGGAGGACGCAGGTCAACACGCCGGCCCCCGCTCATACCTCGGAAAAGACACTGTCGACGTATCTGACGATGCGTTCTCGGTATGCCGCTTGATCCTCGCCGTCGATATCGGCAAGCATCGAGCTTAGATGCACGTTGCCCTGCAGCCAGAGCAGTCCGTGAACATGGAGCGCTCCACGCTCGTTGGTCTCGACGGCACCGTAATAGTGGCTGATGCGCCCGAACACCGACTCCTCGCCCACTCTCACGTAATGTTCGAAGAACAACGTCATTTCTCGGTGGAAGAATTCGGCCGAGCTTAACGGGTCCGAGATGGCCAGCCGCGCACGTTTGAACGCCTTGTCGAGGCCTTGCAGGAATGCCTCGGCCGCTGCGGGATCACGTGTGCGGTATGCCGCCAGTCTCAGCTTCACCGGGTTCGTGATGTCGTTCGGGTTGAGCGTGAACCAGATTGCAGGCACGCCACGACATAAGATGAGTGACTGGATCTTGCGCCGCATGCTCAGACGGAGCTCCCTCGACATGGGCTGCCGATAGCCGTACAGCGAAAGGCATCTTAGAAGCTCCTTGACGCCATCGTCGGTAGTCTTGCCCGACGTCTCCAGCTCCGCCCTGGCGGCCGCTAACCTATCCGCTGTCAGCGACCGTACGATGCGCTCCACCTCGGCGAAGTTCTTCCGCGTCGCGCTGAGCATGCTGACCCGACGATTCTTCGACCGCACATCCATATTGAAAACGAGAAACGAGAAGATGGTATGCGTCGCGAATCGGCCACCATGGCGCCGCAGCACAATGCCGGCCCAGGTCCGAAGGCTTATGTTCCGAGACGACAGAAGATCTCGCGCCGCCGTCTCTTCTCCAGCAGCCGTACCTCGCCAATTGACCGGCCCTCGGGTCCTAAGATGACTTCCTCCGCGAGCCGTGGTCCTCCAAATCCGAACGGCAGTAGGGTGGGAAAGGTCTTGGCGAAGAACGAGGCGTCGAGCGAGTCGGCGAATTCGTCTCCGCGACAAACGTGGATGTATGGCTCGCGGACATCCGTGCCTTCTTGACCCGCCTCCGCCGACCTTATCCATGCCCTCGGCCCTTGCGGTCGTTCTCGGCCCCATCGCCACCCACGGCATTGCACGCAAAGCGGAGCTTCTCTGCGTCCGACACTTCCGGCGGTCCGTCCAATGCAAACATGCCGGAAGAGGTGATCTCGTTGATCGTTTTGGCTCTGTCATCGGGCTCAGCATCGTCAGTCCCGTCCGCTCCACTCCTCGGATTCTCGACTCCCCTGTCCAATACGTCTTGTCCTTGGAGGAGCTGGGCGAGGACTCCTTCGATCTCCGCCGGACTATCGTCGTCCATGGCCCGCTCTGCGGGCGGCACGACCTGCGCCGTTCGCGTCTTCTCCCACGCAGACGGCTCGTTCCGCTCCATGCGGTCGTAGACCACCCGCGGCACACCGTGTGATGGTGTTCCCCAGCTATCCATTTCCGCCCTATCAATCTCAATATCGGCGTAATGGGGGTTATTCTTCTTCAACCAGATAAGCGCTCTCTCGACGACTTGACGCCTCACCGACAAGAGACCCGATAAGTCGCACGGTGCTGGCTTCTCCGCGCCCTGCCACGAGACGTGGATCTCGTCCATTGTTTGCCAGAGCGGGTGCGGGAGCACCCTTCTCGCCAGCTCCTGCACGTTGTTTGGAAACACCGTGATGTGGCCCTTGACATGTCTCGGATACCTCACTGCCTGCGTCTGCCCGCCCGGAATGTTATACCTCGTCACAAAGCCGTAACACGAGTTCAACGAGATGAGCTTCTCTTCGACCGGCGTCAGCCCCTTCAGCTCGTCGGGGAACATGTGCTCGCATCCGAGGCGACTGTGAAGGTGGACCGCCGACGACAGGCTCCCGCGCCCCAAGCATCGGGCACACTCCACACAAACCGAGACGGGCTCACCCCGGAAAGCAGCTTCGGCACGCAAATGGTGAGCGCTCACCCCGAGGAACGGGACTTGATAGCCACTGATCCCACGGAATCTCCTCAACTCCTTCCTTGTACGCTTGCGGTAACACAGCCTGCAGGTCATTATCGGCAAGGTGCTCACATCGTGGAACGCCCGATAAAACTTTCGCACCGTCGATACCTTCCTCTCATGCGGTATTGGTGTGCACCAGGTTTGCTCCTTAGACAGCCTTTCCTTCGCGACGAATTCCCCTTCGAGGTAAAGCAAGACACTGGCCAAATCCTCTGCCTGCAGCTCACTCCTCCTCTGCCTCGGATGGCTTCCTCGAGTACGTTTCGTCGGGGTCTGGTCTCGGTCACGCTGGCGGTTCCTCTTTCTCTGTTCTACGGCCTGCGAGGATCTTTCCGCTGCCTCGTCTCGCCACGGCCGATCTTGTTCTCCCGCCGCCGCCTGGCGTGATGGCCGTGGTGGCAACCATCCGGATGACTGCGTATCTCCTGCCCTGCCTTGCATCTCTCTTTGGGTTGGCTGAACGAGGGCTCCTGACGACTCCAGACGACATCGTGACAGCGGTTGCCGGCCAATCCTGTCCCGCCTGGCATCCGGATGACTGTATATCTCCCGCTCTATCTTCTATTGCTCTAGGTTGGATTGGCCGAATGAGGCGCTCCTGACGGCTGTAGACGAAATCCCGACACTGTTTGCCGGCCGACCCTGTCCTTTCTGGCGTGATGGCGGCGGTGGCCACCGTCCGGATGACTGCGTATCTCCTGCGCCATCATCCATCTCTTGAGGTCGGATTGGCCGAACCAGAAGCTCCTGACGACTCTAGGCGAGTTCCCGACAGGGCTTGCCGGCCGATCCTGTCCTCCTGGGCGGCTTGGGTGTCCCATTGGCCCTGTCCGCGCACCACGGCTTCGCCTTCCAGACGTGCCCCTCTGGACGCCCTCCACGAGCCCTCCTTCGAGGAGGAACTATCGACGTTAGTCGTCCTTTCCGCGGCCAGCCGCCTCGCCGACTTCCCTTGGGCAACGCTCTTTGAGTGCCTCTGCCTGCTCTCTTCGTGAGGCATCGTCGGCCGCCGCGGCCGGCTTGGCCTCAATAGGCCGGAACCTGGGTGCCGCGTTTCGACTTTTGTGGCCCGACGCCCGCTTCGGCCCTTCGTCCATTGCGATCGGTCTCGCCGCCGCGATACTCCTCGTCGCAGCAGCGGCCGCTGCTGCTGTCCCCGTTTCGCACTCTCCTGCCACCGATCTTACCTCGCGGCTACGATTCTCCCCCATGCTGGTGCTGTCTTATCGGCAAGGCTCCGCAAACGAACGATAGATTAGGAAGCCTTCGCCCGGGATATACCCGAGATTGTCTCGCTTCCTGGCAATGGCGTTCCGCCGCGTTGGCATTCTTCTTGCTAACGGTTATATCCTTCCTTGTTAATATCCCCTTTCTGCATTAGACCTCTCCTCTCGGACCTGCCGGGCTTCCTTTGTACCTATCGACAGGCCTATCTGCCGACAGCCCTAGTTTTCGCCATCCTATGCCGGTAGCCCTGCCGGACACTTTAATCCGCGTCGCCCTTGCTGCCCGATCAGTACCCAGCTCCGCAACACCACGACGCATCTCTTTGACGTCTGCTTACTTACAGCGGCAAGGCTCCTCGCTCTTCCCGGCGAATCCATACCACTATTGATCTACTATAAGTGCGTCTACGCTCGACTTCTTCCCTACTCCTTTCTTGACGCTGAGAACCCGTCCTTTAGTGCGTGCAAGTGGCCTATCGACCTGCGCAGATGCACTATGTCTTCCTCTCTACTTCGTACCGATATGCCCGCACCGCACCTTCGAAAGCCGCTCGATAGCCAAAGGGGCGCTGGCGGTGAGATGTCTATGATGTCTTTTGTCCAGCCGGACTGTCCTGCTAGATTTTCCCACCAGGACGACCACCGCATCAGGGTCTTAACGCCGAGGCCATGGCCCGCGTCTTCCTGCCTCCTCCCGCCTGGCTGCTCGCGACGGAATATGCGCCCTCCGATCGGATGCCGATGATTCCCGACATCCGTCTTTTTAGCCTCAACCTCTCCATCTACGGCCAGCCTATTGATCCCTCCGACTGGACCGAAGAGTGGTTTTTCATGCATGCCCGCGTCCACCCCTACGCGCTCGCATGGGAGGTTGAGCAACGCGACGGCCTCGAGTCTGACACGGGCCGCACCTTTCTCTATACGATGCCCGCCCTTGTCGTCCGCGATCAGGGCTACCAGCCGTAAGCCGTGCCCTGACCCTTCGCGAGTGCCGACGAAACGGTATATGGCTAAGATGGGCTTGAAGTGTTCTCCTAGGCTCTTTGCCTCCATGGGCGACTTCCCCTGCATCCCGCCTATTGTTTCCTTTACCGGCCTTATCGTCGGCACCGGCCACTCCTCGCTGCGGCGGGACCTACTGCCCGGTCCAGGCGCCGCCCAACTTAACTGTTGCGGATTTGTCCGCCTTTCTACCTATGTCGCTCCTGGGATGCCTAATAAGGTCCCCTTCAAGGGCTTCCACCCGTTCCAGGTCTTCGTTATCTTCCTGTTCGCGCTAACCCTGGGCCATCTTGTGTAGGAAGATGGCCGAGAGGCAGGACTCTCAATTTCAGCCTAACGTCCCCTTTACCTGCACAGGCAAGGTCGCTGGCCTGCTCCGTCATGATGTCATGCTCTACCCCCGGCTCGGACCGGGACAACGTCTTTATCGTCGTCCCGGATTCCTGGACTTTCTCGACAAGGCCGCCGCCGCCGTCACCACGATGGCACCGCTTCTCTCTACGCCACAGAGGCAACAAGCTTCCTCCGCTTCCGCGGCCTTCCGGGACGTGCGCGCTGCCTCTTTGTCTTTGATCACCCCTGGCACCCTCCCGCTCAGTCCTCCACCCTTGGCTTCGGCTTCGCCCTCGACCGGCCACCTTACGCCGCCCGGGAAACGATATTGCCCTGAGCCTGCCGATACGCCGACGAAGCGACCGTGTCTGCTGCATAAGGCCCCGGTGATCTCGTCTTCCCTAAGCCCGCCTCCTCTGCTACCCACTCGTTCTCTGTTTCGGCTGCCTCCGCCGCTCATGAGCCGGACAACCTAAGCCGGGTCCTGACTTACGGACTCTTCCTCGATTCCATTGTCGCCCATGGCTTGGGCTCGCCGGCCCGTCCGCTTCGAAACCGCCACCTATCTAAGAAAGCTACGGAAATGGAATAGCGTACGCTGCTATAACTCCTTAAATGGGAAGTGTTTTTCGTCCAGCCTGGCTGCCCCTTGGTCGTCGTTACCTTTCTGCCTCTGTACATCTGTCTGCCCCTTGTCTAGACGTTTTTTTCGTTCCTCAAGGCTCTTTGCGCAACCCTGTTGGGTTGCCTCTCCCGTACCTTGCAAAGTAGGTACCGACAGCACATGCTACTAGGTAGGTAGGTAGTTAATACCACTTATCTGTACGGAGTAAGGGCAGACATGGACCGCTGTGGCAGGCCAAGACTCCATCCACGCGCGTGCGGCCGAGACAAAAAGGCGAGGACAAGGCGATCCGATCAAAATTGAGGGGAAGTGGAGCCCTGTGCCGGGGTAACTTGCAGCGGTGGAGCCCTGCAGACAGTACTCCGTACACCTACGGCCGGTAAGGTGCCTAGGGGTAAGTAAAGGTACATAGAGGGCAGGCCAGGAAGCAGACTCGGGAGAGACAGCCAGTCATCTACTGTAAGTCTGTAGGTACGTAGGTAAGTAGTACCTAACAGTATTCCTGGTTTGCTGGCCGGCAAGCCGCCGCACCCGTGCCTGGCGGACGAGGGACAGTCATGCGGGCATCCTGCATCCCGGCTCGATCAAGTGCCGAAGCCGAACCCCCGCCCCCGACGACGCACAACCCTGGGCCATCATCCATCGCCACCGTCTTCGTCGGCAATTACTACGAAAACATCCCCTGATATATTGGATGCTCACGATGCAGGTAGGGCCCGGTTGGACTCTCCCTGCAATGTATACTGTACCTCCTGCTGGCAGTAGGGCCCCCTGTCCCCACCCATGATGCTCCTCGACATGTGCTGCTCTGTCCTTCCTTCCTCCCTCCCCCGTCATCCCCATCAAGGCAGTCACGGTGATACGGTAAAGCGGCGCGTTTTCAATCTTTTTTTTTCTGTCTGTACCCATTCTTATTTGACTTCATGTACCTCAGTGGCAAGCAATTTGTCCCCTCGCTTCCTCAGCCTCGATCCTCTCCCCGATCCTCTCCTCGACGGTCAAGCAAAACGCATCATCGCTAGCCTCCCTTCGTGACCACCTGTTCGCAATTCAACCACGAAACCATCGAGTCCTCGCTCATGCCGCCTGGCCGACCTCTCGTCTCGAAGCATCTTCTGGCTTCTCCCTCGCCCCTTGAAAAAACGCACACCCTATCACGCTTCTCATCGCCCACCGCTGCATCTCCTCGGCCCTTAACCATACCCGAGGCTTCTTCAATGATGCTTAGCCCGGCCGCCTGAAAGAGCCTGCGCATTGTTGCAAGTATACTTCGCTGCAGTGCGGGCAATAGCCTGCTCGAGGCTTGCGTCCGTCAGGATGCGGGCGAAGCCGTCCGAGCAGCGATAAGAAGTCATGCTATTGCCCCGAAAGGATCTAATGTAAGTATCCCCGGTGAGTGTGTAGTGGGCTGGTTTGTTCCTTTTGGGAGCGTTTCCCACATTGGTCACCGGTTCGCAGGCGTCCTTGCTCGCTGATACGCGACGTGGCTCTTCCTCCTCGCCCGACACCTTGCGCTTGCCCCGCATCTCGAGATCGCCCTCGTTTTGTGCGGTGCTGCTCTGAACATTAGGATTGATGGCCTTGGGAAGAGTTTTTTTTCCCGCGGGCCCGGGCTTGCCGTGGGAGCGCGAGACCTGTGCCTGTGGCGTGGGAAGATTAGGTCGGACAGGTGCTAGCTGGAAGTTCCCCTGGACATTCGCCTGCAAGTCTGGCTGAAAGTTCGGCTGGAAGTTGGCCAGGAATTCCGCCTGCAAGTCTGGCTGGAAGTTCGGCTGGAAATTGGCCTGGAAATTCACCTGGAAATTCGCCTGGTGCGAGAGCTGGTTGTTGTTGAACCCGAAAGCTTCCACTGGCATCCCGGAATTCTGCATCTGGTTCGCTGACTGCAAATTCGTCTGGTGCGAGGGCTGATTGATCATGCCGAAGCCAGAATCCCCAACTGGCATCCCCGCATTTTGCATCCAAGGCGCCGACAGAGAGTTTGTCGGGAGCGGTGGTTGATTCATCCAGTTGAAATCGAAATCTCCCGCATTCTGCAACGGTTGCGCCAACTGGAGGAGGCCCGTCTGATGGGAGGTGTGATTGGTTGAGTCGAAGCCGCAGGCGCCAACTGGCATTCCCGCATTCTGCATCAAAGGCATTGACTGGGACTCCTGGGAAGTTATCTGACGCCAAGCTGGGTTGAAAACGTCGAATGCTGGCATTGCAGCCTTTTGCATCATCTCAAATTGCTCAGAGCCTCGGTTCGCGAACTCAAGGTTCGTCTCGACGTGGTTTGGAGCACGAGGCTGATTGACCTTGGGAGCCCTCTTGACCTGCTTTGGCACACGAGGCTGCTTGACCTTGGGAGCCCTCTTGACCTGTTTTGGCGCACGAGGCTGACCGGCCTTGAGAGCCTCCTTGACCTGCTTTGGCGCACGGGGCTGGATGTCCTTGGGAGCCTCCTTGGTTTGGTTTGAAGCACAAGGCTGAATGTTCCTGGGAGCCTCCTTGATCTGGTTCGGAGCACGGGGCTGAATGTCCTTGAGACCCTCCTTGACCTGGTTTGCAGCACGAGGCTGAATGCCCTGGAGGCCCATCTCGACGTCATCTGGGACAAGAGGCACATTGGCCTCTGAGCTCATCTCGGCATGAGGTTCATTGTCAAGTTCAGACAAGGCACGCTCGGAGAGTTTCTTTTCATCCGAGGTCTGTCCAGTCACTTCCTCGGGGCCGAGAGTATCAGCCGAGGTGTTGTCCACGGCGTCGTCCACGGCGTTGTTTGTGGTGTTGTCCGTGGCTGTGACCTGGGAATCTTCAGGCTTGGGCGGCCCGAAATGGTTGTCCATGTGGTCAAATGCGTCAAAGTCGACGAACTCAAGGAGCCAGTGCTCGTTCATATCCTGCAAGGCATCGGGAGGCATCTCTTCCCCGTTCATGATGGCGGTCTGCCAACGAGCAGCAATGAATGGTTTCGCTGGTCGCGGCAAGGAGAGTTTGAAGGATGACTCCTCGGTGATTGATGAGTGCCGGGGCGTTGTGCTTGACGCTTGCCGACTGCTTGACAAGGCAAGGAAGAGTAGAAGGGGTGGAGCAAGTGCGTGCAAAGGGGCTCTGAGGTTGTGGGAAACTGAGGTTGAACTGAAGACTTTCAAAAGAAGAGAGGTTGTGGGAAGGAGGTTGGGGGAGAGCCGAGCCCGCGTCCAAGGACACGAATAAGTAGGTTGAGGAAAAAGCCAATACTGACTTTCGCATACGCGAGGCGGTGCTTCTCCGTGTCAGTCACCGGATCCATGTATCGAGCTTGTCGGCGCGCAACTCGGAGACGCCTCTGGCAACTCACAGCTCGCTCTACAGGGCCCCGACTCGAACGCCGAGACCGTCTACGGAATGTCCTCCACGCAGGCGCTTACCCAGACATCTTGCCATCTTCCTGGGGGGACGAGGTTGGCTCGCCAAGTTGCGGACCGTGGCCTCAACCTGCGCGATGGAGAAATGGGTGTACATGGCCCAGAGAGTCTCTCTGCCTAAAGTAGCGGGAAAGCCTGGTTGCCGTCCCAACCCACCACCGACGCAAAGCGCAAAGGCATTCGGGGCCCTGCACTGTCAGTACACTGGAACTGGAGGGGGCCCCAGTGGTCACATGGAGACGAGCAGGAGGTCACCCTCGCCGACTTCGGGTTCATTGGCTGAAATCTGGGTTGATTTCGACTGCCGTGCCTGGGGGGCTTGCCGAAGCCTGAAGCCTCTTTGACGCGCGACCATGACGGGGCCAGACGCGTCTCCAAAGTTCAGTTAAGCGAGACGCGTTAAGTGCAATACGAACATGTCTCGTGGAAAGAAGACTTTTTCGTAAAAACTTGAATTGATGTAGTGGGAACGCTGCAAAGAAATATCCCCCTTGTCGCCGCGATGCCCCTAGGCAACCTCTTGCACCATTTTGCCCAGGCCCAGGCCGCCGCCCTTGGCGTAGACACTGCCCGCGGGCCCCGATAGCACTTCCTGGGGCACCGACACCCGGCTGCCGGCCTTGGTGTTGACCCAACGGACAAAGATGGGGCTGGGCCTGTGCTCGTCGTCGTCGGGCGTCGAGGCGCGCGCCCCGCCCTTGCGGTTCGTCTTAGGGGCCTGCTTCTTGAGCAGCTTGTTGATGGTTTCCATCTGGACGCAGGGCCGACCCGGCATTAGTCACAAGATTCATACGATGCACGCTAGCGACTTGCAAGGAAGGGCTGGTGGTTCTGGCCTCAGGGCACCTTCGAGAGGCCCCTTATAGAATAGAGAGACGACTTGCCTTGACTTCTTCGGTCCGCTTCTCGCTGAGGTTGCGTCGCCGGCGAGCCATTTCCTGCCGACGCATCGACAGCTCTTCGGCCGTAAAGTGCTTCTTAACCTGGACCTCTGTAACCAACCAGTCAAGTCAGCACAGGGACTCTGCAGTCGGACACTGAGCGGACTTACCATCCGATAGCTTCATGTACTCTTGAGGTTCCTCCTCGAAGCGGGCCCGCTGGCGCTTGGTCATCTTGGTTAGGTCGGGTGAGCCAGCCCTGCTGCCGTCGTCGCTGCCGGGGTCAGCCGCGTCCGCGTCTCCGTCCGCGTCCTCCTCTGCGGCCACTTCAATCTCCTCGCCCTCGGCATCTTCGTCGGCCTCCTCGTCGGCCATTGTCTCGTCTCCGAGGCCTAGCGTTTGGTCGCCCAGGTCGCTTTCACCAGGATCGCTGAGGTCGTCGTCGTCATCGTCGTCATCGTCGTCATCATCCTCCTCGGCAGCAATCTTAGAGGCAGCGGCCCTAGCAGCCGACCTCGATGTGGAGGGCTGGGAAACCCGGATGGTAGGTGCGGTGGGAGCCACGGAGGCATCCATGTCAATGTCACCTTCTGCGTCCTCGTCACCTTCGGCGTCGACATCGCCCTCTGCATCGACATCCATGTCCTCGCCTTCGGCGTCTTCATCACCAAGGTCGTCGTCGTCCTCCATGTCATCGTCATCGCCGTCGTCAATCTCGGCCTCGTCTTCTTCCTCCTCATCGTCGTCGGGGCTTGAATCTATCACGTAGTTTTTCCTACCTCCGCGGTTCCGGGTGCCCGTGACAATCTCACCACCGCCGAAGCGGTCGCTGCGACGGGCGGCGGCGGTGGCTCGCGCAGCCTGGCGCGACTTTGACGACGACGACGACAACGTCTTGACGTTGACGCTGATGTGCGAGTCGCTGGGCGAAGAAGGCGGGTCACGCAGAGCCGAGGGGCCGGGGGCGCGGCCCGATCTTCGCGAAGCCATAATGGTACGGTCGGTCTTGTCGCTGGCGTCAGCCCATTTGGCATGAACAGAGATGGACTCGCTCGCCCTTGTGGCGGCGGAACGGCGCGGTCGCGAAGCCATGGAAGAGACGGGAAGAGACGGAAAGAGACGGAACCCGCACTGGCAGGATCTCGTGGGGAGACAGGGGATTTGATGAGGCAATGAGGTGCAGCAGGGGTGGTATTTGCTGGGACGAGGTTGAGTTAAGCTCGGGGGCGCCTTTGGAGCACAGCTTCTCGAGGCGAGTTAATTGGTCGAGTGTTCCTGTGGATGTGGCACAACGGCAACGCACGTCTCTCGGCGTGCCCTCGCCCCCCTGCCTGCCCAGCCCGGCTTGCTGGACGAGCTCTTGAGCGTGTTCGGGTCCAGAGCGCCCATGCAGCGCTGACGGGAGCGCGGCGATGGCAGGCTGTACTCTGCAACGTGGCCCGGGCTACTACCTCGTCGTTTGCGATTGGAGAAGGGGAGGAGGAGCAGCCTGCCGGTCATGGCGCATACGTACATGGAGCACAGGAGGTAGGTAGGTAGGTAGGTATCGGGGGAAGACGGGAAATAAAATGGGACAAAACGAACGGCCCCAGGAGGGGGATTCACGTACCAGTTGGGCGTATCGCGAGTCACGCAACAGCGGGCAAAGGCCAATCCTGTCGAATGAGGCTCGCGGCTGAGTCGGACGCTCGGTGCCAAGAGCTTGCTCCAATTCGAGACGTGTTTCTGCATCAAACGACGACGACTTCGCTGCCGGTTTGCCCAGACAGAGCGCCCGTTTTCTTCAATCGCGCAATCGGACCGCCTCAGCCGCCTTATCAACCTCGGAACAGCCTGTCGACGGCAGATGCGGGATAGGACCGAGAGGGCGGGGCTCAAAGACGGCGACCGGCGATCCTGGCAGAGACAGACGAGAGATGCTGGCGACGTGTATCTTGGATGAGATGTGGCCACGGCATTGGTGATTGCCCCTTGCACTGCACGAGCGCCTCACGGAGCTTCACTTTGGCTCGTGTGCAACCTCTCCAATCAGAACGACCATGTCCCACTTTTCCACCACTCCGTACCGACTCCTTCGTACCGACTCCTTCGTACCGGGTACTTGGCACCATGTATTCGTCCGCCTGGTGATCGCAGCGTCTCTGGCACACGCCCAAGCCGGGACCTCGGACTTATGATACAAGGCTGAAAATGCAGCTGTTTTGGACTTGTCATATGTTAATGTCTGGACCATGTACTGTACATACGAGAGAAAAGACAAGTCACAGTGCCGTCATGCACCTCGATGCATCCACGGCCATCGGATCCGACGCTCGTCTCCGCATCCGCAGGTATGTACTCTGTACAGTAAGTTACTTCAGTCGTGGCAATTCACTCTGCCGAGGCCCGTCGCTGCCCTCCCGAACCTTAGCCGCCATCCCTCCAAACCTCCCACCACCCGCCTCTCGCGACCCTTTTCCACCGCGCCGGCCCAGAAGTCGGCCTCTATCATGTGAAACACTCCTCATCGTGGCCATGGGCGACTCGCAAGACAACCCGGCACCGGCCGGCATCCCCCCGTGGCAGCAGCGCAGCGAACAAGGCGACCAGGCCGCCGAGTTCCACGACCAGCTCGACGTTGCGCGCCGCTTCCTCGACGACGACGACGTTCGAACAGCCTCCCGCGACAAAAAGGCAGACTTTCTAAGATCAAAGGGCGTCCAGGACGGCGACATTGAGAAGCTCCTCGATAAGCCCCATGTCAAGCCCGAGCCAAGCGGCGAGGTCCGTCTCTCATCTCTCTACACTGCATCACTGCTGATGACCGCCTTTGCAGAAGCCCGTCGACAACGATGACGCTGCCGCCTCGCAGACAATCTCGCAACGCGAACCAGATACCACACAGCAGTCTCCCGCATTGTTAAGCGGTGGAAGCGATCACCCTCCCGTAGTCACGTACCCCGAATTCCTGGCCAAACCTCCCCGACCACCCCCCTTGGTCACCACAAATGGTCTCCTCACCACCCTCTACGCCTTCGCTGGCCTCTCCACCCTCCTCTACGGGGCGAGCAAATATCTAGTCGCCCCCATGGTCGAGAGCCTGACAGACGCCCGATCCGAGCTGCACGATACTGCGTCCCACAAGCTCCACGCCCTCGTCTCCAAACTCGAAAAGACCGTCTCCGAGATCCCCTCCACACCTCACCCGCCCCTGGCTGCAGACGACGCCAGCGAAGACGCCGAAGATCCCACCGAAATGTTCCACCGCGACGTCGGCACCCAGACGTCACTGCCCGAAAGCCCCGCCGCCGCGGCGCTGCTTCGCCCCGTCGCAAAGTCCGAGTCGGAACGCCAGGCCGACCGGCTTTCCGAGGCGGCAAAGTCGCTCTCCGGCCTCAAGGACCAGTTTCGTGCTCAGAGCGAGGATCTCGAGGACGTCCGGACCCTGCTGGACGTGTTCCGCGATAACCTCGACGGCATGACGTACAGCAGCCAGACCCAGTTTGTGGGCGGATACGACATGTACGGTACGGCTAAGAGGGCCGAGCCCCAGGACGAGATCCGCAGGGTCAGAGACAACATTAGGCTGGTCAAGGGCACGTTACTGAGCACGCGAAGCTTCCCTGCTTCCACCAGGTGACCGCCGTCGCACGGCGGGTGCTGGGCTGGACCTGGGGCTGGGCTTGGATACTGTGACGGATCCGCACAGTCTCAAGTGAACGCGCGGGTTTTTAGTACATAAATTCATAAGGACAGGTCAAGTCTTTACAAATCATCTGTAGACCATCCAGCTAGTCCCAACGTCCGACCTTGCTTGCCACCTACCCTTGATCCGGGACGTCCTTAGGGTCAGGGATCTTATGACGAGTAAAAGTCGCCTTCCAGGGTGAGACATCAAGATGGTGGAGGCCTTGTCCCTTTTGCACTTGTTCGTTGTACCACCTCATGGTTGGCTCAAAGGTAAACTCCGCCATCGAGTCTGACTTGCTCAGCTTCCGCATTCTCTCCGCCCAATTGTACAGCCTGTTCCGGCACTCGGAGCGCCGGGTTTCGCCATCCACGCGCGGCGGATGAAATATCATCGACTTCGGGCCTGCCACCTCGCTCCCTGGCGAGTCCACATCCATCGGACTTGGAGCCGTCGAATCTGCCGGTTTGCCCAGAGCCTGCCCTGGATGCACCACCTTCCAATTTCTCTCAGGTATCTTATTTTCTGGCGCGGGCACCAGATCCTTGATGTTGCGAGGAAGATTTGCCAGCCAGTTGAGGACAATGTCGAGTGGCTCCGAGAAGCGGTCTCCATCACAATCGGCCGTGGAGCCGCCGAGCCAAACCCGCTGGAGGGGGAGCTCAAATGTTGTTTGGCTCTCCTCCTGTATAAGCTTGATGAGCTCGCGTTGTGCGCAAATGAGGTCCTTCAGATGCACCGCCGAGTCTCCGGGATACTGAGCCCAGGCTTTGCAATCCCATATGAATAGCTCCGTGGCGCTCCACGGCCTCCAGTGCGGGTTCGTCGGACGCAAGATGGCGACCCATGGGCGACGAGTGGGCTTGACGCCCTGGGGATACATGGCGCGATCCCATGCGCCTTCGATCGTGTAGAAAAACCCGGCGTAGGAGTTGACGATGCCTCGCGATCCCCATCTGCTCTCCTCAACATTCATGTTCTCGGCGAAAACGGCAAGCCATCTCCTAAATGACTTGGACGCCGAAGTGTAATCTTTGAAGTGAAAGGCCATGTCCGGGTCCCAGTAAGAGACGGCGGATTTGAACAAGGCCAGCGGGCGGAACCCCTCGCTGCGAATCGCTTCCTCAACCTGATTTATGTAGTGGGCCAAAGTGACCCCGCTGTCGTTGTATACAACCTGCCACGCTGAGCCTTGATTCTGATGGATTGCGAGATCAGTTTGTTTTCCAGGTGCTGCTTGAGACGCCGTCGTGGCGGCTTCGTGGTAGTTTGGCAATGGGACACACACGGCCAGGCGAGACGGGTGTTGATTGCTGGAGCCGATGACAGAGAACTTTCGAAACTGGTCCATGTTGATGATGGCCCACCAGCCGAACCAGTTGACCAAGCTTTGCTCGTCGCTGCCATTTATAGTGTTGGGTGCAAACACAACAAGGCCATCATCCTCGTCGGTTGAATCTGCGACAAGACTTCTCAAGAGGCTCCACGTCTTGAACCCCATTTCAGCCGACCTCGGGCTCGATCCATGACGATGCATCTCCTCGTCGGTGCCTCTTCTCTCGTCGTTTTTGCGCCACGTTTCAAGGGCTAAGTGAAGTGTCCATTCTTCAATGTCAGAGAACACGACTAGCTTGCCTCGGCGATATGTTTGGCTGCTCCGTGAGTAGTTTTGCCAAAACCACTTGACGAATACGTAGGCCTGTTCTGGTTGCGACAGAAGGAAGCTCGGCGTCACCAGAAAAGCCGTTCCCGGGCGGAAAATAGGGGATAACTGTTTGCTGGCGCCGCTGCTCAGGCACAAGGAATCCCGGGATGGAGGCACGTGCGGCAGGGGATCTGCTCCCTTGAAGAGAAAAAACTTGAAGGTCCCGCTTGGAGCGCGAAGCAGGTTCGCAAAGTTTGGGAATAGGCGGACGGCCCAGATGGCATCTTCGTGCAGTATCAGGGTACCATGATCATACTTAAGGAAGCTTGACCAGCTGCCTGGATGCAAGCTGCTTTTGATGTTGCAGTCGGCGTCAAAGTAGCGCAACCACTGGGAAATAAGGTTTGTTTCCTGCCGAGCGGACGGAGGGAATGCAAGAAAGAAATTGTGTCTGTTTTCGCGTCGAGCGGACGGGGGCAGCAGCTGGTCATACTCGAGCTCGAAGAACATGTCGAAAACTGGCACATCTCGCATTGGGCCTGCCTCAGACCCAACTCGCGAGTTTGCGCAAGTCAAGGGAGCAAGCATGGACGGTTCAAGAAAGACGCTAGGCCTGATGACGGAGTAGTTGAGCAGGCAGCCGGGCGAGACGCCAGTGTCTTTCTTGGGTTCACAAGGCTCGCCTTCGCCTTCTGCCGGGAAGACGAAGACACAATATTCACCGTTGTGGCAGAGCAGGCCCAAGAGCCCAGACCTGAGTCGACGAGCAATTTTTTCAAATCTCTCTTCACCTGTCGCGTTGGAGATGAAGCCTCGACACAGATGCCTCTCTTGCAATTCAGTCTGTGTGCCGAAGTCCCGTGCTGTGCACGTATGGGTGAAGATCATTCGAGTCTGGTTGCTGAAATGCTGAAGCCACGGGAGACTCTGGTGGCCGGGCAACCCAGAGAATGTCAAAATCGTCAGATCTGCTTCTCCAGCGCCAATCTGGCATGGTATGGAAATTGACTGTGTCTCTGGGCCTTTTGGGCAACCGCTGGACTGCACTGTCTCTGCCGCCGCAAGAGACGAGTGACACGCTGTGTTTATGCCATCGTCAGTCTTGCCTCGAAGCAGAGGGTCTTGGCCGAAGAGCAGATCTTCCTCACGAGCATCCGAGACCTCCACGACGGTGACCGTGTCGTCCCAACGAACCGACCGCTTCCGTTTCTTCTTGTTCTCTACCGTTTGGTTTTCTGACGGATCGAGAGATTCAGTACCCGGCTGAGTCGGCACCGCATCAGCAGGCTTCGGGTTCTGGGGAAGATCAGTAGTCATCTCCAGGTCTGATGATTCACGATCATCCCAAAGGTCATCATCGTCATCGGCGTTGGCCACGGTGTCAAGCCCAAGGCCTGCGGTAGAATTCGAACGCACAAGGCTGGACGTACTGTTGCCTAAGGCAACGAGCCGATTCGGCGGAAGAGCGGGTGCAACAAGGCCCTCCCTGTCCCGAAGCCGCTTCTGCACAATGTTCTGGTGACGAAGCTTGAGCATCTTGGGCTCCTTGTTTATGTCTGACACGGCATCCAAGATGGTGCGTCTGTTTTTTCTGGGTTTTCCGCCGGCAAACACGTTGGCACCGGCATATGGGTCTCCAGAAGCTGGAGCTGGTTGTCTCGACTTGGCACCTGTTGTAGTCCGCACCAAGGTATGGGTTTTTTGTTGCTGCGTAGCAGTCGTGAGCGAGGGCGGGCTGAAAGGCTTCTCACGCGCGACACTTGGCCTGCGTGGCTGATTTATTGGCAGCGTCTGAGCCGCTGGTATTTGTTTGCCTGAGGAACCAGGCGGACGCGGAGCCGGCAGTCTTGAGCCTGTTGCACGAGACTGACTCTGCACAGCCGTGACATAATCTGCGCAAGCAGCAACGTTCGTCTCTGCCCCGTGAGAGCTGTCAGTGTGTGTTGATTCCTGCGGCTCATTCGCGCTTGCGTCATCGGCTGAGCTCGCACCTGGGGGAACGGTCATCTCATTATCAGGTTCCTCAAAGTCTTCGAGCGACTCCTCTATAACCTCCAGATAGTCCGCCCCAAAGTTTCGGAAGGCTGTCGGCTGTCGACCCTGTGAAATTCTTTTGGCATTGCGCGCCTCGTGTCGCGTACGCTTCAATGTGACCTCGTCATGAATGGCCTTCTTCCAATCGGCTATTTTGAAATCGGGCGCTGTTCTTCTGCCGCTTTCCTTTTTGAACTCTCCCCACTTGGAGAAAGTTCCGGGGTCGAAGTGTTCACGGGGCTCCCATGTTGCCTTTGACAGCGGATAGTCCTCCCATTCGACCAGATACATGGTCGCTCCACCGACCTGCCTCTCTGCAAGAATCCCGACAAAGTTGAAGATGTCGTCGGCTTCCTCGTTTTCCTCACTGGTGGACGTGACGGAGAAGCCGTCATCTTGGCCGTCCTTTTTGGACGCTTTTGCCGGTTCATTCATGGCGATCACTGAAAGCTGCGGCCTTGCAGGGCTCGCGTGCGTGGCGGCAACATGTATTGGGGGAACGCGTGAGAGGAGAGGCAGCTGGATGAGAACACTCTTCCTGCAAGGAAAACGAAAAAGAATTATCGGCTAGTTGGACTGTTCCGCGACTGGGAGTGTCCAATGCGAAGCTGTGCCACGCGTGTGCCGGAGGCGAGTCCCTCCGAATGTGCACTGGCGTGGTGAGCTGGCGTGCTGGAGGTTCAATTCCGGTCGCCGACGCGTTGTACAGAAGAGTGTCGAGGGCTTCGGTAGCTTAGCAGCAGGGAAAAGGAAGAAGAGAAGAGAAGAGGGTGGACGAGGAACAAGGCAGTCGGAGTGCTGTGCAGCTAATCGAACCAGGAACCTACCTGGTGTTTGTACAGTGTTTCAGTGACGGGGGGGACTGTGCAGAAAGTGAGTGCCCTGAGGAGGATACCCACCAGCCAGGTACGACTGATCACCCGGCAGCCGTTAAGTAGGTACCTAGGTATCTAGCTAGGAATACACAGTGTGACATAGGTAACTAGCTGTTCTGGCAGGTCATGTCGTCTCGCGCACCTGAGCGGGAATTCATGGAGCTGAACAGAAAGAAACTTATGCACTCTGTACACCGCACGCCTCCTTGGTAGGTGAGAATGAATTACAGGATACCGAATAGTAAGCTTAAATTTCCGCATCTCACATGCATACAAGTAACCAAGTAAAGACGGAAATCCGCCATGATGCTGAGGGAACGCGAGGTTGGCCTCGCTGATTACTAATTTCAGAACCGGTTCCGCTGCGCAACCCCTTGCCCTGGACCAGGTAGGTACGAAGCGACTTGCAGAGCATCCATTCGGCCAGCAACTGTGCCTACCTTAACCACTACCAGGCCAGCGGCACAGCCTCAGCAAAGGCATCCTTGCGATAGGTATCCATGAATCTGTCTGACCATCACCACTTCTCGAAATTACTACAGCAGGTGTCTTCGAGCCATCGATGGATCAAAAGGCGCCGGATCATGCCTTGGTGGATACCTTTTTGTTCGTAACCATGGCCGGAGGTCGGGAGGAAATGCTTAGCTAAGGCAGCAAGATACCCGCTACCTAGTCGGTACTTGGTCTCGCACCTGGATCCAACTCTGGTCTCCGTACCCTCCACATATTACCTGGCTTCGATACAACAACTCCCATGGCGATCTTCCCCTCCACATCCACACCCGCAACCGCATCCGCACTCACAACCACCCACATCGCCGCACTTCCTCTGCACCCCAACAGCTCAACCACTCCAGCACGCCACAGCAGTCGCGCCGCCCAAACTGCATACATCGCCATCATGGCCAACGACGAATACGATGTGCGCGACCCCCCCCATCAACTGTCCGGGCGAGTGCTAAATACAGGGGCTCTTGTGCCCTCGACAGTTCCTCTTCAAAGGTGCCGCGCCCCCTTGGCCATCAACCGTCGACTAGCCCCACGACGGGCGCATCCATGCTAACGCTCTTTTCCGCAGTCGTCCTGATCGGAGACTCTGGCGTCGGGAAGTCCAACCTTCTCAGCCGATTCACGCGAAACGAGTTCAACCTCGATTCGAAGTCGACCATCGGCGTCGAGTTTGCTACCAGGTCCATTCAGGTCGACCAAAAGACCATCAAGGCGCAGATCTGGGATACCGCCGGTCAGGAACGATACCGCGCCATCACGTCAGCCTACTACCGAGGCGCCGTCGGTGCCCTGCTCGTCTACGATATCAGCAAGCACCAAACATACGAAAACGTGACCCGGTGGCTCAAGGAGCTGCGTGACCACGCCGATGCCAATATTGTCATCATGCTGGTCGGGAACAAGAGCGATTTGAGGCACTTGCGGGCTGTGCCAACGGAGGAGGCCAAGTCGTTTGCCAGTACGGCACCTAGACGGCCGGTCAACTATCACACTTACTAACTCGTCTTCCAGGCAAGAACCACCTGTCCTTCATCGAGACCTCGGCCTTGGACGCCAGCAATGTTGAGCTCGCTTTCCAAAACATCCTAACGGGTAAGTCTGCGCCGCGGCCAGTGGTGCCGAGGAGGGGCAGACACTGACAAGGCCGCGTGTCCAGAAATCTACCGAATCGTGTCTAGCAAGGCCCTGGACAGCGGAGATGGCGCCCAGGCCACCGTTGGGCCTGGCACAAACATTTCCCTAAGCAAGCCTGCCGACGACGAGGCATCCAAGAGCGGCAAGTGCTGCTGAGCCGGCTTGACTACGAAGCGGTTCTTGCGTGGTTGCATGGGCTTGGGATAGATACCAGACGTCTCGCATGTACTCCGAATTGTACGTCACAAAAGGAGAGAATCGGCGCAGCGTCCAGAAGACGAGTGATTGTGATACGTCTTTGTTGATATTAGAAGGCGCGGGCACTTTCGACTTTCCTTTGTCCTTTGTCATGACCGGAGGGGTGGATGGAGCTGGTGCGCTACGAAACGATCCTGCTACGTAGCTGAATGAATCTTTTAATGATCGCGTGTCGTCGGTAAATGCCAGGAGGCCGCCGCCTCGAGGAAGCTTGGCTGCGCATCGTCTTGGGCGCGGTCGCTGTCGCGGGACATTCGCGCATCAGGTATCTCGTCATGCGCCTCGGGACACCGGAACATTGACTTATCCTCATGCGCTCAGAGTTTCACCCTCCTGGTCGTGGTGGGCGGCGCTCAGGGCATCCAAGCACCAAGGGAGGCGGCAGTACGAAGTACCGAAGTGTTTCAGTCCTGTAAAAGGTACTGTACAGTACGTCGTGCTGGAGCAGTGGAGCCTAATGAACCCAAGGAAACCTGCCTTAGTCAGCAACACGCATGAGACCTCCCAGCCAGCAGGACCCCTCCGGCTAGCGCAATGCAAAAAGCGCTTATCGATATGGCCCAGGGCAACCTCTGGCCCAAATTTTTTGAGCCTCCCGCTTTTTGCAAGCCACCTACAAACCGCCCATCATCAAGACGAGATATCGAGGCTCGAGTACTCATCAATCGCGAGGCAAACATGGCTGCCGTATACAAGTCTCTGTCCAAAAAGAGCTCCCTAAAGTCCGAAGCTCCAAGCAATGGCGTCAAGAAGAACAAGCAGCGAGTCTTGATCCTCTCCTCGCGAGGCGTCACTTACAGGTAAGTTTACGGACATGGACAAAGCAGTCTCCGCGACCGGCGTCTAACTGCAGTGCTGCTCCTAGGCATCGGCACCTCTTGAACGACATCGCATCCATGCTCCCGCATAGTCGCAAAGACGCCAAGTTCGATTCCAAGTCGAGGCTCAACGAACTCAACGAGCTAGCCGAGCTGTACAACTGCAATAACGTCTTGTTCTTCGAAGCGAGAAAGGGGAAGGACTTGTACGTATGGCTCAGCAAGATTCCGAATGGGCCAACGGTCAAGATGCATCTTCAGAACCGTAAGTGGCATCCAACTTGGTAGCCTTACACCGGGCTCACTCACCGACGTGCACTCTCTAGTACACACAATGGAGGAGTTGCATTTCACCGGAAACTGCCTGAAGGGCTCCCGACCAATACTCTCGTTCGACGCCGCTTTCGACAAGCAACCACACCTGCGCGTCATCAAGGAGCTGTTCTTACACACCTTCGGTGTCCCGCAAGGAGCACGTAAGTCTAAGCCCTTTGTCGACCACGTCATGGGCTTCAGCTTCGCCGATGGAAAGATCTGGGTGCGCAATTATCAGATCAGTGAACAAGAAGGGTCCAGTATCAAGCTTGGCCAAGACGACGCTGAGGCGCAAACCAAGAGCAACTCCAAATCGAGGTCGGCCGTCGGCGATACAGAAATCAACCTTGTCGAGATTGGCCCGCGCTTCGTGCTCACGCCGATTGTGATCCAGGAGGGATCGTTTGGCGGTCCCATCATTTATGAGAACCGCGAGTTCATATCGCCAAACCAGCTCAGGGCGGACCTGCGCAAGTCCAAGGCCTCGCGGCATAATGCACGGGCAGAGCAAACGGTGATGAGATTATCCAAGAAGGGAGACTTGGGATTGAGATCAAACGGGCGCAATCGGGTGGCAAACGACGAGCTGGACAACCAGTCGATCTTTGCTTAGGGTTTCATGGATATCGGGGTCGGCAACTGGAGTCATGGCAGAGGAGAGGTCGTGGTGTATGAGACGTCGGGCTGAGTCGACAGGGCCGCAGAGGCTGTTGCAATTTAATTCTGATTCGTCTCTGGAAATTTGGACTTCAAGTTCCTATCGTTCGATGTATCGAATCTCCGGTGCTGCTCCAACCGGGCTTCCCTCAAGTTGAGTGTTGGCGGTAATGCTGGAGCCCTCAGTCTGTTTCCGCAGTAGGCCCGCTGCACTTCTCTGCGGCTGATTTTAGCAGTCCTTGCCCGCCATTAGGTGATTAGGTCAGCAGCCAGCAAAAGATAAGTTAATCCGTCCGGGGCTCCCCGGACGCACTAAGCGGCAAATATCCGGATGTCGTCAAGGCCCCTTTCTAAGCGGCGCGCGTTCAGGACTTGACACGATTTCGTCACCTCGCCCACTCAAGCATGACGGCTGGAAGAGCGAAGCCCTCACTTCCCATCATGGAATGCACCATGTCATTGGGTACGATGTCATCGAACATCATCTACCATATTTTAAGCCCCAAGGCCGGGGTGGCAGGAAAATAAGCCTCCGGGCTCGACGCTTCCAGTGATTACCATCATTGAGAGGCAAGGACGGAGCTCCGTGCTCCAACATCACACCGAACTTCTCCGGGCCAGACTGGAAGCCGAACATCCTTTCGACCTCCCTCCGCCAAATTTGCCGTCGCTTCATTCAGCGGGGAACTTGACGCAGAGCATATCATCCCAGTACGCATCCACGATTGTACCGGTGATTTGGCCGGTATACAGAACATGCTCGGCACAAAATGTGTGTCGTCACAAAGACCTCTCTGCCATGACCTGCTAAACTAACTCGCGGAAGATTGATTTACTACCATATCTTGTGTGTTCCGTGAGCGACATCGCGCCCGGGCTTGCATTGGATCTGAGCGAGCGGCTGCCTTTCAACCCCCTACCTATCCTTACAACTTCCTTGATCAGCATCAGACATCCGCGTTGCACTACTCGGTCGCAAAATATTACATTGACCATTTGACCCCATTTCCGGCCCCCCACCCCCAGTCTTGTGATTCAGCATGGCGTCCCTGGCAGGAAGAACTGCCTGTTTCGCGGGCTTGCCCGTTGAGATACTCCTTGAAATTTACCAGGAACTGGACGTTGATTCCGTATTCGAGCTTTCATCCACCAACCAGTTTTTCTTAGGATTCTTCGAGCAAAGAAGGGCAGCCATCCTGCTTCCGGCTCTCGAGCGGGACTTTAGTCCTTTTGAGGAGCTACTCCAAGTTTACACGGCTTCAGAAAACGACATCGTTGCGCAAGAAGGGCTGTACAAGCCTCGCAGGGTCATCTTCAAGCGCTTTGTGGGAGATTCTGGGCTTGTGCTGGCTCATGCGTCGCAATCGCGACCTGTGCTCTCCGACGGCTTGCGCGACGAGTTTCTGTCCATTGTCAAAAGTAGGAAGCCGACTTCTTCCATAACCAACGCTCCAAACACGATCGTTTTGACGGAGCGTGACCTGGATCCTCTTTTGCAAATGTGTCGGCTTGTTCGAAAGTGGGAAGGCCTTTTCCCCCAAATGAGGTGGTTTCATCAGCCAGATATGTGTCGCTTCTTGCGGCCGCATGAACAGCTGAGGTTTCGAAGAGCCTTGTATCGGTGGTGGCTCTACGGCATTTACTTTCATGGCGAGTTCCCCAGGCCTCGCACGGGACATCCAGAGCCGCTCGTGGCCGACGTTCGCACAAGTCAAATGCGCTTTCACTGTACTGGGGAGCTTTTGGAATTGATGGATCTCCTAGAGACCATCAAGGACGTAATTTTGCAATACATATGTCCCCGGTTGGACCAGGATCAACATCAGGTCAGTGGCATTCTGGCAATCCTTGGAGACATGCTGACAGTGCCCCAAACAGGCCTTTGCCCCCCCACCTCTCGTTGCGGCCGTGGGCAGAAGCCAGTCGTTGGCTACTAGTTGGAACGACCAGAGTGTCTGGGGTCGCATCGTCAAGACATATGCGAAGCTCGGCCCGCAGGAGCTCCTCTACTACTTTGACAACATTTACAGCTACCCGCGGAACCGTCTCATCAAGGAAATCCGGCTTGAGCATCCGAGCTTTACGTTCGATCAAGAGTCGATTCAGGTGGCGATACGATGCGCGCTGGATGAGAGGCGCTGGCTGGACAATGCCCCGAGTCTGGCAGAGGACTGCGGAGGGGGCATTATCGACTTTGACGATGCGCGCGACGGCGAGCGGGTCGGCTTGCGAAACGATGCCAGCCCAGACGGATCGTTGCCCGCCGGGGCGACGTTTGTCCCAACGCTCTCAAGGTACTCTCCCCGTGGGGACGATGGGTCGTACCTGGAGAGCCATCAGCGGTTGACGGGGTTCGAGTCTCGTCATGCTGCATGGACTGCTGCAGTCTAGCTATTGCCGTCTTGGTTGGCTGGCTGGCCGTGAGTGACTGGTGGTTGGGACACGTCGGAAGAGGTGTAAGGTAAAAATCAAGGTAGCTCAAAGCGGTTAACTTTTTGGAAAGGACTTGAGTCCAACGTATAGCCTGATGTCGATGAAGCCGTCCTAAATCATGAATCCCTTTGGATCCTTGAGCTACTGCTTTCCATCTTTAATTAATACAAGCGGTCCTCGTAGGTACCTGCGGGCCCACTGCGTCCGGTACCAGCCCGAGGTACTCGTACCCCAACGCATTTTTGGCTGGTGTGGCCAGTTGGCGGCGGCCAGCGAGCCGTTCAGTGGAAGGGTCCAGGTTATTAGGGCAGTCGTAGGCCTGTAGTACTGCCCTGGGTACCCACCTAATCACCCTCACCCGCCAAACGCCGCCAGGGGAGCCTCACCTCATCCTCAATTTATACCACACCTCAACCCTCGACGACCCTAGGGAGAATCGCAGCTTTTGCGCACGCATCGTACCTTTGACTCGGCCTCTGACGCTCGCGCGCAAGCTCCCTGGTCTCCCTTTTCCTGGGCCTCTTCAAAAGACGTGCGAAATCTGGTCGCGCTGGGCTGGCTCCTCCAAGTCGAGACTTTGCGCCCTGAGCACCGACCTACCGAGAGCCTCAGGCGAGGTAAGGACTCATGACCCCCCACGCTTGAGCTGCTGGTCCCTGGTCCCCTCTTTCTTGCCCGGCTGCCTGGATTCGGCTTCTCATGCAACACTCACCGCCGTAGTGCTAATATACTATCGCGCGCTTGCAGACATCTGCCCGCCGGTAGTGGTGGTTCCAACTTATTATCCGGGCCCTCCGTCTACGCCTCGTCGTTTGTACCAAGGATCCATGCTAGGTTCTCACTGACTGCGGCTCTTGGACAGTCGACCAGGAGCTCGAGACCGAGGAGAGTGCTGCCATGGACCTAGATGACCACCCTATGGGGGATGCCGGCATGGAAAACGGGCTCGACGACCAGGGCCCCAGCCGCGTCGGGGGCGATGACACGCCCTCTGAAGAAGGCAGCTTCGATGATGATGGCGACTCGAGTTCCTCAGACCCGGCCCTCGAGCAGCTCCGTCGTCGCGGTTTGCTCCCGACGGGCTGCTGTTACGACGATCGCATGAAGCTCCACATGAACGCTGATTTCAGTCCAAACGCGCATCACCCAGAAGACCCGCGGCGCATCCACGAGATCTTCAAGGCCTTCAAGAAAATGGGGCTTGTCTACAACGGACCAGAGGCCGACCTCCCGCGCATCCTCAAGGAGTGTCCCACCAGATATATGTGGAGGATACCGGCTCGCAACGCCACCCGGGAAGAGATATGTCTTGCACACTCGTCGGACCACCTCGCCTGGGTTGAGAATCTGAATTCGCTCAGCACAGCAGAACTTCGAGAACTCACAAAGCGATATGACCAAGGCCGAGAATCGCTCTACGTGGGCAGCATGTCGTATCATGCGGCTCTACTCTCGGCCGGCGGCGCCATTGATACGTGCAAGAACGTCGTGACTGGCCAGGTCAAGAACGCCTTTGCCGTCATTCGGCCCCCGGGACATCACGCCGAGTGGGACGCTCCCATGGGATTCTGCTTCTTCAACAACGTGCCTGTGGCTGTGCGCGTTTGCCAGCAAGACTTTCCAGACCTTTGCCGGAGAGTCCTCATCTTGGACTGGGATGTCCATCACGGCAACGGTATCCAGAACATCTTTTACCAGGACCCAAACGTTCTGTACATCTCCATCCACGTCTACCAAAATGGCTCCTTTTATCCAGGCAAGCCGCCCAACCCAATGACGCCAGATGGCGGCATCGAGAACTGTGGCTCAGGCCCTGGCTTGGGCAAGAATATCAACATAGGCTGGCACGATCAGGGCATGGGTGATGGCGAGTACATGGCTGCATTCCAAAAGATTGTCATGCCGATAGCCAAGGAGTTCAACCCCGACTTGGTGGTCATATCGGCCGGTTTCGATGCCGCTGATGGAGATGAGTTGGGGGGTTGCTTCGTGACCCCGCCCTGCTACGCACACATGACGCATATGCTCATGTCGCTCGCGGACGGTAAAGTGGCCGTATGCCTCGAGGGCGGCTATAACCTTGCCGCCATCTCGAATTCCGCCGTCGCCGTGGCCAAAACGCTCATGGGGGAGCCCCCGCCTAAGATGGAGTTGCCCAAGCTCAACAAGGAGGCTGCTCGGATTCTGGCCAAGGTCCAGGCGCACCAGGCGCCGTACTGGGAGTGCATGCGCCCCGGCATCGTCGATATACCCGAGGTGCAGTCTCTCAATGCCAACCGGCTCCACGACGTAATCAGAAATGCACAGCGCCAGGTCTTGCAACAAAAGCACAGCATGGTGCCACTCTATGTGCAGCGAGAGCAGCTCTACAAGTCGTTTGAGAATCAGGTCCTCGTGACGCCGAATCTTCACGACGCCAGGAGAATCTTGGTTATCATTCATGATCCGTCAGTCGCTATTTCGCCTCTAACCTGCTGCTCACCTGCTGACCAGCATAGGCCTCAGCTGCTGGCGCAACCAGACGCTGTCGACACATCCATCGAACCGCACAACGCTTGGGTGGTAAGATGTCTTGTCACAATTTTCGCGAACTTGGCCTGCTAATCAGGATAGGTGGACGGTGTGACCCAGTACATTGACTGGGCTATCGGCCAGAAATTTGGCGTAATGGATATCAATGTCCCCGCTTATGTTACTCACGAGGAGGTATTCGCATCACTCAAGCTCGAAACGGAAAGAAAGAAAACCGTCTAACGTGACTAGGATACCGACGCCTACATACCTGGATTCAAGGAGAGAAAGCTCCAGGACCAAATCCAACAGCTCGTCTGCTATGTGTGGGACAACTTCCTGCAGCTGTACGATACGGACGAGATTTTCCTGTTGGGTGTGGGAAACGCATATCTTGGGGTCAAGGTGCTCCTGATCAACAGGGGTGAGTCTGCCGTTTGCCTTGGCGCGCGAGAATTCAGGAGCTAACTGCCGGTAGACTGCAAATTCCGCATCTCGGGCGTGGTGAACTTCGTGACGGGTAACCTGCGGCCCGTCAAGTCGGACGTCGACAATGAGCTCTCATCCTGGTACAAGGAAAACTCGCGCGTGTACGTTGCCGGTGACCATGCCTGCTGGTCAGACCACGAGTTGACGAGAAAGGTCAACAAGAGGAGGTTTGGGACGGTGGTGCGCAGCGAGATGCTTGGGCTGAATAAGATGATGCAAGAGCACGCCGAAGAAGCGCAGGACTGGATGATGAGGCGTGTCGGGGCCGCCGGCCCTGGAGATACGACAGAGGACGACAAGCCGTCTTCATGACTGGCTCTGCTCAATGGCGGGTTCTACATCTACTTCGCCCGAGCATACCCGCATAGATGCCATCATGCTGCCGCCCGAGGAACGGATTTGACAGCTTCATTTGGTGCTTAGGAGTCGAGATTTCGCCCGCAACCCGGGTCATCGTGCCTGGTAGAGTCTGATGCGGCTCAAACCGCATTACCGTAGTGAATGATAATGCATGACTGAGATGAACCGCGGCGACAGGATAGGGCTATATTCAAGATCATCTAAACGTCCCTTTCGACTTGACTCTTGTCATTTCCTCACTAGAAGTCCGTTGTTTGAGCTGGAGAAGTTCACAATTAGCGCAAGGCTGGAAATTTGACCGGATTTAATGGTGCAATAGATGAAGCTCATCATGCTCGTTAGACTTAGTACAGGCGCTACAGTGCGTTAGGCGACCCTTGTCGTTGGTGCACGGCGGCTTATGCATCGGGTCATCTGCCAAGCTTGCTGCGATACTAGTACATACGGCCATATCTATAAGAGTAACCGGATCCCGTCCGATCTCCGTTAGTGAAACTTGTAAGAGGCAGATTAGTAGTTGGGTCGGTGACGACCAGCGAACACCGGCTGCTGTATGTACATTGTTTTTGCAATTTTTGCATATTTTTTCCTGATCTTTTTTTCCTCTCTTGCGATGGATGGGTGGTTTAACTTAATAAGGTGATGGATGTGGTGGTGTGGTCACGATACCTGGCTTAGTCCTCGGATTAATGTATAGCCCGTGGACCCTGTCCAGCTATCGATTACGTACCAGGAATGAGTTCCTCCGGTGCACCTGTCTTCCTGTCTCAAATGCAGCCAACTCTTCTTCGCAGCAACACGGCTTTCCAAATAGCGCATCGCCTTCCGCCTTCACACCGACTTGCCACGACGTGCCCGCGGCACGTGCTGGCCAGAATGGATCGTGATCGAGACGGACGAGGTCGAAGGTCAGTGCTTCCCAGTTTTGTTGTCGCACCGTTTACCTCGGCCTTTGCAGCCACCTCACGATGCTCAATCCGGTTTTGGCCCGTCCTACCCTCTCCCCCCCCAAGGCAAGTTCTGATCTTTGCAGATACGACGATGGCGAGATCATCAGGTACGGCGCAGGAGAATCATGGCGACCCACCCCTCGAAGCGGTGGCGATCGATCGCCGAGGAGAGCGAGGAGTCCGATGAGAGATCGACCTCGGAGCCCCCGGCCCAGGAGTCCTCGCCCTCGCAGCCCCGTCATTTCCGGTTCTGACAGCTATGTTCCGGGGAGATACCAACCTCGCCGACGGTCCAGAAGTGGTGGAGATCGCTATCGCCGTGAGCGCTCGTGTGATCGCGAGAGCCCGCGGAGGCGGGAGCGAACCCGCTCCCCAATGAGACGCCGGAGCCTCTCTCGACGCGGCTCTCCTGGCCGTGACGGCAGATTCGAGCGACCCAGATCGCCCCGTCGGGACTGGAACAGCGACAGAGACCAGGGCCGCGACCGTGACCGGGACCGCCCTCGTGACCGGGATCGTAACTTCGAGAGACGCGATGAAAGGTGAGATAACCTGACATTCTGAATTGGAAGATAGCGCCAACAATTTCCTAGAAGACGATCGCGCTCGCCGTTCGCCCGAGATCGCCGCGACAGAAGCCCTCTTGGAAGAGCCTCGCCCCTCGCCCCTCGAGGCGGCTCTTACCGACCGAGATCTCGATCTCCGAGCCGACGAGGGGACAGATACCAGTCTTATAGAAGGTCTCCTCCTCCCCGAGAATCTGGCATTTCATCGACAATGACCTCTCGACCAGCTTCTGAGAGAGCGTCGCCCCGCCCTGGCTCCGCCAGAGTTCGTTCCCCTCAGCCGTCTCGAGAGGATCCTGTCCATCCTGGAGCGGCCCCAGCGTCAACTTCCACCAAGGAAGCCACGCGAGCCGGGCCCAACGACACTACATCCACCTCAGCCAAGTCACCTCCCCGGGGCCCTGCAGCCCAGAGAGTACCTCCCACGGGGCCCGCGTCTAATCGCGGCGTCAACGTCTCGATTCCCTCGCCAGCTCCTTCGGCGCCAAGACACCCCCAGACGCCCGGAGCCGCAGTGCCACATCGATCGGATGTCACGAGCCCGGCCATCCCTCCTTCGGGGCCCCGCGGTTACGTTCCACCGTCCAGGGGTGCCTACACCTCGCGATCCGTGCGAGGCGGGTGGAGCCAGCCACCATCGAGACAGATGTCAGGAGTGTCGCCATTGTCGACCTCGGGCGGTCCCTCACCTATTCCCACCGGTCCCAGGAGCGCTTCCACTAGCACGCCATTTCCGTCGACAGCCTCTCAACAGCGTCCGTTTAACCCGCCAACCGGCCCGTCTGCTCCGCACGGTGTCGGACAGCGGCAAAGCCTAGCCCAGAACCTGTTGGCCACGATGCCGCCAATCGTACCGGGTGGGAAGCTCGATCCATCCATGACGCCGCTCACGCTGGGCGTTACGCGAGATCTCGAACCTCACTATCGAAAGCTTCGCGATGAGGAAGAAAAGCTGCGAGACGAGCTGCGGGCCAAGCAGGAGAAGCTGCGCAAGAGTCTCTACGTCTGGGACAAGCTGGAGCGAGACTCTCGGGCTTGGGAGCTGCGCAGCGACTTGAGTGAGAAGAGCATGAAGAATCTGGCGGGCGAGGGCATGGGTGGTGCTGCATTTTAGTGAAGCAGAACCTGGCTTACCCTACCCCTGGCGCGGTTCCTCGAAAATGAGGACAGGGTGTTGCTACCGCGGACAAGACATGTGATTATTTTGAGCCGGAATAGGCGTATACGGCAGCAAGAGGACTGCACGGGCAGGGGAAGGGATGAAAAGGCACTGGCTTTGCTGTGGGAGATACCCCTCTTCGCCGATATGGCGTCATGAATTGAAATTTCAAACGAGTCTAGACTGGCCACGCACTGTAGAGGTCCGTCGTTGCTTTGACCCGGATCTTCCCTCGACCCTCATGCCACAGGGACCTCAGAACGACGCTGCAAGGCTGAGAGAGCCCTCTGCCGTTCGAGACTTGGCAGGCGGGCAAAGGTGTTCCATCGTCTTCATTCACACACACCTACTTACACGGTCCAATTCTCTGGCCGTGTTACTGTGTGCGCGCGAGCGTTCGCATCTGCCTGGGTTCATTTGTCTATTCGCATATCTACTTCTATTTCATCCAGCGCACGTAGCACACGCCCCTGGGATATAAGGAATCAAAACCTTGGGGATCACCAACCATCCATACTGGTCCACGGCACGCAGGTCGGTCTGTCTCAGCGTGCGTCAACCTCTCAGGTGGACCGTCTCGGGCTCTTAGTTAACAGGATCCATGGAAAGGAAAAACGCGCGGGTAGCTTACGGAAGCTTTCCGTCGAACATGAGTTGGCCAGGATACACCCTGTATGTGTATGTGCGAAGTAGTCGTCCCGCCAAGCACCAGTTTCAAGACAGAGCTGGGCCGCCACGACACTCAGCGAAAGATGACGATGGACTCGTCGTCGTCGTCGTCCTCTTGCCACTCGTCCTCGGATTCGGTGTCGCCGTCGTCGAGAAAGTCTTCCATGCCATACTGCAGCTCACGAACTTTTTGATTGTCGAATTGCAGGTTGACTGTCTTGCAGAAACCTTGAACGACCAGGTCGCCGTGGCCGCCAGAGGACCGTGCCCCATCGGCGGCGGTATCGTCAGGGGCGGCGTCGTCAGTCTCTTGGCTGAGCTCAGCCTCGTCTTCGTCAGTGTCGGGATCCCTGTACGAGAGCTGTCGACGCTGTCGCCGGAGAGACTTGGCCACCTCGGCTGTGTGACCGTCAGCCTGGGCGGCCAGTCTTCCGCTTCGGCGAGAGGGCGGGCTTGGCGGCCCACTGCTCCTCTTCCGCTTCCTCGGCGGCTCCTCCGTCTCGGCGGGCAGCGGGCGCATGGTCGCGTGTGACTCTGGACAGGCCAAGGGGCGGAGGAACACTTTTTCCATCCTTGCGCGCCACTCGCGGCGCATGGTGGCACGGGCTTGCCAGGGTATGTCGAGCGTGGACTTGATGGCGAGGTGACGAAGATGGGGCAGGTTCCCGGCGTTATCGATAAGTGATTGGAGACAGGTTTCTGCAGCCTCGGCGGACCAGTCCCGAACGTGCTCGATGTCTATCACCCGGAGACTTGGCGGCCATGTGGGGACTTGACTCGGGAGTAGGGCCTGGTCGTACATGGGGTCGGCGTCGTTGACGCAGTCGTGATGGCGGTAATACGATAGGTTCATGTGCAACTCTCGGAGGCTGGGGCAAGTCTCGGACAGAGTAGTCAAGAAGCCCAAGTCCAACGATTGGTTATGCAGCAATGTCAGCGTGCGCAGATTGCCGCCGTGCGTACGCAGGAATTCAGCAAGGTCCTCCGACTTGACCTCCCAGCAGTTGATGAGTTCCAGATGAGCAAGCTGCTTTGGCAGGAGTGGCAGCAGACGGTGGTTCAATACGGTCGACGACTCAAAAACAAGATGCTTGAGGCGAGCCAGCTGCGATATGGCATGTGCAACAGATTCAATCATCAAGCCATCTTCATGATCAGCCCGCAGCTCTTCTTCCTCGCTCTCCGACTTTTGCTGCAAGTTTCTCAGAGATGGCACTTGAAAGTTTGTGAGGCTCAGCTTTGTGAGCTGGGAGAACGGCGGCGTCTGGTGCACATCGCCCATGGCTTGGACACTGGGGACGCATCCGCCGATGAACCTTCCACTCCATTCCCAGCTCTTAAGCATCGTTGGGAACCATTTCTCACCTGGCCCGTCTCTATCAGCCGCCAACGCACGGAAGATGTCCTCAGTGTAATGCCACCTGAGATTCCTGTCAAGCTGACGATACGGCGGCTGGTCCGCTGGAGTGTAGATGGTCAATTCTTGAAGGCGACTGAGTGGGTGAATCAGCTGAGGCAAAATAGCCTGAGGGACGATGTGGATGTTGATGTGCAGAACTTCGATCTTGACTCGGTATTTGAACAAGGTTTCCGAGGGCGGGCGCTCAAGCAGCGCGGCAAGACGCTTGGCTTTGGAGGCTTGCTTGATCAGAGGGCAGCGATAAAGCGCAGTGAGCGCTGGCTCAGCGAAATTGCGGCAAGTAGTGGCAGCATGAACAAGCCAGCTGGTGGCCAGGCCATCTGCCGTGCCAAGGCTGGCGGCGTAGAGAAAGATGTCGGCCCAGCACGCGAAGGGGATACGCGGATCTCTCCAATCTGGGGTGACACCTGTTGGGGCTTCTTGGCACTGAAGCGACGACAGCTTGCGCCGTTTGGTCGGTGAGATGGATTCATGTCGTGAAGCCTTGCCACTACTTGGGCGAAGCATGTGACGTGCACCCTTGCTCTTGGGCTTCTCACCAGCAGCTCTTGTTCGCAAGGAGCGGCTGTGTTTGGAAGTAGAGGCGGGTGGTGAGGGAGGCGGGCTGGAGTCTGCGTCGCTGATATTAGGGGTGGGACGGGTTCCCGTAGTGGCCGCCTGAGGCGATGCAGTCACTTGCGAGTCGTGGTCTTGCTCGGAGTCAGTCGGGTCATTGGACGAGGTTGGCCGATGAGAAGATGGCGGGCCAGATGTGCGCCCGGGGTTGCGACGACGAGAGCTCTGGGCAGCCGACGATCGCCAAGCATTGCGGGTTACAGCCATGGCGCGCGTTGGAGTGGTGAAGAGCGACGGACGATGCTGTGCTCTTCTCTTGTTGTTGAAAGACGAGCAAGCTTCCTAGGCAGGGTACGAGGCTTGCAAGCTAGAACTCGAGCACGTATGGGCCATTTCGCCCTGGCCGGGAGGGAGACGAGGAATCAGCACGTCATGAGCCGACGCAGGATTGCGAGGAAGAAGAGTCAATGCTGAGCGAAGAGAGGTAACAAAGTCTGAAATGTCGACGTCGAGGCAAGGCTGTGAATGCTGAACTCGGAGATTGTTCACGAAATGAAAGCACGTACGTAGCACCTGCAGGCACTGCAGGCAGTTGGGTGTGCCGGCGTGGCAAGGTACAAGTGCAGGTACGTGAATATGCAACTAAAGGGACTGTTGTGCCAATCGAAGCTGCGCCTCGAACCTGAGCCGACAGGGCCTACACAGCGAGGTGGACGTGAGCTTCGGCTGAAGCGGAAGCTAAATACATGGAAAACAGAGGGAATCAAACATTGAGGCTAGACGACGCAGATTAGAGAAACAGACAAGAAAAGGGGGGCGACGGGGGAAATTCAAAGAGAAGCAGAGGGAGACAATCAAGAGACAAACTGGAGGAGCAGAGGGCCGACGAGTCGGTACGTACTGGCTCCGTCGGTCGCGCGCCTCTCGTGCCAGGTAGGTACAAAGTACATGGACAGAATTACCGCAAGGTACCTACCTACCTAAGGTACCTAGGTAGGTAGGTAGGTAAGAGGGAACTGGCACGGGCAGGAGGCAGCTGCAACAAGAGGTGGTTGTTGTGGCCCACAGATAGACAAATGTCCAGGCCTATGAGGCCGATTCGCCGATTACTCTGTTGTACCGGTATTCTGTAAGAAGGCTCCTCCTTCCCTTTGCTGCTAAGGCGGCTAGCCTACTTCGGGGGTGGCAGGGGGCTCCTTCCATCCAGGACTGCACGGGCGGCGCTAGGCCGTTTTGGGCGTCGCGATAAACCCCCTGCAACCTCTGGAAGCGCGTCGTTTGTTCGTTTCGACCGCTTCAGCAGGCCATTCACTCACTTCTCTCAACTCCTTGATTGTCTGCGCCGCGCTTCATCTCCCGTCGTCGCCTCTCCTCCCCATCGGCCGCCACCCTTGTAGCTTCTTCGACCTCCCCTTGGCCCCCGGCCTGCCCGGCTGGTTTCACTCACTTTCTCCTGGCCCGCGAGTCCGACTTGTGTCGCCAAATCCGCCGCCGACGCCACGACAGCCTTGCTCTCTGGCGCGCGTTTCACATTTCCCTCGTCCGCTCTCCAGCCGCTCTCTCTCCATCTCGACAATGAGGTGCATGCTCTCACTCTATTGAGACTCTTCCCTCTCTCTCTGACGCTCGCCCGCCCGTAACGAAATTCCACCAGCACCGTTTCGCCGCCCTCACCTTTTCTCTCACCTCTTTCTCTCGCCAACACTCTCAAACACGACCCTCTTCTTCTTCCTCTCCCGGCTCTGCCCTCCCATGACTCCCAAGCTCTAGTCCGCCATGACGGTACACAGTCCCCGCCAGAGGACTGCCCCCTTTCTTCATCGCACCTGGCTCAAGGGAGTCAAGGCTCTCCACGAATCCTCAGTCATGGGCAACATCATATCCTCCCCCATGCACAAAGTCTCGCATCCCGCCGACGGTGACGGAGCCAGGCCAGCAAAACGCCGCCGCCTCTCGTCTCCCGACTCCTTCGACATGGACCGCCTCATTGCCTCGCCCACAATGTCCGAGTCTGGCTCAACCTTGCGTATCGAGGTGCTCAAGATCTTGCACAAGGACTCCAAGAAGGTCAAGTCTTACCAGGGTGCTGCCGCAAACCCCCGCGATTTTGTCACCAGCAAGGCTCGTTGCAGAATCATCATTTTTGATACAAGTTCCGGCCCGCCCCAAGTCTTGCACTGTCAAAGCCAGCTCTGCAACCTCATCACCTTCAAAAACCCCGTCGGCCCTCACCGCGTCGCGCGTGTCGACTTGCCGCGCGCCTTCTATGTCCCCGACGACAGTATTCTCATCAACAGGCCGGATGATGGCCGGTTTGATTTATCCGATTCCTACCAGCTTCTCGTCGAGCTCGAGGCTGCCAACGCTGCTTCCTGGCCTCCCCTCGACTCACATGACTTTGGTATCCCCACAACTTCGCCTTACTCGCCCTGGACCTCGAGCCAGCCTTGGATCCTGTCCACCCGCTTTGACAGCGTCGTCGGCAGGCTGAAGCACCCACTCAGCCTGTCGACCCGAGATCCCTTGGGCCAGGCCGCTTTTCAGACGGATTATATCATGGATGTCGACCTCCGGTGGACGGCCGGTTTCAAAACTGCCAGGCGCCTAGACAAAGATTCCAAGTCTTGCATCACTGCCATTGATCCCGATGTTGATCCCTACTGTGATGCAAATTTCGAACACGTCCAAGTTCATGATGTTAACGGGACTAATGGGCACCTCAACGGGGAATCATCGCATGATCAAGACGATGAGTTTCTACACGACCAAACCCCCTCTCGGTCGCTGAGGGCCAGAGAAAAAACAAAAGTCTACAACTTGAAAGTCTTGAGTGATCAGGCCCAAGGTAGGGAGCACAAGAGTCGCGGGAGAAGCGCCAGCGCAGCAATCACCGAGGGTCGAGTTCAGTATCTCTTGCCATCGGACCAGCCGGTCTGTCTCGATTTTTATCGCTGCGTCAGTTGTGGCGCCTACCACGAGTCCATGATGCAGTTGCAGCTTCATCTTCAGACGACCCATCCCACGTACGAGTATGTACTCGAGACGACGAGTCAAGGACCGCAGTTTCGTGTCACTGCTCTTTGCGAATCGTTTGCGTCTCCAGCCAAGACCTATCAGCTCGGGCGCCAGGTAAAACCCTTTGATCTTCCCACCTTGGCAGCCGGCGACCTGTCATGGGTCACTTCGCGTCTCGGACCTGAAAACGACGAACCTTTTAGGTTATCTCCGCCCAGATCCCACGTGGACCGACTTCCGTCGGGGTCGCCTGTTTTGAAGGCCTTGAAGACCGCCGCGCCGCGTCGCAAGCCGAAACCAAAGTCCAGCAAGACTCTGGTACCGGACATACCGCAGCTGCTCTTCCATCCCATCAGCAAAGCGCGGTTGGCGCCTGGCCAGGAGGTTCCGGAGACTGTGCCAGACGATACGTGGCTGATCCAGAAGCACCAAGAGAGCATAGGGGACTTCTCTGATGTGACTGCGGCCGAAAAGGAGTACATTTGGCAGTGGGATGCCTACATTCTGCGCAAGAACCTCACCTCCGTGGCCTATTTCCCTCGGGAATGGCTTGGCTTCGTCAAGGAAAAGGCCGAGTGGCTCGTCTATGAAGAACGGCGCATGCTCGAATTCGGCAAGCACACGAGTGTGCTCCTTGCCCGTGATGTTTTGAATGACAAGACGATGAAGAAGGCTTTTTTTTACATTGAAGATGCTAGGGCAGAGATGAACCGCATTCGCGAAGGGCAATCCGCCGCACCGAGGAACCCCGAGACGGCAGACGTTGCCACCAAACAGTCCCCGAAATCGTCGCAGATCCGCAAGAGCGCAAGCGGCTGCATTGTGTGTCAGCTTCCTGTCCTTGGTCCGACGCTGCTGATCTGCTCCAATACGGTATGCTATGCCCGTTTGTTCGCACTTGTAGGGTGCTGGCTAACATTGCCCCAACAGTCCTGTCCCAAACGCCTTTACCATTCTACATGTATCAAGAAGGAGGCGATCATGCCAGTCACTCGATCGAAATGGCTCTGCAATGCCTGCTGTGGGACCGACGGGTGGGGTAAAAAGAGCTGAAGCCCAACGGGGGAGAAGCAGACTCCGCCGGACCCTCACCAATACTTGGCCAGGCTACGTGAGAGCATCGGGCAGAGGGGCCAGCTCTATTTGCTAGGTACGCCTGACGCGTTTGAGCCGGGGCATTCTATGAGAGGTTTGGCAGGGGCGTGTAGCGCTTGCCAAGGGCATGCTCTGTCTGAGAGTCGGGCATCTACCAAGTGTATGCGGAGCGGGATTTCGACATCTTGCTGGCCGTCAATGCGGTCCCTGAAGATGGTATATAGCCGGGGTGATCGGAGACAGCGGAAGACGTCCACTGATCACAATGGACGCTTGCACGGCGGATGGTACGCAGGGGCGACCTTTGCCAAGGCGATGCTTGAACCAGCAATCAATCAACCAGGCCAGGATGGCCGGGGTTTGGCGGTGGCAGAGTCGTTGCCGACGGTGGGAAATATAATCAAGTGTCAAGAAAAGGCCCTGCCTGGTATTGCGTGCTCTCAATTCTCGTACTGTCTCGATCTCGTCTGAGCACTTCAGTCGCCCCGCTCCTTGCCCTCTGGATGCGGCGTAACAGTATTTTACATACATTGGTCGAAACCGCAACCCCCTGACGCCTAGCACTGCGAAATCAAAAAGGGCGCCCAAGCTTTCATAGCCATGCCTCTCGTCTTCCCTCCTCGGCCCGGACAATCAATCATACTGATTCTCTTTTCTCAGTGCCTACCACGGCCATCCCTGCGGCGGTCCATTCGTTCCCTCTCCGTCTTCTGCCGCTTGCGGCTTTCCTCGGCAATCATGTCGGCCAGGTCTTCGTCGTGCTGCCAGTGGGCGCCGACGCCGTCCTGCTTTCTCCCTTCGTCAAACTTCTGGCGGAGGGCGTCCTTGCTGATGCCGTCGTGCTGGTTCAGGGCGTCGACATCTAGCGCCACATCCACATCGCCAGGCTTCTTGCGCTTGCGTGAATCGTCTTCAGCGCCAAGGACAGGCATGGCCGAGCTCAGGTCATATTGGTGGCCGACGCCAAAGAGGCCCCCGCTGCCCTGTGCCTTTTGCTCCTTCAGGACCGTATAGGCCGCGCGGCCAGACGGGGTTTCAGTACCGAAGCCAGATCGCTCTTTCCGAAGGTCCATTTCGCCTGAGACGGACGTCTCCATGCCCCGGGCATGCGCCGCAGAAGTTGCATAACCGCTGGGTGTCTCGAGACCACTAATTTCCTCGACGCCGGCCTCGTCGTCGGCCTCCTCTTCGTCATCCTCATCCTCTGACTCTTCTTCTTCCTCAGACTCTTCCTCGCGGGGCTGTAGCTCACCCCAGATGGCGCGGTCGATTGGGTCCCCTGCTGGCAGCTCCGGCTGTGCGACTTGGGGCTGGGCAGCGGTTGGGTTGTTGAGACCGAACACGTCGCCTCCGTAAAGGGGACGGTTCATGTCGTCAAGGGGAGGCTTACCCCAGCCACCTGCCTGGAATCCCCAAACACCTCCTGGAGGAGGCGGCACGTTCAGGCCGGGGATTTTCAAGGTCGGGTAGGAAGGGGGAGGGCCAAACCGCTGCTGGTTGATAAGCCAGGGTGGGGGGGCGCCTGGAGGCATGCCAAGCGCCTCTTTAGTGGCATCGCTCAACTCTCCCGGACGGAAATGCTGAAAGTCAACTTCAGCCTCCTTGCCCTCGTAGTACACCTCCCCATAGCGGGTCAGTTCTGGTTTGGTTTGAAACCGGAAGAAGGCATCGTAGAGCTTCTGATAGTCGATGTCCAACTTGCCCATCTTTGGCTGCACGCGTGCTCGCTGCTTCTGCTTCAGGGACTGCTCAGCTTCCTTTTCCAAGACAGCATCTCGCATCTCGGCGATGCCAGTCGCAGCGATAAAGTCGGGCAGTCGGAAGGCCGACTTTTCAATGCCGCGCTTGGACGACAGGTATTCTCTCTTGAGAGACCAATGCGAGGGAACTGGGACGACGTTGCGCTGGGCCTTGATCTGGACGAGAGTGCGGGGGTCCGAGGATGAGACATCGTTCCACTCGATGACTTCTGGGTGCTTGACCATGGCCTTGAGCTCGGCGACAGAGAGTGTCTTCATCTGCTTGCGCTTCTTCTTGGACAGCTTGGTCTTGGTCGCGTTTTCTTGTTCCTCGTCGGGAATGTCGGCATCGTCGTCAAAGAACACGGTGCCCTGATTGCCTGCGTTTGCTTCCCTGGCTATTTCGTCCTCTTCCAAGGAGACGCCGAACCTGGTGAAGATGTCCTTGTAGGCGGCAAAAGCAGGGTTGTCTGCGAATTCATCATCGATGATGAGAGGTGTGTCCACAGTGACGGGGGCATCCGCATTCTTGACAGCGGAGTCGTCGGCATCGGGGTTTTCGGGCTGTGGCGTTGGCCCTTGGTCGTCTTGGACGGGCTCATCTTGCGGCTTGCTCGCGACCTGAAGGATCAAGATCTTGTCAGCGCATGGGGGCAGAAGCGAGCGCCAGTAGAGCCTGAAAAGGTGAGCATATACATGTTCCTGGGCCTTTTTCTGCTCCTTCTTCTTGGCCCTCCGCATCTGGTTTTTGGTCATTTTAGAGGCGGCCATGGTGAATGGGGATTTGGCGGCTTGGAGCCGCTGGGGAGCCGAGATACGACTGGGTTGGAAGCCTGGGTCACAAGCTGAAAGATGGCGTAGAAACCAACGAGAGTGAAGATGTATCGCTTGGGGTCTCTTCCCATAGCGCAGCGCAAGACACGTGGGGGATAATGCAGAGTCTTGGGGGGGCAAACAGAGGGCCAGCAGCGGAAAGGCGAGGCTATATCTCGTCAGCTGGCGAGTCTCGCTCGTGTGGCAAGCAAAAGAAAAGGTGGAGCAGCAACGCGCTTGGAGACGAAAAGGACTGCTGCAAGGCTGCAAGGGTAATAAGGCTAGGCACGGAGTACTTGGCCTTTTTTTCTCCCTTATCATCGCGGCTGTCGGCTAAGGATCGGCCAATCTGATAACGCATCCCGTGTGTACCTGTGTACCTCTGTACAGCAAGGTCGCGAGACTCGAGTGGATGCCCTCCGGGCCATTTCTCCTTTTCCCGCGCGATGAGAGAGCGGAATGTGCATTACACGGCTTTGATGTCATTCGTCAGTCTATACGAGAGAATACGGACGCCTCCTCCACCAGCCCGCTCGACGTCGGCCACCCATTTCAGCCCGAGCGACGCCATCCTCTGGCTAGTACCTGACCCGTGGCCATCGACGTGGGTAGGTATTGTCTACCTAGATCTGACAGCGCTTGGCATACTGCCGCTGCACCGCTAAGCCCTGTTCAAGTATCCAGTACCTACCAGAGCGAGCTTGCGCAACTTTGCCCCGGGGAGACGGCTGGCTGATGGTGCTGGTCCGTCGCTTCTTTTTCTCTCTCGTACTTAAACTGGCAGCTCCATGGCACCGCTGGCCTTAACACGTCAATCTCGTCTCCCGTCCCGCTCGCCATGAGCCCGTCGCCGTCGTCGTAACACAACCGCCCGCGGTAGGAATATTGCCGTCGTCGCTCCTTCGCTCGTCCGCTCCCAATGCCCGCGGCAAGCTCTGTCGACGCCACGTCAATCCCATCCCGACGTGCATCATCATAATTATCATCGTCGTCGTCGTCGTCGTCACCGTCGTCGTCGTCGTTGTCCTCTTCGATCCTGCCGGACGATAGCCGAAATAGCTTCCGCATCGCCCTGCCATGGAAAAGTTTCCCGACCACGTCGATGCGCCTTACATGGCCAATGGCTCCGCACGGGATCCCAGTCCTCCAAAGCCCCTGCCACCGCGTGGTCAGTCGCACGGAAACGGCAATGGCAATGGCAACAGCAGTGCCATGCTGTCGGACCGCTGGATGCCGACGCCGAGACGCGACGACGCACACAGCGGTAGCCTCACCTGGTCGGCCTCCAGCAACGGTCGCAACCGCCAAAAGAGCCTGGGCGACGCATTCCGAACCATTCGCTCGAGAAATGGGAGCATGAGCCAAAACGCCCATGAGATTGCCGACGCCCTGCGCGCGCCCGTCTCTCCAAAGCTCGTCGTGCGTCTCCTTGACTCTCCAAACACCGGGACTGCCCGTCTCGCTGGCCAGTGGCTAATATTCTTTTCAATGGACAGGTCCTCTGCTTGCTCTGGTACACGTCCTCGGCGCTGACAAACACGTCGTCCAAATCGATCCTCGTCGCTTTCGACAAGCCGGCAACTCTTACCCTCGTCCAATTCGGCTTCGTCTCGTCGCTCTGCATCCTCGTCGCCTGGCTGGCCAGCATCTTCCCAGTTCTACGCACCAAAATTGCCGTCCTCAGGCATCCCATTCGCCGGCCAAGCGTTCATGTCATCAAGAGCACGCTTCCTCTGGCCGCATTCCAGATTGGCGGTCACCTCCTGAGCTCGACTGCCACGGCAAAAATCCCAGTGTCCCTGGTCCACACCATCAAGGGTCTGTCACCAATGTTCACGGTTCTGGCCTACCGGATCTTCTACGACATCCGCTACCCCCAAGCAACATACCTGTCCCTGGTTCCGTTGACCATTGGCGTCATGCTCGCCTGTTCGGGCAAGTCGAGCTATGGGGGCCACTTGATGGGCATCCTGCAGGCACTGATGGCGACCCTCATCTTTGTCACTCAAAACATCGTATCCAAGAAGATCTTCAACGAGGCAGCAAAGGCAGAGGTCGAGGCTCCCGGTGTGCAGTCCAAGAAACTGGATAAGCTCAACCTCCTTTGCTATTCCTCCGGCATGGCCTTTGTGGTGACTGGGCCCATTTGGTTTTGGACCGAGGGCATCGGCGTCTTGGGAGACTTTTTGCACGACGGTGCAATAGACTTGAGTAACAACCCCCTAGCCATGGACCACGGTCGCTTGACCCTCGAGTTCATCTTCAACGGCGTCTTCCACTTCAGCCAAAACCTGCTGGCCTTTGTGCTGTTGTCCATGGTTTCCCCCGTCACGTATTCGGTTGCAAGTCTGATTAAGAGAGTCTTCGTCATCGTCTTAGCCATCTTCTGGTTCAGGAGTCCGACAACCCCCATTCAAGCTGTGGGCATTGCTCTGACCTTCTTGGGCCTATATCTCTATGACCGGACGAGCGAGAGCAACAAGGCCGACCGCAAAGCGCGCATGATGTCTCAGTTTCGCAGCGGATCGCCCCTGCTACCTCTTCAGGAAAAGCCCTCCAAGGCCAACGCCCAGAGCCCCAGTCCACTGGCGGATTCAAGTGTTCATCCCTACACAGAAGCTTACCTCGGCATGGCCCCAGCCGGCGAGGACTCGAAGAAGTCGGACGACAGGCTCGGCCGCAGTCGTTCGGGAAACAGCAGCAAAGGCTGGACACCGCGTCAATGAAACAGATTTCGAAAACAGAAGTGATGACGGGGACACGACGCCGCAACGCCGGACATCAATGCCCCTTTCTCACTAATGCGTTGGACAAGAGGGCAAATCTCGCCTCGGCCGAGATCCTATCGTCCTTTTCTAGACAACTTTTCATAATCCACAACGGCATCTAGAGGTGGGAGTCTTGGGCATCGGAAGCGGGTTTCTGGCGTTCTTTGCGGTGGGATAACCGCGGCCCTCGTGTGCACAGGGCTTGAAAGGTCATCGGCCACGTGTAGTATGGCGTGATGTGTTTTGGGAAGTTGGACAACTTGTTGGCCACTTCAGATGGGTTAACGATGTATATAATTCACATGCGATTCCTCGTGAGCTCTATTGGAGATATGATCTGGCACTTTATCTCTTCATTCTCTGGCCTTCGTGGAGCGAAAGGTGCTTGATGACTAGGCGACGCCCACTTCTATTCAATGAGCCACTCCTCAACCTCGACGCCCAAACTTCTCCCAATGCCCCTGACGACCTCCCAGCTCGCGTTGATCCTCCACTTGCCCGCCCTGTCCGTGACGTCTCCCGACCCCACCCGGACGAGCAGCCGCAGACTTGCCAGCGTCGCCATAGCCATGCCCACGTCTCCGTCGAGGCCGGCTATGCCGACCGAGCTGCCCTCGGGGGCCCACTCGCCGCGGACGGCCTCGAAGATGGCCAACATGCGCTCAAGGACAAAGGCGTGCGCGCCGAGCAGCTTGCGGGCAATCTTGCGGTGCTTGGTCCGCGCGGTGCCGCGGGACGAGGCGGCGCCGGCGACGAAGCCCCCGCCGCGGCGGCGCTTGCGGCCGTGGTGGTGGGTCGAGAAGAGGGTCAGGTCATGGCGAGTGGCGTTGTGGGAGGCGAGGTAGGCGGCCAGGAGAAGCAGCCGGGCAACGACGGGGAGCAGGCCGACGAGCTCGGCCGCCACGGGGGCGGCGGCTGCAGGCGAGGGCGGCGGGGCAGAGCACGTAGATGGCTGCCAGACACCGGCGGCGGGGCGTACGGAGACGATGCTGGGGTTGAGCAGCGACTCGTCCTGGAAATGGATCCTGGCGGCGACGAGCAGCTTGGAAAAGTCCTTGGCGGCGTGCGTGCCGGCGACGACGGGCGCCGTGAAGCGCGGCCACAGGGCGCGGCAGCTACGGCGGAACGAGGGCAGCGTGCGAGACGCGGAGCGGACGAGGGCATCGTGGATGGCGGCGCAGAAGCGCGTCCACAGGTCCGACGTCTCCTGCTGCGTCGTGCCTGCGACCGGCGCGGGGGGCGTCAGCGCCAGGATGCGCACGAACTCGGGCTTGGTGTAGGGGGGGAAGTGCAGGTGGGCCGAGGCCGAGGTTTGCAGGAACCCGGCCGGAGGGGCGGTGACGACGAAGACGCAGATGAGGCATGGTATCTGCCCTGGTGGTCAGTTTCGAGGGCTCGAGTCCCGCCGGCATCGTCTGTCTGGCTAGACAGGTCGAGCATCTCCGGCCCTGATGAAGGGGGGAGGGGAGGGCGACGCACAATCTCGGACATGCGAGCCAGGGCCGGTAGCAGCGTGGGCGGCGCATCCCTCTGCCTGTCAATGGCATCGAGCACCAGCACAAACCTCCACCGCGCATCCCGCGCCGGGACGCCGAGCATCGTGGCCAGCGCAACGGCCAGCTGGGCCAGCGTCTCGCACCGCCGGCCAACGTCGTCGTGGCTGTTGAGCCTCGCAGCCACGGCGGCGACGATGCGCTCAAACAGGTGCCGCCCCGTGATGCACTGCGAGGCGTTGACAAAGGCGTACTCGATGGCGCCGCGCGTGTCCGGGTGTGCCGCAATCCGCGGCATCAGCGCCCTCGCAACGGCCGACTTGCCCGTCGCCTCGGTCCCGTGCAGGACAATATTGCGGCAAGGCGCTGCGTCGGGCTGTGCGGTGTATGACGGTTAGCGAGACAGGCTCACCCGCAGCGGCATTGGAGGCCTCGTGAGGGGGTGTTCGAGGTTCTGGAGAGGGACGCGAGCGTACATGGACCAGAGTGGCCAGGGCGCGCATCTGGTGCTCGCGCCCCGGGAAGCTCTGCTGGACATCGGGGGGGACGATGTCGTCTGGAAGGTGAAAGAGAGATCCCATGGCTGCGTTGCCTTGCTGCTACATTTCCGGTTCAGCAGCGGTCGAGGACGGCGGCGCGCGATGGCCAAGAATCACGGGCCTCGCATGGCATTGGCCGGTTGCAAGCTTGTCGTCCATGGCGAAACGCGTCGCATGCTTTGAGTGTACGTACCCCGGCTTCTTCTTAGGGGCTACTAGACATGGCCTACCCTGGACAATTGTAAAAGCCATGGTAGATACGCCATTTAATTACCATCTACTTGCACAAAACACCGCTCTTGTAAACCCACACCACTGCTGCAGCGTAGCAGATTTCCACTAGGCCTCATCGTATTGCCCAATCCAAGCAACGGGAGAAACGCCTGTAATGGCACTCAAACTCCATCAGAATACCGCGGCGACTGTGGTCTAGCTCTAAGCAAACCCCCTTTAACAACGCCAGGCTGCCCCCATGCTTTCAAAACACAACGCTCTCCAACTGCTCTACCAGACAATCAACTCCGTACACCCTCTGCCACCACCAACGCCATTCCCGTATTCGCCCGTCAATGTCCTTGAGCATGTCCTTTGTATCCCACGGCGGAATCTCCGTGCCTTGCACCGACACAGCTCCTCGCCTGTTAATCCCCGGCGTCTGGATCGAGATGGTCTGCGCCGTCACGATCCAACTCTTCTCAATGTCCTGCACAATGTTCTCCGTGAAGTTTCGTACCTCGGCGTCAAATCGAATTTCTTCAAAGGGCGCTTCCCCGAGCCCTGCACAGAGTCGAGCTGGCTCCACTGTCCTGTCCTCAGTCCGCAGCAGGTGCTCCAGATAAGTCTCCGCGGTCGACACAAACTCCCACAGGCGCCCGAGAGTCCTGGAGAGGGCCTTCCACACTGGAGACTGGATACCTGACGCAGAAACGGCGTAGATGGATGGCCAAAGCATATTCAGAGTGGCCATGGTCTGCCGCACCGCATGCAACTGCGGACCACCCAATGCAGTGCTGCTTCGTGACACGTTGAACAAGCCCTCGACAGCGGCACGTGTCAGCACGTCGACAAGGGGCAAGTCGTTCTCGCCGAGCTCATGAACAGCCGCCTTCTTCGCAAATACCAGCCGCAACGCCTCTGCATAGATATCCAGCAGCGGAAAGGCAGCGCTGCTTTGGAAGCAAGCCCTGACAATGGCTGGAAGCATCTTTCCGAGAACAAAGTCGACGATGCCCGGATTCTTCATCCCCCTTCGCAGCATGACGACCTCTTCCCTCAGCTTGTCGTTGATTATCGCAAACTTGATGTTGTTGAAGAGGAGGAAGAAGAGCTGCTGACTGCTCCTGCCGTCGCCCTCTCTAAGCCGCAGCCCGTATGAAATCAACCCTGCCACCTGAAGGTTAGGATCTTGGACCGAGGGAGAGTATTCCTTGCTGATCTGCAAGAAAAAATTGTCGACGGCGCAAATATCTGATCCATGCGTCTTGATGAGCGAAACGATGCTCTGCACAAACGTGACGTAGCTACCGTGGCCTGAAGCCTCGCGAGACATGGTCGCCAAGTCACCCTTGATTTGTTCCATGAGCAGCTTCAGCGTTCTTGAGGATTCCGCCATCAGGACTTTTTGCAGCGACGGGCCGGCATCTCGAATCGATCGACGCATGTTCGAGATGACATACTCAAACAGGTCCCGGCTCGTACCGTAATCTGCTTGGACCGTCAATCCCTCGACGGTTTGGGGCACCAAGCCTTTGTCTTGACGATGGAGTTCCTGCGCAAGCTGCATCTCGTATCCTAGGTATTCCCTCGGCTTTACGAGCGACAGGGCCCAGACCTCGGATAGACTAAAGTCGCCGTCGGAAAAGTCGTCCCACCCGCACCCGAGAAGAGTCGATATGAAGAGAACCAGACTTCGACGCTGATCAAGTCCCAACTTATAGGGGGGTCCGTCAAACAAGCCGTACTTGCCAGCTTGGAACATGTCCGACAAGCGCATAACACCAGCGCTCATGAACCTGGCGCCCATCCTGGCAGACAACGTCACAATGTGTTCCAGGCAGTTGGCCTTGTCCAAGTTCGCCATCGCCGAGACAGCTCTGCTCCTTCGACAGGACAGCACACATCTTGCCATGGAAAAGAAGCTCCGCGAAATGTCTTGATCCACAAGAAGGAGCGCATCGTCTGCCTGTGCGGAGTTCAGAATCTGGCTTTCACTCTGCTGACTCTCTTCCGCCTCTTTGAACCCGTCGATTCTGCTGAGAAATATATCTAGGGTTCCGAGAGCCGCCTGCAGCACCCCCCAGTCTAGTGCGGGAGGAGCAACGGCAAAGTGCTTAAAAATACTCTGCAGTTGCAGTGTGTTGAGGGCAAACGTTGCCGCTTCCAAATCAGGAGTGTGCCTCATGACGTCTAGCGACGCAGCAGCACACGCATACAATACGTCCATGACAGCCGCTTTGTTCATCGAGATGGTAGCTTGAATTACCTCGTCGCTGATTGATTTGGTGACATCTTGCGCCAGCGATAGGGCCTGCTGCTGGACGACGGACGCCACCGAGTCGAACTGTCGCAGCACCTGCTGAAAGAACATGTTACGCCACTGAATGAAAGGCTTCAAAGACTGTACTGCTTCTCCGGATGCGACAACAAAGCGTGCGAGCTGGTTCCAACAGCGAACGTTGATTAGACACGCTTCCTTGTGGGAGCTTGCCGGGGCGACGAGCCGCTCAATGAGGTTTGCTGGCGGCCGAATTTCTGGCGGAGACGCCCAAAACAAGGTGCCAAGGAGATCGTGGTGATTTCTCAAGGCAGCTAGGTCGCGGGAGAGGACGTTTTGCTCCTTGAGGTGCTGTCGGTTGTGGTTCGGGATCGTTCTGGCAACCAGGTTGCGCACATCCTTGACCGCCCCAATTCCTTTGAGCTTTTGAATGCTGAGGGCGACGAGCTTCAGGAAGACGTGGAAACACATATCGTCCGGCTCAATGTCTAGCGTCGGACGCCGGACAAGCTCCTCTAGAAAGCGCGGAGATTTGTAGACCTCCTCGTTGCGAAGATGAGCGAAGTTTTGGGAGCCGAAGAAATCGAAAACAACCCCAATCACGGTCGCGGATCTTCGCCATCCCCATTGCTGAACGAGATAATGGCATCGGCCAACCAAGGCTCGGCAGTAGTTGTTGAAGCTCGGGGATTGTCGGGCGTTTTGCTGATAAAGGTAGAACACACGCTTCAATAGCTTCTGTGGGATTATCCAGCCGTCACTTGCTGGATCGAATCGTTGGCCGGGGATGATGACTCCCAAGTTGTTGAACTCAGTCAATGGGAGGAGAGAAAACAGGTCTTCCCAGGAGTGTTCGAAATCGCGCGCGTCAACGCTCGATAAAACTTGCGGCGGTGTTATGGTCGCCTGCGCCAGCTCCCAAAACGAGGCTCGGGGAATTCGAGCAATCTCCAAGGTTTTCATGACGACAACCCAGGAATGAATCACGGGACTGTCGTCTCTCAGCCCACGCTCTCTACAGCGTGGCATGCTGAGGTCATCGTACGACTTCCTGACCTGGGTCACCCCAAGGCCGGAGAGGACGGATAGCAATGTGTTGGCCATGATTTTTAAACAATCCTCGATTCGAAACAATTCGGCCATTGGCAATGGTCGAAAGCGGCAAATCTTGAGCACAACCAGGCACGCCAAAAGTAAGCGATCGTATACCTTCAAGGCCAGCTCGCGCTTGGTTTCCGGTCCTTGAGTGATTCGTTGAACCTGAGGTTTTATGCGCTCGTTGAAGGAGTGAAAGCACTCGTGTGCTCGCGCCACAAACGACTTGGCCTGCTCATCCTCAGTGAAACTTATCGAGTCCTTGAAGTAGGTCAAGATGAACATGGCAGCGGCGGCTGGCATTGACGAATCAGAGGGGTCGCTTTCCCCAGTGCCTCCAGACTCAATATGCTCCGCAACAAAGTCTAGGACGACGCCCAACTCCGAGGAAACCTTGGCGTCAAACAGACCCCATTTCAGAAACTGGCCACCCAAGTTGAAGGAGACACGGGGACGGGCATGCAGCATCCTTTCGCAGAAACCGTCGCTCGAGCAAGATTCAATGACACCGCTGCCAATCAAGGTCGATTCATGGAAATAAACGCGAGCATCGAGAGGGAAAACTTCAAAGTGATGGGTATAACTTGTACCGTAAGGCCCCAGCCCGAGCACCTTGCCTTCCAGGCTATCTGCCCTGACGGGCTCAGGATCTGGAGAGTACTGTGACGGGAGAGGATCGTTGGCGTGACTGTACTGCGGTGCTTCGAGGTCGACGCGACGTGGCCTGGTCCTTTTTCGGAAACCGGGTTTTCGACATGACCGCTCGTGGGACGTCTCATCGGAGGGGTTGGCAGTTCTGAGCGGGGTGTCAATGTCCTCGATAGAACCGGCTGCAGAATCCATTCGAGGCATCTTAAGATGCCGATCTCGATATAGACGGTCAAGGAGTCTCTTTCGCGCGTGAAAAGCAGCATTCGTCATCTGGCCATATTGCTCCAGTTCCAGCTGTGCCGGACGCGTAGGACCCAGACGGTGCTGTAGCATGCTGTTATCTGCCAGGCCTTGTTGCTCCGAGGGACTCGTACTGGAGCCTCCGGGTGTTCGGTAGCTGACAGACCCACCATTGGTGACGTGCTTGACAAGCTTGCGAGTGCTCGTCTTGAGTGGCTTATGGGAAGGCTTCGGTGCTGACCTATTTCCCGAGCCCTCGGCAAGGGGTAGCGCTGAGCGCGATTTCTGGGCGAGGGTGCTCGTGGCCGTGACTGATGGACGCTGCGGAATTGTCCCTGCCCTCCAGTGATGTAGTACTGACACTGCATCGATATGATCTTGCCGTGTGGCGAGCTGAACGGTCTTCTTTCGTGGACTGGACCGACCTTTGTTCTGCCGCTTTTTAGCTGCACGAGCCGCGATTTTCAAGAAACGCGGAGCCCCGGGTTCGATGATGTCCAAGATGCTGAGACGAGGGGGTGGAGGCACGCGTGAAGTGGTTCCTTTCGTGCGGCTGGCCTTGGACCGCTTCCACTGCTTGTTGTCGGCCCGTCCAGTTGACAAATGTTCCCCCCTGAGGCTCGAGCCGCAGGATTTCTGCAACTGGATTGTGATCCTCGCCTGTTTCGGCCGGTTCTCTCGACGTGCGCCGGTAGAATCCTTCACAGCACTTGGCCGCTTGCGACTGCCGCGAATCGAATCTGGCAACTTGAGCTGACGTGATTTGGCTGGTCTTCCGGGTAGCATGAAGTCAATCTGGTCATCTTCCACTACCGACTCTTCATCGTCCAGAACAGTCTGTTTCGTTCGATCAATCCTTGGAGCGGGATCCATCGCTAACCTTGTCTGGTTGTGGAACTGGCCCTTAGTCTTCTTCGAGTGGTCCGGAGCGTCACTGTCGGACGATTCATCAAACAGAAATGGACTTGTGGTTGCGCCGGGCAAGGCTTGTCTTTTTTGCGCAATACCGCGTCGATTTTCTCGTTCGGGAGATGGATATCGCCGCTGCCTTGCCGCGTCCTTTTGGGCCTTGTTGCGATCCGACTGTTGATCAAGCCGCAACCAGGAAGCAGGAAGTACGCCTCGAATTCGGTGGCCCAGCTCATTCATAAGATCCGCATCACTTTCCGAGTCGCTCTCGAGAGAAGATATGTCTTGGGTCTCGAGAGGTTCGGGTGCCCTCTCCCTTGCGCATTCGTCACTGGATGAAATATCAACGACTTTATTTAGAGGTGGTAATGCTGGCGAAGATGATAGTTCGAAGGGGAGCGAGTAGTTCATAATGATTGGAGCAACGAGGGGGGAATTTGGCCGTGTCGAGGGCGCCGCATCGAGCTCCACAGGGTCGCTATCAACGACATTGAGCCTCCTCCGCTTTCGGATCGTCGAGGGCGGTTGTATGGCGTCTCGTTTCGATGCTCTATTCTCGGAGACAAGACGCGGCGGCCGATTCATAAGCTCCTCCAAAGCAGGTAGGTCTTGATCGGGGACGCTCGTATTATCTGTCTCCCCCTGGGAGCTTACTGGGGTGCTGTTCCGGGCATGCTCATGTAGGGGGGACGTCTTCGGAGGGGAGGAGGGAGGGAAAGTAAATTCGTCCAATCTTTCCAAGGAATCTTCAAGGCTGTTCCGCTCACCCTCGGAAAGTCGGACGCGTTGAGCGGAGTCCTGACTTGTGTCTTCGAATTCGCCGTCCGGTAAAGTATCCTCTCGCCTCAAAGTTGCGACTTCGACAGCCGCCCTCAGAGGCTTGACGCCGTGTTTCTTGAGAATTTTGCTGTAGCGGGCGTTCTCGAGCAGGTATGGGTGCTCCTGGATCGGTTTCCGCGGGCGCAACAACCGTTCGTATCGGATGGCTGCTTGTTTAGCTTCATGGTGACTCCCGTCTTGGCCTGACTCCTGTCTCTGCGAAGCCTGTGCTGGAGCAGACGAATCTATTTTGTCACACCGAGGACCACCATGTGGGCTTGAGTGTAGCCGGAAATTTAGCTGGCTGTTTCTGCCAAGTTCGGAAGAAAAGGCGTTTTTGACAGTTTTGCGGTTCAGGATGAGACTGCTGACGGGAGGAAGATCTTGGTCGCTGAGAGCCGAGGACAGCGGCGACGAGTCGAAAGCAGGGAGTGGTATGGGCGGCGCCGTCTCTTCGCCAGCAGTTCTGTGCCGTTGGTCTTGTTGAGAGCCAAGAAACTCCCATATGTCCGCTTCACGCTCGGCGGTGGCCGCATCGGCAGCAGGCAGCGGCAGATCGGTGCTGAATTCTTGGTTGTCGAAATCGTCGCCCTCCTCGTCCGAATCCGGGACCTCCCCCAGCTCTCTCCAGTTGGACATGTTCTCTGATCGTCATTGCCTCATGCTGTCGTCGCAGGAGCTTCGGAAGGCGGCGAGGGTGACGAATATGTGAGAGGTGAAAGCGATTGCTGGTAGGCGTGGGCTTGGATCTGGCGGATACTCGCGGGTAAAGCACCTTGCAAGGAGTGGCGCGGTTAGTGGAGAGGTACTCGGGGTACAAGCTTTGGATGTTTAGTTTACCACCCAAGAGTAGGTACCGATTGATAGGTAGGACTAATAAACGCGCTGCACTCGGCTGGGGAGACGCGTTCTGCGAAGACGCGTGGGAACCTGTCAGATTACTAAGCAAACCGACCACACTGGCGCCCACGTTGAGCTCCTCGTCCTCGAGTTAACAATTAACATGAGGATCGAGCAGCAGAACAAAATACATCTGCCCATCGAGTAGGCGCTCCATCACACTGCAGGCGGGTGCCTCATTATGGATTCATATTCCGGCATCTAATCCACTTAATAGGCCGACGTCGAAAATACGTACTTGCATTCTTCGCCTTTACACCTCCATTGGCACCAACCCAGGAGCGCTTCGCCTCTCGGAGGATTGACCAAAAGAAGTGAAGCTCGCCCGCCATGAGCGGCCTGCAGAAAGCATTTCCAGTCGCGCTCGCCATCTTTTGTGGCGTTCTTGGTGGTGCGACGAACCCGCATCCCCTTGCTCCTCTGCCGACACGCGATGGGCCAGAGGCGACTGACTTCTTTGATCAGGGTACTACACTTTCCAGCCGATGCTTGCACCAGATAATCTTCCCCGAGACGATGGGGCCAAGGCGTAAATGTCTACCCCCCTTTCGGAAACAGTATTCGTTGTCTTACAACCCCCGCAGCAAGATTGACGGCTCTCGTCCCGGGAGAGTGGCGGAAGATGAGCCCAAGTCAGGCTCCTTGAAGGAGAGGTAGGCTGGTTCAGACCTCAGAGTTGAAGGCCGCCAGCGCGTTACCGTCCTCATGCCCGCAGCGGCGCCATATGGGCAAAGACCTTCCCAGGTCTGCCCTATCTCGCCGACCGCTGGCCCCTGTTCGCAGCAGATGCTCATCATCGCCTGGTTTGAAACTTGGATAAAGGACGACATGGAGTCTATCTTAGACACGATGCAATTATCGATGCGCACCTATGCGCCAACGATCATGTCCTTCATGATATTCGTTACGGCAGACCTCAAAATCAAACCTCGTCAGCACTTGTCATGTCCAAACCCCCTTCCCTCGTGCTGTAGGTGAAGAGTTGGGAAGGCGTCGTTATCAACTCATGGCCCGACTTTGCCACCAACAAGCGTCCGGTCTCATCACTTTTCGCTTCATATAAAGGGCGCGTCCAAGCCCCAGAACATTCGATCCCAATCTATTGAGTCCAAGTCCATTCTCCCCTGGAGTGCCTGCCACTGTTGTTCCAGATAGGCTGTCTCCGATTCTGGGTCAACTTGCAGAGAGGCGGCTCTGTTATCGCTTTGCTCGCGATGCCCCGACTCGGGCGTCATCGGAGCGGTTTCCCTGTGTTGGTCAAGCTTTCCCAACGGCTGGTTCTTGAGGGCCTCGAGCGCTGGGTGCGTTGCCCTGTGTTTTGCGAGTACTTGAACCGAGAGCTCCAGTAATTTCGAGGCCAGCGGCGATTGGCCCTTGGCCTCTTGCAAGATGCTCCACGCATCAGATACCTCTTCTCCGTTCGCAGAGCCATCTTGCGACTCGCTCCCCAGACAAGCATCGAGTACCAGCGCAATACAGGCGAGGAAGACACTTCGCAGCGTCATGTTCATCCGCTGGCGAAACGAGACAAAGGGCAAATCCTCTTTCCGCAGCTGGTGCTCTACATGGATGATGACGCGTGCTGACTTGAGGCACTCGGCGTGGGAGTAGGCAAATGCCGGCTCGATGGTACCCCGTGCAAGATATGGCAAATGAAGCTTGCACAATTGGCGATGAAGAAGGATGTTGAGCGTATAGCGCTGTACGGTGATGCTGTGGGACCGCCGGGGATCGGTAGGCGGCAAGCTATCCCAATCGACATTGTCGAGCGAGAAGAAGGGCGGCATCTCCTTCATGAATCGCTTGAGCCGCGTGTCCAACTCCATGACCTGCCTGTAGTCCATGGTCTCCGGGCTCAGGAGGATGAAGGGGCTACGATCCAAGAGTGCGTGGCAAACTTGGGCCAAACGGATGCGCTGCAGCAGATATGACACACCCGTCGGCTCGTGCAGTGGACGATCGATGACATCTCTACCGTCCACGAGGTCTTCATCGTGGGCGTTTCGAGGCTTCCTAACCGCCATTTGGTCAGGATGCACCGTGTAAGTGCCCTCTTGCGGGACAGAGAATTGCGAGAGCATCCTGTTACGGCGTCAGCAGGTATTCCATGGGCAGTTACGAAGGGTTACTGACCAGTCAGATGCCGCGAGGTACCACCAGACTCTGCGTCCGATTTCCGTCTTGATGCTGTTCATATCTGCCGAGTTGGAAGCGGATGAGCTGCCGGGGTAGTCAATGGAGTGCAAGGCCAGCTCCCGGCCCATGGCGATGGACTGGGCGACGAGACAGCGGGCTCGTGACGAAACGCCTTCCAGGCTGCAAATGACGAAGAAGAGGATGATCATGCCCTGCGTGCACTCCAGGGACGCATGTGCTGTGCGGTGCGCATGATCGACGACGTCCAGAGCCGCTTTAAGCCATGCTGTCGTCTGGGAGTTTGCTTCGGCCGCGTTGGCGAACAAGCACCTCGCATCGTCATGCGGCGTCCACGAGTACGTGGTGCTGGTGCAGATGCTTAGGAGGAGCAGCAGGGCGCCCGAGTCAGCGCCATGCCCTCGGTCTAGGCCATCGTAAAGGGAGTTTATAAGGGCCGGCAGCGAGGGAGAGTGGATGATGTGATGGAGGTGATCGATGTCACTGATGTACTTTTGCAGCAGGACATGAGTCTCCTCGCGCCGAGGCAGCCAGATGCACTTGAAGACCTGCGCCGCCTCTGCCGAAGGGGAAGCAACACCGTTTGGCTCGAGGACAAACGACGACGGTTTGGTGATGAGGCGGATGGGGCATGTGCGGAAAGTGATGGGATCCGCCACCAGGGAGTCCTACGAGCCGGATGGTGTCATGTCAGTAGGGACTGAGGCGCCATGTCAACCTGGGAAGGCCTTGAGGGCACGATGGCTCGAGGCCGGCGAGACGATGCTCCTCTTACCAAAATCTTCTGGCCCGAGCACGACTTCTCGAGCCACAGGGCGTCAGCCGTCAGACGCTGAAGCCGCGAAGGGACGGCCAGCGAAGGTGGCGGCGGCGGTGGAGGCGGCGGCGGCGGCGGCTGCTGCTGCGACGCAGGGTAGGCCTGTTTAGACGGTTCCTGCGTCTGGGAGGCGACCAAGGCCTCGAGACGCTCGAGGCGCGACAGCAGGTCGAGATTGGGAGGCTCTGTGGAACTCGAAGCGTTCCTCGCATGCGCTGGAGGCACGGCGGGGGTCACGGCTTCATGCTGGCAGGCGACTCCGCGGGACGTGCAGTTGGAGCACGGGAAGACGCGACTGCAGCGCAGCTTGCGCACCCGGCATAGGGTGCACGAAACCGGTCGCTGTCTCGGCTGGCGACCCATCTTCTATCACCTCTCACTACCCTTGTTGCCTGGCAAGAGGCTATTCCTTGGCACCTTGGAATGGGACTCCGTGGGTTTGCTTCCCCCTCCTTTCCCCCTTGATTGTGTAGTCGGGGTCATGTAAGTCGACGACGGACGGACCGACGGACAATGGCCGACTAGCCGCGGATAACCGGACTCTCCGCGGAGAGTCCGCGGCCGATGCTCAGCTCCGGCCAAGGCCGCAGCTAATAATTACCGTACAGCAGTCTGGGGCAGCGGGGGCTGCACGAAAGCGGATCCGCTCTAATTACGGGTAATTTGTACGGAGAAAGTGTCACGAACCAGCGTGTCTCACGGATTAATGATTAATGTGTAGGAATAGGCTTAGGCACGGAGCAATTCGTTATCTGTGCAGATGCAAACGCTATTACGTAATCAAGTATCTGACAGTGGGGCTACGGAGTACTTAAATACTGTACAAAAGGCTCCCTCCCGTGTTGGGCTGGTTTTATAATCTCCAAGACGCGAATGCAAAGTAGGGGTTGTTTGGCCGCCGTCTATTTTTGCCGAGAGAATGTTTACAGGCGCCTGAGCGTGTGAAGCGCCCCTTCTGGTAAGTTCTGGTAAGGGGCGCTGCGACAGCTCCCTACGTGAGGCGAACTTGTGGTACATACATCGCGAGGGAGCACCGGGGCTTAATCACGCGGATATTTCTTTTGTTCCATTTACGTGAGAAGTCTCGCTCCAAATGAAGCTATAGAATGGGAAAGGTAGTTTAACACATTGAGCATAAATCCCGTTTCCACGCCAACAAATTCCAAAGTCCCAGCGGCAGAGCCCGTTATCTTAGATGAACGCGAGACTTGCTAAAACCATTCATTGCTTTACTAGCAGCCAAAGGCGAGAAATCTTGATGCGAGGGATAATGGGCGCATGGACTTGGACACATTTGGTCCCAAAAGCAGCTTATGCAAAGCTTTGGCAAACTTCTGGCCCTCGAGGTTGAACTGGTGCATTAGGGCGAACTCCTTAAAAGCACGTGGGTAGATGCCTGAAAAGCCCCAGTCGAGAATCGTAACGGGCTCGCCAATCTTGATGTTGAACTGGGTTATATCGCAGTGGCATATTTGAAGGGGTTTGTCTGGCAAGCTTGTTCTATCCGGGTAGCCAGCCTGCTTCCTCGAGTTTGCCGTTTATCCAACTTTCCAGCTCGACAATCTAGATCATTAAAGACACTCTCCGAAATATACTCCGAGAAAAAACGATCAGCAGGAATTTGTCGCTCAAGAGGTCCTGGGAAGCGCGTTTAGCGGAATAGGAATGTCCCAGATATGACGAACAGCTCTGGCGATAGCTTCGAGGATTTGTTCTACTTCTTGGTGATGTTGCTTAATATGGGTGATATAATCATCGCCTTTGATATGTTCCATGACAAAGCATGTCATAGAGATTCTATAGGCCGTTGCTGTACTAAAAGCGTCGAGAATTCGCGGAATGCGGATGCACGTATCGTTGAATCGCCGCCTCAGCCAACGTCACTCCCGTGCCGTATTTGATCCAGATTTCGTCGTCGTAGGTTAAAACGTTGGACTTGGGTCCCTTGGCCCGGCACAGAGCCTCCACGACATCTCTTGGGGGAGCTTGCGATAGAGTCATCTTGACTGTCGGACAATGACGAGGTGCGGGGACAAGAAATGAATGGCTTCAGATTCTGGGAAATCATGAGGTAAGCAACCCCAAGCCTTCTGGTTAATAATTGTCGCACGCACACTGTCGGCCTCTGTGGCAGGGAGCCGGGACCACCCCCCCTTAGGCGTCCTGTGTGCCCGTATTATCCTCCCTGTGTCTAAGCCGGATTAGGCGTGGCTGCAGCTATAGACGTAAGGTATACACCATTACATCATTACATCATTACAGCCGCAATTGTATACATATTAAGTACGGACTGACTATGTTCAAGGTAGGGGGGCTTGATGGCTCCGGGATCCATGGACATCCATGGACAGACGGGTGAACAAGGATGGCGGCCGGCATCTGAGTTTGACCGGCGCCCACATGGGCATCTCATCAATATTTGTCTTGGTCCTGGCGAGAGTCGGGCCTCTAACAGCTTGCCTGGCCAGAAGCCGCACTTAAGAGGTCTTCTATCCTCGCTGTTGGCGCTCGAGAGCGGCAATATTTGTGCTACCGACTGTCTCATCTCCTATACGTGCTCAGAGGAGCGGCTGTGTCTCCGTCATCGACAACATGACACCCCAGAGCCCAGGCGACATGGATGGCTCTCACCCTCGTGCTCCTCCATGGCCTCTGCAGGGCGACACTGAAAAGGACCTGGAGCGTCTCGACGGCGAGAGCAGCACATCCGCCCCTGAAGCCACCGAGCCAACGCCTCGAGACCCCAGCGTCGTCAGCTGGGACGGGCCCGACGACCCCGAAAACCCTCTCAACTGGCCCCTGGCCAGAAAAGCGGCGGCCATAGGAGTCGTTTCAGCCATCACCTTTCTCAGGCAAGTCACTCTTGAGGGGTTACTCGCAGAAGAAGCACCCGACGTGCCGAGCCACGGAAAAGAAGCTCACGATGCCGGCCGCTCAGCCCCCTAGCGTCGTCCATCTCCGCCCCTGGCATTCCCCAGGTCATGTCCGACTTCAAATCGACAAACGAAGAGCTCGCGTCCTTCATCGTGTCCGTCTACGTCCTCGGCTACTGCTTCGGGCCCTTGGCCATTGCGCCGCTGTCGGAGATTTACGGCCGGGCGCCGTTGTATAACATCTGTAACGTCGGCTTCCTCGTCTTCACCGTCGCTTGCGCTGTGGCCCCGAATCTCGGGGCGCTGGTGGTCTTCAGGCTGCTCGCAGGCCTTGCCGGCAGCTGCCCGATGGCCCTCGGGCCCGGGACCATTGCCGATCTCGTCGCTCGGGAGAGGCGAGGGAAAGTAATGGCTGCGTGGGTGTCTGGACCTTTGCTGGGGCCTGTCATCGGGCCCATCGGTAAGCGTGCCTCCTTGTATTCGAGTTCATGTGCTATGCTTAGTCTGACACAATTACCATTCGCAGCGGGAGGATACCTGACACAGGCCAAGGGCTGGCGGTGGTCCTTTTGGCTGCTGGCCATTGCGGTGAGTGAAATCGAGCCTGGCGAAAGGTCGTTCTCGGAAGCCACGTTGCTCATGTGCGCACACATACAGGGAGGCGTCGTCATGCTCGCCTCGTTTGTCATGATGCGCGAGACTTATGCGTATGCGATCCTCAACCGCAAGACCAAGAAGCTTCGTAAGGAGACTGGGAACCAGGGCCTTCGCTCCTCCCTCGATAACGGTCATTCGTCGAGAGAAATTTTTGCCACGGCCATCGTCCGACCCAGCAAGATGCTCATTTTCTCCCCGATCGTCTTCCTCCTTTCCCTCTACATGTGCATACTGTACGGGTATCTCTACCTCATATTCACAGCCCTCCCAGACTTGTTCCAGCACGAATACGGCTTCTCAACCGGCCAGGTCGGCCTCACTTACCTTGGCATCGGAGCTGGTTCGGCCCTCGGCCTGGTGGTTTGTGGCGCCGCATCTGATCGGCTGGTGGAAACCCTGAGACGGAAACACGGCGGAGAGTTCAAGCCAGAGTACCGGCTGCCTCTCATGGTCATTGCGGGATCGGCCGTTCCGATTGGGCTCTTCTGGTTCGGCTGGACAGCCCAGGCGCAACGGCACTGGATCCTCCCTATCATCGGCACGTCATTTCTGGGGTTCGGCATGACCCTCGCGTTTGTAAGCCCAACTAGAAGCCGACCGGTCACCGGTCCCAAATATGCTGACGGGCTTTACAGATGGCGATATCGACGTACCTGGTCGATGCTTTTGGTGCATTCGCTGCATCGGCAGTGGCCGCCAGCACCGTCCTTCGTTCGCTCGGCGGTGCGGTGTTGCCGCTGGCCGGAGGCAAGATGTTTGTAACGCTGGGCTTTGGTTGGGGTAGCTCGCTTCTGGCCTTCATCGCCTTGGCCATGATTCCGGTCCCGATAGTCTTCTTTCGATACGGCGAGCACATCAGGAAAAAGAACCTCTTGGGCGTTAAGTTTTGAAGACAGCCTTCATTGAGAACGCCATCGTATCTGAATTCAAAAGGGTGACTTCATCCAAAGAATCCGCGCTACAGGAAAGGATACATTACTTGCGGTTAAACAGAACATTTCCTGTTCCCAGGAGGGCATTGCGCATAGTTATATACGGGAGGCAATATTCGTAGGCGAGGATGGAAAGACGGGGTCAAATCTCAACTCATTTCTGCATCCGCGAATGAAGAGTCTCGCGTCTAAGACGTTTTGGGTCATCGCTTCCGTGACGAAGACGTATTTCTGAGCATGGCGAAGACAGTCGGAGGGGAAGATGCTCGAGGCAAGCTGTGTCTAGCAAGCTTTTTGCTGAAGAGCTTGGAGCTATCCGAAAGAGGACATGCACTCCAACAGCAGCTAATCCACCGCTCGTGATTCGCGCACGTGACTCGGCGATCCGGACCACGGCTTAGTCATTGCCGCTGATGACCCGAGTTTACACTGGCTCAGCGCAGAGAGAGCCAGTGTACCTACTAGGAGAGGAATTCCACCCGCCCACCTCCCTCATACGATCCGTCCATCTCTCGTCGACTCCAAAATCTTCACGCACCCCGACCGCAAGCGCGCCAATTGACCTCTCCCCGGCCCCCCGGAAGACAACACCCCCAACATGCTGCGCACCCCGGCGTCCAGTCTGCTGCGCAAGGGCCTGGTGCGCAGCGTCCCCGCCGCCGCCGTTGCCTCGCGCGCCTCGTCGACCCATGCCATCTCCAAACCGACCCTGGCCAACATCGAGAAGCGATGGGAGGGCATGCCTCTGCAGGAGCAGGCAGACCTCTGGATGTCCCTGCGTGACCGCATGAAGGGAAACTGGAATGAGTTGACCATCCAGGAGAAGAAGGCCGGTGCGTGCTGAGTACCCGAATTTTCCCTTCATGGTTGGAAAATGCCTCCCGAGCCGTCGTCGTCCCCCCGCCCATGCGGCTCTGCACTTCCCGCTCCTCAAGCTCCACTACCACACACGCCTTGGTGCAGAGCTGTGTCAAGCTTCGTCGATTGAACCCTGCCTCGCGTCCTCCCCCAGTAGCCCATGCCCGGGTTGGCCAACGGTGGGCCGGCGTGCTAGGAGTCGTCCAAGAAAGCCTCTGAGCGGCCGTCACATTGCCAGTTCCCACGACCAAAAACTAACTCGAATCACCTCACCAGCATACTGGATCGCCTTTGGCCCTCACGGGCCCCGCGCCGTTGACCCCCCGGGCACCAATGCCCGTATTGCCTGGACCGTCGCCATGGGCCTCGCCGCCAGCCTGGCCATCTTCGGCACCATCCGCTCCTTTGCCAAGCCCGCGCCGCATACCATGTCACAGGAACACCAGGAGGCGGCCAACGAGATGCTCAAGGTATGCGAGGAGGATCATGGTAAGCCAGGAACGCTACGCAGGTTGCTGATGCATGCCGTCACAGAAACAAAAAGCCGACCCCATCACCGGCATCTCCTCCGAGAACTACACTGGCAAGGGCCAAGTCCAGTCTCCCCCGAGGGGCAACTGAATGCGCTCAGCAAGCATCACTTGGTCTCTTTTGTCATAGAAACACTGGGGCGCCATGGGAGGGGAGCGCTCCCGCCATGTGTAAAATGGCCCTTCGAGCGTAAGACGAGGGACGCTCGGGCTTGGAAGTGGAGGCATGAGCCGGGTGTGTGTCGCGGGTGTAAATACTGTAATACAACAACGGACTTCAAGCCGCTGGTGCCACCCCAAGCCTTCAAGAGAAACGTCCAAGAGTTATTACCTAACTTGCTTCATCAATCCCATTTCCAACGCCCCGCATAATATGTGTATATGATCCGATCAGCTTCCCCTATGTGCATCACTACGTCATCCGCCACTCTGCCCGGCCTCCCTCAGCCGCTCAAAAGTGGTGTGTGGTGTCGAGCTCGATCTTGGACCTCTCACCTCCTCTTCCTCCAACCGTCGGTCCAGCTCGAACCGCCCGTCTTTGCCCCAGTATGGCGCCTTTTCCGTGCCCTTCACGCAGCCTTCCGTAATGAGAACATACGGCGTCGGGGCGTCGAACATGGGCTCGGCCAAGACACGCTCCATTTCCATCTTCAGCCCTCGTGCCCCCGTCTCCGAAGCGGCGGCACGATCAGCAATGGCGTACAGGGCCTTTTCGGTAATGTAGAGCCGAGATGGATACGTCTCAAACAAAGCCGTGTATTGTGCAACGAGACTATTGCGTGGTTCTGTCAGTATGCGCAGCAGGTCATCCTTGGAAAGAGGGCTGAGGGCGCAGATGTTGTGCAGTCGGCCGATGAGTTCCGGTATGAACCCGAAGCTCTGGAGATCGGCGGGCGTTGTCAGATCCAGGGGAGTAAACGAGGAAGCTGGCGTCGAGTCGAAGTGGGCGAGATGAGCGTAGGCGTCTGGGGGAAGAACGTGTTTGCTGCCGGATAGCGTCGACCGTCCTTTGACCTCTCCTCCAAACCCAAGTGAAGGCTTCGCCACGCGCTGCACGACAGCCTTATCAAGGCCAACAAAGGCGCCGCAAAAGATAAAGAGGATGTTTGTTGTATCGATGGTGTACTGATCCACCTTGCCTCCCGGGGGTGCGGGCTGAGGTGAGGACGACGAGGGCCCGGAAGAGCCGAAGTTGGTCGTGATTGGCGGCGTCGACCGTGATGACCGTGTGTCCTTGACGTTGACAGTGACCTTGGTCCCTTCAACCATCTTCAACAGTGCTTGCTGCACGCCCTCGCCGCCGACATCTCGGCCGGTGGGAGACTCTCTCCGAGCCAGTTTGTCGAACTCGTCCAGGACAACAATGCCGCGCTCTGCCGCCTTGATATCGTAGTTCGCCTCTATCAGTAGACGCTCAATGCATGTTTCCACGTCTTGTCCGATGTACCCAGCTTGAGTCAGAGAGTTGCAGTCGCAAATCGAAAACGGGACTTGGATTTTTTTGCTTAACGTCCTGAACCCAGTTAGACAGGCCAACCAGTACGGCGCCAGCGAGGCGTGTGCTTACTCGAGAATATAGGTTTTGCCCACACCCGTGGGCCCGATCAGCAAGAGGTTGCTCTTGTCCACCTTGACGTGGGCTGGCTTTGACATGTCCTCTGGAGCATACAGGCAGTCAAGAGAATCATCTTCGAAATCGTCAATATCGTAAAGCGACCGCACGGATTCTTCATGGCCCGGGAATTCATCTTGATTCAGTTCGTCAGCGGCACTCGATTTGGCATTCCCGGAAGCCGCTCGCTGACCTTCGACGGGGTGTGTGTCGCGGCGCCTCTGGTGCAGCTCCCGGTCACGGGCAAATCTTTGTCGCGTAAACCTCTCTTGCTTGTTTCGCTCCTCGTGCTCGTGCTGATGCCTCCGACGCAGGTTTTGGTAGTGGTTGAATAACGTCGAACAAATTGTCTTCTTGGCTCGGTCCTGGCCCACCACATATTGGTCGACTCGCTTCTTCAGGTCGCGGGGATAGAATTGCGGAACGCCGAACTTCGTCTTGCTGAACATTGGGCCACGGCTCGAATCCACCGTGGGATCGTAGCTACCAGTGAACCCGGCGTTGAAGTCTGGCGTTCGCCGGGCAGCTTCCAGCGGTCGGAACGAGGAGAGCTGGCGGCAGCAGATGCATCGCGTCGGCCAACAAGCCCGCCTCAAGCCATGACGACAGGCCCGTATCCACGGAGCGAGCGTTCTGGAGCGTGCGAGCATGGTGAAGTCGCATAGTCCGCAATCGGTCGGTATGTGGAAAGTCGAGGCGGCGAAGAAGGGAGCGAAGGACAGGGACGGGGCTGTCTATCCACGCGGGCCCTTCAGGTCACCGGATGCGGGGAAGTGAAGGCGGCAGGCAGGAGCGGCTATGCGGCGTAGAGGACTGAGCCTGCCCAAGGAGCTCGCGACGGCTTTTCCTGCTGCTAGAGGACACGAGACACGGATTTCGGAGCGTGAGGATGGAAGATGAGCTTGCGATGTCTCAAGATGGGCCCAGCCGGGGGTCTGGCCTGGCGGTCGGTCACTCGTGGAGGAGGAACGGGGGCGCCGCTTAGAGACGGCAGGCAAGAGATGCGGGGCCCCGTTATCGGCGGCGGGTGATGGAAGCCAGCCGGGGGAGCTACAGAACATCAAATCTAGGTACATACCTAAGGTACCTCTTAGGTGGAGGAAATGTATTGGTACAGTACTTCATACTTTCGGCTCGCTTTACGCACACAATGAGTCGTATCCCAATACATAAGGCACCAGTAGTCGCTGGTGTAGCTACCTAGGTACCTACCTTGTTCAGACGTCATCGGTATATCCAATCTTGATATCGATAAAGCTTGTGCCGTCGCGCAGACCACCATCGCCAGGCCAACACTCTTCTTCTACCTTGTAATCATTTCATCTTAGTTGGCCGCCCTCTCAGCACTCCTTTCAACTTGCCAAAGAGTTATCCGCCTTTCTTCGCCTTTTCTGCAATCTCAAAACGCGAGGTGCTCTGCAGCTGTCCCTCGTTTGCCTGGAGCTCTGGGACTTGCTCAATTGCATCATCCGTCTTCCTCCATACGACTGTGCAGCCCCCTACCCCGCCTGAGCATCGAGAAACATTGACTGGCCACCGCGACACAATGGCCGCGATTGTGGAAAATTCGTCCAATTCCCTGGAGGCTAACGGTTCCCAAGGAGCCGCGGACGATGTTCCCAACGACGGCACAGGTCAGCCGGGCGTATGGATCAGTCAGAGGCACTTGCTGATTTGGCATAACAGGAGTTGTCAAGCTGGACCCATGGCTTGGCCCATTCAGCGACGCCCTCAAGAGGCGGTACGCAAAAGCCAAACAGTGGATGAAGGCCATCGCCGACAGTGAGGGGGGCGTGGAGAAGTTCTCGAGAGTACGATGCCTGCAATCCTTTCTCACACAAGATCCCGGCCTGACAGAACCTTGCTAGGGAACGGAGAAGTTTGGCTTCAACGTTGACGACAAATGCAACATCGTCTATCGAGAGTGGGCACCGAATGCTACGGAGGCGTTCCTCATTGGAGATTTCAGTACGTTTGCGAGCTTCTCCAGTCAACTGGCAGCATGCTGACGTGCTGTGCAGATGACTGGAACCGAACAGCCCACCCTATGCAAAAGAATTCACTCGGCGTTTTTGAGATAACTCTTCCGGCCAAGGATGGCCAGCCAGCAATATCACACAAGTCCAAGGTCAAGGTATGTGTTAACAATGGGTGATGCGGTATGAAGCTGCTCGCTGATACGTCTGTAGCTCTCCCTCGTTCTACCCGGGGGCGAGCGGGTGGAGCGTGTCCCGGCATGGATCAAGTACGTTACTCAGGATCTCAACGTCTCTCCGGTATACGATGCTCGATTGTGGAACCCGCCCCAGGGTGAAAAATATCATTTCAAGAACACCCGCCCCAAAAAGCCGGCCAGTCTCCGGGTTTACGAGGCACATGTCGGTATATCGACCCCCGAGCAGCGGGTGGCGACGTACAAGGAGTTCACCCAGAACATGCTGCCGCGAATCAAAGGCCTAGGCTATAACGTCATCCAGCTCATGGCAGTCATGGAACACGCATACTACGCTAGCTTCGGCTATCAAGTCAACAGCTTCTTTGCAGCAAGCAGTCGCTACGGTCCGCCGGAGGACTTAAAGGAGCTCATCGATACCGCTCACGGCATGGGTCTTGTTGTTCTTCTGGACGTCGTCCACAGCCATGCCTCCAAGAATGTCTTGGACGGGCTCAACGAATTCGATGGTACGGATCATCAATATTTCCATGGCGGAGGCAAGGGCCGTCACGAGCAGTGGGACAGTCGATTGTTCAACTATGGCAACCACGAAGTGTTGCGGTATCTCTTGAGCAACTTGAGGTTCTGGATGGACGAGTACCAGTTTGACGGTTTCCGCTTCGATGGCGTAACAAGTATGCTTTACGTCCATCACGGCATGGGAACGTGAGTTGCACCATCCTCCTCCTTCGCCCTTTGGGACGACCGGCTAAAAGGTGTAGGGGATTCTCTGGTGGCTACCATGAGTATTTTGGTGGCGAAGTCGATGAGGAAGCAGTCGTTTACCTCATGCTTGCCAACGAGATGCTGCACTCACTCTACCCAGAATGCATCACCGTTGCCGAGGACGTGTCTGGAATGCCTGCACTCTGCCTACCGCTGTCTTTGGGTGGCATTGGGTTCGACTATCGTCTGTCGATGGCGATCCCGGACATGTGGATCAAGATTCTGAAGGAACTCAAAGACGAGGAGTGGGACATGGCGAATATTTGCTTCACCTTGACGAACCGGCGCCACGGCGAAAAGACCATCGCGTATTGCGAAAGTCATGACCAAGCGTACGTACTGAGTGGCCATCGGGATTTTACACCTGCGCTAACTCTGGATTAGACTCGTCGGGGACAAGACTCTGATGATGCATCTCTGCGATGCAGAAATGTACACAAACATGTCGGTACTGTCACCGTTGACGGCCGTCATTGACCGCGGCATGTCTCTCCACAAGATGATTCGACTCCTCACGCACAGCTTGGGAGGGGAAGGGTATCTGAACTTTGAAGGCAACGAATTTGGCCACCCCGAGTGGCTCGACTTTCCACGAGAGGGCAACAACAACTCCTTCTGGTATGCCCGACGCCAGCTTAACTTGACAGATGACAACCTGCTCCGCTACCAATTCTTGGACAACTTTGACCGCCAGATGAATAAGTGCGAGGCAAAGTACGGATGGCTTCACTCATCGCAGGCTTACATATCTCTGAAGCACGAAGGTGACAAGGTGATTGTATTTGAGAGGGCTGGCCTGGTGTTTGTCTTCAACTTCCATCCGAGGGAAAGCTTTAGCGACTATCGTATCGGCGTTGAAGTCCCAGGAACCTATCGCGTGGTTTTGAACAGCGACATGAAGGAAGTCGGGGGATACAACAGAATCGATCAAAACACGCGATTCTTCACGACCCCGATGGAATGGAACGGGCGCAAGAACTGGACTCACGTCTACATACCCTGCCGTACGGCGATGGTCAGTACACTCTGCCCTGTCCTGTAACGATTTCGTATCTGGCTGACATGCAAGCAGATCCTGGCCTTGGAGGAGACGCTGTCCTAGCGACGGGTCATGAGCCGTACCACTGGCAGCGTATCGGACATAGCTTGTTTAACCTTGCTTGACGAGCCCTTGCGGGAGACGGGCCAATAAAATTGTGCATCTACACGGCTGAAGTAACAGTTCGAAAAGGAGCCGGAAAATCACTAGTACCTGGTACATTTTATTAGTAATATACAGTTTGACAAGATTCGGCGCTGTGAGGTGCAGCAACAGGTTAGCTGCGTCGTGGACGCCTGCCCAGGTGATCGTCCATCTGTGTGGGAACGGCAAGTGGCGTTTCTGGCTCACGAATGCCAGGCACCGAGTCGCCCTTGTTGGGTAAGAAGGGAGGAGAAGGGACGGGAGCTTGAGTCGCGGCACACTGTGTACCGAGTTTCACCTCAGCTGCTGTTAATCACGGAGTAGCTGGAGGAGTCGTATTTGGACGCATGAACGGGCAATAAATGTGCAAAGGGACTCTCAATACATTTGTCTGTGGATAGCGATGAACTCATATTAGATGTCCACAACGTATTCTGGTGGCCTTGATGCGAAGGCAGAAAGACCTTGGCCGTGCAGATTGGAACGCAACCAACTAGGTAGGTAACCGCTTGGTGAGCCGTACGGTACGGACAGCAATGCAGGCACCGTGTACTCTGAGGCACGGCATCGCCAGCAGAATCTGGAAGCCAACCACCGAGGTATCCTGACACTGTGAAGCCCGCAGCGACTACTCCGTACTCCGAACCTCGTTCCAGACTAGCGTCTCACGTGATCATAGGGAAAGCTCTAACCGACGAGGTTGTCCGTTCCCGAGCAAATCTGCTCACTGCAAATTCTCCCCAGCGTTTACCAATCTCTCTCCACTCTCATCACTGATCGCTCTCTGTCATCTGGCAAGATGTTCAAGAGGTGAGTTTCGGTCGCCCGAGCTACCTGCCGCATTTTTCGCGCGCTGTTGGCCCCAATTGGGGTGCATTGAGCTGACCCTGCTTCGCAGCGGCATTTCCTCCTTCGCCAGAGCAGCCCGCCCGTCCTTCGCGGCCGCGGCCACGCGACGTGCTCTTCGACCCTCATCCATTCTCCCTGCCAGCTACCGATTTGCGTCGTCCACGAGCGTTGGAGATGGCAAGATTTACCAGGTGAGGCCTGCCCCGGCACCTGCAGAGTCAGAAGCGGCTCGACGCTGACGAGAATGGATCCATAGGTCATTGGTGCCGTCGTTGATGGTCAGTCCATGAGCTTCATGGCAACCTCCACAAGCTTACACCTTGCAAGACGCCCGCTGCTGACAGAATCGCAGTCAAGTTCGACACGGCCAAGCTGCCTCCTATCCTGAACTCTCTCGAGACGCAAAACAACGGCCAGAAGCTTGTGCTCGAGGTCGCGGTGCGTGCGGCCTTCTCCGAGGACACTGGTAGACATGTGTTGACCATTCTTAGCAACATCTCGGTGAAAATGTCGTCCGCTGCATTGCCATGGATGGTACGTGCCTGATGCGTCGCAATGTCCCCCGATTAATGTCTGACACCGTCCAGGTACCGAGGGTCTCGTCCGTGGCGCCAAGGCCACCGACACTGGCGCTCCCATAACCATCCCCGTCGGCCCAGCCACTCTTGGCCGTATCATGAACGTCACCGGCGACCCCATTGACGAGCGTGGCCCAATCAAAACCGACAAGTTCCTGCCTATCCACGCCGAACCCCCGGCCTTCACCGACCAGTCCACCTCGGCCGAGATTCTGGTAACCGGCATCAAGGTCGTCGATCTGCTGGCCCCCTACGCTCGTGGTGGCAAGATCGGTCTCTTTGGCGGTGCTGGTGTCGGCAAGACTGTGTTCATCCAGGAGCTCATCAACAACATCGCCAAGGCTCACGGTGGTTACTCGGTATTCACTGGCGTCGGCGAGCGAACCCGCGAGGGCAACGATTTGTACCACGAAATGCAGGAGACGTCCGTCATTCAGCTCGATGGCGAGTCAAAGGTCGCTCTGGTGTTCGGTCAGATGAACGAGCCCCCGGGTGCTCGTGCCCGTGTTGCCCTCACTGGTTTGACGGTTGCCGAGTACTTCCGTGACCAGGAAGGCCAGGACGGTAAGCATTCGGAGCCTTCCCCTTCACTGGGATGCCTGTGCTGACTTCCCGGACAGTTCTGCTCTTCATCGACAACATTTTCCGTTTCACTCAGGCCGGTTCCGAAGTGTCTGCTCTGCTTGGTCGTATTCCCTCTGCCGTCGGTTACCAGCCTACTCTCGCCGTCGACATGGGTGGTATGCAAGAGCGCATCACCACCACCAAGAAGGGCTCTATCACCTCCGTCCAGGCCGTCTACGTCCCTGCTGACGATTTGACCGATCCCGCCCCCGCCACTACCTTCGCCCATCTGGACGCCACCACTGTCTTGTCCCGAGGCATCTCCGAGTTGGGTATCTACCCCGCCGTGGACCCTCTTGATTCCACCTCCCGAATGCTCGACCCCCGTGTCGTCGGCCAGGAGCATTACGACACCGCCACCCGCGTCCAGCAGATCCTGCAGGAGTACAAGGGTCTCCAGGACATCATCGCCATTCTGGGCATGGACGAGCTGTCTGAGGCCGACAAGCTTACCGTCGAGCGTGCTCGTAAGATCCAGCGTTTCCTGAGCCAGCCCTTCACCGTTGCCCATGTCTTCACCGGCATCGAGGGCACACTGGTCGACCTCAAGGACACCATTGCCTCGTTCAAGGCCATCCTGAGCGGCGAGGGTGACAGCCTGCCCGAAAGTGCCTTCTACATGGTAGGCGACCTCGCCTCAGCCAAGCAGAAGGGCGAGAAAATTCTTGCAGAGCTCGAGAAGAACTAGGCGACCTTGGCTACATAATATCAGCTGATGTGGAGGAGGAGCCTGTGTATAGACCAGAGGAACGGGTGTCGGGGAGGACGTTTCTTCTACGCTCCATCAACCATGTCTCTTTTGTGGTCGTGTACCAAGAAATGAAAATTCCCCTTGTAAGCCTACAATGACCGATTGACGATGACCTTTGCCAGTCGCCCCGTCTTGAAGTCGCTGTTTCGCACGTGCCCCATGAAACTGGCTGAGAGTGGCAGGAGGCCTGGAACCGCACCCAAAGGTTCTCGCAGACGCGTTACCGCTGGCTGTTTTCAAAGTCGCTCCTTTTCCATAGCCCGCTAAAGCAAGACGCTATCTGACAAGGCTACACGCCGTCGCGCTGGGAGTCATCTAGTCGCTCTAGGACACATTGCGGCGCTTGCCCCCTCGATCCGAAACCTTTTGTCAACAGTCATCAGGCGCATTAAGGATGGCACCCGAGCAGCAGGGTGAAAAGGCCTTCCGTCAGACGTCTGGATATGGCACCGTAGTGACGGGTTCCAGATCCTCGACGGCACCCTCCTCCTTAAGGGTAGCCTCCCTGCCTTCGTTGTTGACCCAAGTGAGCCTTCTGGTCTCGGACTCTTGCTGCTCATCCCAATGATGACCGGCGGGCACGCGGGAGACCCATTCAGCGTCATTGAGGATGACGCGGGCGACGGAGAGCTCGTCTGTCATAGCCTGTGCGGCCCGGGGCATCTGGAGAAGATTGAAAAACTTGGGGTCAATGAAGCGGCAGAGATCGTAGAGCGCGCGGTCGCCCACGCGCTTCAGCCACCAGACCTCGCCCATAAGCTTGAGAAAGGCGGCGTAGTGAGCGACGATGACGAGAGCGCGCGGCCGCTTGTCGCGGGCCAGGTCGATGAAGCGGCCTGGCAAGAAAGTGAACCAGGTGATGATGCGCAACCGCATAATGGCGCCAAAGCCGCGATGACGGAGGTGGTGGTACAGGGAGCCCAGGTACTTGAGTGTTTTGAAGTATATCTTGGCGTCCGGGTAATCGTCCTCGCCAACCTCGATCTCATGAAGCATCCGGAGGAGGTTTGCGGGGATCTCGACGACGGCTTGCTTGAGGTCCACGAGTGGCCTGTAAAAAAGGGCCTGTAGCCCACTGTTGGCCAGTGTCGGTTTGTCGATGCGGTCCAAAATGATGCGGATGCCTCTCCAGATTATCATCCAGTTGATGATGTAGAGGTCCTGGCTGTCCCACTCTCTAAAGCTCTGGGAGGTGAGGGCGGTGAGAAGGAGGGAGTTTATCAACATGGCGGGAAACATGTCTGACATGTCTGCCCTGGGCGACTCAAAGGCCATGCGAAAGTCATGAAAGGCGTTGGCCCGGTGCTGCAGAGCTCGGCATAGGTCAAAGTCGACATGGAGGGTCTGCTGATGGAGACCAGCCAGGGCCAGCAGAGTATGCCTCAAGAAGGGAGCTTGGAGGGACATCCTGACCACGTCGTTTCGCAGGACGTTTTCGACGGGCCTCACCGCGCCGCCTTCGACGGAAAAGGACGAGCAGGTGTAGTTGGTGAAGAACCAGAGAAGCTTCATGTCGGCCACGTCGGACCCGGAGGGCAGGAAGGGTGGATCAATCACGACCGGAGGAGGCGGCCCCACGGAATCCCAAAGGCCGAGCATTTTGGGCCAAGAAGGCAGGCTATCACTGGTGCCAAGACGAGGTGGGTTGGAATCTACCTCGGGAGCCCGTGCCGGGCCAAAGGCAGCAAAAGAAGGCGGAGAAGAAGGCGGAGAAGAAGGCGGAGAAGAAGGGGGGGGGGATCGGGGGGCCATGGATGCCGGTGAGGATGATGCTGCTCCCAGCGCCGGGGCCGGTCCTGAGTAAACACATTCATGCCGGCGCACTCTGCAAGGTCCGCAGACAGGGCGAGCTTCGTCGCATTTGATTCTGCGTTTCTTGCAAGAGCCGCAACCCCCACGAGACTTCCGGTGAGGGCGTTTGTTGTGGTAAGGCTTCTGTGGCGGTTGGTCGGCGGGCCGGGAGCCGCCTGCCGTGGCGTGCCCGGCCAGGTCGTCTGCGGCTTGACTCATCGCGGGACTGTATTGACGACGATGGTGAAGTGTCTTCACACGGCGAGCGAGAGGCAGACAGAGTGGAAGAGTCTGGACGGGCTCGTAGACGGAGACGGCTTGGTGTGCTAGAGGCTATCGTCGAAGTGCGGCGTCGGCATTCATTGCCAATGCCACGTATAAAAGATGAAGACGTGGAGGTGCGCGGGAATAGCAGTCGTCGAATCTCTCGACTAGTCAATAAGAACATGGATATGGATGCTTCTTGGCCAAGGTGTAAGTGAAAAGATGTGCGTGTCGCAACTGCACTTGTCGCAACTACACTTGTTCCCCAATCCCCATGTATGCTGAGCCGGACTTGCCAGTCCATGGGAACTACTTGAGCATGCTGAGCCTGGCTTGCCAAACCATGTGAGCCACTTGAAGTCTGGCCCAGTCCGAGGAGGGGAGACATGCGAAGCGGAAAGGGAGCCCGTTCTGGGCATGGCCATGCAATGTCGTGCAAGACGAGGAGGTCCATGAGCGGCAGGACAGCTTTTGGGCGTACCCCGGGCACGCGCATGTTGTATGTGTAGCATGTTAAAAACAGTAGCGGGAAAAGACGGCCGGCCTCTTGCTGCGCAGGCAACTCCCGTACAGTATAGTATTAAATAGATAAATAGAGGCCCAGTCGGTGGCAAATGTTCAGTCAGTCAGTGATGTTGAGGCATCACGTAAGCAAGATATTTGCCAGCTTCTCCTGTTGCGCGTGGGACCGCCTTCAACTTTCTTCCTCTTCCCTTGGGCACACCCAATGTAAGTGTCAGTCCCCCGGCTCTAGAGCCGTCGTCGTGCGCCAAGCAAACAGTCGCGCAACAAAAAAGCCCGACCGGGCCGAACCCCCTCTCGCGCGCGCGAGCCATCTCCTCTGCCTCGGCGCCGTCGCCCAGACACCAACCGTCTGGATGCTCGCTCCAGCGGCCGCCCGCCGAGCGTCGTCCCCCACGGTTGCCCTGGCCGCCGGCATCCCGCCGAGAGCAGCCATCGCCGCCGCCCGCCGCGCCTTTCACACGCCGCCCGGTCGCCGTACGGCCCATGGCGCTGGGGGAGGAAACAAGCCGCCGGCCGACGACTCGGTGACCGAGGACGACGCAAATGCCGAGCCCCAGGCCGCGACCGAGACGGCGGGCGGCCGCGTCCGCAGCCAGGTCGCCGCCGCCTCCTCGAGGGCTCGCCAGGCTCGCAAGCACGTCGCCTCGGCGCTGCCCCCGGTCAACTTGCCCCAGAGCTTCCTCGACAATAACGTCTCCATCCACACCCCCGGCATGCCGTCCCCCCTGCCCGCCGCCCTGGCCGAGGACGCGAAGCACCCCAAGGTCTCGCGCCTCTTCTCCGACAAGGGCCCTGGCTCGCTGCAGAAGCGCCGGGCCCTCGCCGACTACTTCGACACGGCGCTCGATGTTCTCTTGCGCATCGACCGCAAGTTCGCCCGCAGCTTCGCCGACTCGCGCTCCGACGAGACCAACGTCCGGTGGAACTCGCCTCGGCCCATTGAGAAAGTGGTTCGTTACTGGGACATGATTCTCGACTCGGCCTGGCACTATGTTGACGCTATTTACCCTGCCCGGCGGCCCGAATACATCTACACAGCCCGCCCATTCTGGTGGTGGGACATCTACAAGGACTACGACCGCCGTACCCACACGTTCCGCCACAAACTGCCAACCCTCGCCTTGTATCTCAGTCGGCAGCTCTACTGGGCCCGGAACCTCGACTACCCTTCTCCCCACGTCTTTCTTGACCTCCCCACCGACACCATTGCTGGCTTGACATGTGCCGTCGGCAATGAGCTGTCTGCGTCGCCCCCGCCAACCTTTGATGCAAAGAGGAGCAAACGTCCCATCAACATCCTGTCAGTGTCTGGACACGGTGGCTCCGCCGTATCCGAGGCGCTGGGGGCGAAAATTGCACATCTCCACGGTGCAGACTTGATCCGCTTGGACGCCTACGACCTTTCTGTCCTAGTTGGCGAGTATCTGGGCCAAGACTGGGCGTATACGCGGGGCGGCCTGTCCATGCTGGGATTTCGTGCTGCCGAGCTCAACGGCAAACTGCCCCGAGAACCGGAAGCCACCGAGCGGCTCCTCGACGACGAAGACGGCGACGGCGAATCGGCCATGGGCGGCGTCCGCGTGGTCTCTGGGACGCTGGAAGAGGAGCTGCAAAAGATCAAGCAGGGCGCCTTTGACTGCTTTACCAAGTGGGAGAACCTCAAGGTGGACAAAATCCTCGATCACATTATCCGTTCTGCACAGCTCAAGTCGCCGTCCTCGCAACCTCGCACTCTTCTCATCCAAGTGCACGATATTGTGGAGCTAAGTATGACTCTAGAAGGGGCCCAGCTCATCAGCAGGCTGAGGGCTCTGGTAGACGCTGCGTGGCAACACGGCGCCAAGATTGCCGTGCTGGGGACCTCTTCGTGCGAGCAGCCGTCGGAAGAATACCAAGGCGCGACCCAGGACCTCGCCGTCAGCGATCTGGTCATCACGCGCCACCTCGAGGCAGACCGAGCGGACAAACAGACAGCGCTAAGCCCGCGCCGCCCTGCCTTCAACCTTCAAAAGGCAGAATACTTTGTCGAGAATATGTGCAACGTCAGGAGAATGCTCAGGGCAATGGACCCCGAGTCGGCACCGCGGTTTCGGGAACCACTAGGTCCGAGGATGTGGGCCTGGTTTGATATGGAGGGCCAGGACGCTTCCATCCTGCGTGACTCGATTCTCCCGGCTCCCGAAATCTACCATCTCGCTTCTGCCTTTCGAACCCATGAGCGTGATGGAGAGGATCACGGGTTCATGGGGTTCACGGAACGAACCTCCATGGGCCCGCTGCGGCAGAAGCCTGGGCAGCCCTATCCCGGCGAGAAGCGCCCCGAGGAGGAGGCCGAGCAGAGCAATCCCCCCCGGGACGCAGACCAGGACAAGACGGACCCGCGGGCGTCTGCGATGAAGCTAAACGACTACGAGAAGCGAGTCTCGGCTGGGCAAATCGACCGCGAGAATCTCCGGACGACCTTTGCCGACGTCCACGCACCGCCAGAAACCATATCCGCGCTCAGGCTACTCACCTCGCTGACGCTCGTGCGGCCCGATGCTTTTTCGTACGGCGTGCTGGCCCAAGACAGGATCCCGGGCTGTCTCCTCTACGGCCCACCCGGCACGGGCAAGACGATGCTGGCCAAGGCCGTGGCCAAGGAGAGCGGAGCCAACATGCTCGAGATCAGCGGCGCCACCATCCACGACAAGTGGGTGGGCGAGAGCGAGAAGCTGATCCGCGCCGTCTTCACGCTGGCCAAGCGCCTGTCGCCGTGCGTCGTCTTCATCGACGAGGCCGACGCGCTGCTCGCGAGCCGCAGCATAGCGGGCAGCCGCGGCGTGCACCGCGAGCACCTCAACCAGTTCCTGCGCGAGTGGGACGGCGTGCAGGAGACCAACGCCTTCATCATGGTGGCCACCAACCGGCCCTTTGACCTCGACGACGCCGTCCTGCGCCGCCTCCCGCGCAAGATCCTCGTCGACCTGCCCCTGCGCGGTGACCGCGCGGCCATTCTGCGCCTGCTGCTGCGCGGCGAGACGCTCGACGACTCGGTCACGCTCGACGCCTACGCCGAGCGCACGCCCTTCTACTCGGGCTCGGACCTCAAGAACATGTGCGTCGCGGCCGCCATGGCGGCCGTCGAGGAGGAGAACGCGGCGGCGGCGCGGCACGAGGGCCCGGAACCCTTTCGCTACCCTGAGCGCCGCGTCCTGCGCGCCGACCACTTCGAGCGGGCGCTGAGCCAGATCCCCGCCAGCATCAGCGAGGACATGGCGTCGCTGCGCATGATTCGCAAGTTTGACGACGAGTACGGCGGCGGCAGGCGACAGGGCCGCAAGAAGACGATGGGCTTTGGCGTCGTCGAGCGCGACCAGCCGCCGGGGACGGGCGAGGCAAGGATCCGCCGGGACAGCAACCCTTGAGACTTCTTCTTGTTATTTTTCCCTTTTCTCGATTGTTGCTCTCAGTCCCCGCTCACGTGGGCGACGTGCATGGGAAGAGGCGCTGGGCTTTGCATCGTCGCACTCTTGCTCCTTGTATAGCTTCGTGTTCTTCTGTCGCCATGGCAGCCGGGGGATTCAAAAGATGATACCCGAAAAGCCCTCGTTTCTTGTACTGGATGCGGCCCAGTGTAAGCATCCCTCTCCTTTGTAAGGAAGACCAAGGTTAAAGGAAAATTAGAGTTGGCCTGAGGGCAGAGAGAGCAGATGGTTATTCCAACCATGTGACGGTGCGCTATGGATCTACTCGATGAGACAGCCTGTGATCTGAAGAGCCCTTACGCCGCTTATTACTCCGTCGAGACCTGGATGCCCTCGGCCGCCAGGGCCCTCGCATAGTCCCCCTGCGCCTTGTCCAGCGCATCTAGTATCGGCTGCATCATCTTGACGACGGCGTCGCGCCCGCCGCCCACCATGTCCGACTTCCACCGAATCTTCTTGCCCGTGCGCTCAAAGTGGTCGCGAATCTCCTGCTTGCGCTTGCGGATGGTGGCCTCGCGCTCTGCCTCGGCCTCGTCGGCCACGGCGGCGATGCGCGAGCCCGAGCGCCTGAGCGACTCGGCCAGGTACTGCAGCTCCGGGGCGCGGTCGGCGTCGCCCGAGAAGAAGGCGCTCCAAAACTGGTGGAGGAACTCGACGCTCGTCGCGTGCGTCAGCGAGCACTTTTCCACCATGTGCGGGGGTAGGCCCATGGGCGATGACGCGTCGCTGCTGTGTCCGTACTTTTGAGACCGCTGCTGGAGGACGCCACTCATGACTTCCTTTTCGGCGGCCTTGATGGCTGCTCGGGAGCCGACGTGGGAGCTCTTTTGCTGCTCCTCGTCGCTGTCGCTCTCGTCGTCAAAGTCGATTGCTGCTTGCAGGGTCGTCGAGTCGGCGCCGTTGGTCTTTAGACTTCTGAGCGTACTTCTCATCTTGGACAAGACATCGGCCGGGTTCTGCTTGGCAAAGATGCGCGCGTTCGCCGACGGCGCAGTGTCCTGCTTGGAGAAGAACTTACTCTGCTCCTTGACATTGAGCATGATGCGGTGTTCTTGGGCGTCCCCTTGAAGGTCACGAAGCAGCAGCTCGTTGTACGCATTGTAGGGGCCTTGTCCGTCATCGACGTTCCCGTCAGAAGGCGCAACGTTGGCCATGATCTTCTCGCTCAGGCTGTTGAGCGTCCTGACAATGGGGAAGCGGGTTCGAGGCCGCATCTCTACATCCTTGGCATTGCCGCCCTTGAAGCCGCCTTGGTTCTCCTCGTTGGCCTCCAAGTCAATAATGTGCGGAACACTCTGCGCCATGATCCTGCTCTGGGCGCCCTGCGTGTTTTCATTCACGTCATACTTGTCGAAGAGCGGGTCAGGGCGCTCGCTGTCTGACACGCGCTCACCTCTGAGTTTCCTGGAGAGACGGCTGAGGAAGAAACGGGACCAAAAGTCGGCCTCAGAGAGCTTTGGTACGTTTTCATTATAGATTCGCTTCACCAGGGGGTGCTGGGATAGTAACATCTGGACCTGCTCAACGCTTATGTTGAGCTTCAGCTCACCGTCCACGGTACGCGGCTTGACCGTTGACAGAACGTTGTAGGCGCCCTTCTTTTGATTAGTCTCGATTGCATGTGCGCGCAGATAATTGGTTCGCGTCGACCAAAACTGAGAGTTGAAGGTTGCGCTCGATATGGATTCGGGCTTAACGGCAATGGCCTCCATGTAGGTCTGGTGCAGGCTCTTGTCCTTTTTCATGAGAGACTGCTGCAGTTCGATGTCCATCTTGAGTTGGTTATCATCGAACCATCGCGCCGAAGATGGCTGCGAGTTGGCGGCGCTGGCAAAAGCCATTGATGCCGAGACACTGCCACTGACTGGGGTTGAGGCTCCAGCGGCCAGCGGCGTCCCGGTCGAGGGCTTGGGGATGGAGGCATCGCTGCCCCGAAGATCAGCCAATAAGCGAGAGAGAAGATCCTTGACGGCCTTTGCTTCGGCACGAGCCTCGGAGGTGTTGAAGTGGAAGAGATAGGTGACAGGGTCTGCTCCGTCCTTGGCCTTTTCAAAGATCTTGAGCATCACCTTTGGCGAGGAATCGGGTGTCTGCTGAAGATCTGGTGGCGGTTCTCTGTTAGCCCGAGAAAAGAGAGAAGTAGACGAGGCACAAACGTACTGGTGATGTCGGCGACGGGGAGGGAGATGGTAGGAGGGCCGCCCGAGTTGGGAGTCCAGGTGACTGTCTGAAGGTCGCTCGTCAGAGTGAGGATGCCGTCCTTCTTCTTGAACAGGGCGCGCCCAGCCGGTACAGCCATGACTGTAAGAGTGTCTGCGTTTGTCTGCCCTCACTCGTGCGCCTAGAAAGGTCTCATCACTACTCCGACTGAGCACCAGCGAGCAACAGCTGCCTGGCGATGCTCACTAGTGCATCAAGGTTCTCGGACGTGATTAGGCGGGTGGTGAGTGTGAGGGCCTCGAGCGGCAGCAGAGATGAGCCGACCAGAGAAGTCGTCTTCTTCCAAGGCACTTGTAGCGTTTTCAAGAGAGGAGACAATAGCGACGAACGGTGAAGGCGTAGCTTGTTTCGTTGGTGAACGTTGATGACCAGGTTTTGGCACGGTGAGGTACGAAGTACAGATACTAACTTAGGAAGGTTCTCATGTCTGGGAGTCGCACTGTGTGGCTTGTATTCAATCATCGTTTTGGTGGCTCGGGCGGGCTTGTCGTGGCGTCGGCCCGAGGATTCCACTTCTCCGACCCGACCTCTGGCGAGTTGAACTCCCCGTGTCCCATTGAAGGATGGCTGAGGCAATTTGCGTTCTCAGCCAGCTCTTGGATACTTCCCTTCCGACAGCTCTGGAGGTACGGAAGAGATACCAGGTGGCTACCCAAAACAGACAGCTACCTTACCCACCGCACACCCACCCACCGAGGTAGCTGCAGGGTACCTATTCTCCCTTGCTTACATACGCGGCTTCAACGGCATCCGATCCGCAGCAAGCGCAGGTACCTTGTCTCGTTGACGCAACTTTTGCTCGTCCTACTGGCTGACCAGCTTCTTCCCGTACTGCACTCTTGGGTCATCTGCCAAAAGGCTCGTCGCCCTTGACTTCTCGCCTCCTTGCCCTCTCGAGCTTGCGTCGGCCATCAAATGCCTCGTCTCTTCGAGCTCTGACCTTTTTTCACCTCCGTCCCGCCTCTTACTCAGTCCCTGTCCACCCTGCCAGCTCTCGCCATGTTGAGGAATTCGCTCGGTAGAGCTGGCTCTCCGCTGCTCCGGCGCGCCGCATGTCAGCTCTCGCCGTCGAGGCTTGCCCTCTCCTCCACCGTCGCCTCCCGCTCGTCATGCAAGGCCACGGGCGCGCGTCGTTCTGCCACCTGGGCGGGCACGGCTCGATCCTACGCCACCAGCGCGACCAACTCGTCCCCCGACCCGAGCGACAACTTCCTCTCTGGAAGCACTGCCAATTATATCGACGAGATGTACATGGAGTGGAAGCAAGATCCTAAGAGCGTCCATGTCTCGTGGCAGGTCTACTTCAAGAACATGGAGAGCGGCGACATGCCCATCTCGCAGGCCTTCCAACCGCCCCCCAACCTAGTGCCCAACATGACGGGCGGCGTGCCTCGTCTAGGTGGCGGCTTGACCCTCGAGGATGGCTCCGACGTCACCAACCATCTCAAGGTCCAGCTGCTCGTTCGCGCCTACCAGGCTCGTGGCCACCACAAGGCCAATATCGATCCTCTCGGCATCCGCAATACCGCCGCCGGCTTCGGTAACATCAAGCCCAAGGAGCTGACTCTTGAGCATTATGGCTTCGCCGACAAGGACCTCGATAAAGAGTACACCCTCGGGCCCGGCATATTGCCCCGTTTCAAAAAGGACGGCCGCGAAAAGATGACGCTCCGTGAGATTATCGCCGCATGCGAGAAAATCTACGCTGGTTCCCATGGCGTCGAGTTCATCCACATCCCGGACCGCGAAAAGTGCGACTGGCTGCGCGAGCGTCTCGAGGTTCCCCAGCCCTTCAAGTACTCCATCGACGAAAAGCGCCGCATCCTCGATCGCCTCATTTGGAGCTCGAGCTTCGAGTCCTTCCTCGCCACTAAATACCCCAACGACAAGCGATTCGGCCTTGAGGGCTGCGAGACTCTGGTGCCCGGCATGAAGGCGCTCATTGACCGCAGCGTCGACTACGGTGTCAAGGACATCGTCATTGGCATGCCTCACCGTGGCAGACTCAACGTCCTCAGCAACGTCGTGCGAAAGCCCAACGAGTCCATCTTCTCCGAGTTTGCTAGTACGAGCGGTGCCGAAGACGAAGGCTCTGGCGACGTCAAGTACCATCTGGGTATGAACTTTGAACGTCCCACCCCGTCGGGCAAGCGTGTCCAGCTCTCCCTCGTCGCCAATCCCTCGCATCTGGAAGCCGAGGACCCTGTCGTACTGGGCAAGACGCGAGCCATCCAGCACTACAACAATGACGAGAAGACGCACAGGACCGCGATGAGCGTGCTGCTGCATGGCGATGCTGCCTTTGCCGCCCAGGGCATCGTGTACGAATGTCTGGGATTCCACTCTCTGCCCGCTTTCTCCACCGGTGGTACCGTCCATCTGGTGGTCAATAACCAGATTGGTTTCACCACCGACCCTCGTTTCGCACGCTCCACGGCCTACTGCACCGACATTGCCAAGGCCATTGACGCACCCGTCTTCCATGTCAATGCCGACGATGTCGAGGCCGTCAACTTTGTCTGCCAGTTGGCTGCCGATTGGCGCGCCGAGTTTCAGCACGACGTGGTTATCGATCTCATCTGCTACCGCAAGCACGGGCACAACGAAACCGACCAGCCCTCATTCACCCAACCCCTCATGTACAAACGTATCAACTCCAAGGAGCCTCAGATTGATGTCTATGTCAACAAGCTGCTCCAGGACGGCAGCTTTACCAAGGAGGACATTGAGGAGCACAAGCAGTGGGTCTGGGGCATGCTGGAGGAGAGCTTCAATAAGTCCAAGGACTACCAGCCGACTTCAAAGGAGTGGACCACGTCTGCCTGGAACGGCTTCAAGTCCCCCAAGGAGCTCGCCACGGAGATCCTTCCCCACCACGCCACCAAGGTCGACAAGAAAACGCTGGACCACGTCGGCGAGGTTATCGGATCGGCCACGGAGGGATTCCACATCCACCGCAACTTGAAACGTATCCTCAGCAACCGGACAAAGTCTGTCGTCGAGGGCAAGAACATCGACTTCCCTACCGCCGAGGCTCTTGCCTTTGGCTCCTTGGTCACCGAGGGCTACCATGTCCGCGTGTCTGGCCAGGACGTCGAGCGCGGCACTTTCTCGCAGCGGCACGCCGTCTTCCACGACCAGGAGACCGAGGAGACATACACCCCTCTCCAGCATATCAGCAAGGACCAGGGCAAATTTGTCATCTCCAATTCCTCCCTCAGCGAATTCGGTGCTCTCGGATTCGAGTACGGCTACTCTCTGTCTTCCCCCAACGCCCTCGTCATGTGGGAGGCCCAATTTGGTGACTTTGCCAACAACGCGCAATGCATCATTGACCAGTTCATCGCATCGGGCGAGGTCAAGTGGATGCAGCGAACCGGCCTCGTCATGTCTCTTCCCCACGGTTATGACGGCCAAGGTCCCGAACACTCGTCGGGCCGCCTTGAGCGCTATCTGCAGCTCTGCAACGAGGACCCGCGCATCTTCCCGTCCAAGGAGAAGCTTGCCCGGCAGCATCAGGACTGCAACATGCAGATTGCTTACATGACTACTCCCGCCAACCTTTTCCATGCGCTGCGCCGACAAATGCAGCGTCAATTCCGGAAACGTAAGTTTTAGCCCCTGCGTCTATTGCTTGACAGTTTGCTTACTGTATGACAGCGCTCGTCATCTTCTTCTCAAAGGCCCTGCTCCGCCATCCCCTTGCGCGCTCCAACATTGAGGAGTTTTCCGGAGAGGATGCGGGATTCCAGTGGATCATCCCCGACCCCGAGCACCAAGCGGGCAGCATCAAGTCGCCCGAGGAGATCGACCGCGTCATCCTCTGCACTGGTCAAGTCTGGACCACCTTGCACAAGTACCGTGCCGACAACAATATCGACAACGTCGCGCTCACCCGCATCGAGCAGCTGAACCCTTTCCCGTGGCAGCAGCTGAGGGAGAATCTGGACATGTACCCCAACGCGAAGACCATCGTCTGGGCGCAAGAGGAGCCACTCAACGCCGGAGCGTGGAGTTTCACGCAGCCACGCATAGAGACGCTGCTCAACCAGACCGAGCACCACGACCGCAAGCACGTCATGTACGCCGGCCGCAACCCTAGCGCTTCCGTGGCGACGGGACTGAAGCAGGTCCACAAGAAGGAGGAACAGGAGCTTCTGGAGATGGCCTTTACCGTGAAGCAGGATAAGCTCAAGGGCGAGTGACGAAAGAGACGGCGAAAAAGGTAAAAGAGGGCGATGCAAGTCTTGTGCTTACGTGGAGGGAGAAGAGTCAATCTTTAGAAGGCGGACCAGCGGCTGGGAAGACGAGGTATACGGAGCGGAGGGGACTCATTCTTTTGCGTAGCAAGCACAGTGTATCATAGGTAACGTCGCTCGAGGATCAATGGTAGTATCTGTACCATGCCGGTTGCGCGAGTTTGTACGAAGTATTTGGCAAAGGGATACGAGCTTGGCCTTGGCCAAGAGTCAGCAACAGCCTCTGCTTATTGGCATTGTATCGATTTTTTTACTACTTTTTCCTTGTACGGGTTTCTCATCTGTCCGGTGCCTCGACCATCTCGGCTCCTTCAGCTGGGTGCCCCGGCGTTCCCAGCCTCACCTCCCACGGACGGACCAGACCGTCATCTCCCGTCGTCACGAGCATCTCTTCCTCTCCGCGGCGTGCACCGGCGGCAGCGTCGTGCCGGCGGCACCAGGTGATGTGGTTGATCTCGTAGGGCCCGTGTGCATTGGGCACGGTTGTGAGCAGCTCCCACGACGTGGTCGAGGGGCCGGGGGGCGGTGGATGGTGCTGCTGCGGCTCACCTTCCTCGTCCATGGGCGCGGTGGCACGGTCGGCGGCGCCGGCGGTATATCCTGGAGGGGCCGGCCGCTGGACTTCCCGGTAGAGCGCAATGGTGCCGTCGCAGCCTGCGCTGGCCACGAGGCCCGACTGGCTGCTCCACGTGGCGGCGTATATGTCCCTGCTGTGAGCCTGGGGCAGGATGGCGGTGCAGTCCCACTCTTCCCGCAACGATCTGCGCATCGTGTTGGGTATGCCACCGAGCGCACTTCCCCCGCCGCCGCCACTACCCTCCTCAGCGCCATCCTGGTCCTCCTCCTCCTCCCTGAGCGTCCATATCCGTATCGTCGCGTCGGCCGAAAAGGTGAGCAGGCGCGGAAAGCGGGCGCCGCCGCCGGCGTCGGACGGGCGAGGAGACTCCCACGCAAGTCCCCAAACGGTTCCCTCGTGGCCCTCGAGGACGGCGACGCAGACCCACTCTGCGTCAGCGTCTTCACGCCATATGCGGACCGTGTTGTCGTAACTAGCGCTGGCGAGGACGTCTGGGCTGTAGCGGCGGCGGGCGTTGCGCCCGGGCACGTCGGGGCACCAGGCCACGGCTTTGACGTCGCCCTCATGCTCGTTCAGAATGGCCAGCGTCTCCCACTCGTCATCGGCGGCCCCGGACGGCCCGCCGCCGCCCACGTCCTCCCAGATCCAGATTGTCTTGTCGCGCGAGCACGTGGCCAGGTAGGCCCCGGACGGCGAGAAGGCACAAGATTTGATTTCCGACTCGTGGCCCTCGAGCACCAGCGTGAACTCCCAATCCTTGTCGCCGTCGCTCTCTCCATCTCTGCCGCCGCCGCCATCATGCCCCACCGCCCGCGCCGTCACCTCCGTCTCCATCGCGAGCCCATTGTCGCCGTCACCGTCGCCGTCCCAACGCCAGAGCCCCGCGGTGGAGTCGAAGCTTCCCGTCACTAGGCAGAGCTTGTGCGGCGGCAGGCCCGGCTCCCAGGCGACGGAGCGGACGGAGCGGGTGTGGCCGCCAGTGAGCGTGCTGTGGGGGGAAAGGGTGGCGAGGGAGAAGACAGTGACGCTCTTGGCGTGCGTGGTGGCGAGCAGAGGGAGTGTCGGGTGCGGTATCGAGGCCCAGGCGCGTTCGTGAAGGTCGGGCTGAAAGGGCGGAAGAGGGCGGATCGAGGCCATTGCCGCCGTCCTGGTCGGCTTGTTGCCGTCTCGTGCTCGGGGAAATGAATGGGGTGAGGAGGCCCGACGCGTGAATGGAAAAGCGTCAAGGGATTTCGGGGCCAGCAATAGTCATGAACGAGGCGACTTGCATCAGCGGAGAGGCATATGCGACAGGCTCGGTGTGGCCGGACACATGAGTGAGGAAGAGAAGCTGGTGATGTTGGACGCTGTGTAAGTGAAGTGGGGCACCATTTTCCTCTGCCGGTGGTCGGCGATTTTTCTGAGACTGCCCCACTGATAAGATAACATCCCCAACGTCCAACTGATCCTCCTACCGGCATCAGTATTCCACATGACTTCCCCGGCATCGGCACCCCAGGTGGGAGTGATGGAACTCGGCAAGACCAGCTTTCAGCCGTGTTGTTCCGTGGAGCCAGTCACACCTCGTGTTTGAGGACCGGGTGCGTTCCGGGCAGAAGAAGCGCGGCTCTATCTACGCAGCCTAGATGAGATTGTCTGTCTACGCACCTTTTACTGAACCGAGATCATGCACTTGTGTCCAATGACCTGTACAGATTAGGGCCCAACGTTCTTCACGTCCGTGTCTCGCGACTACGTTGCGCCCGATCAAGCCCCCCCTTTCTGAGCCCTCCTGGTAGCGCCAGCCAGACGCCGATCAGGAAGAGAAGTACGGCGAGGATAATGGGCTGCAGCACCTGGACGCCATGGTTCTCGGCAATAGCCCCAACCGCAAAGGGAAGCACAGAGGCGCCACCGCCGCCTATGGCCGCCGCGAAGCCGACGGCGGTGATGTGGTATTCGGGAGGCAGCAACTTGGTCGCCACGACAACGGCTGCCGGGAACAGCGGGCCGAGGAAGAAGCCCATGAGGAAGACGAAGCACATGGCGCCAACTGTCGTGGGCACGAGCCAAAACAGCAACTCAAAGGCGACGGCAAAGAGCAGGTAGCCCGTGATGGCCAGCTTCTCGCCGATGCGGCCCGTGATGAAACCGAGGACAACTCGCCCAAGGCTCAGGCCAAGCCAGAAGAGCGTCGCGGTGACACCAGCCAGAAAGTTGTCGGCGTGACGCACCTCAATCATAAAGGTGGGGGTCCAGCCACCCATGCTGACTTCGGCGCCGGCATAGGCCAGCAAGAAGACGGACACGAGCCAGGTGATGGGCTCGGAGAGGACGGTGCGAATCGTGCCGCCGCCGCCCCCTGCGTCGCGCCGGAGTTTCTTTCGGTAGACGGCTCCGGAGGCGCCCCAAAAAGCCCAGACGGCAAAGACAAGCTCGACGCAGACGACGGCGGTGGTGACGTAGAAGTACGTGTACCACTCCAGGTGCATCTTGGCAACCATGGCGGAGACGATGAGAGGGGCAACGGTGCCTCCCAGGCCGAAAGAGCCGTGGATGATGCCCAGCAGTTCGTTGGCCTGGTGCATGTTGCCCACCCAGGTGTTCCAGGCGCTATCCTGAATGCCATTGCCGAAGCCGACAATGAGGAGCAGCACGGGCAAGACGGGGAAGGGCGGATGAAGGGCCATGGGGATATATCCCAAGAGGCGGGCAGCGGGCCCGAGGAAGGCGACGCCTCGGCGGCCGAGTCTGTGGTGAATCCAGTTGTTGCAGAGGGCGGCGGTGACGTATCCCAGAAAGGGGACGAGGAATAGGGTGGACACGGTCGCATAGCTGATGGCATAGTAGCGTTCAAGCTAGCGGGCGGTCAAGGCACAGCTTGGTGGTCAGCAGACGCATATCAAGCCAGTGGCGTGTGAAGCAACGAGAGGCCACACAGCCTGGCCGTCCAAGACATACATGGGGAGGAGGGCCTGCGCACAAGTGTGTGGTTAGCTTGGTCGTTGATGCGGAGGAAGAAGAAAGAAAGAAGAGACTGACGCCTATACTGCCGTCATGCATGCCCAGGATGAGCAGCGACAGATTGACGGAGACATATCGATAGCGGTTGACGCGAGGATGATTCCATCGCTCGCGGCCATCGGCAGGGTCCTCACCGACGTGCTGCGCCTCATCGCCTCGGTTCTCGAGAAGCGGATCCGTCTCGGACGCAGCACGCCGGCCGTCTTGCCGGGTCTCCTCGGTCGGGTCAGCCATTCCTGAACCTGCGCCGGGCGAGGGCCCCAAGGTCGTCACAGGCGACGTCTCAGTGGGTTTCCGGGGAAGCTCGAGATGGGGCAGAGTGGAAGAAGGTCGGTAAGGGTGCTTGCTATGCAGAATTGGATGGCTTCAGTTGAGTCCGGGGAACGCCCCCGGCGTGGCTGCCTGCCATTGGCTGGCCATTGATCGAGTCAGCTTGGCAGAGGCTGTCCATGGCTGGTGACCCGTATGGCCTTCAGAGCTCGGGCCAACCAACACGGGAGGGACTGCGCAAAGTGCAGACAATGGATGCAAAGTTTCGACGGGCATCGGGCAGTGAGTCCTCCAGGCATGCAAGTGCAGTAAGTGCATGCTGTGCTTGTCTCGAGTCACCTGACCCGCCCACTTCCGCCTCACATCCACCTCCACCTCCACCTCCACCACCTCCTCCTCCTCCTCATCCTCCTCTCGGGTCTCATCCGACCGTCCTTGTCGCGAACAGCACTATCCGGAGTCTTTTCTGCCTGGCCTGGCATGAAGAAAGCGGCAAGATGCATCCGGCCTCCGAGATCCGCACCGCCCCAGCCGGACCGTGTGAGGTGACATCACCGCTGTCATCAGTTCTTCGGCTGCTGCACCACGAGACTGGGCGTTGGATGCAATGTGGCCTGCCACTAATTACTCTGCATGCCTTGGGCTCCCTCTCCCCCCCTTCCGGGATTTGGGCCGTGGCTGCTTGTCAGCCATCCGATCTTCGCCCGGGGTCAGCTGCCCGTCCCTGCCTTCTACGGAGGGGACGCCGACCCATGTGCATGTACTAGCCGCCCTTGCTGCATCCAAGCCAAGAGCCGTGTCATCTTCAAGTGAAGGAATCTCCGTCTTGGGTCCCTTCGTCTCCGTCCTTACATCCTGGGCCAGCAAGGGCGGGTGAGCATATCGGCCTGCGTCATGTCCAGATACGAGTCCAGAGCCGCCGCCGGCGACAGTTACCGGCCTCGACACTCTACCCGCTATTCCCCAGAGCCTCTCCCTCGCAGTAACGGCGGATACGACCTGGATCAGCAGCAGCAGCAGCAGCAGCAGCAGCAACCGCCCATGGGCCTGAACGCATCCTACTATCGCGACACCGCCGAAGCGCTCGGCCTACCCCTGACCCCCAACGGCACACAACCCCGGTCTCAACCGCATCCCTCCTCCGAACTCGTCCGTGTGCCCTCTCATCAGTCTGCCAACTCGCGCTCGTCCTCTGCCAGTTCTTACCGTGAGTGCGGCTTCCGCGGCGACGACCGCGGCCGTTCTCGCGCCGGCTCTCGTACCCCGGATCCCCTTGAGCGCGCCCGGGGCATCGTCCAGGACAGCTTCTCCCAAACCTCCACGGGCATCGGAGCCGGCCTCCTGGGTGCTGTGGTTGGCGGCATCGTCGCCAACAGGGCCTCCGAGGCTGCGCTCAAGCAACGCCGCGGGACGAGTAGTCACGACCGCCGAAATGGCGACGAGGCCACCCCGCGCTTGTTGACGGTGCTCGGTGCTGTCGCCGGTGGTCTTGGTGCAAATGCAGTTGCCCGCAAGGTCGAGTGCGATCGCGAGCGGCATCGTCAGCGGATGTGGGAAGGCCGCTACGGCTCCGACGATGACCTTGGGCGCTATGAATCATCCAGAAGGACAGACGTGGATCGCCAGGGCCGCCTGCTTCACGATGCTGATGCTGATGACTACGTGTACGACGTCGAAAGAAGATTCAGTCGGAGCCGGCGCAGGCACCACTATGTTGAATGACAGCAGCCTCATCGCCAGAGGGCTTGTTGCATCTATGGTACACACAGACGTGCCGATGGGAAATGCCACTTCATGATTTTGCCATCATGTGGATTGGCCCTGGGTCAGCTTGCGTTAATAGGCGAAGAGCAGGATATCGGGTCTGGGGTTGAATTAACTTGGGTTTTCAGGTGTTGGACAGTCTATCATCGAAAAGAATGCAGCGGCATCATGGGTCTGCCACTGCACTTGTCTCTCAAGCTCTCAAGCTTTCCTCGTCTTCCATTCCCACGCGTAGGTGGTATCACACAGTGCTCCGAGTCGGGCGTCTTGCTAGTATCGTAGTTTACTACATCATTGTACAACATCTGGCTGATATCTACACAGTTCGCCGATCGCAGTCATGGATTCTTGGTGGTGATTGGCCCTGTCCATCTCGAAAACGAAGACCCCTCTCCAGTGATCCGTGGAAGGTCTCGCCAAATCCCGTTCCTCGTTCCTCCACCACCCCTTACTAGTCCTTTCTCATTCCTGCCTCTGACCCTTTATTAACTACCACCAATCCAATCCCAGACTCCTATGAGAGAAGGTTGCTCGAAGAAAGACAGGCCGGAAATTTGAGATAGAACGTCACGAAACTTGCGAGACCTGCCTCGAGCTCTTGCCTCACTAACGAGCATAAGGAAGCGGGTCTTCGTCGACCTCGTGGTCGTGGTCCTTGGACTGGTACGCAACCGAGTGGCTCTCGCATCGATGTCGCTGGTGGTGGTGTTGGCTCTGCCGCTGCCGCCACTCGACATCAATGGGCTGTTCTCCTGGCTGGGCGATATGCGTCTTGCGCACGTCGCGGACTCGGCGCTCGTGCTGCTCCCGCTCGCGCTCGCGCTCGACAATGACCTTGAAGAACTGGGCCACCTCAGCGAGGGCCGCTTGCTGCAGGCTGGACACGTTGATCATGTTGAAGAGCGACTGGGCGTCGACGAGCTGCTTGGCGACGACCGAGTCGGGCTGGCAAAAAGTGCGGATGCGCATCTGGCGAGCATTGGTCTTCATGGCGTCGAGGAGGCCGCCGATCTCGACGGGGTTGCTCTGGCGGCGGCCGTAAAAGTTGAAGTCGTTGACGTGTAGGCTGACGAGTTGGAGCTGCGTCTCCAGGTCGTAACGAAAGCCGACCACCTTGGGGCGGCCCTGGTTTGCCCACCAGTCCGACACCTTTTTGAGGTTGTCGGGGACGAGGTGGCCCCTGTCGAGCTCGGCCGTGATGAAATCGTTGAGGGCGGCCGTGAGATGGAACTCGAGTTCGCAGTACAGCAGGCTCTGCTCCCGCGCGTCGAGGGAAATGCGAATGTGGGACACGCTCACCTCCTTGACCGGGGCCTGGGAGCGGCGATTGTTGTTGTGAAACTCGGCCGTCTAAGGCACTCCCGTCAGTGAACCGTGCTTCACTAATATTTATTGACTTGTTGGATAGCTTACCATGTCTTTCGCAATCTTCTTGATGCTCTCAAGGATGCCCGTCTTCTTCTGCCGGACCTTTTGATCCCGTCCCGAGGCAAATCCCGTACGCTCCAGCCAGCCGTTCTGTCCGATCAAGGTCTTTTCGCCCTTCTTGGTCGACGGGAAGTCTTGACCGCGGAAGTAGAGGGCAAGCGGGGAGAAGAGAGGGCTCTCAGTGGCCCGAGTCCCGGAGCTCCGGGAAAGTGCCTTGGCAGGCAGGGGGGGGGGAGGAGGAGATGCAGGGGCAAACCCGTCGGCGCGTCGAAGCCCATCCGAGGTGCTCTTGGATCGTCGCGGTCGCTGAGCCAGGCTCTGCACACGAAAAGAGGATTCGGCGTAGTCGGCAGGGCTCTCAAGTCGCGCCCACGCCCTGTACATGTCGAGGACGGGCCCGTTGACGTTTTCGTCGACGACGTGGGAGTTTGTGCTTGCACGGGGCAGCCATTCGGTTTGAGGACTCGGCCAGTCAGGGGAGAGCTGCTCGCTCCCAGCCCTCTCATAGCGCCCTCCTTGCGTCGGGCTCAGGGGCGAGACTGCGTGAGACACCGACTCCATGGGCAGGCGATGCGGAGTGCGACTGGGCGCGTGGTCGTCGGCGACCTGGAGCGGCGTAGGGGGGTGCTGCTGGCGACGTTCGGCCAGACTCGCGGAGAAGATGTCGCCCTGACGCCTGGGCATGAGGTCTGAGAAGGTGGTGGACGGCTTTTGCGAGTCTTCGTCGCCGCTGCTGCTCAGGCTGTATCTGGACTTGTTGCGACGCGAGCCAGAGTCGCCCTGCTGCGGCCCAGAGGGCGGCTTGGCGGGCGTGACTTCAACGCGCGGACGCGCCCTCACTGGGCTATCGTTGACCTTGTTTGTGAAGCTGCGGAGGATCAGTCTCGACGAGGTCGACACGAGAGGGCCGGGAGCCAACATACGCGGCGGTGATTTTATCCATCTGGGTCTCGGTCAAGTTCATGCGAATGTGCAGTGGCTGCTTTGCCTGGCGCTTCCGGGACGGTAGCGGACTGCCTCGAGATCGGGCAGAGCTTTGATGGACGGGGTTACTGCGCGACGGGGTCGATGAAGAAGCTGCTTCTGGGACAGAATGCTGCTGGACCTCGTCCTTGAAAGGGCCAGAGGACGGCATCGAGGCTCAGCAAGGAGCGAGGGGCGACGACGACTGTCTCAAGGAGGCATACAGCGCAAGCCTTGGGTCAAGCAAGGCTCGAGTCGATGCCACGAAGCTTCAGGGCGGGATAGCGACGCGAGAGTCAGCCGCGAAACTTGTCTCGTCGACGCCTTTGCTGGGTGTGCGGCAACTCATCCCGGGGCGGCTTACTTGAGCTCTATTCTTTCGGATGCGAGAAAACAGATGGTGTTGCGAGCTCAAGTCTGCTCGAGGCTCGAGGGGATCTGAGGTGAGTGTTTGTGTTTTGGAAGCAGGCCGTGTTTACTTTGCGCGTTGCCTGGTCGAGTTGCAGTGTCGTCACGGGAGCCCTTGGTTTCCGGGGAACCACCAACGCTGTTCCAGTGGACTGGCTGCCTTGAACATTGCCAGGCCGTTGCATACGGTGAAGCCAATGCTCGTCGTGTATAGAGGGGAAAGGGCAGTGCTCATTGAGCCTTGAAACAAGTCGATCTGCGAGGTGAAGAGCGGCCTCCCATTCAGTCTGGCCAAGGTCTACTGTCTCTCATTATGTTGTCGCTTGTGACTTTGAATATCAATGACGGTCTTGCAACGAGAAGCAGGGGCTTTCTTTCAAGGCAGCTCGAATCTCACACGAGGTTCATGGAAAGCAGGCCACTGGATGATTAACAGGACGAGACAGGCGTCTAACCCCTTTGCTTCTGGTCCCATTTCGTTCCATATGCGTCTTCAACAAAATGGGCAGCATGTCCTGGATGTCGTCAAGGTCGGGTCGGGCCGGCGACTCCATCCCAGCTGGGATCGGACTCCCGGGTAGCCAAGATTTGCATCCGAGGTTCGAGAATGTCATCGTACCGCTTCCAGGATCGACCTGAGAGTCCACACCACATGCCGTCGTTCAGAAATCCCGCGATCTCTTCCCGGTCGGTCGCACCCCCCCCGGGCCAAGCCAGGTCGGCGGCCGAGCCAATGACGAGATGCTGATGCGCCGCGCCATGCAGATGCGACAACTCACCGCTGCCGCCATCATCATCCCGCGCGATCCCGTGCGATCCCGTGCGGTTATTCGCTCCCCTCGCTCTCTGGCGCCGACCGGCTGTCAACGCTGGGCACCTGGACGTCATTGGCCCGCCTAATGGTTGCCTCGTTCCGCTGCTTACGCTGCCTCCCGTCACGCACTTCGGCGTCGGCTTCTGCTCGGTCCGCCTGGATGGATGGGGCCATGGTCAGCGATGCTTGCCTGTCAGACTCCGACCCTGCCTCGATGCCCGCCCGCCTTTCGCATATCTGCATGCACGCTGCTTTGCCGACTTGCAAGCCGTTGCTTCGGCACCGTGAGCTCGGCAAATCCCAGCGCCTCGTCGATGCTCCAGCCATGTGCCTCATGCCCATAACCAGCCGCGCCTGTCCCAAGAGCCGACAGCATCCTTGAGCGATATAACGAATACGTGTTGACCATCGTCTCCGTATTGCACTTCAACTCAAATCTCCATCGTCTCGCGCCGAGCTTCCTCTTCAAAGATACCCTTTGCTGCTCCTGCAGCCTTGGCCCCTCTCTCAAGTCATGGTTGCCTCGGCCGACAGAGCCATGTCCGGCACCGACACGCGTAGTCCAGGCATCCAGTGCTATGACATTGGTACGGCCGACATTCTTCTTTGCCACGCCCAGCCACCTCCTTTGCCCTCCTTCGGTCCTCGAGTCGCGTCCACCATACACTTGCTAAACAGATATTCCTCCCAAAAGTCATCGTGGGCGCTGGGCCGGCAGGCCTCATGCTTTCGACGTGCCTGGCTCGCTGGGGCTACAGCATCAAGCACATTGACAACCGGCCAGAGCCCACTCGCACCGGCCGAGCCGATGGCATCCAGCCGCGCTCTCTGGACCTCTTGCGGAACATGGGCCTCAAGGCTGACATCATGGCACACAAGCCCGCGCGCGTCTACGAGGTGGCGTTTTGGGGCCCCTCCAAGTCTGACCACGGCATCGTCAGGACAGGCACTTGGGCCAGCTGTCCAACCTTCATTGATGCCCGGTATCCCTTTACGACTCTGCTCCACCAGGGCCATATAGAGAGAGTCTTTCTCCGCGACCTCGGGAGCAACGGCGTCGATGTGCAGCGGCCCTGGACGATCCGGGGCTTCCGCTCAGTCGAAAACGAGGATCCCGACTACCCTGTCCACGTGCATCTCGAGCATGTCGACGGACGTGCCGCAGAGACTGTGCGGGCCAAATACCTCTTTGGCGGCGATGGTGCCAAGTCATTCATCCGACAGCAGCTCCAGATAGGGTTTCAGCATCGCGATCCCATCGAGCACGTCTGGGGCGTCATGGATGGCGTAGTCCGGACGGATTTCCCCGACATCAAGGTCTGGTTCTTGTGGGAGCTGCACATCTTCAACCCTGGTCAACTGACAAGCAAGTAGATGAAATGCACCGTCCACAGCCAGCACGGCTCCATCATGGTGATTCCGCGAGAAGACGGCATGGTCCGTCTGTACATCCAGCTAGCCTCGTCGACGGATGCCGACTGGAACCCGAGGAAAAGAGCTACCGAGACGCAGGTTCAAGAGTCGGCCAAGAGGATCCTGCGGCCATACTCGATCGACTGGCAGCGCGTCGAGTGGTTCTCGGTATATCCCATAGGCCAGGGCATCTCAAATCATTACACCCTGGACCAACGCGTGTTTCTGGGTGGCGATGCCTGCCATACTCACAGCGTAAGGCAGACCCCCCGGCAGCCTAACCAATTTCCTGTCAGCTTCATTCACTGACGCATTCCCCCTCCCCTTTCTTGAGTAGCCCAAAGCGGGACAAGGCATGAACACGGCCTTCTCGGATGCGATAAACCTGGCGTGGAAGATCCATGCTGTCGAGGGTGGCTTTGCGGACCGCGGCCTTCTTGAGACGTACCAGTCGGAGCGAAAAGGCATGGCAGAGAGCCTCCTCGACTTTGATAACCGATACGCAAAGCTTTTCTCCCAGCGGCCGCCGGCTCGAGACGATATGCGGGTGGCGTCGGCTGACGGCGAAGAGGCCGACGAGGGCAGTGATGACGACTTCATCAAGACTTTCAAGGACTCTTGCCGCTTCACCAGTGGATATGGCGTTCTGTACGGGCCAAACGCCTTGAACTGGTCTGCGAGCCACCCGGCCCAGTCGCCGCTGATTCATCCCAAGACGACTAGGCTGGTACCAGGAGGCATCTTCATAAACGCGGACGTGACGAGGGTCGTGGATGCCAACATGGTCCATCTTGAACAAGAGGTTCCTATGAACGGCTCCTTTCGCATCTACGTCTTTGCCGGGAATCCTCGTGTCTCGCGGAAGGCTCTGCGAGATTTTGCAAAGGGTCTCGGCCACAAGCGATCGTTTTACGCAGCATACGCGCGGTTGGACTCGGATCAGCTCTCTGGCGACGAGATTCACAACCCCCACAGCCGTTTCTACACGTTGTGCACTGTGCTGGCCGTCAAGAGGGCCCGAGTCGATATCTCACGCGACGTCCCCGGGGTCCTGGCTCGCTATCGAGACCACATCTACGCAGACGATGTGTGGGACCGCCGCGTGCCCGACGCAAAAGCCGCAGCGCACGCCAAGATGGGATTGGACGAGGCGAGGGGCGGCGTTGTCGTGGTTCGGCCAGACGGGCACGTTGGCGTGGTAATAAGCCTTGTTGAAGGAAACGGCACCGTCAACGCCCTCGACGTGTATTTTTCGGCATTCTGCACCCAACCGCTTGGAGGGTTCGCGCCGCATCTGTAGTCGAGGAAGGCTTCTGGTTCCGGAAGGTGGAGAAGTCGGCAGGGGCGAATCATCAGGCTGCTGGCGCTTCCGCCTCTCCATGTACGAATACATGTACGAACAGTTGAACGACGAGGCTGTTTTCTGATGTAGCTAGCCGGCGTAGGCGGTATGGGCAAGCATCCTGCGTGCGCGCAGAGCGAGAACGGCTGTGATGGAACGCACAGTGTATGTAATCCGTCAGGTTGCCCGTGCATCGAGCGAGGGCCGAGAGCCCGGTGCTATTTGGGTGACAGTTCGATGATTTCACTCGTATTCATATTTTGAAGGAGGAGCGCCGTTGCATCACGCAGCCCGTCTCACGCAGGTCAAAAGTAGCAACGATGCGGAATATTCAAGGTGCAAGGTGTGCGGGGCGTGTGGGGCTTCCCAATTCGATATCGAGGCTGGGACCCGCCCAGCAGCTGGCAGCTTGTGCCCCGCCTAGGGTGGGTCAAGCCGAGGTTTTGCCAGCTAAAAAACTCCCCTAGCTCCCCTCAACACCACTGCAACTCGCCATTGACGGCATCACCACAGCGACCTTCAGCACCACGCCGCGCCTGGCAACACCTGCGCACCGCCGTTCAGCAGCGCACCTCGCCCGACCGCCTCAGGCACCCAGATTCATCGAACGCGTGTTGTTGACAACGCGTCATGCGCGTTTCGCCACCTGGCAACGTGGGCTGATTGTCGGTCGCGTCCGCCAGCCTACAAGTACGTCTCCCGCCCCCAATCTCTCCCGTTCCTTCTTTCTCCCTCCTTCAACTCGCACTGCACTCGCACTCTGAGTTATCACGCACTTTCCAACTCTTCTGCACCAGCACTTTCCAACATTCTGCACTTGCACTCCCCAAACGCCTTCCGTCAACGCAACAGCTCTCTTGCCTCTCCTGCTTTTCCGCTTTCTTCGGTCTTGATCCGACTTGCCGTCAAACACCAAACACCAAACGCGCGCACGCATCTGCTTCGCACCTGCTTGTCTTCAAGCAGCCTCAGCAAGCACCAGCTGCACTTGCCACTCTTCCTGCTCTTGCCCATCACTGCACCGCACTGTCAAACACCCCCATCATGACTTCCTCCTATCACTCCGACCTCGCCGCCTTGGCCGTCCGCGCCAGGTTCCAAGCTAACGAGCGAAGGCACCTGCAATCTACCCAGCGCCTGGGACTTTGGAGCCAGCGAAGCATCCTCCACCGCCAGGCGGCCGAGGCTGCCCGGCCAGCACTGCTGCGCGCTTTAGACAACCGTCCTCGCCCCCCCCCAGAGAACGCAACCCAGAGGCCTCGCATTTTTGAGCGCCCCAAAGCTCGTCTCCTCATCGACACAAGGTTTCCCGTCTTCGAGTCTGACGACCCTGCGCTCGCGGATATTCGCTCCGTCCGCGTGGCACCTCCATCGACACGACGTGCTCGCCGAGCTTTGCCTGTTTTCGCCTCAGCCCCGACCACTCCTCTGGCGTTTTCCAACACCGGAACCGAGTTTGTTGTGATCGATGGCGTTCGCACTCGCAAGCGCCGCGCTGAGAGTACCGAGATTGAACTCGTTGCGGGTCTGCACGACGCCGAGGATACTAGCTCCTCTGTCGCCATCCCTCGCGAGGCATCCGTCTTGCCGGACAACGCGCGCCGTCTCGCTTAGGAGACCGAGGTGAGTTCACAACCTCGCCCATTTGCCCTCTTGCCGTTGTGATCTCGCTGACTCGCGTGTTCAGGCGCCGCGCCGCATGTTTGCAGGACATCTTCTTGGACGCGTCACCGGGATGATGTCGGACGTCTACTCTACCGTGACCGCTTTGAGTGGTGCAGTGGCTAGATTTTGTACGTTTCCATTTCTCGCGTTCAAGACTTGCAGTCTTGAACATGGCTAACTCGAACTAGTCCGTCATACGTCTCACACTGTTACCGAACTTCGCACCTATGTCCGTGACCCGGACACTGGCGCAATCAATGTCGCCAACAAGCGTTTCAAGCTGGGCTCCCCCGAGGAGACCCAGGCAGTCTGGCTGACTGAAGAGGCTACTCTCTGCGACCTGGTGACAAAGAGAGAGAGCCTCCTCGACTACCTTCGCACTATCTGCAACGCCATCGCCGACAACCCGGATCGTGCCCAAATGAACAAATGTCTTGGGCCCCTGCAGTTTTTTCTCATCGACAATGCTCACGACCTTGGCGTTATTAACCGCGGAGAGCGTGATCTCTGCGACGCCTTCTTCGGCCACGTTGAAAATTGCTTCAACCTGCTGGCCATTCTCTACGACGTTGGCTACTTCTTCACCACAAGGAAGACCTATGGTTCGGTTCCGCCAGCCGTGGATTACAAACTCGGCGAAGATGGTCGAAAGAAACTGAATTGGGCTCAGAAGTTCCTTTCTGCCCCAGCTCTGCCCACTATCTGCGATGACTTTTTGCGAATGGCCTGCGTGAATACTGAGGAATCTTTTCCCACCGACTTTGTCGATCGAGTCATTCTGGATTTGCAGGCCATTATGTGCGACATTCCTGTTCCGAGCTTTGTGGTTTCTGAAGAATTCCATGGGCAACTCCGACTGCTTTTCCCAAAGCCTCAGCGCACAGACCTGGAATGGCACTTGCTGCTTCCTGGATGCTTTCCCGAGGACGAGGAAGAGGAGACAAAAGAGGCTCCTCCCCCTTCCCCTCCCGCACACAGCGTCCCCATCATCACCCCTCCGCGAACTCCATCTCCACCGCCGGTCATTGCAAAGACCAAGACTGGCAAGACGGCATGTTTCTATGCCGACCACTTGGAAAGCTGGATTTCTGGCATAACATCCCAGGAGTTCCACTCCGAGTTTTATCAGGAGAGCGACGCTCATCGCGCCATTCAAACCAACTACATTACCGAATTTGTGGCCAAGGACCCCGGCAAATCAGCCGAGGCCAAGCTCCCAAAGTCGATTCTCAGGAGACGCAGAAACCAGGTGTCGCGATGGAACCCCAAGCGACTGGCCGGGACACGTCTGCCCAAGGCTGTGCGGTTCACGGAAAGCACTCTGAGCCCTCGTCCGCGAAGTCACATGGGCCTGGACGTGCCCAGGTTGATTGAAGGCGATGAAGAGCGAAAGAATGACGACGCCCCCGCCGCTTGGTCTCCTGTTGGACTGCGACCAATGACGCCTTCGGAGGACAACATGTTCTTGATAAAAAAATCTCATGACGAAGACTTCTTTTGGCCGCGAACAGATGACGACAAACTGCCCGACCCCGAGGAGGAGAGAGAGCGCAGGGTTGCCGGCGCATCGGCTCGCATTGATGAACTTATGGGCCTACCCACCGTTCCAGGTCTCTCGACTCGCCCAATCGAGGACATTCTCGAGAGCCTCAAACGGCAGAACAAGATTGACCTGTCCTACAAGCTGGCCGTGGAAGCAGAGAAGGCCGCGGAGGAGGCAAGGCAGAGAGCAGCAGAGGAAGCCAAAAGGGCCGAAGAAGAGGCGAAGAGGGCCGAAGAGGAAGCTAAAAGGGCCGAAGAAGAGGCCCAACGAAGGGCTGAAGAAGAGGCCAAGCGACGTGAGCTGGAGGAGATACTCGCCCAGACGGGCGGCTTACGCCCGGCCAAGTGTCCTCTTATCACTCCACTCAGCGAGAAGTGGATGCAGGAGGTTGAAAAGGCCCTGGACCCAGGCACCACGAGATTGCTGGCCAGCACTTGCGAGGGCATCGAATTGAGACGACACGACTTTGACACTCTTATTCCACCGACAAAGTGGCTCAATGACGAAATCATCAACGGATCTCTGGGCTGGCTCGACCGAGCAATCAACGGGGCTGCTGGCATTAAGGACACCAGGAGACAGACCCGCAAATGCTTGGCCATGGGCTCGTTTTTCTTCAAATATCTTCTTGAGAAGGGTGTTGAGCGGACTGAGCGGACTCTTCGTCGCAACGGGGTGACCAAGGACAATATGCTGGATGTCGAGACGATCATCTTGCCCATCTGCATGAACTTGCACTGGACGGTGCTCGTCATCCGCCCTGCCAAGAGAACAGTGGTTCACATGGACTCGCTCAGTCCCAGCGGGTCCCGGCAGATTCGCAGACTTGGGCTGGCATGGGTCAAGCACATACTGCAGGAGAAGTTTGTGGAGTCTGAGTGGGAGGAGGTTGTGACGGAGGCTCCCAGTCAGAGCAACTCTTACGACTGCGGGGTCTTCACCATCACCAATGCCATGTGCCTGGCTTTGGGCTTGAGCCCCATTCACAGCTACGATGCGCAAGACATGCCGCTGCAACGCCATCGGATTGCGGCTGCGTTGATGAATGGCGGGTTCAAGGACGAGTTTGACCTTCAAGGTTATTGATTGGACAAGTTGGCTTGTTGCGACTGGAAAGAGGATGACTTTGGGCGCCTTGAGACAGCATGTGGCCCGTGCCGCCACAGAGATATACCAGGAGTTGGGGCATCGCGATGGTTGACGATTGTTTGTTTTTGGCACGGCAGTGTTGTATATGTTCAGGCTGGACGTGAAGTGGTGGGGGAGAATACAGAGGCGGGCCACAGAGCAGCGCCGAGTCGAAGATGGACAATGACATGGCAGAAAGCAGTGTTATGGAGGGCACTGCAAGGAAGCAGGGCGACAAGAGCAGTGTTAGAGTATAGCTAAACAGGCTAGAGTGGACAATGAAAAGGATTGGCATGGACATGGAATACGAGGGCGTACAAGACCGGGGCAGACGTAGAGGAAACATGTGAAGAAACGGTAGGTGGCGTGGGTTTGACAGGCAGCGCTAGAGAGAAAGAGTTGGATCTAAGGGAAAGCGGCGGAAACGGCTCAACGTTGTGGGCTAGAGACCAACGGGGCGGATTGAGTTTCGAGTGGAGGCGACTGTTTCTTCATCGTCTTTTCGGGGTAGACGAAAGCGGCCAGTGGAATATATCCATGTAACCAGTATACAAGGCTAGCAAGTACCGCAGGAGGCGGAGGCTTATCGATTGCTCTGAGCTTGGCTGTCGCGGTGATGGTTTTGGGGCGAAGGCGGTCAGAGGTCGGCCGGGAAGAGCGGAGGGGATGAATGGGCCGGCCGGTGGCGTGTTTTGGTCATGGTGGCGGTGGTGAGCCAGAGATGCTACGGTCCCTGTTTCTCGTCACCCTCTTTGCACGGATGGCTTAGTTGGAAAAAATAATCTTGGTGGCCTTGTTTTGTTCAGTCACGTCGGCGATGCCGGGAGATGAGATTGTGTGGTGGTGCCACCCGCGAGGTCCGCAGGGGAGAGGGGGAAGGGGGGGGAGGGAGAGAGGGAGAGGGAGAGGGGGGGTGGGGAGGGGGGAGGAGAGAAGTAAGATGGATCATGGGCCTCGTCGTCGGGCATTTTACGATTGATGGATTCCTCGCTCGTCTTGCATTGGGGATCCATACACAGACCGGTAGTGGGAAGGATTCTAGAAGCAGGCCGGGCGTGACGAGGCGTTTGGTTGGCTGGTCCATCCACGCATGGGCTTGTTATGTGTGTCTGGGATGCACGCACGTATGGACAGTACTGTATGTATGTATGTACGTATGTATGTTCCAGACTAGGTATTCAGTTACTTCCAGACTACTTCCAGATTACAGGGCAGTCAGTGTTGACGAGCACAACCAAAGATATAAAAAGAAAGACACGGTGCCTTGGAAACGGAGAGGGTTGTAGGGGGTGTTCGAGCTGGGTGGCAGCGAAAGTCGTGGCAACGCCGGTGGGGAATTTACAACAAAGCCGAAACGCATCATGGCTCATGGCTCGCACACGCCACGGCTTGCGGTGCATGATGCGTGCTCGAGCCATGGCGGTCCAACCATGATGCAGCCTCGGCCCCTCGGTGCCCAGGCGGTGGTGGTACGGAGCATGGCATGGATAAGTAGGTGGAAAGAAGAGGCGCAAAGGAAGAAGAAGCCTGCACGGCCCGTGTGTCACCATGCGGGCGAGGCCGACGGGCGCCCAGACCGGACCCCGGCGAGGCCGACGACGGACTTGTGCCTCGGGGCATGAAAATAGGATAGGAGAGAGGACATGGAGAGGAGCCGAGGGGTGTGGGGATCCGTCTGGAAGACGAGACCAAACATCCTTTTTTGCTAAGCTCGAAACGTGTCGTCTTCCCCTTCCCAATCAGCCCTGTCGTCTCATCGGATGGCCGTCCCTCGAGGGAGATGCGACACCGATGCTCATCCCGCAACTGTAAATTGCTACAGTGGCCTCTCGCCTGCCTACCTGGTGCAAGGGAGTGGAGCCAACGTGACGTTGGAGTACCGTGATGATCAAGGCTGTGTGCGATACGAGGTTACTTACGCCCGTGGCTGGTCGAGGGCCGGGGCTCCGGGGGCGCTCAAGACAGAGGCGCTCAAGACAGAGAGAGACACATGCCGTCATGGCCCTGGCAGAGGGATCGGGTCAGGCGACGATGGTCTTGCCGAGACTGACTCTGGGCACCGCGTCGAGCAATGCAAATGCTCTCGGGAAGTCTATGAATAGGCACTTGGGTTGCACCCGTAAAGGCAGTCAATGGCTTGACCATGATGCAAAACACGACTCAACGAGCACACGCGTGCATGGACTCGGCGCATACACAGAGCCGCTACCGGATTCATGCGGCGGCACTGTCGCCGTCATGACCAGAGCGAGACGCGAGTCACCGCGTCACATGGCTGGGACTCGATATCAGCAGTAGAGGAAACACCAGTGGCTGTCGTGATGACGATATGACCTGGGACACGGGTGACATGAGCACTGCACCGGCTGCTGTTTGATGGGTTTGATGGCCTGACGATGAGACGACGAGGCGGCGCGGGGATGGGATGGGATATGGGCGGGGGAATATGCCCGATGCATGCTGCTTGGAAATGATGACCTCTCTGCGCCTGTCGTACGACGCGGCAAAGACTGGGGACGGGCGTTTCACTGTCGGTTCAAAAAAAAACTTGGGCCGAGGTGCCTTGCATCCCGCGCGCGTGCATGACTTGGTGTTGTTGCTGTTGGTGTTGTTGTTGTTCTCGTCATCGTCGTCGTCTGATGTGACGCCATGCAGAAAGAGAGAGAGAGAGAGAGAGAGATGGAGAAAAGCAAAGAACCCTTACAACGTAGGCAGGCGTACGAGGTAGACAGACGCCTTGCTGTGAGCAAATGACGAAACTCCTTGTCGCTAGTCCCTGGTGTTCCAGCGCCTTGGCTCTCGACTGGCATGCAAGCGATAACGTCGACGATGCGTCAAGACGTATCGGGAGGGGGGCGTTCGTTCCTACTGTACAGTATTTCCTTCTTTCCATTTCTTCTTTTTATTTTTCCTTCTTTTTTGTCTGTTAATCTTGCTCATGTCCAGTATGATGCATGTACTAGTACTTCATGTACCATGTACTGCATGTACCAGGCCCCTTTTGGCTTGGAGAGGTGCGGGGTCTCAGAGGATCTCTTGCTTCCACGCAGCTAGCGAGCGGCAAGCTGCAGCCAGCAGCACATTGCATCGGGCCATGTACTACCGAGTACAAAGAGACCCAAGAGACCAGGCAGGCCAGTCTGCTGGCCTGCCTGCCTACTGCCTTGCCTGCATTGCCTGCCTTGCCACGCTGGACATGAATTGATGTCTACTACAGTACACCATACTAGTACCTTGGGTAAGTGAATGCCATAAGTTTGTAGGTGTTTTCTATGTGTACGGATACTGTACGTTCATGTCCAAGTATCTATCTAGGTAGGTAGGTACTGCTTGTACTCTCCAGTCCACGCAGTCCCGAAAACTCCGCTCGCGTTCCAGCATCGAGGGCCCGGCGGCGGCTGTGCAGGGGCAGTACCGGTCGGTAGCTCTTTGTCTCTCCGTCATTCTCTCGACCAGCAGCCCCCCGCGTTTCCCCCTTTATTTTTCCTTTTGCCCCTCGACAAGCCCTTACCATGTCTCACCCGCGCCTGTGCTTGGGAACGACGGAAAACGCACAAGCCAGGAAAAGAAAGACAGCGCAAGTGCGGGAGAAAAACCGAGTGTGTCCGGCCGCGTCGGCGATAACAGCAAGTGGGTGACCAGAGGGTGCCGTCCAGTGGATCCGTCGCTTCTCCTTGCGGCACTGGCGCATGCGCTAGAAAGGCGCTAGAAGACGCTTGAGCCCGCTTGAGGACTGTCTGCAAGCCAATCAGGGGAGGCGGTTCGCAACTCTCTCCATTTAACCTGCCGGGGAGAGTCAGTCGGTGGGTGGCTGAGTGGGGAAGAAAGGGAAAGAGGGCACCTATACGCGCGCCGGGGGTGTTTTGGACAGGGGGCGGACGGGTGAGAGAGCCAATAGAGGCGTAAACAGCTTTTTAGGCGAAGCCGCACTTGGAGGCGCGACAACTTGCCATTGGTATCCGTAGAGCAGGCCACCCTATTTGCGTCTTTTGAGAGGTTGAGAGGTTGAGAGGTCCCTCATCTGTAGGTGCGTGTAGTTAACTTAATACTGTGATTTTTCGTCCGGTTCCTTGTGTCTTTGTAGCCGGCCGGTGCCTTGGAGCCGGCCTCACCCACGTCGTGGCTCCTCTCACGTGACTTGCGCGCCTCGGAACCTCGTAGCCTTGTAGCCGCGCACGGCGCGCCTACAGCATCAAGCGCTTCTTTCGTTCCTCATACGCAAGTCACAACAGCTGATGACAAGGGGGGGGGGGGATCGCCAGGAAAAACAGCTGATGGCAGGCCGCCGGCTTGGAAATGTGTTTCTTCCCCCCGTCGACAGGCCCAGCTAGACAAGGCAAAAGCTATTGCCACCCCGAAAGCTATTGCCACCCCAAAAGCTCTCACACCCCCTTCCCAAGAACCCCTCGCGCGAGGGTAATTTACGGAAACCTTGCCCATGGACGACGCTTGGGCTTTTCCGTCACCCCAGGAATGCGCACCCGCGGACCAAAGACGCGTGGCTGTCGGTAGCCAAGGAGAAAGGCCCATGGAGGAGGAGAAAAGGGCACAGATTGACTCGACGATGCATTTACATCTGTACAGCGTACTGTATGCTACTACTCGTAGATCCTTGCCCTCCGGCCTGCCTCGACATGTACAGTACGCGCATTCCCTACATGTTCCATGCTCTCAGTGCATGCACGTGCATTCATGCCTGCAGAGGCCAGGTACTTGCTCGCGCATGGGCCAATGACGGGGCTGTACCACGGTAGCACCAACTCCAGGGGCCCCTTGGCTGCTATGTGCAAAGTACCGGCCCCCTAGTCAGGTTCGCGGGCTTTGTCCGCTAAAGACATGCTCATTTTGCCGTGGCGTCGCCGTGTGCATGACGACGGGCCCCTCGAGGTACCCGCCCGTGTACAGTACATCATCACACCACCCTGGTACCTACCGTACAGGCTACATGTATGTATACTCGCCCGTCCATCATCACTTTCTCCTCTTCATCCTCGCCATTGCCCTATTTCCACCCTCAATCCTCATCTCCCCTCCTCCTCTCCTCGTCTCCTCGCTCACGTGCCTCACCCATCCATCGCCGACCACAAGCCAACACCAGGGCACGTCCTCCAACATCAATCGCCTCGGCATCCACCTTCTCCCCTCGCTTGCCTGGGCTTGTTGGCTCCCTCCCGACCGACGTCCGACCGTCGCTTCGATCCAACAACTCGGCCGCCCTCACTCGTCACCTCGGTCAATATCAACAACGCTGCCGCCCGTCTCGCGACCATTCCTCCCCGGAATCGTCAGTCATACTAAGCCTTCGCTGTCGTCGAACCAGGCCTGGTACTTGGTCTATTCGTACCGTCGACGCCCAAGGCCGGCACCGGTTTGGCTCTTGGCCGATAGACTCGCGTCAAACGCAAGCCACCAAACCCTCTGCTAGATCCCACCCATCACTTCCGTCCCACGCCACCCGAAACCACTGCCTAACATTCCAATCGTCATTTTACCCCCCGCCGTCCCTCACGTCTTTTATCGGACGTCGTCCCTCCAACTTCTTGCATCAGGTTCACACCTGGTTTCACTGGCCCTTATTGCTACCCCATTCACCAAACCTCGCGAGAGCCTTTTCCGCCGCCGCAACTGGAACCAAAGCAACCCCCCGCCCATCATGGTCAAACCAAGGTTACGACGGCTATCTACCGTCTGCCTCACCCCAAGCCCACAGGAGCAGTCACCACGACCTGCCTCCGCCTTTGACGAATTCTCTGCCTTTAACCACTCGGAATCCCGCCCAGTCAGCGGCGCCTACTCGACCTCGTCTTCCTCCTCCCAACACACCATGTCGAACAAACCTCCCACCCTCAAAGATATTCTCGTCGACGCTGCCCCGCCGCCCTGGACTCTAAGCGCCTTCATGGCCTACCTTTCCCAAAACCACTGCATGGAGACGTTGGAGTTCACCCTAGACGCTCAGCGGTACGGCGCCTTCTACAAACAACTCGAGTCCGACCATTCCCCTTCCGACGAGAGCAATGAACGAGTCTGTGGCTGGTGGCGAAAGCTCATGCAGACTTACATCGTTCCCTGCGCCCCTCGCGAGGTCAACATCCCTGCCCGCATCCGTGACCACCTCCTCGCCGTCCCCGAAGGCCCCTCTCCGCCGCATCCGTCGAAGCTTGACGAGGCAGGCCGCATCATCTACGAGCTCATGAATGACTCGCTGCTCGTTCCTTTCCTCCAATCCGTGGCTCCTCTCAACGGGGGTTCGGGCGAGGAACGCGCACGCTCGCCTCGGCATCGATCCCGAAACAGCGGCGGACGCGCCGTCGGACAGCTTTCTCGATCAGCCACCATCGAGGCCGACGAATTCACCGACGATAGTGACAGCAACACCCCGCCAGCGCAGGAACCCATGACCCCGCCAACCACACCGCCGACGTCTGAATACACGTTCAATTCGTCCCCCGGCGGTTTCCAGCGAGCCGTGGCCGCACACAGCAAAGGTTGGAAGAAGGTCAGCGCCAAGTTGGGCCTGGGCCGTAAGGGCTTTGGTCGGCGCTCCACACCGTCAACGTCGAGCGCAGAATGCGATGTCCCCGTTGCCTAGCTCTCCGGGAACGACGGTTCTTGCAGGAGCCACCCAGCATGACAGAATTCCACATATTTACAAAGGCAGTCCCACTGAGAGCACTGCGGCTACCAACATTGATTCGATACCCTGCCCGTCGTCCAACTGCGCTGCCTCGTGGGATCTGGACGACGGAGCTAGTACGTGAGTCAAGACTGTCAGCAGTTGACGACATTGACTGAAATGACTCACTGGGTGAAGAGCCAGCGAGCGGCTTTACGGAATCCCGCACGAGTCAAGCAAGGCCTTGTCGTGACTCAATATGCTCTATGCATCCACCCGCCGCAGAACACTGCGCGATCAGCTTCCGCACCCGGTACGCCAAAGCTCCCTGGACCTATGAAGGACGGTGTTGGGAATGTTTTCTCCGCGACTTGAATAGAGCATCTCGCAAATGGGGCTCAAATACGCATGCAGCCTGGCGAGAGATGCTGCTGCGCGAGATGTGCGCACCCGAGCACTCATACAGACGAGGCCGGTGAATTGGCAGCCTGCGCCAACCTACCCGTAAGCGCCTGCACGAACTCAATGTACAGATGGAACAGTCTGGTTGTCACACCTCGCGGGTTGACTGAATAACGTGAAAGAATTTGGACTGGTCGCTAGGACATCACGCCCGCTCACGAGAGAAAATTGGGGTTTCTTACACGACTGATGACGCATTGTTGACGGAGCGGGGAGTTTTTATTTTTTACTTTACTGATGTTTCGAAAGCGGTTGCAACCAGTTCACGCAACGACGATTATCGTGCATATGAACCAGCAGCAGTTACAAAAGAGGATGGGTTGGTACGGCGGCGTTCTCTAGGCGGCTTATTGCCAACTACTTTGGCAACTTCCTACAACTAATCTTGAAACGTGTCCCGACTTTTCGGGCGTTATTGATTTACTCAACTTCGCGCATCTATGAGCCGTGCTGTACATGAATTAGAAGGAGGGCCTGCCCGACCTAGCCATCACGATAGACGCCGGCCCAATGCTCGGGGGAGCACGACGCAGGTTATGAACTATATCAGCGCTGCCATGAATCGATTGGTGCTGGAACAAATGTCCTTCGCGTCCCGAGCTGGCCGGTCATCAAATAGTGGTTAGAGCGAGAGAGCCGTCTCGACCATCCAGCGTCGAGCTTGTTGCCCACGTCTTGTCCTCTTCAGCCCGGGTTATCCGAATTTTGCGTTACGGCACGATCGCTCGTTCTCGGCATCAAGTAAAGCCGGTTATTCCCCGTATGTAGTAAGTAGGCTGCCAGCCCACTCGCCTCAGGTCAACATCGACACAGCCACCGTCATGAACGCCTGTCTATGCCAACGCCCAACCCCAAAACGCGCGTCCATCCTCCAAGGTGTGGGGAGGGGGGACACTCGCCGCGAACCCGCGGGCCATGTGTTTGGTCGTCAGTGCTCTCCCTTGGTATCCTGCGCGCAAATGTCCAAGTTTGAGCTCTTTTAGCAAAAGAGAACAGGCCGGGGCTTTACGGCCGTGCCATACTCTCGGCCCTTGCCAGCCTCGAGTCTTTGCCTGAGCTTGAACCTTGGAATGGTGGATCTACATCCCTTGGATTCCTTCTACTCAAGATACCTTGTTGATTTCCTTCTTCAATTTCTCATCCCGACTGGCCCTCGACGGGCTTATTGTGCCGTGAGTACATGCTCCACTCCAGCGAGTTGGCAAAGTCGATCTTGCCCTGCTCTACCTGCTTGCGAGTGGCCGATAGCATCGGCTGGGGAAGTCCCATGGATTGCAGAAAGGCGACGGCTGTGGTTTCGACTGTGCATCAGTGTCATGTCCGTGTTGAACAAGTGCAGCGGCGGAGATGAGGGCAGGGATACATACTGTTGGTCCACTCCACGTCTTGTCGCCGTCGATCCCAGCTCAGTTCCTCGGTCATGATGTCAATAATCTTGGGCAAGGCCTCCAGCGCAGCCTGGGCGTTGAGAAAGGCCAGGCGGGTCCGCCGGGCGAGCACGTCAACGGCCGTCTGCGCATACTCTTGGCGCACGGCGTAGCGGACTTCTCCGTCCACAAAGGGATACAGGTGTGAGATGCGTTCGCCGCGGGCAGGGAACCGCTGGCGCGTCATGTTGCACAGGGCGGCCACGGCCCAGGCGCGGTCGCCGTAGCTTTCCGTCAGGTGCTTGGCCACCTCGGTTTCCAGTCCAAACTGCTGGATGAGCGGGATGAAGAGCGTCTTGCTGAAGCCGTGGGCACCGACCAGGCGGACGTTGTGCGTCTGGCACGAGCCGTCGAGGATGGCGCCGTCGTCAACCACTTCAGTGCCGCTGACACGCGGTGCGTCCTCAACGGGCCTGGGTTCCAGGTGGAACTCCTGGATGGCAGCGTCAACGCATTCCTCGGCCATCTGACGGTACGTTGTCCACTTGCCGCCGGCGCAAGTCAAGAGGCCGGACGGGGAAACGTCGACCAAGTGTTTGCGCACCAGCGATTCCGTGTTCTTGGCCTTGGGGTCCTTGACCAGCGGCCGGATCCCGGACCACGCAGCCAGCACGTCTCCGCGCCGTACGTTGATCTCGGGCGACAGATACTGGCTGATTTCGCCGAGAATCCACCGGATTGATTCCTCATCAGGCAAGGGGTTCTGCGAGATTGGGCACGGCGAGTCGGTGGTGCCAGCAATGGTGTTTCCTTGCCAGGGGAGGAAGAAGATGACTCGACCGTCCGAGGTGGAGGGGTCAATGAGGCCCATGTTGGCCGGGCTGTAGTAGCCGGGCAGGATGACGTGAACGCCAGACGAGGGCGCGACGATTTCCTTGCAGTGCGGGTCGTCCATCTTGCGAATAGAGTCGGTAAAGGGGCCTGTGCAGTTGACGACGCACTTGGCACGAACGGTGATTTCATCGGCGGGCTTGCCATCCCGGACAGCCACCAGGTCCCTGACAGTGGCGCCGCAGAGACGGCCACTCCGGTCCTTGACGAGGCTCGTCACCTCGGTGTGGTTGGCGACGGTGGCGCCGTAGAGGGCGGCCGTCATGGCAATGGAAACGTTCATGCGCGAGTCGTTGTGGGCGCCGTCGTAGTAGACCAGGGCGCCGACGAGGTCCGTCTGCTTGAGCATGGGAAACGCATCGAGGGCCTTGCTGCGGGTGAGAAAATAGGAGCTCTCGATGCCCTCACTGCCGGCGAGAAAGTCATAGAACTTGGTACCCGCCCAGTAGTAGGGGGCCTTCCACCACTTGTCGAGGGGCAGCATGATGGGCAGCCACATGCTCAGATGCGGCGCCGTCTGGAGAAAGTACTTGCGCTCTTTGAGGGCCTCGCGCACCAGCTGGTACTGGCTATAGTCGAGGTTCCAGACGGCCTTCTCGAGGTAACGGACGCCACCGTGGACGAGTTTGGTGCTCTTGCTGCTGGTGCCGCTCCCAAAGTCGTCGCGCTCGACGACGGCGACACGAAGGCCCCGGGTGGCCGCATCGAGCGCAACGCCTGCCCCGGTCGCGCCGCCGCCGATGATGAGCATGTCGTACTCGGCGCCGGCCTGGGCGCTGCGTCGTAGATTGGCGAGCTGTTCTGCGCGGGGCTTGACAGGCGGGAAGTTGGGCACGGTGAAGGAGCCGCCGGGGCCGTAGGTCGGGGGTGGGACGGCGGCCGAGGAGGATCCGGGGATGTTTCGGGGCCGGTACGAGTAGAAGAGAATGGCTGCTCCGGTGACGGCGACGGCTCCAGGAGGAAGCAGCCGCCGCAGGAGCGAGCGCGACGGAGACGCCATGGCTGTGCGATGGAGGAGCGATCCAGCCGTGCGGTACCGAAAAGCTCGAGTGGCTATTGAGGCTCGACCGAGGCGTCCGGGGGGGAGACAAAAACGACGCCAAAAGTATTGCCTGAGGATTCAAGGGACCGACGCCCGCCCGATCCGAGTCTTGCGTGGCCTGCCGAGCTCACCAAGGGCGTCTGATTTCGCGATCTCTCCGGTGGCTTGACTACTGATGCAGCTCGTCGGCCCGTCGTTTTGCCACCAACCAGAGGCGCCAATTCAAGCTTTGCATTAACCGCTAAGTCAGCGCACCCAACCTTCGAAGATTTGCTATTAAGAGATAGCTGATATATAGTACTAGCTAGTAATATCTAGGTACTTTAGCTTTAGCGGGTTAGGCCAAATAGAGATTTGCTACAAAGGGTAATACTTATTATTAATGCAAATAGTATTTATTTTATAATTATAGAGTAAAAATTATATAAGAAAACGCGGTCACGATATAGTAGGTAGTTAGGTAGTCGACGCAATCAACAGTGATATAGTGAGGTGCCGAAGGTTGGGTGCGCTGACTTACGAGCATGGCTAATCGGTGATGCCCTTGCCAGCGGCTAATTCTGCCTCATTCGCATTTCACGTCGCGATGCGGGTGGATATGTTCCCTGCATGGAACGTCATGCCGCAGCCGCCGATTTATTCACGTGAGCCCGACTCGACGATAGGTGAGCTATTATCCAACAACCTTCTTTTATGTATCCCTCTCAACCTACTTTCTCGGAAGCTGCGTCGGCGTTCCGTCAAACGGTCCAACACGCCTACCAATCTGCTTGCTGCTGAATTGAGCAGACTACTCAACCTTCCTCGGCGGCTACCCGCAGCTCATCGGCTATCCGCGTCAAGTAGAACCGTCGAGTCTCCAGCGGCAATTGCTGGAAGCCTTTCGCTATGCGCATCGCGTCCTGCCTCCCCTTCTCGTACGCCGCCAGATCCCGGTTACCATAGACGTCCCGGCCCGTCGCGTAGCCGCTCTCCAGGTCCCGGAAGAAGACATTGACGGCAACGCTCAGGTCCGACGTCGGCTCCGACGTGTGAAGCCACAGCGGCGGCAAAAACAGCAAGTCTCCTGGCCCGAGCTCGGCCTCGTGCGGGCGAGTCGCCGCCAGATTCGGGGCCTCGAGCGACGCCAAGACATCGAGGCTCGAGCTTGATGCCCCGGGAGCAAATGAAAGATGTCCTACATCGCTTGGTGGGAAGAGAACCATTCGTTTGCGGCCCACAATTTGCGTATAGACATTGGCCATAACCTGGAGACTCAGTCAGCGGATACGCATTGCTGGTCACCAGCAGGGGAAGAGGTTCTTACGTCGTAGTGAAGCCACATATTCACCCTGCCTGACACTCGTAGGACGGAGCTGAACAAGTTGCGGCTGACGTAGTTCAGTTCAGGCGGGAGACAAAAGTCTTCTGCTAACCTTGGGAAATCCTCTTCGAGGTTGGCTGGCTGCTCCGACGGCTTCCTGTGGGACAATGATCGCAGATACAACCGGCCGCCGGCCTGCATCTTGGCCATGACCGCCTCGAACGAGTCCCTGACGTAACGAAAGTTTTTCGAGTTGAAGTCCATCTTCTCCGTGTCTCTGTGGCACTCGTGCACGATCACCTGCCCCGTTCGTCTACCTGTCAGCTCCAATCTCACGCCACAACAGCTTCGCACCAGTCTAACCTCTGTGTTGCCCCCGACTTGTTGTAGCAAATAGTCCGAGGTCCATTTCCGCAAGCAGTCTCCGAGACCAAGGCCTTCTATAATCACTGGTTTGCCATCGCCGAGAATCTCATCGAATCCTTTCTCGGCGCCGAGACGAATTCGAGGAACCGATGTGACTATTGTCTTTGCGGCCGGCTGCCCGGCGGGTCGGCTGCCACGACTCGCACAGTTGACAATCTTGCGAGACTCCAAAAACTTGACGTCAGCAATCTCGAGACTCGTGGACCGCACGCTGCTTGCTTGCCAGAGGCCGTCGTGGGCTGTTATGCTGTATACTCCAGTCTCCCAAAATGTGCCCATCGAGAAGCACGTCGCTCCACCGCCGATGATCACAAGGCGGTCCTCGCATGCAATGACAGAAGATCCAACCATGAAGGGCATACAAGCGGCGTCTTGGCAGCGGAGAGGGGCAGTTGTATAGGATCCATCATCTCTGATGCTGACGACGACAAGATCGCGACCTTGGACTGAAGGATCCTGTCCCATGCCGCCACATACTACGGTGCAGGAACCCAATTCGACGCATCTGGCACCAAAACGTGACAGGGGATCCCCGATTTGTCGGGAAAGCGTTGGTACTATTGACTTGAATTCGATGGTCCACTGCCATATTTAGTGCTCGTCCAAACCATGGATGGAATGCCGTTTCTTCCAACTTAATTGTGGATGGGTGCATACATACCTGGCTCTCAACTACACGGAGATTCCATGAGTATTTCTCAGTGACCACTCGGCCGTCTTGACTTATACCGCCCATCAGTAGACCGTGGAAGACCCCTTCCATGTTACCCAACTGAGGCGAGTTGCATAAAACGGCGCCAAAAGTAGGGCGAGGCTTAGCACCCTCGACCCGACATCGACGCCAACCTCGTTCAGGATCAAACACAAAACAGTCATCCGAGACTGTTGAACGAATCGTCTTGCCACCCATGATGAGAGCAAGCGAAGTGCCTCTCAAACGGACGGCGGAATGTCTGAAGAGCGGGATAGGAAGGTTCCACGTTAGCTCCCAATGACACTCGGGTCCTTTTCGGAAGAGCCAACAGTCCGAAAGGGGGCTTGCCGGAGATCCTCTGCCTCCCGCAAGCAGGACTCCGCATTCACCAAGATCCGTTGTCGTGGAGCACATACGAGGAGGAGGTCCAATAAGAGGTAGCTTTGGAAGGTCGTCGTGCCGCCCAAGCGAGTAGACGTCGGACGAGTCTGCCCTTCCGTTGCTTCCGAGCCCCATCATATGTATGGCGGATTGCCTTCCCATGGAACTGGAGACAGTCATGGCCTCTCCAAAACGGCGCCTAGGGGCATTTGTCTGGTGGCATTCCACCTCGAGGCTGACCTCGGCGGCATCCCGTCTGTTTTCCGAGGTCGGATTTGGCAGCGATTTCCCGTCTTGGTTGGCGGGCGAAGTCGAAGCGTGGACAAGTGCGTAGTGCCGTGCGAAGAGCATGAATTCCTCCCACTCGTCAAATGGCTCCACCTCGTCCAGAAAAGCCCTTTGGGCCTTGGTCAGGAAGTGGTCGCTCGACCAGACCTCCCACAAATCCCAGACTTCAACTTGCCGCCAACCTCTGTTCTGGAAACGAGCTCGTTGGCTTTCAGAAGTTGGATATTGGCCAACCGACCTTGGTGGCGCATTCAGTTTGTTCAGGTGGCTGAGCATCGTCGCTGCAAAGGGTTGATCCGCGCCTTGGGGGAGAAGATGCTCCAAAAGACAGAACTCGGCTGACTGGATCAGCTTAAGTATCAGACACAAGCGAAGGTAGAACTCACCCTGGCCAAGAGAGCTGGCCCACTGCACCAAGTCATCGGCGTAGCAAGTTTCCATGTACGTGATGGACACTTCGGCCACGAAGAGCATCTCGCAACCGGACAAGGGGAGAATGGTCTCAAGCGTCTGGTGGAGCTCGTCCAGATTCCGGAGGTCGCATCCTACCTGGCAATATCGCTCACTCTTGAGCAACACCCGGTCCTGGTCCAAGTCGTTGACTTGGAAGTCGTCGCCAAGCAGCTCTCGCAACTGCGGCGTCTGCAGCACAACAGCACGCTTCTTGAGGATGAGGTCCGGGAAGTCGATGTCGATGAAGAGCAGCCCGTCGCATGCGGAGGCATAGCGTGTGTTGCATTGCCAAGGCAGGACATCGCTGGCATGGGGTGAGTCCGGGGCCGGATGATGGGGAGAAGCCCACGAGCGCAAGGAGCAGATATCTCACCTGCCACATCCCAAGTTGATGATGACCCTCTTCTTGGTCAAAGAACGCGTGATGAAGTGGCGCAGGACAACATCAATGGCCCTGAGCCTGAGCCAGTAGCCGCGATTGATGAGCGGCGACCTCCGCTGGAACTTGGGCACAAAGTAGCGAAAGAAGTGCGGTTCGTTGGGAAAGTACAGGCGCTCGACACTGCGCTTGGAGACGATGCTGCTGTTGTTTGTCTGTGCGGAGGCTTAGTCGAAGGCCTCTCCCGTTGCGAGTCACAAACTCGGATAGACGTCTGAGGGTGCGGCATGTAGGCCCTGGCGACCACACCGGAGCAGCTCTGCAGCTCTCGACTGGAGTCGGCGTCTAGCGCGACGAGTATGAAGCTCTGGCTGGCCGCCGTCTTCTCCCACCGGCCGACGGACAGTGGATGTGCCGTGCTTCTCACCCATGGTAGCTTACCCCCATGACGATGTCGTCTAGAGTTTGGGCCCTGGCCGCCCGGTTCAAGGCCGTTGTCGGCAGCATTGTCGATGGCGCCCTCCGGCCGACGAGGTGATCTTCTCTTGTGTGGCGGATGAGAATAGTCGCCGAAGCCTGGAGCAAAAAAAGCAGTAAACGAGAAACCCCCCCCACCAGCTTAGCTCCTGTAGAGGTGGTGTGCCCATCGAGGAACCAGCAAAGGAATACCAGGTAGGTACTACCTACCGGTAGTAGGTACCTCACCCCAAGTGTGCACAGGTACCTGAATGCACTGCGCCATAGGCTTGCAAAGGCATGTACACTACACTTTACACCAGGCAACCGAATCCCCAAGCCTTTCCGGCTTCCCCAGCCCCTCCGCCTCTTGTCTTGGTCCTTGTCTTCGTCTGCCTCCTCCTCTTCTCCGCTCCTCTCAGCCTCTCCCTATCTTCTTCCACACTCCGCGACGGCATCTCGACCCTACCTCGGCCTCCCCTTCTCTCCTTCTACCCCAAGTCCAACTCGCTCGACCGCACTGGCTGGACGCCCCCTCGAGCAGCTCCCTGCCACGCTAGCATCCGCTTCCCTGTCCTGCTCCATCGTCGCCAGAGCTTCGCAAGTGACGACGCCAGCCGTCCGACGCAGCGCCCTGCATAGCTCACCGCAGCTTGTTTGGTGGCTTGTCGAGTCAAAGCTTTAGTCTCTCGGCGCTACATCCGCTCCCTCGCGAGCCTCCCCTGGCTCCTCCAGCTCCGCTGCGCTGGAGGACGTCGAAATGGCCAGCCCATCGCTGAACTTCATCACTTTCAACCAGGACCACAGCTGTCTCGCCGTTGGTGGGTGCCATCGCTTTCGCACTTACGTGCTTGTAACCTAGTCTTACAAAGGCTGCTTCTGATTCAAGTGTGGTCTCTGCAGGTACCTCCAAGGGCTTTCGCATCTACCATACGGAACCGTTCTCCCGAATCTTCAGCAGCGATGACGGAAACATCGCAATCATTGAGATGCTCTTTTCTACATCCCTCGTCGCTCTAATCCTCTCTCCGCGCCATTTGATCATTCAGAACACAAAGGTGTGTCTGCCCTCCCCTCTCCGCGACTCTTCCTCGCTCACCGGCCAATCCTTTTCCAGAGAGCATCTGTGATCTGTGAGCTTACCTTTCCTTCTGCCGTCCTCGCCGTGCGCTTGAACAGAAAGCGACTCGCCGTGGTCCTGGAGGAGGAGATCTACCTCTACGACATAAGCAACATGAGCCTTCTTTACACGATCCCCACGTCTCCGAACCCTACGGCCATATGTGCGCTGTCGCCTTCGTCCGAGAATTGCTTCATCGCCTACCCGTTGCCCAAACCTCGTGAGGATTCGGTATCCAAGCGGCCGTCCCACGCGCCTCCCCAGTCTACATACATTGCACCGACGTCGGGCGAGGTTCTTGTTTTCGACACGTTGACCCTCAAGGCCGTCAACGTTATCGAGGCGCATCGATCGCCCTTGTGCTGCATGTGCCTCAACAACGAAGGGACACTGCTCGCTACAGCCAGCGAGACGGGCACCATCATCCGAGTCTTTTCGGTCCCGCGAGGCCAGAAGCTGTATCAGTTCAGGCGCGGAACCTATCCGTCGACCATTTACAGCATGTCCTTCAACCTCAGCTCTACGCTGCTATGTGTTTCTTCCGCGTCGGACACGATCCATATATTTCGTCTCGGTGTGCCTCCGGGGCATACGACTCCGGCAGGAGCCCCTATAGAGCCACCCGGCTCGCCGAGACTGGACCGCTGGTCACGAGCGAGGAGCCATGACGATGCTGACTCTCCAGGCAATAGCTTGGCGGAGTCTCCGCGGAGTGATGCGGCGGAACATGGGATGAGCAGCAGCCCTGTTGGGCCCAACAAAGATGGCCATCGGAGACAGAGCGGCTCATTCAGCAACATGCTCCGGCGCTCTTCGCAGATGATGGGTCGGGGAGTCGCTGGCGTGGTGGGCTCGTACCTACCCCAGTCGGTGACAGAAATGTGGGAGCCCTTGAGAGACTTTGCGTACATCAAGATACCCAAATCTGCGACGTCAGGAGGTCCGGTTCGCTCGACAGGGGGGGCGCCCGCGGCTCCACTCCGCAGTGTTGTGGCTATGAGCAGCAGCAGCCCCCAGGTCATGGTGGTGACGAGCGATGGCGGCTTCTACGTCTACAACATCGACATGGAGAACGGCGGCGAGGGCTACCTGGTCAAACAGTTCACGTGAGTCAACAGTCGAGCGCAAACATGTGTGCTTTTCGGTCGCCTTGGCAGCTAACGAGAATCAGGGTCTTGGAAGGGGACGACCGGAACGACGCGTCTGCGTATGGGGGCTAAACGGCCGCTTTATCCGAGGATTGTTACGACTTTGGCAGCAGCATTGACGTGAATGTGTGACGTCTCTTTGCATGATTCCTAGAGCGAGCGTCTTGGACAACTTCACTATATTGCATCACAGGTTTCCCGCCCTCTCGTGCCTTTCCTTACATGTGTGTCCGCGGGTGCGGAACCTTGAAGAGCGTGGCAGTCGACCAGAGCGGTTGAGAGGCCACAACGTCTTTGCCATCATCTCTCATTGGGTTGTCGCGGTTGATCGGCTACCTTCGTCTCTTCGTTTCACTGCCTGCCTCGTTGGCACTTTGCTTGCGCATTGTCAGGTGTCACCCCCTGAGTCCGTGTATGGTCATTGCATGCAGCCAGTTGGCTGCTCAACCATGTATCGATGCCTTGTTTCTTTGACGGAGTCATGCACAATGGTGCCGACTTAGTTTTCTTCCATATACAAGTTGTTGCTATTTCGCACCTTGAATCATCGAGCTTCTGACCTCGCACGTTATTGTCGTACATTTCGCGTGTTGATAAACAAAAACGGTTCGCCGTCCACAATCTTTGAGATTTGAAATCGCCTTTCCCCAATGATGCGCCATGCAATAAACAATACTGGCATATCTTGTAATAGCACAAGCTGTGTGACTTCATCTGGTCATCATCTGGAATATGGACGGTTCATGAGCGCGATTTCACGAGCAATCTCTCCCCATTCCAGCTCTCTCTTCATCGATTTGTTTGGGTCCCCGTTTTGTTGGAGCCATTCTTCCCACCGCAGAAGCTCGTAAGCAAACCGCAAGTGCGGCTGGATGATGACGTTGAGGCGTCGAGCCCTGACAAAGCAATACGCGCGCGGAAAGGTCATGCTCAGGGCCCGCATGACTTCGACGATGCAGATCGTGGCGCTCCGAGAGACTCCCACTCGGCAGTGGACCAGCGTTGCTGTCCCCTTGCGTCTGCCCCGGTCTACGGATGGTAGTCTGGTTAGCAGGAGGCTGCCCGAAACGGCAGATATAACTCACCAATAAACTCGAGACACCGAGCAAACTCGTCCGTCAACGGGTCAATCCCATTGTCCTGTACCCCTTGCACCACGCACACATTATCTCGGCCCCAGGCGTCCATGGCGCCGTCCCTCCAAGCGGCTTCCTCTCCGACGCTAAGAAGCTGCTTGATACCAAGCTGCGTCAAGAGATCGGGGTTATTGGCGTGGCCTAGGTTCCCAAGATATAAGTAATCCAAGATTCTACTGGGAAGAGACCCGTCCAGGCCCGGAAGCCACCTCGGTTCACTCTTAATCATATTCGTTATGTCCAGTAAGGTTTGGCCGGCGCACAGCGGAGACTCGCGCAGGAGACGGGGCGCTATAGCAGTCAATAGAGCCACATCAGTCGGGTACGCAAAAAAGTTTCTGCGCTTGGATGTGTGGAGGTGAAGCCATGCATCTGGTACCGGACGGCCCGTGCTGTAGCTAAAGTAGGCTATCCCCAGCATGGTGGACTCTGTGTATCCATCAGCACAATGAATGAGTATCTTCCGAGGCTTACTCTGCACCGGTATTGCCTCCCGGTCAGAGAGCTCTCCCGAGTCTGTATCGTGTCGCCCAGTGGAGGCGTCACGCGGTTTCGGACAAGTCCCATGAGATAAGTGGTAAATCCAACGACAAGTTTCAAGAATGCCGTCGGCCTCGTCGTGCGACCAGGTTGGGGGTAATATGCTCCCGGACGAGGGGAAATCCAGGAACGACTGGGGGAGTGCCTCGTCCATGCTCTCGGCAATCAACTGCAAGACAGCTGGGTTCAGCCGACCAAAGTCACAACACTCGATCAAGACATCGAACTGCTGTTCTTCTGGACTCTGGGACTCGGGTGTTGGGCCCATAAAGACGTTGGGAGATATCTCGGAAGCCTTGGTCATGTCCCACATCTCCCTCCGTTCTTGGTGAACAAAGTCCAGGACCCTGCCGGTGAGACTGCCTTTGGTGTCAATGGATATGAGGTCAGGGTAGTTCTCTTCGAAGTCCCTGACAGTGCTCGTGCAAACAAATGTGTTATACTCCGGGAGAACCTGTCCCCGAGCCGCGTGAAGCTCTCGCCACTGGACCTGGGCCGCCGAGATGTCCCACGCTGCCTTGTGCACCTCGGTTGGGTCGTCGCCATAGACGACAATGTCCGATGTGAAGGCCATCTTGGCCGGCTGGATCTGGAAATTCCGAACGGAAAATCCATCCGTCGGGTCTGCCTCAATGAATCCAGCAGGGGGGGCTCGGCGCAGAAACTCGTCTGGCGCAACCGCGCCTTTCAAACGCCCCGTGCTGAGGTCGCCGTTGGCCTTGACGAGAGTGACGCCCCTGAGGCACGACGGGGTCCTCCTCGGAGAGCGGCGACGGCCCATGAAGAATGTCTGTTGCATTTGATTGTTGGGATGGAGGCCATGTAACCACGGGAAGACCAAGGAGGGCGGGGGAAGCGGTTGCCTGGCAGCGAAGTCCACAGCTCGGGCAACTTGATGCGCACCGATTTCGTATATAGAGAGATGGCCGGAATCAACACGCACGTGGCCGTCCGGAGGGTAGAGCAAGGAGCTTTGCTGGACCTCGTCGGAGCTCTGTGGGGAGGCGGGCGGCGTATCGAGGTCGCCAGCTTTGGGGGGTCCCGTGGGGCAGACAGGAACGTGTTTGTTGGGTATGGGAGCCGGACATTGAGGCGAGTGAGTGGCGGACGACGAGCCGACATCCTCGAGGGTGCGTGGCGAGGTGATGGACGAGGCGATGTCGGGAGTGGCGCTATGGGGAGGGAGAGGTCTCGACAAGGTGATGGTAGCCATGGCGGGCTACGGCTGCACTGGGTATGATGTAGGTCGAGTTCATGCGACGCAGAGAGAAAGGCAATTGACCGACAAGATTCAGGACAGGATATAGGAGAATGCTACGCTCGGGGAAGTCGTCGGAGGCAAGATACGACTGCACTGTCTCTGGGCCGTGGCGAGTTTGCAACTGCCGTGGGCAACGTCAGACCAAGATTCAAGTCGTTGACAGTGAATAAGAGGGAAAGTCGGGTTTGACGAGAGTGCAATGTAGTATGAATGGGAGTGACGCACGCGACTTTTGGTTCGAAGTCATGCCTGGACAGACACGACGAAGACCAGGACTCGAGAGGCAATCGACTTTGGATTATTATATGCCGGGAGAAGTGTCGGGTCGGGCCCCAGGCGGGAAGCTCCGAGGCTGGACAAGGTCGACCGGTCGTTGCCCCGGGGTGGGGTTCCGGTACGGCCTGGACGAGTGGAGACGAGATATGGCTCCCAATCGACAACCGGCCGGAGTTTGTTCGCGGCGGCAGACGATACGAGTCGAACAGGGCAAGCAAGCGTCGTTTGGCGATGGGCCGTGTGTGACTGTCATTAATTAATGGATGACGGGGCAATTGCAGGTAGAGGGAATCATAGGAGAGCAAGATCCGCGGAGAGGGATAAATTCTGGATGCGGATGCGGGAGGAAGAGGCAAATGAGATGGACGAGGGGAGGGACGGCAGGGGAGAAGAGGAGAGGAGAAGGGGCGGAGAAGAGGCGGGGAGAGCCACGGGCTGGTGGTTTTGTGGTTTGAGGTTGTGAGTGGGTGGTGTGGTGGTGGGTGGTGGGTGGTGGGTGGTGCAGCGCTGTGCAGCGTAGTGATGTGCGTGCCTATGGGTTTAGTACTACAGTACATCTGTACATGCAACGGGTCGGTACCCTGGCTCAGGTGAATTTGCCAATCAACCACTCGACACTCGAATGCCGGTGATAGTGCAGTACCAAGGCAGACGGCGCCCACCCGACATGAGGAACGTGTGTCTGCGCTGTTTAGTACCTACTAGCTAGCACGAGGGCTATAGGCTATAGGTCGGTGTGTGCCGAGCGTGCACGGAGCAGTGGTGCTGTGGCCACACCGCTGCCGAGAAAGGCGGTCTTGCCAAGCGTGCGGAGAGGTACCTAACTAAATAGGTAGGTATTACCTAGGTACCTTACTTTGGTGTGTGGGTAGATACCTAGGTTTAAGGTAGGTACCGTAAGGTATCTAAGTGCCTACATTCGACCGTGCAGTACCTCGATACATGCATGCCTGCGCCTACTTGCATTTTCGACCACACAGCCAAGGGTGGTGAGAACCAGGCCCAAGTACAGTGGGTGCACACGCACTGGTCAATCGATACATACGGCCCAGTGCAACACGCGTGGTGGTTGAAATTCGGCACCGGGGTTGGCGGACGAAGACGGATCGAGGTCGCAGCCAGCTAAGAGCGTCCAGTCCACTGCCAATTGCCAAGATGCGTGCCTTGGGCACCTGGGGCCAGCAGGCAGCTACAGTGGCACCAGCCCCGCAGAGGCGGACTGTGCAAACTTGTACACGTAAAAGGTACGGGTATATAGGTACCTACCTAGGTATCTACTGTACCTACAAAGTACCCAAGATAGCTTGCAAATATCCTTGAGCTGCAACTGCAGCACCATCAGCTACAGGCTCACTCTTCGATTCGCCAAGCGATTTACTCATCAAGCTCTCTGCTCTACTGTAAAGTCATAACTTGGGTGCATTCCACATTAAACCACCAACAGGTACCTCGACATTATGGACTGACAAGCCCACTTTTTGCTTCACCTGCCAGAGCCCCACTCCCCACCCTTCCATGGCAATTCTCATCACGTGACATCGCGCCGTGGCACCAAGTCTCGTCACGTCGCCCGTCACTCACGGCATGTTGCAGCGCTCGCCCATCACGCAAACTCCCGGCTCCCCAGGGCAATCTCAGCCCTGTGTAGGCCGCCAACATGAAGTTTGACATTGAGTAAGAAACCGCGTCAAGCATTACGGCTGCCTCTCCAGAACGGGCTAACCCTTAAAGCAGTGGCCTGCCGGTTTTATTCCCATACCCAAGGATATATCCCGGTATGTGCAGTCGCCCGTACATTCTACCGTCGTGCCTTTACTGACAAGCCGTGGCTTACAAGAGCAGTATGCGTGAGTACTTCAGGCACTTTGGCGTGGTCTTGAGCTGACTGGTCTTTCACCCACAAGCTACATGTGCGATCTCAAAAGTATTCTCAAAGCCCCTCTGCCTGATTCTTCTGCCCAGGCACTAACGCGTGCGGCGTCAAATCAGAAACTCTCGACGCTGGCGGGCACTGCGTCTTGGAGATGCCTTCCGGGACCGGAAAGACGGTGTCTCTGCTCTCTCTCATCGTCGCCTACCAACAGAACATGCCGGAGAGGCGAAAGCTCATCTATTGCTCACGTTCGCGCCGCCTATTCCCGCCCTATCTATCTCTATTGGCCCAGCTGACTCCCCTTCAGGAACAATGTCCGAGATCGAAAAGGCCCTTGTTGAGCTAGAATCGCTCATGAAGTACCGGGCAGAACAGCTTGGCTACGAAGAGGATTTTCGCGGCCTCGGACTGACCAGTCGAAAGAACCTGTGTCTCCATCCATCAGTCAAGCGTGAGAAGAGTGGCTCAATCGTCGACGCTCGTTGCAGGAGCTTGACGGCTGGTTTCGTCAAGGAGAAGAAAGACCGGGGTGAGAGTGTGGATGTCTGTGTCTACCACGATGTAGGGCAAACCCTCTCCCTCAGTCTGTTCATTGCTTTTGACGTGCGAGGCAGGGCGCTGACTCCCGCGCGCAGAACCTAGACCTTCTGGAGCCGCACAACTTGATTCCTAATGGAGTCTGGACATTCGATGGTATCCTTCGCTACGGCGAGGAGCACAAGCAGTGTCCATACTTTACGGCCCGGAGAATGGTAAGCGGATTGCAACGCTAGGGAAGACCGGGGCCTGACCTTGGTGCGCCAGATGCAATACTGCAACGTCGTCATCTTTTCGTACCACTACCTCTTGGATCCCAAGATTGCCGAGCGAGTCTCACAGGACTTTTCCAAGGACTGCATAGTAGTTTTTGACGAGGCGCACAACATCGACAATGTCTGCATCGAGGCTCTAAGCACAGACATCACCGAGGAGTCTCTGCGCAAGGCAACTCGAGGGGCACAGAACCTGGAGCGTAAAATCGCAGAAATGCGAGACACTGATCAAGAGCAGCTTCAGAACGAGTACCAAAAGCTCGTCCAAGGCCTTCGCGACGCCGAAGAAGCCCGGCAGGAAGACGCTTTCATGTCCAATCCCGGTCAGAAGAATCATCTCCCTTGCATCAGGACGAGGCTAACAAGCGCCGCAGCTCTACCCGAGGATCTACTCAAAGAAGCCGTTCCGGGAAACATCAGGCGGGCCGAGCACTTTGTTGCCTTTTTGAAGCGCTTCATCGAATATCTCAAGGTCAGGCTCCCTGGATGGGTCTCCATTGTCGAAACCCTCAAACTGAGTGATTGTAGACGCGCATGAAAGTTCGCCAAGTCATCTCGGAAACGCCTCCATCCTTTCTGGCTCATCTCAGAGAGCATACTTTCATCGAAAAGAAGCCTCTGAGATTCTGCGCAGAGCGCTTGACGTCTCTAGTGCGGACACTGGAGCTAACCAACATCGAGGATTACCAACCTCTGCAAGAGGTGGCCACGTTCGCCACACTGGTAGCAACCTATGAAAAGGGTTTCCTGCTCATCCTGGAACCGTACGAGTCAGACACGGCCGAGGTCCCCAACCCCATCTTTCACTTTACCTGTCTGGATGCCGCCATCGCGATTCGGCCAGTCTTCGAGAGGTTCTACTCTGTCATTATCACCTCGGGCACCATCTCCCCTCTCGAGATGTACCCCAAGATGCTCGACTTTTCAACCGTCATCCAAGAGTCCTACAGCATCACCCTGGCCCGAAGGTCATTCTTGCCTATGATAGTCACCCGCGGCAGTGACCAGGCCTCCATCTCCACCAGCTTCCAAGTCCGAAACGAGCCCAGCGTGGTTCGGAACTACGGCACGCTGCTGACGGAGTTTGCAAAGATCACACCCGACGGCTTGGTCGTGTTTTTCCCATCATATCTGTACATGGAGTCCATCATCAGCATGTGGCAGGGCATGGGGATTCTGGACGAGGTCTGGAAGTACAAGCTGATCTTGGTCGAGACACCCGACGCGCAAGAGACGTCCCTGGCCCTCGAGACGTACCGAACCGCCTGTTGCAATGGACGCGGAGCCATTCTGCTGTGCGTCGCCCGTGGAAAGGTCTCGGAGGGTATCGATTTCGACCATCAGTACGGTCGGACCGTGCTGTGCATCGGGGTCCCATTCCAGTACACCGAGTCGAGAATCCTCAAAGCAAGGCTCGAGTTCTTGCGGGAAACATACCGCATCAAGGAAAACGACTTTTTGTCTTTCGATGCTATGCGCCACGCCGCGCAATGTCTCGGTCGAGTATTGCGAGGCAAGGATGACTACGGGATCATGGTTCTTGCCGATCGCCGGTTCCAGAAGAAAAGAACTCAGCTGCCCAAATGGATCAACCAGGGACTGCTCGAGGCAGACGTCAATCTGAGCACTGACATGGCGGTCAGCAGTGCCAGGAGGTTTCTGAGGACTATGGCTCAGCCGTTTCGGGCCAAGGACCAGGAGGGTATCAGCACCTGGGGATACAAAGACCTCAAACAGCAACAGGACAAGATGGACATGGAGAAGAGGCGCGAGCAGGAAGAGGCCGCGCGCTATCCTACAGCGCAGGACCTTGCCGCCATCAACAGTTATGAATACGATGACGAGGAGCTGGATAGGGACATGATGGACCTGGATGGCTTCTAGTCCCGGAACCATCAGCGACTATAGATGGTCGGTGACTTTGTCCTTGGAAAAAAGCATAGCAAGCCTGACGGGCTCTTTCGTTAGACACCGCAAACCCTGCGGGGCAAACTCGTTGGCTTCCCACAGAGCCCGTGCTTTTTTACATGGCATGATGGTGACCTGTCAGCGTGTACCTCACGGCAACCTCCACTTCGTATGCAACCGAAGTGCCCGCTCCCGACCTGAAGCTGTTGTGTGCTGAGCCTCGCACTTTCACATGCACCCATCGCCAAGTCAAAACGCCTTCGCTTGCAGATGTCGAGGGAGACGAGGAAGAGCGATGCCGGTAAAGCGAAGTGCAACCCTCTCCCTACTTTGCAGGCGAGAAACGCTTGGTCGCCTTGACGGCTCGCATCGCTGGTAGCGTGTTGGCCCGGCCAGGCTGCCGACCAATCTCAATGCAGAGCATGCGAATAAAGTCCTGGTTGTACCAGTAGCTGGAGTGCGCGCTGAGCATGTTGAGGTACTGAATCTCGAGCGGGCCACCTCCAGATCGCAGGAACCAATCTATCTGTCCGTTGTCGTTGAGAAGAAAAGCCTTCTTTTCGGCAATTTCTTCACGTGTAAAGTCATGCACCTCCATCTCCAACTGCGACGGGAGTCGCACCGTGAGAGGCCGCTCGTGCGGGACGACCAGGCGGTCGGGCACCGGCGACATGCCAGGCACGACGTGGCGCACGGCATCGCCCAGTGACTTGAGGAGGGAAGTCGACGTGCTGGGGACATAAGCGGTCTTGAGGCTCGCCGAGTACGCGGGGTCCACGGCTCCGTTTAGCAGATAGGCAATAGGATCCTCCTTTGCGAGGACGTTGTAGATATTGTCCACAGCCAGACATCCGAAAGTACCCGCGTTCGCCACGACATTCTTGGCAGTCACATCGCCAGGATCGGCGCCAGGCTTTTGACGCCCGCGCCGAGGCATGAGAGCGCCTCGCTCAAGCAAGAGGAAGAATCCAGCCGGGCTGCCCACAAGAAACAGGTTCTTTGTGTCAAACTCGAAGTGCGGCGTCTCCGGCTCGGGATGGGACATGTTCAAGCTTGGCACACACGTAGGCTGACGTGACAGCACATCCAGGGCCATGGCGCTCCCCAGCGAATGCGCAATGAGGTGCACGCGCCCTCTCTCGGCGAACCCGGGGTTGTTTCGACACCACAGGCGATACACGCGGTTTGCCTCGGACACGAGTGCGTTGATCATCTTGCTCTTGTGGTGAGACATGTAGAATGGTATGTCGAACATGACGTCCGACATCATGCTGCGGATGGCGGGGATGGTATCTGGCTCAATGTCCTTGAGCGCAAACGCATCAGGGGCATACTCCGACATGTCTTCCTCGCGAAGCGGGCCGCCGTCTTCAAACGACAGTCCCATCCTCCAATTCAAAGGCAAAATCATGAGGCCGTTCTGGTCCCTGCGGAGGACTCGCTGAACGATGGGGTTGGCCATTTCCATGTTCACGGCCCGGCGAAACCCATTGATGGCGTGAGTGAAGTGGAAGCTCTCTACCCTCTCTGCGAATTTCTGGCCAATGCCGTGTGCCACGAGGACGAGATCGGTGACCTGGCCGCGGTCTTTCTCTGCCTTGCAAGCGGGGCAGGCGCCGGGCCCGCTACTCTCATGGGATTCCTGGGCCGCGGAGGCACCCGGCTTGTTCGGTGCTTGCGCTTTGTCATGGAGGCGCTCCCAAGCTTGCCTGTCAAATCCCCGAGTAACTGGAACACCAACCGTGATGCCCTTTGTAATCTTCTGCACAGGCTTCCTTCCGTAATAGGCCGAGGGCTTGAGGCTTGGCTTCAGGAGGAACGCGTGTGTGCTGTCTTTGTAAACAACATGGTAACTCGCAAACGGCCGGCTTGGCGGCTCCTTGGCGGCCGATCGCCCTTCCAGAGCAGGCTCGATAGACCCTTGTGCTGCAGCTTCACCATGAAAACAGCGCGCGGCGCAAAAGGGATCCGAAGCTATCGCGGACTCGGGCTCGGGCTCGCCGTCCTTGGCCCCGCCCAACTGGTTCGAGTTCTCGGGCCAGAGACAGTGCGAAATTTTCTCTTCGCCGAGCGGGCCAACCTCAAGAGCACATCGTATTTCATCATTCCAAGTCTCTGTCCACGGTCGCAGCTCTTGATACCCAGCTTCGAGCTGGTTGGCTACAGCCGGAGCCACCGGCATCATTGTATCTCTGAGTGATGATTAGCAAGCGCAAGGCCTTGACTAGGTGAGATGACCGACCTGTAAAACCAGGTTGCCCTCATCACGACTGCAATGTCGTTGATGGGGGACCAGTATATTGGCTTCATCTGCAGCGTAGGAAGAGACACTTTGTGCAACCGGGACACGCCAACTACAATCTCCACCGGTTGTCTACCGCGACTGGTCGCCTTTGGCGGATTCACGGGCTCAGAAGACCGGCCCTTGGTGGTATCATCCGAGGTCGCGTCATTGCCCTGGTCCTTGACCGGGGATCTTCCTGCTGATGGGGTATCAGTGCGTGGAAGCGACGAGGGAGCAGATGGCGTTGATGCATCAATGCTTTCAACACGAATAAACGGCTTGCCCGAGATGCCGCCGTCGCTACCGGACGCGCGAATAGGGCTGCGAGTGTTGATTGGACTTGCAGACGGGAATGAGCCATTGGCGTTTTGGGTGATCAGCTGCGGATGCCTCTGAGAGTCGGGCACGTCACATGCGGGCTGACTTCCGAGCTCATTCTCCTTGTCGCCATCGACGGTAAGTTTTGGTTGCGGCAGAGGGCCTCTAGGCATAGCATAGGCGACAAAGTCTCCTCTCGGACGATTGGGAGAGACAACTTTGGGCCTCCCCCGGTGTGCGTCTGTCGAATCATCTGCGGACTTGCGCATACCATTCATGGCGGCGACAACTTCCTGGACGACATTATCCAGGCCTAGCTCGACGATCTGTTTTCTGGCGAGGCTACAGAAGCCGTTGTGAAGCGCTTGAGAGACGTCCACGGAGAGCTCGGAGCAGCATGGGGCCGTAGCAGCGCTCACTAGGGCTTGTGCGGCCGGTCCGGAGGGATGATGGGAGCGAGATGCGGGACGATGCTTTTCCCAATGCTTGCGCGCGAGCGTTTGCACAAGCTGCGCCATGAATTCCGCGGCATCCTTGATCACGTCCGGTGCGTGGTCGTGGCCGGCTCTAGCTTGGCGGTGGTGGTGGCGGTCAGCATCGGACCCAAGGGTCAGCCATGCCTTGTCAAGAGCACCATTGTCGCCGCGGCCGAAAGGACGAAGTTGTCGCCTGGATGACTTTGAATCATAGCCGCCAACGGTAGGGCTGGTAGACAAGGGGTCATCGATGGGAATGAGGGACGAGTAGAAGAACTGGGCATCGACGGAGGGCATGCCATTGTCATGAGGCTGGCGCGGGACCGGGGCGAGGCGGCACTTGGCGCCGAACGTATGCTTTGCAGAGGCCATAACGATGCCGAGGACACTTGTGCGGGACACGAGGGCGAGGCACTGTGTACGGCGGCGGGTCGATGCGGGCAAGGGCAACGATTCGACGAGATGCAGTCACTCCCAATTGATGGGGCTGGTGGCCTTCTACCGGCAGATCCACGAGTCAATCGCGGACCATGGCGACAGCGGAAGCGGGGGTATCATGATCCAGAGAACCGGGCCAGGAAGGCAAATTGGAGCGTGACAATTTTATCCGTTGTCGAAGAGGGCCGGTCGATTGCAGGAGGAAGGATGACGTGGTTGGTTCAACGGGCAAGGGGTTGCGACGCAAAACACGTGGTGGAGCAGGATATGCTGTGCAAAAGTGCATGAGACGGAGTGCGGGGAACTGGCTGCAGGGTAGGTAGGTAGGTCGTGGATACGGGGCACGAATCTACGGGGCACGAATCTACGGGGCACGAATCCACGGGGCACGAATCCTCTCTCTTCTGTCCTCATCCCGCTCTTGTTGAACCCTCGCAAGTAAACAAGGCGTACGAGAACCACTGATACCCCGGGGATCCCCCATTCAAGCACAACCGCGAGCTCAGAGAACTGACTGACAATCCCTGCCTTTTCGAAAGCCTGACCTCTCTTGCCATGCAGAGCCAGCTTGAGCAGCTCTTGCCGTCGCTCAGGCGCCCGGCCCTCTGCAACTCGGTGCTCCCGGCCTTGCTGGACAGCATCTGGCGTATTGCGCAGACGCTGCGCCAATCGCACCAGGTCACACTCGCCGGCACGGCCAATGCCTTTGGCGACGACCAGCTCAACGTCGACGTTTCGGCAGAGGAGCTCGTCCGGCAAGCGCTCGCGAGCTGCCCATCCGTCGTCGCGGCCAGCAGCGAGGAAGAGCCCATTGAGCGGCCCGCAGGCAGCAAAGGGGACCAGCCGGAACGGTACACGGTCGCCTTCGACCCCCTCGATGGGAGCTCCATCATCGCCTCCAACTGGACCGTTGGCACCATTGTTGGCATCTGGGACGGCGCGTCGTCGCTGCGTCAACCGCCGGCCGATAAGCAAGTCGCCGCCGTCTTGGGGGTCTACGGGCCGCGCACCACGGCCTTCGTCGCTCTGCGCGTTCCCGGCGCTGAACCGGCCTGTGTGGAGATGGCACTGGGAGAGCAGGGCAAGTGGCAGATCCTGCGGCCCCATGTCCGGTTCGCCGACCCGTCCTCCACCGCCCGGTACTTCGCCCCAGCCAACTTACGCGCTGCGGCAGAGAGCCCACCCTACATGCGCCTCGTCAGACACTACGTGGACGAAAAGTACACGCTGAGGTATAGTGGCGGCCTGGTACCTGACGTGGTGCACGCCCTTGTCAAGGGCCATGGCATCTACCTTTCCCCCGTCACCTTCGCCAGTGGTGCAAAGTTGCGCCGCTTGTACGAGCTGTGTCCCATTGCCCTCGTCGTCGAGTGCGCCGGAGGAAAGGCAGTCGACCCCGCCAGTGGCGAGGAAATATTATCCCAGCCGCTCGAGAGCTGTGATGACAGAGCCGGCTTGATATGCGGCACTGCGGATGAGGTTGATTTTGCGACACGGGAGATGTGCAGGCCTCACGTCGCCGAGACAGGAGCTGAAGGTCCTCCCGAGAGGCGGTCGACCGAGGGGCCTTAGGCCAACGGGGCCATGCGTCAGAAGACGCAGCCGCCATGCCATGCAAGGCTTTCAGAATGGTGGGGGGATGAGATGGGGGGCTGGTTCTCCAGCGCCGTTTTGGATCGTCAGCAACAAGTTTTCCGAGCAGCGCCGCGCGTCAGCTGGCTGGTTCTCACAGTAGTGCAATGCTCCTACAAGCACGGATTTCCAACGCAACGCAGCCCGTCGGAGAAGAAAGGTGCCGGTCGACGCCGACAAGCAGATGCCAGCCAGACACACTTTTCCCACAGGGCTGAGCGCCCTTCTGGGGGACAAGATGATCATGATACTGTACTTGCAATGCCTGTTCGGCATGCGTACGTACAAGGTACCGGCCGAGTCAAGGAACCAGCGAGGCTGAAGTCGTGGGATGCAGCACAGCCGTCTTCTGACTTGTCAAACGGCGCCAGTCGTTGACTCCCAAGACTGTCTGTACACTCAGTGCTGTAGGCCCCGTTCCCTCTTGGTCGAGTGCCGCGCATGTGCGTGCAGTGCAGAGGACCAGGTGCCGCGAGCTCCGTCTTCAAACCGCCGGCGCCGATATCTGGGTGGGACGTGGCTGGTGGAACGGGATACCGTCGGCCAACGCTTTGCTCCGGCTGCTCACGAGGGCCCGGCTACCTGGGTTTCTGCTTTCAATCGTCTGCCTGGCCGCGAGTCTGATGGCTAGACAACCGTTCTGTCTATGCCGGCCGGTGGATCGCCGAGGTGGGTTGGACGCAGACTTTAGAGAAGTGTTGAAGTAAGAAAAGAGACGGCACGGCTGTAAACCGAATCTGTAAGTCACCCAGTCGGTTGGTTGAATGGCGGTCCTCGGGATTGTTGGTCCCCATTGCCGGGCCTTGACTGGTCACCGCCCCGAGCAAATGTCGATCGTCGCCGACGGGAGATGGAATAAGCACGTTGGGTTCGCACCACCGAGAAATACTTGGCATAGGTACATTGTACGAACTTGTCTGTACTGTACGTAAGACTCGGTGCAGAGTTGACGAATGGGGATATCTTGGCATGTACGGCGGCGCACCCTTGATACTGTGCTGTGTGCTGTGCCCCCTTTCATGGCGGGAAGCTTCCGGACAGGGTGCAGCAGCTCTGTCTCGTCTGCTTACAGTAGCTGCTGGGGTACCGGTGACCTTTTCTTTTTCTCCCCGCCCCCCTTCTGGTCACTCACCTTTTCATATCATCATCCCGCTGCAGATGACCCGAACAGGCTTTGACCTCATCCTGGCTCAGAGGGTGGACGCACCGCATGTGCCGTCTCAGCCCCTATCGACCATGGCCGCATGGTGAGAAAATCAAAAGAAATCGACTGGGTTGTGCCCTCTTGTCTGATGGCCTCTCTCTCTTTCATTGCCAACTGCGGCACCGACTGACACAGCCCGCGGGAAAGCATCCTGGCCGATGGTGTCTCGAATCATCCGTCTACTGTACTCGCCACCCGGGTCCAATTGCTTCCATCTATTCCATCATCTAGGCCCCCAACCAACCAGCCTACGACTGTTACGGCCGCGTTCTGCAAAGGGACAGGGGAGGGCAGAAGCCCCGGTGGCCATTGGCTGCTCTTGGTGTCTTTGATCAGTCTTGATGATCGCCGCCCAGTCCGCCGGAACCATGCAACGGATACCGAGACAAGAATCTCCTCAGCATGCGCGAGATGGACAGAAATGGAGGCGGTCAAAAAGGACCGGGCTGCAGGCCACCACCACTTGGGTCCAGATACCGACTTGCTGGCCCGGGCCTTGGCAGTTGGTGACGATTCTCCCGCTGACCAACCTTGCCTGTACGTGTAGGTACGTATGTACCTCCTTCATGCCTACACGTCAACGTGCGTTCATGCCGCTGTGGATGAAGGCGTTCAGCTCTCCAGACACGCGGTCGGGCGGGCCAATTACCATCCGCCCACCTGGAACCTGGGGCCAGCAACCATTCCTGATGAGTCCCTAGCCATCTGGTGATCCTGGATGCAGCGAAATTGCACAGGTTTCATCCAAATCGTTCTGGCCGAACGACCTGCTTGGGTCCCCAACACGGCTCCAGGGGTCCTCGCCTGTCCGTGGTGATGCCCTTGACAAACGTCTCTCCAGTACCAGGCGCCATCTCCCCCCGCTTGTTTCCTTTCCTGTTTCCTCCTTGCTTTTCCCATCGGCGGATGCGCAGGCCTTTCTGTCAGTCCGGCCAGGCTCGGGGCTGACGGGAGAGCTTCCAGTCCCAACGAGTACTCGGGCGACGGCGCGCTATACTACAGTGCATCGCATTGCCGGCCGTCGGGACCACACTCACGGGCTGCAAGGACGCGGGCGATAATTAGTTGTGACTCTTGATGCCCTCTCGCCGCCATGCCATGTTGACATGTCATGTGGCTTTGCACACCGAACTCGCAAGCTGGGGATGCATACAGAACACATCAGCAGACATACAGTGCAGTGCTGGACTCGATACCAAGACATGTCATTGCGTAGCATCTGACAAACACTCCAGCTTCAGATAGACTCATGCGAGGCGCCCGGTTCGGAGCACTGTCCACGGCCGTTCTCAGCTCGCGGGGCGTGCAACTTTTCGGACGTGACATGTCGTGAAACACCATGTCCGGATCGCTCGGTAGCCGGATAGCATTCTCTCTTGGCCCGCTGAAGATCTGGAGGCGAGCCGGGAAACCAGCCCGAACCAAGGCGCTTCTGGCCTTGTCTCTTGGCACTCACTCGCCGCCGGTCCAAGGCTCAGGCGAACAGTCATGAGTGACTACGAGCGCCGGTGCATGGGAAGCGCCCGCCGACTAACTAGTTGGGCCATGCTTGTTGGAACTTTCAGCGCCGACGGGCCTTTGGGAAAAAGGACCTGCCTGCCTGTTGGTCCTTGCCCTTTTCAGCTCTCATGCACTCGGCGGTAGGGCGTTCCTCACAGTCAGGCTCAGAGTTGCCGAATCAGTCACTCACCTCTGGACAATGGGCGTCGAAGCGTTTCCCCGTCCTGGCCCCGAGCTTCCACTTCTCTGGGGGATGGAGGGGACGAGAGGCGCCGGCTCACGCTCTGCAGAGTTGCAGACCCGTGGAGGATGCGTGATAGTTGAGCCGTCCTCTCCATCCCTGCCTGTTTCCAGATCAGTACACGACAGCACGGCGTCGCGAGCCAACCGCCTGTTGATGTGCGGTACGAGTTACGCAACCACTCGTCGAACAGCTGACCAGCAGGCCAACAACAAGCACAGCGAGCAGACTGCCTTGTCGATCGACTCGTAAAGATCACCGACCGGGCTGTGCGGCTTAGCCTCGTCCCCCCCAACCTGTTGTCTCCCGCGGAAGAGAGGTCGGCATTGACGGAGGGCTGGGAAAGCTCTGTAACTTACCGGCTTTGCCTACACACGCTGGAGCACGTCTCACGGACACGGAATCGAGCGGACGTGGACTGCCTGCTGGCAAGTCGACACTGTGCCATGCCGCCATCCTCCAAGGGCCCTTTCGAGGCCGCCCCTGGCCCTTGCCCCCCTTCCCGCCCGATACCTTATCCTGACAGTGTATGGATGGCCTGACCTGACTCTCGGTTGGCCCCCATGTCGACGCAGCCCAGACCCTTCTCAGCGACCATGGCCAGCCTCAGACAGTGTATACATACTGTACTCAACTCGCCCACAGGCCACCGTAGGTACAGCACCTTCTCACCCATGCCAAAAAGACAGACACTCCGAGTCCACGCCCATGTAGAGGAAGCCTCTGATGACACCAAGCCGGCCTCGGCCTCCGTTCCGTTCTTCATTTGGCTGAAAACACATGGTGTCGCCCTGCTCGCCCCGTGAGAGAGACGACTTGCTTCGCGCCATCCCAGCCCGGCTGCTTCCCGGAGCATCAGAATGCCGCGTCTCCAAAGCCCGGCTCGGTTTGCTACGACACCTATCCGCCGTTGAGCCTTGAACGCGGTGCTTTCCTCCCGCTCCCCAGAGCAAGGAGGCCATCTTTCCCGCTTTCGACGAGCTCGCACACCTTGTCCCGAGATCTCGTCGTCAACCGTTTCTTCGAAGGAGGCTATCTATCTGCTATAAGCAACCCCATCAGCTATATCCAGGCTAGTGCACCTACTCATTTTAATCCCGCCTCTTCTTCGGCTTGGTTGGCCTGTTCGTGTCTCTGCTCGAGTCTTAGTGGGCGAGCTGTTGCGGATGGAAACGCCTCTCCGATGGCCTTGACCACCTTGGACCGCCAACACGACCCATGATACCGGCTGCCATCTCCTGGCAAGGTTGATCCGCCGTCATCGGCGAGAGCGCCGGAACAGCCTGCGGAGAAGCCGCTCCATCCTTGTCGCCTTCTTGTTCCATCTTCTCCTAGACATGGACCTCTGCCCCCAGTCAGCCATCGCATCGCCGTCGCCATCGCCGCAAAGGCTCGCCAAACCGACTACCTGTGACTCTGGCCCCGGCTGTTCTCTTCAGTCTCCCTGTCCCGACCTCGTCAACCTGCATTACAAGCACTCTTGCTTTTCCAGACCCCTGAATGCTTCTTGTTTCATGGGCGAAAGACTCGGCGCCGACCCCTCGCTCGCCACGACGGGCGCAATGGCCGGCCCTGGCTGGAGATATAATACCGACACCGTCTCCGCAGCCCTCGCCCCGACGCCTTCCCCATCCTCGGCGCCCGGCATGCTGACTGCCGACTACGACCCATTGGTCGAGTATGAAGCCGGCCTCTCTCCCGTACCGTATCCATACGGCGGGGGTTACCCCCCGGGCTGCTCCACGCCACGCGCGTCGAGCCATCTGGTGCACAATGCCTCCAGATCCGCAGGCCCCGGTGTTTCGAGGACTTTGTCCGGGGGCTTCGCTCGGCAAATGAAGCAGGGAGACGGGATGGATGTGGAATCGGGCGCGCCGTCGTTTGGCGCCGCAGCCTATCCCGTCGCCGGGGCTCTCCAGGCATCATACGATGCCTCGCTGTCTCCGTTTGCCGTCTCCCCGCGCGCTTACGACACCGCCCCTTCCACGTCGGCCTGGAGGAGTCAGAACTGCGGAAGTCATGTCCTCTCAGGGTCGAGCCAGCCCAAGTTGTCGTCTTCACCCCACTCCATGGCCAGCTCGGCAGGCCTGTCAAGGCCCCGGCGTGTTCCGCGCAAGCATACCACCAGAGAGGAGGCAAACTTTCAGTGTAGCGTCCAAGGCTGTGGCAAGTTCTTCAGTCGCAGCTACAACTTCAAGTCCCACATGGAAACCCACGACGAGCAGCGTGAATATCCCTTTCCCTGTCTCGTCGGCGGCTGCGCCAAGAAATTTGTCCGCAAGACGGATCTCCAAAGGCATCACCAAAGCGTCCACAAGAAAGAGCGGAACCACCGCTGTGACTACTGCGGGCGACTGTTTGCCCGAAAGGACACGCTACGAAGGTAGGCGTCAACTGGACGGTGCAGCTACACCGCTGGAACCCTTTGCACGAGCTGATGTACGTGACACATCCAGGCACATGGAGGATGGGTGTTCCAAAAGATTCGATATCGAGACGCTGGACCTGCGCTCGGAGGATCACAGCACTGTGAACCCAGCAGATAGGGAGGCGCGACCAAGTCCAACACGAAAGGCGTCGACTGCCAAGGTACTGCCACCCATGGCCGCCAGCCTAGCCAATTCGCTCGGTGCTAGCAGATACGCCGAAATGGAACCAAAGATGCAACTTCCGGATCGGACCTGGGAGAGGTAGGCCTGGGGGTGTCTCGATGGCGCCGAGTCCGTGACCCGAGCATCCCAGGGTTCCCACGATGTGTCTCTCTCGATTGATATCAAGAGCTCATGTCAAGGCATGCATAAACTGCGTGGTTCTCCTGACACAAGTCGAGGGTTGGCGAGCGGGGGTTGAGCGGCGATCAGACATGAAGCGACAGCCGCATCAATGGACACGACGTCTCGCCTCGTTGCTTTCGTGGATATTTGATTTTTGCCAATGTCTCTAGACATCCAGCAGGGTCCCGAATAGTCGATGTTCTGGAGGGATATACAGTCTAGACGATGATAGCGCCACCGCTCGTTACAAGGGGGAAGGGGGAAGGGGGAAGGGGAAATTCGTCATCTGGCGTTGGATATGGGGGCGGAGTCAGGCACAACGTGCTGGCTGCGGCGATTGGGATTTTGGTCTTCTCTTTGCAGACATGGTATCCCACTGAACGAACATTCGGTCGGGGCCTTCCGAAGGCTGTCCAGGCGGGTTTGCATCGAGGTCGCCGGCTTTGCTGTGTTCTCTGCATGTCTCCAGAGGCTACCCGCGATGGGAGGGTATTGATGTTACCACGAACGACGGCTCACTGCCGCATGGGTATGCCAGGAGAGGCCCAAACAAAAGTTATCGGGGGCTCTTGGGAGTACTTTGATTTCATTAGAGTCCACGCCGATGTAGCAGGGTTCCTGGCCTCTCTTGATTCCCCCCTCTTCTGGTCCGATGCAACGGCAAACGTTCAACTCTTTTCTTCACAAAAAGGCAATCACCAGAGGCGTCCCAACAAGCCTCATTACGCAGAGCAAATTCGTGCCTGCTGTCGAATTGCCGCTCGCTACCAAGACAGCTTGCATCACCTCGACTCGCGCAAGTGCGACGATGAAAGCCAGTAGACGCCCAGTTCCCAGCAGCCTGGTAAGTCGGACTGCCTGGCGCAAAACCCAAGGACTCTAGGCGTGGCATTTGGCTAAGGACCAAAAAGTGTCCATCTTTGCGCGAGCAAGCGTCTCCCTTGCCTCAGCGTCCGTCTCGCACACCTTGCTCCCCCATTTCCGAAAAGCCCGTGCCTTTTGCTCGCCCTCAAAGATGAGCTTGCATTCGTTGAGAGACATGTCCTTCAAGGTTCCGTCCTCGCTCTCTGCCTGAAGCCAGTCACGGCCGGGGTCCCGCTTCTCGTCCCGTCGTCTTGGCGGTGAGTTTTCTGTCCAGTCGATGCGGTTGAGCATGAGCTTCTTATACTTGGCGATTCCCCACGCTCCGCCTTCGACAACGACCATGTTAAACTTAGGGTGCATGATGCAGGTGCCCGAGAGGGCCAGTTGCTCGGCGTTGACGGCAATCTTGTATCTGTGTTGGCCGTTTGCGAGCGTCGTAATTTTGAATACCAAGACATGGATGCCTTTGTCTGCATCTGTTTGCTGGTTTTTGGCCAGCTTGTCGTGTTTCTGCTCCTTGGTCAATTGTCGCTCCTCGTTGGCTTCGACGTGTTTCTGATGCCGCTCCGCAATCTCGCGGTTCACTCTCGCTTCGACCGCCGTTGGATCTTTGACTGCAACTAGGAGTGTGTTAGCCACTGCTACCTTCGTCATCCCTTTTCAAATGGACGGAGCATTTTGATGGGAAGCTTACCATCTCCAAGAACCCGCATCAAATTTCCCTTCTTCACTTTGGGGGGGGGAGCCGGGACGAGACCGAGGCGAATCTTTGCCTGCATCTCCTTGAGTTCTGCCATTCTTCGCTGGCGCCGAAGTTTGGCCTGCTCTTTCGACGTCAAGAACATGGGTTTGGCTGGGGTAGCGAGGCGATTCTGTGGCGGTTCAAGCGCAACTGGATGTTGCACATACTCGGTGACGATGCTGTCGGGGGTTATTAGTTTGAGCTTGGCCGGGTTTTCGATTCCGTCGTAGTTTTGTCCATCCACGAGGCCCTCGTCCCACCATTCTATGCCTGGGGGCGCCTCCACCACAAAGTTCTTCTCAACGTCGAGGTCATCGTCAATCCCTGCCTTCCTCGTTTGCTCTGCTATCCGCCTCTTCATTGCCTCGAGGGCAGCCTGCCGACGCAGGGCACTGGCTTGCTGGATGTATTTGCCCTTCTGGTTGAACACCAGGCGTTTGGGCTCTCGGCGCTTACTTCCGGAGACCTGAGGCACGTTCCCATCATCAAAGTACGGATTCGCTTGCCCGCTGCGGAGGTCTTGTCGCTGTGTCTGCTGAGTGGGGACATGTTGCGCGCCGTGAACGCTCTTTGCAAGATGCGGTTGAGAGCTCTGCTGCGTCTTCGGACCGTCCCGGCTTTTGCCCTGCGGCTTCCATGAACCCATGTTTTCGAGCACTGGATGCAGCCCGACATTCAAGCCCCCCTTGGCCTTGCTCGTGTCGATTGCGGCTGCTACGCGGGCCTTGAGGGCGGCCATCTTGTCGGCGACAGAGCCAGGTTTCTGGACCCGCGAGGTGGCGTCATGACGAGGACCAAGACCCCCTGGCTGCGAAGGCTCCATGTTAGGTATACGATGCGCGAAAGGTCGTTGTGACGGTTGGCGGAATATGGATGCTTGGCAGTGGGCACACTCGATCTCGCCTGGTTGTTCCCAAAAGCATCGATGCCGAGCGTGGGGAAGTGCGCTAAGTCAGCACACCTAGCTTCCGGTATACCACACTTCTAGCACACCCTACTTACGGCACTATTTTATACTAAGTTTCGTATTTTCGTTCCTTTTTTTTAAGATTTATATTTAAAGATATAGACCTATTAATATACTATATAAGTATATTATAAGTATTAAGCTATATTAATATAATATAATTATTAATATTAAGATAAAATTAATTAAGAAACTTAAATATATATTATTTACTATTTACTTAAAGTATTACTACTTACCTTATAATAAATTATTATTTAGCTTAACCTATTAAAATAAAAGTACTTTAATATTACTAGCTAGTATTATATATTAACTATCTTAAAATATTAAATCCTTAAAAGCTTTTTAAGGAGCTTTAATTAAAAGAAAGTATACTTAAGTACCTAAGCTAGTAAAAGAGTAGTTCCCTTTTAAGAGGGGCCCTACTATAAGTATTTATCTCTTATATAAGGTAAGTATAATATATAAAATAAGACTTAAAGATACTTAAGATTTTTAGTAAATAACTAAGATATATAATACTTAGTTAAAAGAAAGGATATTTATAAAGTTTAAGCTAAATTAATATTTATTATAAGGTAAATAGTAATACTTTTTATATAATATTAATATTAACTTTAAAAGTAAAGTATTATTAAAGAATAGTATTATAAAGCTAATACCTTTATTTATTACGTACTTTATATACGTTAATTAACGCTATTACTTATATTAAATAAGCGGCTACTACTTTTTTTTTATAATAGTTATAAGCCTAAGTAAAGGGGTTACCTTTCTAGGAACTTCTTAGTAACTATATATATACTTCTTTTAGCTAGCTTAGCGCGTACTACTTAAAGGCCTATAGTTTAAGTCCTACTAGCGTAATTAAGCGCGGTTTTAGTATAAGAAACTATTATCCCTTTATATAAGAGGAGTTATCTAAGTATCTTAAGATAAAAATAAACTTAGTATCCTTAAAGGGGTATATTATATACTTTATATACGTTAATTAACGCTATTACTTATATTTAATAGGCGGCTACTACCTTTTTTATAATATTATTCAGCTATTTAGCTATTAAACTAAATATATTATTATTATTATTATTATTAAGATTATATTAAGGACCTCGCTAAAGGTATTTAGAACTTTAAAATTAAATAAAAAGGAAAAACTAAAGTACTTAAGGAAAAACCCTTCCTTTTTTTAATATAGGTCTACTTTAAATAAGGTCTTAATAATAGTATATAAGAAATTTACGCTAGCTATTATAGGCTTCTCCTATATATTTATATTTTAATATAGGCCCTCTTAGGCTATAGCTACTTTTATCCTAAGTAGCTACGGCCTAAGCTTACTAGCCTAAGCTTAAGGTTATAAGTAGTAGTCTCTCTTTAAGGGCTTAACTTATAAGCGCCTTTATTCCTTATAGCTCCTATATTACTACTATATAGCTATAGCCGCGTTAGCCTATTAGTCTATTAGTTAATAAGGTAGGTAATATTTAGTTACTAAGCTAAGCGCTAGTATAAGTTACTCTTAAATAAAGCTAGCTAATTAAAATTTAATTAGCTAGCTTTATTAATCGAAAATCGGTTCTTATTTAGCTATATAATTTCTTAATTAAAGGTATAATAGCCTATATTTACTATTTATTATATAGTTATTAATTATATAAGCTTAGCTTATATATATATATATATACCCTCCTTTTTTAGTTTTATTCTTACTTTCTCTTACCTTTTTATTTATTATCTCTCTTATAAGCTTTAACTTTTACTTACTTTATTTCCTTATTCTTAAATCTCTTTAATACTATACTTAAATAGCTTATTATTACTTTATAATATCTAACTAAAAAGCTAGCTTAAGTAGTAGCGGCTCGCCTTCTTTTAAGCCCCCTCCCTATAAAAAGGTTATTACTATAGTAGGTTTAAAGCGCTCTATCTTATATTTTATATATATTAAGTGCTTTATTAATAAGCCTACTTATAAGTCCTTTACTAGCTATTAAAACTAGTCTTATAAGTATTAATCTTAGTTTTATTTTAGGTTAGCTTTTATTGTAAAGCGTAGCCTAATTTCGTAGTTCTCGGAGATATCCCTTAGTATAAGGGACCTAGGGAGCTAAAAAACAGGTTTTAAAGAAGGAGCTAAAAAGAGGTATAGAGAGGAGGGTAGGGGTATAAAGGGAAGCAGAAGTAGCGATAGCTTCTTATAGAGGTAGCGAGAGATAAGACGGATATACTAGTAACGGCTAGAAAGAAAGGGAAAAACTAGTAAAAAGCTTAGTAGTTAAAAGGATATTAGTAGCTTCTTTAAGTAGGATCTTCTTTATTAATTAAGATACTAAACGGGTATAAAGAGAGGCGTTAAATAAAGGAAAGAAGGATAATTAAGGCAATATAATAATTACTCCCTTACCGTAATTACTGCCCCTATAAGATTTAAATATCTCTACCCTACCTACCCGACCCCTTACTTTTACTTTTACCTTTATATATTTTATATATACTTCTTATATCTCTCTTTATAAGAGTTATAAGCCTAGGAGGAATAGAATTCTTATACCTTCCGGCTACTATAAAAAGCACCTTTCTTATATCCCTTATAGCTTCCTTTTCCCCCTCTTACTAGAAAAGCTGATTTTTAACTAACTTTTCTACCCCCCCTCTTCTATAATAATATTAAAAAACGACTCCTCTACCGTCCCTACGATCTATAGGATAATTTTAGTAGAGCCCTAAGATTAGGATAAATAGGTAAAGAAGCTACGAGCTCGTATAGATAGAACTATTTATAATTTAGTCTTCTTTAATAAGTAGGACCTTCTCGAGCCCCTTCTTTATCTTAAGGCAATAGAATTTATAGAGGGAGCTTCCCTCTTCTCTAAGCTAACCTCTATATAATAAAGAGCTTTTTCTACTACCTTAGGTAACTATAAGAGTTATCGTAAGGAATACCTTTATAAGATAAAGCTACTAACTACTATATATATAGCGATAATAAAATCTATTAGTGCTATAAAGCTAATTACTCTTTAAGAGGAAGAGACTCTTAAGTAATAGCTTTTAAAGCTTAAGACCTTAATAGCTCCCTTAAGGGGCTATATAACTAACTATATTAAGAAGACCTATATAGTATACCTAGTATAAGAGTCTTTAACTATTATAGGTAATAGGCTTAAGCTATAGCCTAAGCTATATAGTTATATATAGAGGGCCGGATCCTATATATATAAGGGCGGGCTAGCCGCGTATAAAAGAGCTCTATATAACTTATTAATATTATCCTATAAACGGCACCTATATATACGCCTCTACTTAATCTATAATAGTATAAGCTATTAACTAATAGATTTAATAGATATCTCTTAGGAAAAGGTGCCGCTTTCTTAAGGGAGTACCCTACTACCCCTTAAGCGGATAGGAAGTATTATAGCTATCCTAGAAGCGATTAAAAGCGCGATAGCTAGCGAGAAGAATAAGGTTCTCGCTATACTAAGGGAGCCGTCTATAAGACTAGCGTTAACCCCTACGACCTTAGTAATACTAGTTACGGCGGTAGTACTACTAATATAAAAGCTACTTCCCTAGCTAACTTAAGATAGTAAGCTTAAGTCCTTTTACTTCTTCTTTAGCTAGCTATAGATAAAGTTTATAATAGACGAGAAATAGGGCCTAAATAGCTATTATAATATAGCGTAGTATTCGCTCCTCTATACGCTACTAGAGCCTTAAATATAGCGGATCTTTAGATTCTAGGATAAAGGCGGCCTTAAAGGTAAACGCGACTTATAAGACTTCTTCTAATACCTTATATATACGTTTAGTAATATATAAGAGCGGGAGAAAGCATAGGATAGGCTATAGACCCTTAAGTAAAAGGATAGGTAGACCTTTAGCGAATTCCTCCTTAACTTTAAAGAGACGCTCTTATAAGCGGTAGGAACTATAGTATAAGAAAATAGCGCGAAGCTTATATAGTTATAGAACTTAATTACGCTAGCCCTATAAGAGCTACTTATCCTTATAATTATACTTACTAACTATAGCGAGTATATAAGCTAGTTAATAAAAGTAGTATAGGGCTATAAGTAAACGCTATGTTTTTAAAAGCTTTATAAGTATACGCTATATAGTGGTAATAAGATTACCGCCCTTTTATAAGAGGAATAGCTAACTATCGATACTAATAAAGATACCTTAATATCGGCTACTTATATAGACTAAGCTAAATATAGTAGGAAGTTATTATTAAATATCCCTTATATTATCCTACTCTTTAAGTAGTAAGTAAAGTAGGTAATAAGTAAGGAAATTAAGAAAAGGAAGGCTAATAGCCGCTACCTATATTATAGCGCGTCTATATACTTTATATTAAAATGCCCCTTCCTTTTAGCTAAGCGGCCTATAGTAGTTTAAGTAGCGAAGATAGAACTACTTCTTGCCTTAAACGATAAAAAGGACTCTGCTCCCTTAGGCCTAGAAGAAAAAAAGTAGCTCCAGAGTAAAGATAGGCTTTAGAGCCTTAATTACTAGTACTAGTAAAAGAGAAGGAGGAATTATCCGCCTATATAAAAGAGGAGCTTACTTTAATATAGGTTATAGTTAATAACTCCTTACCTATTACCGCCCTTATAGATAAGAGCTATTAGTACTACGCTATAGTTAACGAGGCGCTTATATAAGAGATATAAGTACTAGTAAAAAAGATCGCCCTAAGGTAAGTAAAGGGCGCCTTAAGCGCGATAAAGGGTATAGTAATTAAGGGTATTATATAGCTA